AGTTGAGCAAGAAGAAGGTGGTAAAAGAGTAGAATATGATGCTAAACTTAAAGAAGAGAGGACTTGTAAAGACGTGACGAAAATGGTTGAGAGGGTAGCCATGCATATAAAACAACTGAACAGTGATAAACAGTAAAATACAGTAATAAGAGTGCAGCGTAGGTATACAGATTCGTAAAGTAAAAGGTAAGTTTGACCCCACTGCATGGTTATCTACACCCATTGTCTGCCAGTTCCTTCAATAAAGCAGAGTGGTACTCTCACTTCACCGGATCACTGTCCCCTTGCCTATTTGATAGCGATCTAGAATTATGCGCGGAATTAAACCACCCCCACACCAGCGCTAAAGTGGCACTTCTGTTGCACAGCACACTGTATTGAAAAACGTGTATATAGATTTATTGTCGTTGAAGGTTTTTATTCCCTCTTTTATGATGTGTTGCATGCCAGATGTATAGGCACTGTTTTGCTGACTGGTCGCTATGAAGCTGAGCGTAGACGTTCACCTACGATTGAGTATCACTTCACTCTTTCAAGGGAACACTCAAGTGCGTTGTACAGTTAGTGCAGCAGCCGCCTTGATCTCATTCCTCGACCTTACATGAATTTTCCGTATTTTGCTTCAAAATGAGAAGCTGCCCGGCTCCTACAGGAGAAGTGCACGCCAAAATTGGGTTTCTAATGCAAGGCTGGAAACTGAGACGCATGTTGGGAGGACAGGAGGACAAAAAAAATTCGTCAGGACAATGCGAAAGCTTAAGGGTGTCAAAAGTGCGTATGGAATTTCATGTTGGATCTACAGCGTGCAATGGGCAAGATTGGTCTGAAATAGCTTCGGTGATTGAATTGGTTTTGGCTGAAGAAGAGATGGGGACGCGTTGATCCTGTGGCTGCCACTGCGACTAGCCTTGGTAGAGAGCGGTTGGCTGTAGTTCCATCAGCAGCTGCTTCTGCTGCGGTGCAGTTTTATGTAGCAGAGCCGTCCTGCATTCTCCCCATGCTCCAGCCACATTGCGTAGCTCATCTACCAATGGTCTCAGTGAGCTTGACCTTTTGCAGCCTTCGCGCGTTGGTTTCTCCATTTTTGAAAAAAAAATTGAAAAAAAAAAAAAAAAAAAAGTAAATATGAAAAATTAAATAACAGAAAAATTATTTCTTAGCAAAGTATTCCTTCACCTCGAATCAGCTTGGTCCATACTGTCGAAACGAACTGATCCATTTCACCTTGGTTTCTTTTCTTAGCCTGGGTCCATCTTCAGTTTTCGCTGCTCCCCGTCTATCCAGTTCCTTCTGCCATTGAGCTGACAATTCCAACGCGTGTCCCGGTACCATTCCAACGCTAACTATTTTGTCCACGCCAAAAAAATACTGAAAGCAGAAAGAATAAAAAGAAATAAGCTAAAAAACCTTGACCAAAAAAAAAAAAAAAAAAAAAATTAATTTCTTCACCATCCTCCCACTCTCGCTAAAAGAACACCAGACCAACGGAAGAAGAGACCGTTTAGTCACGTACCAGCTGCTATATAACGTCGAAAACACACCGCAGGCATGATCCTCATACACACGGTGATCGCGGTTCTATCGCTTACGCAAACCATCTACGGTCTCGGGCTAATAATCGAACCGTGTCTCGTAGGAGACAAGAAAAAATATTCCAGCATTAACAACCTACAGAATTGCATCAGCTATCCGACGGTTAAAGACGACATAATAATGGTACGAATCAAGTCTGGAGACAAGATTGCGTCGCAGAGACTCAACTTGAACATCTTCGACCTGGAAAACAACAAGATTCGGTTCAAGAAGGACATCAGCCATGAGATGAACTTGATCTTCACCAATTTGAACAACCCGGCAGTAGTGAACTCTGAGTTGGAGAGCCTGCAGGTAAAGAGGAGCAATATCTTTGGACGGTGGTCGGGGCTAGTGCACCATGAGGAGGCTGGGGGCGGTGGTAGTGGTGGTAGTGGAGGTGCTGTTGGTGCTGGTGCTGTTGGTGCTGGTGCTGGTGGTGGTTCTGGTGCTGTTGGTGGTGCGGGAGCTGGTACTCAGACTGCTAGCACAGACTCCCACCTCGATTCCAACAAGGGCAAGTCGTTGATCTACATCTGCTTCGACAACGTCTACACCGACAGGTCTTGGTCGTTCCACGCGCAGCCCAAGGACGTCGAGCTCTACACCGAGGTCAAGAACATGAACACCATCAAGGACACCAACTACAACAACTACGCACACTACTTCAATAAATTTAAGGACTCCTCCGCGAAATCGGAAGAGGAAGAGGAGAAAACGAAGCAGCGGTCCAGCGAGGAGTTCACCCAGGAGGATTTTGAAAACGAGGTCAAGATTCTTCAGCATGAGTTGGAAGAAGTAATTGAGAAGTTGAAGAGCTCGGAGGACATCTTGAGGGAGCTCATGGAACAGGAGTACAGGCTCCGAGATGCCAATGAGGCTATATATTCTGGATACACCAAGATATCGATTATTATGTTGGTATGTACGTTTGTTGCAGGGTTGATCCAGATGGCGTACCAGACGTATTTCTTGAGGAAGCAGAAGGTGATATAAACTCAAATGCTGTGCCAGGCTTTCTCAGACTCTTCTGATGAAGCATAATTGACCCAGATAGCGCACCAGGCTCATAAAGAAGCAGAAGGCGATACATTGAACTACAAGCTCGAACCAATGCTGCGGATCATCCAGTATCACGCGACAGAATCTGACAGATCTCGCCATGGAGTACTGGCAGTTCTCATCATCTACTGAAGACAACACTTGCCCAGTAGCCTTCTTCTGATACCTCTTGAGAATATGGCATTGCTTTCGAAATGACTATTGCCAGGACACTCCATCAGATCTCCTATCTGGGAAGGCCCAACGTCAATGCACTTGCCCATTACGTCCATTAATTCACCCTAGGATATCTAGCTGGACATTTTGAAGCACCCTCACATGTACAAAGCAGGGTGTCCCTGCATTGCCACTAAACAAGGTGTAGTATCTTCAATTCTCCACCTAAGAAGCAGACTAAAAGGTGTGGGAATGGATCTATGTATTTACAATCCGACTGCTGTCGAATCTGGAGATATGAGCTCCAGACAGCTCCTTACCCCCACCACTACTGCACGCAAAAGTCATTAGACACTATTTAAAACTAATATACGCATTACACACTAAGATTAATCCGAACCTCTAGTCCTTTTTGACCACTACTGTACGAAACACCGAACCTCGGAGTCCTCTTGAGCCTGCTGTACGACACATCAATCCTACAAAGACGTCATAAGACAGTATCTTATTAAAACTATACGCGTGTATGCTAAATCCTATTCTACAGTTTTCTCTACTCATCAACCCACTCTTTCACCACTGGTTGCTCTATCACCACTTACTTCAGCTGGTCCTTGCCCATCCGTCCTCTGCCTCAGCCGGTCCTTGCTCATCCCCACCCCTCCAGCTAATTCTGACCTATCCCCTCTCCTTTCGCTAACTCTAACCTATCCCCTCATCTTCTCGCTGTTGATCACATCCTGGCATATACTTTCCATTGCCTCCTTGTCTATCAAACTACCAACATCTTCGTATGCCAAACTTGCTTCATAACCCATGATAATTCTCTGCTCTGTAATTCCCAACTCGCCAAACGCCAACGCCTTGATTACATTGTAGTACCTCGTGATGGTGTGGCGCACAGAGTTGGATATGCTTTCGTTTTTGTCTGAGTATATTTCCCACGACGACTCCTCCTCCAATCTGGTGATCGAGACAGAACCCTGGCCCGGATTGTAGCCCGAAGAAGACGAATCAAATGCCGCTTGTGCCTTGTTCGTGGTAGCTGAGGTGGTGCTGGAAGCTCCTTGCTTTGACTTGCTTAACCAAACGTACCCATTCACCCCGACGATCACACTGACGTTTCCCGGAAGATTATAAGAATGATTCTTAGACTTGACCACCAACGATGAGGGAACCTTCAAGAAGATCCCGTTTCTCAACTTCCCATACTTCAATGATCTCGTGTGGAGCGACGCTGATCCGTTGGAGAAGATGCTCTGCACTTCTGCATTCAACAAGTCGCCCTCTTTCAAGAAGTTTCTCATCTGCAACTCGTCACTCTCAGACTTCCTTCTCAACACCCCACCGGGCAAATTTACAGACCCAAGCATGAGAACTGCGTCCTGCTTGCACCCGATGTCGACCTTCCATCTCTTGGGTCCCACCTCAGTGATACGGCCCACTACATGGTCACCGGTCTCCGCCTGGTACCTCCCTCTCAACGGTATAACACTCAACAACCTATTCACCCTCGACACGCTACCAGCAACAGAGGAATATGTCTGGTCGTGTAAGAAATACGTCCCATGGCCCTTCATCCACACGGGGTCGTCTGTGACTAGCTCACCTGGCGTCACGATGGACTCACCGGCTGATTCCTTCTTCAATTCGCCGCTTTCTTCGACGTCCGACATCTCTATGTCCGATGGCTCATCGTCATACACATTCGTTGGCCTGGTAATGGATATAACGCTCATCTTTGCTGTATAAAGGTGTAGTAAATCACCGTGCCCTTCGCTCTCCAGCTCTCTTTGTATCTCATCGACGGTCGTGCGCGTGCTTTTTTCAGTTTGGATTGTATGCAGGATTATCTAGAGATGAGTCTAAGAGTGACGCAGACGGGCCCATCTCTTCACCTACGGTGCACCCTCCAGGACCTGCTGAGTGTGATTCATGTTTAAAAGGCTCACTGGCTGGAAGTATATTGACCTTAACTTTGCACGTTCATTTCACAAGATCAGCAGAAGCGACAGAAGAGAGTTTATGATGACCAAATTCGGCCCCCCAGTGAACAGGTCTATGACCGAGTTGGATCGCACCTTCTTCACCAAGACCATCCCGTTGATAGTGGCATATTTTCCTGAACCACGGTTCCTCGGGCAATTTGTCAAGGTATGCAAGAAGGATATCTTGAACTTGCCCTCCATAAAACACATAGTTCATATCACCCCGGAAAAGAAGGGAGTTATTCTCAGAGAAGACATCGAATCATGCGACCAAGCTAAAGAGAAGTTGTCTCCATTGGCCAACGAGAAGATAAAGGAATTCGGCATTGTTTTAGAACCTTACGATTTGAAATTGGATTATGACTTCTGGAAGGCTGATGACATTTTAAGGTCAGTGTTGCCAAAGGAACTAGAGCACGATATCCCCACTGGATTTGCGCAGGCTGGTCATGTAGCTCACTTAAACCTTAGGGACGAATTTAAGCAATTTGGAAGCTTAATTGGCCAGGTTATCATAGATAAAAACTCTAAAGTAGAAACTGTTGTAGATAAAGTAGACACTATTGACACCAAATTCCGAACTTTCAAGATGAATGTGTTGGCTGGAAGAGATGACTTGGTGGTGGAGCAAAGTGAGAGCGGTTGCAAATTTAAGTTTGACTTTAGTAAAGTGTACTGGAACTCTCGTTTGAACTCTGAACACGAAAGGTTAATAAATCAGTTTCAACCTAGGGAAGTAGTTGGTGACGTATTTGCAGGGGTTGGCCCTTTTGCTGTCCCAGCTGGAAAGAAAAATGTGTTGGTGTTGGCCAATGATTTAAACCCAGAGTCATACAAGTACCTCAATGAGAACATTGTGTTAAATAAGGTTGGTGACTTTGTCAAATCTTTTCACTTGGACGGTAGAGAATTTATCAGAAATTCTCCTGAATTGTTGCTTGATTGGGCTAATACTTCCAAAACTGTGGAGAAGAGGAAATTGGTCAAAAGAAGAAAGGTTGAGCCAAGTTCTAACGCTAGCACTCCAGTAGAAAGAGAGTATGAAGTAACTAAAGTTGAAATCCCAAAATACTTCTCCAACTATGTGATGAATTTACCAGATACAGCATTGACATTCCTTGATGAATTTATTGGCTTGTACAGTAGAAATCCAAAAGTGAAGGATCTCATCAAATCGTTGCCTGAATTCAAGTTACCTATTATCAACTGCCATTGCTTTGAGAAGTTTTCTCCAGAGGAGTCTCCTGAACCATCAATGGAAGAATTGCATAAAAGGGTGCACGCTAGGATTGTCAAATTGATTCAATTTGAAATCCCATTCGAAAGTTGTAAGTTCCATTTGGTGAGGAAAGTAGCTCCAACAAAGCCGATGTTCTGTGTATCTTTTGAGTTACCTGAACAAGTAGCTTTCAGAGAAAACTAAGACAATTATTTATAAAGTAGAGACACAAACATTTCTTAAAAGTGGGACTAGGGTTCACAAATGTATATACTTGAAATGGAATTACAAATCACAAATACAAATACAAAAGTTTATGTAACCACAAGAGAATACCTGAACCATGAAATAATGTACATTCTATCTGTATGCTTCTACAATGTCACTAGAAGTATTTCCAGTTCGGGATGTTTATAATTATACAGAGTTGACCAGAAGTTACATGGGAATTTTCTATTCCGACAGGTTTGCCAAGTTCTTGAATACGACTCAGACAGGACATGCACATTCTTCTTCTGGGATGCAATTTTCCATATTGGTGAAGTCAATATTCACATCGCTTTGCCTATGTTCGCTACAGTTAACACTATTTTGTTTCTTCAGGCCCATTTTCAAGTCTCTTTATCAGCCAAGATGCTACTGTGTTCCTAACGATGAGAGAATGGACTTGCTCCCAAGTGGATTCCTCTCGTGGGTAATTCCTACAATGAAGCATAATATTAACTACTATTTGTCGTTGGGGCTAGATGCTTACTTTTTGGTAAGGTTCATTCATATCCTACTCTTATACTTCATATGCGTTGGCTCAATGAATATTTTAATTCTAATTCCGTTAAACTGGAGCGGCAGTTCTAGTAAAAATCCATCGCAAACTGGGTTAGATAAGTTAAGTCTCTCTAACATTTCACCAAGCAAAATTGAGAGGTTAAATATACATTTTTTGATGTCGATATTCACCATAGGTTTATTTCACTGGTTGATAGTGTATGAGCTTCAAAGCTTTGTCAAAATCCGTCATTCTAGACTACTACTGGATTTTCATAAATCCAAGATTTCCACAAACACAATACTAATAAAGAATGTTCCTGAGCACTTGAGAAACTATGAAGCTCTAAGGGACCTTTTCCAGTTAGCATTGCCTGGATGTATAAGGAACATATGGTTTCTCTATGAGTTTAGTCACATAAATGATGAGGTACAGGACCTCGCTGATACCCTACAGATACTAGAGTTGGAAGAAATTTTGCAGCTATCGAAAATGTTGCAAAATAAAGATGGTTCTTACCAAAAGCAAACCCAGAAGGTGAATGAGATCATGTTTCACCCACCAATTCAGTTGAATCCTTTCGTAATACCGGTTATTGATCGACGAGTTCGAATAAAATTACCCGGTTGGTTTAGGTACTTGTGCCTTTCTCCAAAAGTTTCACAGAGGCAGTGGTGCATAGATTCCTTTGGTATGAAACTTCAAGCTATTGACATGTGGAAGCAAGCCTTAGTGGACGATAAAATTAAGAAGCATAATAGAGTATTTATTCAATTTAACTCTCAAAGGGAAGCTTGTATAGCACATCAATGCTTATTATCCCAGTATCAGGGTAACTTTGACAAAAGCATCATGGAAACTAATCCCAAGGATGTGATCTGGAGCAATGTAGTAAGAGAAAACTCAATTGGGTGTCTCATTGAAAGGTATTTTGTGACTATACTCCTTATATGTTTGATAATCTTATACGTCATACCTGTATCGTTCATTGGGCTATTTTCACATTTACCTTGGCTAATTCAAATATTACCATTTCTTAAATGGATGTATGCCTTGCCGGAAAACATTCGAGAAACCATTCTCAGTCTACTCCCATCCATTCTCCTTTCACTACTCACGGAGCTTGTACTAGGAGTCTTCAAATTTCTCATCTACTTCAAAGGAAAACCAACCCAAAGCGAACTTGAACTTGATTTACAAATTTGGTACTTTGCATTCTTGTTTGTACAGCAATTTCTTGTGGTTACTATTCTGACCAGTGTGACTGTTGTATTCAAACAGTTGATAGATCAGCCTACTTCCATTCCAGTTTTACTTGCAACGAATTTGCCGAAGGCAGCTACCTTCTTCTTCCTGTATATTTCAGTCAAAGCACTTACTTTCTGTGGCAATAGCTTTCTCAGGATTGATCAATTGATCCTTAGGTATACAAAGCACAAGTTACAAGACAAAACTCCAAGACAGATTTTCACTAGACTAACCTCACTTTTGAAAGTAAGATGGGGATCTGTCTATCCAGTTTATTCGGTTTATGGATCGATTGGGTTGGCTTACTGTATTATATCACCATTGATAAGCGTATTCATTGTATTCTTTTTGAGCTTAAGTTTACTTTATTACAAGTATGCGCTCAGATATATATATAGCCATGTGAATAACTCAGAGACAAATGGTCGATTGTACCCAATAGCATTGCTACACTTGTTCTCTGGGGTTTATTGCTTGGAATGTTGCATGATTGGAACGCTCTTCTTACTGAGAAATGACAATGGTAGATGTCCTTTAAAATTGCAGGGATGGATAATGCTGCTAATCTTACTTACTACAATTTGCTTTCATATAACCTTATACGGACGATACTATTATTACTTTTCAAATTTACCAATTTTAGAAGATAAATCCACATCTCAAGAAAGCCAAATTCACAGAAGGCATGCACGAGTGGATGAATGTGATAGTACATCAGTCGACGAGTACTATCTGAATTTAAAGTTGCTTATGTTGCATCCATCGTACAGCTATGAACCTCCAAGAATATGGTTACCTGATGATGGCCAAGGACTCAGTAGTGCTCAAATTAATCAACTAGAAAATGAGGCTGTTGGATTGAGCGGAGGTACCAACAAAGGAGCTAAAATAAAACTAGTAGGAAGAGGGTGGAGCACAAAGATATCAATTTCAGAAGCCCCACCTGACTTCAAATAGTATTAGTCATACTTATCTAACCTCTCCTTAATTTTCAATCCTTTCATGAATAATTTCCAGGCCCTCAATGCACGTAGATTTCTAGCATCAAACTCTTTTCTATTCTGTTTCATTATACTTGAGAACCAGAGTCTCTTTGCACACACTTCAAATTCTTTACACACTAAGATACCATTAAATTGAGGAATTGCAAATCCGGGTCTTATAGTAAAGTTAAATCCAGTAACTACTGGCACATAATCAAAGTCAATTTGATCAAGTTTTTTGCAAACTTCAAATATTTCCCGTATCTTAGATAATTTCAACCAACTGCAATCCTTCGGTAGCATCCAAGGTCGAAATATTTCCAAGTTGCCGTATCTATTTCTCGGGAGCCTTTTAATTCCGTTCGAATCCATGGTGACTTCTAATGGAATGTACACACACGTTTGCATGTAGCTAAATAGTTTAACATCATTTTCACTACTTTGGCCACTTAATTCATTTAAATTGTATCGTCTTCTCTTTAGTAAAGTCCTAGGTCTTTGAAATTTTGTTGTCCTAATTGGAGAGTTTCTTTCACTTGCTAGTATGGATCTTCCAAGTAATTTCCATTGTTGTTCTGATTTTCCAGCAATTATACAACTTTTGAAATATACTGGTTCCTTCTTACCTCTATTTTCTATATTTATGAAGCCTAAGGGTTTAACTGATGCCGGAATTGTTTCATTGTATCGCAATGCAGAAGGAGTTACAACATTGGGGCTTTTCCTCATTGCAGAGTATGTAGTTGGAATGGTGCAATTCAATATTGAAATCTTTTCTAGTGCCTCCAATTCTAATGGGTTTATCCCCTTGGTATTACCCTTGTTAAGAATTCTTAGTACAGTGTGAAAGAGTAAAGCTGACCTACCACTTAGCGTTCTTAGATCTAGTTTCTTGAACCACCTATGGGCTACATCTGGCATGTATCTCGCACTTGTTTCGAAGATAGTGTTGAATTCTGTCAATGTAACCACATAGTGCATAGTCATTTTATTGAGTGAATTGACTATTGGAAAAAAGTGAGGAGTATAGAATTGATCCAAATCAAGTTTACCTGAATCATCGTGCTCTCTGTATCGCTTTAGTTTCAAGAACCGTTTCTCCTCGTCATGAAAACAGATATTCTCGATAACAAAGATTTCATCGTTATTGATCGGATTGACAACTTCTGTCCAATAGTATGGATAAAGAAGATCATTATCCTTAATCCTACTCAACCTTTCAAGGTCTACCTTAGGTTGTGTGCACTTGGGGTTATTTGTGACTGGCAAAAGTGGTAGTGAAAACACCAATCTAGCCTCAAATCCTAGTATCCTTAGTATACAAGTAAACAACTGCGCTCCCGTGTCTCTATTATGCTGGAGTTTACCTGCAACTGATGCAAATGCCTTTAAATTGCCAATAGGTTTACTACAAGGTGGATAATGTTCTTCGTAGTCCAGCTCGAGTTTGTCGACAGGAATGTAACCTAGAGCCCGGATCCCATTGCAATCGACTCGAAAATTGAGTCTGAACCACTTTATAGCGTACTTGAGGACATAGATCAAGTCGTTCTCCAAATTACCGCCCCTGGCGGGCATCGATACAGCCTTCCAGAACGACTTAGCGCTCTTCAACAACTTTTTGGGAAGTATCTTCCGAAGTTTTTTCTGTACGACAGAGTGGTTGATCCACTTGTTTCTCAAGTAACCATGCAACAAGTACGACACAATCCCTAGCTGGTGCACTGCAACTTTCTTTTTCCTGCTCTCTATACTCTCGGCGCGTCTGCGGGCCTTCTCATCCTGTTGAGGCTGGTTTAGCGTAACTGTGAAGGAATCCTCCGCACGCTCTAGTGGAACATCTTCCCACTCGCTAACCGAATCCGAGTCCGAGCCTGAGCAACCACTTTCTGGACTAAATTCAAAATTTCTCTTTAAACCCGAACCACTACCATAAGGCGCCGAAGCTTCCAATTGACCATCTGGTAGCTCTAGCTCTACCTCTAACTTCGACTCAGAATCTGATCCTGCGTACGACTCCGAATCTGAACTTGACGATACATAGAGTTTCAAATCCATTCAAGTACCGGACAACGCCTAAAGACTGTGGAGCACTGTGAATTTTTTGGGCACTCTCTTTTTTTGAATGGCCTACAGTTCTCATAGTGATTGCTTACATAAGCTACTCATGGATGATGTTACTGATGGTATCCCATTCCACCAACAGAGCATACTGTGAGTTGCTGGGGAGTGTGGTGTCATGGCCGTACGCAACTAGAGTGTCCAACTTTCCCTCTGGAATGTAGTTGTTTACGGTCTTGAACCCCTGTGGGGTCTCTGGGGCTGCGACCATGCTCTCCAGCTTGTTGACTAGATAGGCAGTAGAGTTGGCAGGCAATTCGATTGGCTGACCTACGAGTTTGAGGCCCCTAAAGAACGCGATGCTGTTGCCCGAAGCAGTTTCGGTAGACTTGGAAGGAGAGAAGTACTCATTAGTGTTTGCATCTCCGGTGTATTGGATGTGCACTGGGACCAAATTTGCAGTCATTTGCTGGAGATGGGGGGAATCTTTGTTGATTTCAATGGACATTGTAGGAATATGTAAACTTGCAGATACTGAGAGGATGCTATAAAGTAAGCCAAGCGTCTGTTATAAGTTATGGCGCTACTAGGGTGTGATAGTATAAAGATCAATGGCAGAGCGATAGTTCTCCGGTGGTGGATATTTTTTGTCCTGTTGACATTTTACGTGTGAGATGCATTGACGCGTGGACACCAGAAAAAACTCAGGTTGGTCGGAACTGAGATCGAGGTTCTTGCTCGGAACTGAGATCGAGAAGGGCCACCTACATGTGCAGGGTGAGTCGAACGGTTTTTTGCGCGGGAAATTCCGTTGTTGATCCCGCACCATATCGCCGTTTGTAGCTAGGCCCCAGAGGTTGCGTACCGAGCTCCGCAGCAGAACTGCAAGCTGGTACACTAGAGGAATGTATAAGTCTTCACAGCATCTTTTGGGTAGCTCAGTTTCGTAATACATGATCTCCTCTAGACTATTGGGGACCGTATTTCCCCCCGTAAGCTGCTTTTCACCGTCCTCTTCCCTCTCTATTGACCTTCCTGTCCCCCTGCACCTTATCAGCTGCAGCGCGGAATTATGGGCATCTCAGCGGAGCAATACCGAGTCATTTCAGTTTAATTACTAACGCATTGGCCAAGACAAGATCGAAATTTAAAGTGCCAGTTTATTTAAGACGGTAGTACATTTCTCAGTTAAGAAGTTGTTCCTCTGGTATACATCTACATATACATATATATATATATCCCTGTAGCGCATATAGTACATAGTAATGACAAACTCCAATCCCCTCAAGACCGTGGACATTTCTACGTTAGATAAAGCCACTGCAAGCGAGCTTCTTGAAGCTGCAACAACGCAGGGATTTCTCTTCGTAGAGGGCCATGATTTCACCCAACAGGAGGTAGACGACCTTTTCCAGCTTTCTAAGGAATTCTTTGAGTTACCTAAGGAGTATAAAGAAAAATACCCTATAGATAAGAGTAACCATGGCTACAGTAAGATGGGGGAAGAAGTATTGGATCCTTCTGATAAAAGTCAAAAGGGCGGAGACCCAAAAGAAGCCATGAACTTTTGTTGCATGAATTTTGAAACCGGGTTATCATCTAAGCAGGTCCCAGACTGGTTTTTTGAGGATCCCGAAAGAATAGAGAGAGTCAAAGTAGCCAGTAAGAAACTTTATAGATTATCTGTAGACTTGTTAAAGCTTCTAGCCATTGGTTTAGAAATTGAAGATAGCGACGAAAGTAAAGGTGAAGATTGGTTCTCTTCAAGATACCACGCTACCAAGGAATCTGGTACTACGTTCAGATTCTTACACTATCCTGGCCAAAAGTCCTTAAGTCCTGAGGCAGTTATCCGTGCTGGTGCGCACACCGATTATGGGTCGATGACTTTGTTGTTTCAGCAAGAGAATCAGGAAGGTTTGGAAATATACTCGCCCGTGGCCAAGGCATGGCAAGCAGTGCCATTTATACCATCTTCCAAGGGTGAAGGAAGGGCCCCACCAATTGTTGTGAACATTGCAGATCAATTGAGTTTCTGGACCGCTGGGATCCTCAAGTCCACCATTCACAGGGTGAAATTCCCTCCAAAGGTGCAAGAAACGGGACAAGACCGTTACTCGATTGTTTTCTTCAGCCATCCTAACGATGAAACAAAGTTGGAACCAGTTCCAAGTGCCATGGTGCAGAAGGTCAGGGGTAGAGGGGCAAACAAGGACGGCGCGCAGGTCATAACTGCGAAGGAGCATTTAGACAAGAGGTTGGCTGCTACATATGGTTGGTACTAAATAAGAATTATTAGAAACGAAAAATACAGTGTTTGATATTTCATCATTTGAACATAGACAGTAGCCATACAATACTACGACTGGAACTTACAAATATCTCTTTCTTCTATCTACTAGTATCGACGACGTGCTGGAATCCTGGCCTACGCCAATAAATACAGTTCATTCATCCAGTTCATTCTCTCCTCCATTTCATTTCGTTCATCCATTAAGTCACTACCCTAGGGTACTCTGCCCCTGCCCTTGGCCCTCTATGTGCTTTTCGGTGTCCCCCAGCCTAATGCAGTAATTGTATGCGGATGATTTGTTCCTTCACAGATCATTTCTTCCACGCATCAAGCATACGCGGAAAGCGCTAAATCGAGTGGCTCGTTATCATGCTCGAATTTCGGGGGGGATGTATTTCTTCTTCTACGGGAAGGATTCGAGATCTATTACATAGGATACATATATACTAGCAGACTTGAAGTGTACGTGTTATTATTATGTCGGAATTGAATTCCCCAGAAGGATATCCAAATCTGCCGGGCTCGAAGCCTTCTAGCAAGGCCACCCATTTAACTGCTAGACAGCTTCACATCGACGCGCAGATCACCGAGAATGCCGAGGACATCGTGCAAATAATCAATGATAGCGAAACCAGGAACTTCCAGTTGGGTGTGATTCTCTTGGTGGTGGCCATAGGCTCATGGATTGTTGGTTTGGAATTGGTCAATTCGGTTTTGAAGGGCGATGAGTACAGAAAGCCGTTCATGTTCGCATGGTACACAGGCTCGTGCTTCTCGTTGAACTTGACCCCCGACCTTTATGGGTTTATTAAAAGTAAAATCGTAGGCACTACCAGTGGATCTGGTAGTGATGTAGCACAGGTTTCGGAGACAGACCCGTTGCTTCTGGACGCTGCTGCTGCCTCCCCACGCTCGTTGACTTCGTCCGAGAAGATGTCGCTCGATGAGGGCCCCACTGAGTTGAGCCGCCAGGAAGTTGCAGTGCTAGCCATTGAGATATCTATCATCTATTTTGCCTACAACATATTCGTAATGGAAGCGTTGCAGTATACATCAGCGTCGAACCAGACTGTTTTGGGCTCCACGACGTCGATTTTCACCCTCTTCATTGGCCACTACTTGAAGATTGATAAGTTCACTGCCAAGAAGTTGATCTGTATCTTCATCAGTTTGGCTGGGGTTATCTTCATCAATTGGAGTGAATCTGGGAAGGAGAGTGACGGAGGTTCCAAATTTGAACCAAGCAACCCGATTTTGGGTAATTTCTTGGCAATCTTAGGAGCCTTGATGTATGCCCTCTACCTTATTATCATGAAAATTAAATGTGGGACTGGCAAGAAGACGACCAACGAAAGGAAGTTGTTCGGCTGGATTGGCGTCTGCCAGTTCTTCTTGGGGATTCCAGTCTTGATCTATGTTCATTACAAAGGAATTGAGGAGTTTGAGTTCCCACCACCTTCGAATGCGATTTTGTTTCTGGTCGGTGTCAATGGTGTGCTCTCGTTCATCTCTGATTATGCCACCATTTTGGCCATGTTGCTCACGAGTCCTCTCGTTACTTCGTTGTCCTTGACTTCAGCAATCCCAATTACCATTTTTATTGACTTTGTAGTTGCCCGCTTCACTGGGGGGAAAGGTAATGGCGGTGACACTGAAAGCAACTTCATATACTTCTTGGGAATTATAAGCATTTTGGTCTCTGTCATTTTGATTAACGTGAATCTCACCACGGAGAATGATTTGATTAACGAATTCATAGAAGAGGCTTTAGAAGAGGCTATAAGGGAAGACGAAGTGCTTTCTCCTGTCCTCTCCCCGTTGTTATCTCCAAAATCTCCTTACACAGCTAACTCTCCTTTCCTAGCTGCTGGCATTAGTGGTAGCATTGAGGCCAACCAACCAGTTGGAGTCAATTTCCAGACGATTATGAAGTCTTTCTCCCCCAAGCCTAAATCAGCACCAGTTCCTCAACAACCGGTATCAGGATTTCTGTTACCACAAAGTCAAATCGAAGGTTTCAATTCAATCAATGCAGCAACAGACGTAGCAGTTCCAGATGGAAAATTATTGGTCTACGGAGGTGAGAACCATCACTACCACGTCAAGAACTTGTACCCGAACCAGAGCTCCAATCGATCGGATTCAACTAACGACAATACTTCATATTAGCATTCATCAGCATTTAGAATAGATATTTATATACAGACTACATCAAACTAATACCGTAATACTACATCGGATCAGCTTTCTATCAACAGCATTGGGTCATATAACTCTCTATTTCCATAAATATATTTCTATTATTTACATTCTATACTTGAAGTGTGTCTAGTCTCTGTTAATACTTGTGTGTAACACATGTTCCCTCATAAAAAGAGAACATAAGAACCCTATAGTTACAGTAGCAGCTGTGAAAGCGAACGCTCCCTTACATCCATCGTTGTATGAGTCCCTAATGGCCTGCTGGACCAATTTTGGTGCAACATGCGAGTATTGGGCGTTTTCTAATGCCTTGGAAATGATCTCCTTGGCTTCATTTGGATCACTCACGATTTGATAAATCCTAGAAGTCAACGTAGACTTCAAGATGCTCTGGAATATGGCACTGGCAATGGAAACTCCCAAGGTTGATCCAGTTGCTCTAAATGTATACTGGATTGATGTAGTGCTTGCCTGGTACTTGGCTGGAACAGCTGCAATCAAAGACAACAAGGTTATAGTCAAAATTGAAGAGTATCCCAATCCCGGTGGGATTGTCATAGTGAATTGGTCCAACAAGGAGATTGAGGGAGTAATGGTGTAAATTCTAAAAACACCGTAGAGAGATACGAAACCAGAAAGAACCGCTAGCTTGTAGTAACGACCGGTAGTTTTCATGTAAATACCAGCACCCACAGATCCGAACAGGACCCCAAAGAAGTTTGGAATCAATCTAAGGCCATTCTGAGTAGCTGTGAACCCCATAACCGACGTGTAGTAGATTGGGATGTAGAACAAGTACGTGAAAACCCCCATAGTATAGAACCAATTGGTCAACGAAGACGACAAAACTGTTCTGTCAGCCATCAACTCTAGAGGAAGAACAGGCTCTGGAGAAACGTACAACTCCACATAGACGAATCCACCCAACAAGGCAAACAGGACAGCGCACAAAATGACGAATGTAGCCAGCAGGTAGGCAATTTCGTTCCCACCAAAGGAGGCAGCTGCCATAATCCCCATCAAGGAAGAAACCAACAAACTGGAGCCCAAGAAATCAACTCTCTTCAATTTTGACTTAATGTCAACGCCCTGAGCACCCAAACCGGGCGATCCTTCAGGCAAATTCAAGTTGAGGTAGATGGCAACCCCGACTATAACAGCAAGAGGAACCTGCAAGAGAAAGACGTTCTTCCAGCCAAACTTATCAGCGACAAACCCACCCAAGACACCACCGGAGGCAGCCCCTAAGCCAAAGCACACGTTAGCCAATCCCTGGTACAAACCCCTGGATCTCAAGGGAACTATGTCACTCATTGTGATGGTCCCCAAGGAAGTCAACCCCCCACCACCGATACCAGTGATAAATCTTCCAACAATGATCATAATTAGCGAGTCGGTGGAGCAAATGAAACATCCTATAGCAAAGGAGAACGAGCACAACAACAAGAGGGCCTTCCTCCCGAATATATCTGACAACTTCCCAAACAACGGCTGGAAGGCAGAGCATGACAAAAGGTATGCCGTTGCAATCCACGAGATGCTGGAGATAGCGTTCAAATCCGAGGCAATCTCGGTCAAGAGCGTCGTCACAACGGTAGTATCTAAAGCTGCCAAGTACGCTGCCATAAACAAACTAGAAACAACAATGTATACCTGAGACTTGGGCATGGCAAAGTCTTTGTCATCATCAGCGTCAGCGCCAGAAACGTCGTCTGGATTTGTGGCTCCATAACTCGAAGATTCATGGCCAATAAGACTCTGTTCTTCAGCCGCCAATTCCCCAGCTACTACACCTGGCGTTCCTGTAGAGGCATCGTTAAGTGTATTGGGATGTAAATGACCAGTCATGTCGTGGAGAGTAGTAGTAATTTCTTGACAAGGTAGCTGTGATCAATTTGATTAAGACTGGCTCTGAAATTTTTGACGCAACTGACAGGAAAAAAGCGCATTTATATGCCATTTGAGCCACATCCGGTTGTGACATGGGTACATTTTTTCTTATCGCTATCGGAATTGTCATAATTCCGCCTAAGTGATTCATCAAGACCCGACAAAAATGCAACAGGGCCAATCTCTTTAATCTGGGGTAGAGGAGCCAGGACTTTCGATACTCATGATAATTGGACCGAACTGGCGTATACGTGAGAGTATTGGGATCTTCGACCTCGGGGTAGAGTGCTACCCTACATATACGCAAATCCAACCGTTTTTTAAAGTGACATTAAAAAATATCTGACAAAAATATCCGACAAAAAATAACTGAAAAAAAATGATTCCGCCCAGGATCGAACTGGGGACGTTCTGCGTGTTAAGCAGATGCCATAACCAACTAGACCACGCAACCACTGTTGAGGAAATCAGATTTTCGCTGGACTAGCCCCACTCAAAAGCCATAAACCCGTGCACCCAAATTCTGATCAAGATCTTTGACTGGGCAAGATCGATGTGTAGAAGTTCTATTGGAGTGGTATCTGGTACTTTCGAAGAAGGCTTTGGTAAGCAGCTGGCATAAGCAATCAGACTTGACAACGACTGCTGCGATGTGCTCTTTTCACTAGGCTGGGCCCTCTCAATTATGAGCAACCTTTCACCTAGGAAAGCAGCTCCTGGACAAGATCATCGAATACAGATCACTTACTTGCGGGATAGCACGCTCTTTTAGCATCCATTCAAGCATGGTCCTATATATCTTATCAGTTTTCGAACCTGTGCATTGCGTTAGTGCTAACTTACTCACAGCTAATTTTAAGTAGCGCATGCTTGTTTGGCTTCATCTCTATAAATATGAACTACTGCGAAAATTGAACAAATGAATGTAAATGATACCCTTTTCTATCACCGATTTCATCAAAAAATATCCACGGCACATTCCCAAGTTGAATCTGAACCAGATTGAAAAAAGTCTAAATAGAGCAAGGAGCTCAGGTATGAATTCTGGGGTAGGCATACAATTTCCTCGGATACCAACTGGCTATTTTGACCATACTGGCTTTTTTGGGATATTCTACGATTTCGAGATTTTCACGTGTGAGGAAAAGAGGAATCGGTGCATGGCCCACTACAACACACAATACAATGCCTTTGTTGATAGAATAATGCGGTAGAGAACTTGCGCTTAGCCTAGCTAAACTCTAAACTAGCATTTTTAGCAATCGCAATCGGCAGTGGCCCCGAGCTACTCTATCCCCATTCGCAGTGTACGTCTGCACCAGTAGCCCGCGATTGCAGCCCGCGCTAGCAGCCCGCACCAGCAGCCCCAGGAGCCCAGCAGCCCCAGCAGCCCCAGCATCAGTATTATTTCCTATTTCAGAACCAGAAAACAATGTGCAGCAATATACTTCAGCCTACATGGTGGACAACTAACTGTAAACGTATAAAAGCGGGTATATTAAAAAGCGCTTACATGCCTACCACTCCAAAATCACAGCTCTACTTCCACGTACCCTCATGCTGCACATCACCCTCCCACTCTACTTCCCCCTCTCAACGTCCCACCTTTGATGCATTTTCACATTCTCGAAGTCTATTCCACACATTCCCAACTTTTTCTTTTCCGGAACAATTGGCATCGCTTCTGGCGCTCTCTCCATCTTGAGAAGTCCCCTCACTATTGCACTTGTAATTGATCACCGCACACACAAACAAACACTGTCAATTAAGCGGTGGTGAATTATTTATTTAACCATGTGGTAGTGGACTTGAATTTTCTTAGGCCAACATAAAAAGAAACGTCCTCCTAACCCAAATCAGTAGCTGAGCAAATAAATTGCATAACTGGACTGACTGAGGACACGCAGAAGCACTGTATTTCGTATATTTCAGCTCGATACTCTCTTTTTTCCTTTCCCCATACCTTTGGAAACAGTACAGCAACACATCTGAAACACTTGGACTCGCTAATCTTTGTAAATATCTGATTGTCCGAGATAGTGCATAGGAAGAAAGTCACACAACGCGCCAGGAAACACACTCACTGGTAATCGCTGAACAACTAACTCACAGACACACAGAGTAGTGACCGAAGACGTGTACAGCAGTTACGAAACAAAAAACAACAAATTTTCTGTAGCACTCAATTTTGATTTGGAGCATAATACATTATGGAAACGTTGGAAGTCCATTCAAAGGACTTTTTGGTCAAGTGGATCCATGCCCCAGACAACTCTGTCATTGACTGGCAGGCTAAACCTTTAAAGAAGTCCATCAACTTCGCTATCTACAAAAAGAATGAAACCTCAGTTTCAGAAACAATGCCGCCTGCGCCGAAATTTCTCTCCGAGGCCAGCGATCTGAGCAATGGAGTCGACCCGTTGTCGAACGGCTCCTCTCAAAACAGAGGTGAAACTGTAAATGGAAGTGGCAATGGAAGCTCCAATTCTAAAGCACACAACCCCAACTCCGGCTCGAGCTCCGGGCCCAATGCATCGTTAACTCCAAATGTAAACGCCAGCAATTCAGCATCAGATAGAGAAAGACGGAAATCGGTGACTGCTGGAAATAGCAGACTCAGATCATCATCTGTGGTGTCTGTGAACGAATTTTCGGAGTCTGTGTCGAGCATATATAAGACTCTCTCGAGATCTAACACGAAAACCAGCTCATTTAACTCGAACTTGACCAATTCAGACTTGACCTTGGTGAAAGATTACAAGAAGTTGGTCAGTGGAGAATTGGTTCATGGTAAATTTGAGATAAAACAAGGTGGAGTCTATGCATTTATCTTCGACAATTCCTTTTCCAAGACAATTGGTAAGAAGATCCTTTTCAGTACGAAAATTATTAACTCTGGGAAAGGAATTGGCACATACTCTGAAAATAGTATACGTTCAATCGATCCAAAGAGCCGAGTTACAAATTCAAACTCCAACTCTACCACCAGTATGCTGTCTGTTGTTACAGCCGCATCCTCTAGATCGACCTCTTCACCTGTGCCGGTTCCTCCAACTAGCCAGGGAACTAACGACTTAAGGCAGAATTCTTTTTCTGCCAATTCTAAAGGTAGGGGTCAACCTCAGGGCTCTTCAAGAGACTTGCAGTCGATTTTGAGACCTAAAAATGGAGAATTACTACAAGGTACTCTCATGAAGAGAAGGAGAAAGAAGTTGCAAGGCTTTACAAAGAGGTTCTTCGTTCTCAATTTTAAATATGGAACATTATCATATTTTAAGATTAACGATAACAAATTAAGAGGTCAAATGCCAATTAAGCATTCCATCGTGAGTGCTAACTCCAAAAATAGAGAAATTATTATCGATTCTGGTATGGAAGCGTGGGATTTGAAGGCAGCGAACTCTGAAGTATTCAAGTCTTGGGTTGATGCCTTTAATCAGATCAAAAAATCTCATTTCGATGCGAAACCATTGTCAGCAACTGACCATCGTAAGGACAAATCACTTTCACCGTCAGCATCAAACAATTTGGAAGTCAGCAGTAGATTGCAAAGAATTTCTGCAAAACTTTCAGGATTGGAAGTGGATTCTCAACAGTCTAAGTTACTTTTAAGCGAGATAAAGGCAGATATCGGCGATATAATTGGCATTTTAAACCTGACAGAAAATGAGGTCGATACTGATGAAGATGACTCATTTTCAGTTAAATCTGATAATGACTTCTACGATGCAAAGGAGTATTTAGACGCAATCAACTCTGGTGTTGTATTTCTAAACGACCCTGTTTCGACAACAAGTAGTGAAGATGGTAAAAGAAAAATATCGAGTAAATCCGTATTAGCAATGGGTCTTCCAGATGGTTCAATTGGAACTGCATCTAGATTGCAAAGTAAGCAATCTGACGAAGATGACGAATCTGAAGCAGAGGTCGAGATTCTGAGCTCTTCTGAAGACGAAGAGCTGGAAATTGAAGTAACTGTTGTTAAAACCATCTCTATAGTGGATGATTATGACAAGAGCTTGTATCCATTACCTTTTGAACCGATCAAAAGAGAGTGGGATATCCCAGAGTGTACCCATTCACCACCATCTATGTTATCATTTTTAAGAAAGAATGTAGGAAAAGATTTATCTCAAGTTGCTATGCCAGTTACTTTGAATGAGCCTATCTCCACATTAGAAAAGTACTCGGAGATGATGGAATACTGTCAAATGATCGATAATGCAATCCAGGCAAACTGCGATGCATCTACAGGTGAAAGAATATTGAGGATAGCTGCCTTTGCTATTTCATCTTTATCGTCTATGAGGGCAAAGGAAAGAAATATAAGAAAACCATTCACACCATTGCTTGGTGAAACTTACGAATTAGTTAGAGAAGATTTCGGATTGAGAATGATTACTGAAAAGGTAAGCCATAGACCTCCAGTCTATGCAATTTTTGCTGAGACTAAGGATTGGGACTTTACTTTCTGTCCTTCACCAGAACAAAAGTTCTGGGGTAAGAATGCAGAAATTATAACGAGAGGGGTTGCAAAATTGACCATTAAAACAACAGGAGAAGTTTTCCTGTGGTCCCAGCCGCTGACTATGTTGAAAAATATTATTGCGGGTGAGAAGTATGGTGAGCCTAACGGAACGACGACAGTTAAATCGTCATTTGGATACAAAGCAATAGTAGAGTTTGCCAAAGGAGGTATGTTCAGTGGGAGACAGGAAGATCTTACTATAAAGGCATTTTCACAGGACAAGAGTCAGTTACCGTATGAAGTTGAAGGTAAATGGACTGATTCATTGACTTTGAAGACCCATACTACGGAGAGAACTATTTGGTCTGTCGGAGAATTAATGCCAAACCCAGCCAAGAAGTTTGGATTTACGAAATTTGCTGGTACTTTGAATAAGATTACGGAAGTTGAAAAAGGCAAAATTCCCCCAACAGATTCTAGATTGAGGCCCGATTTGCAAGTGTATTTAGAGGGCGATGTGGATGCAGCTGAAGAGCTCAAAGTGAAACTAGAGGAAGATCAGAGAGAAAGAAGAAAGGAAAGCGAGATTTCAGGTACGGAGCATACTCCAGCATTCTTCAAGAAAGTTTCTGAAGATTCAGTCATGGAATGGGAGTATATTAGGGGAGAAAAGAGTTACTGGAATAGGAGAAAGGCCGGTGACTGGGATGATTTACTTAAAATATGGTAAGAGACAACTCTGAATGCTAAATATGTATTTATGTACTTATTCTATAAATTAAGCCAATGAAATAAACAATTCAAAAAAAAGAGATTTGATAAAGGTAGTGGTCTTCTTTAGTATGCAAGCTCGTCTAGCTTTGAGCAAGGAAACTAGCATAGCAGTAACACTCTCTGGTCTTCTTTTAGTATGTATGATTGTAGTACTTTGAAGTTAGTGCCTAGGGTTTAAAGAGAGCGCCCTCATCTCTCTAGTCTTCCTTGCCATGCATACGGCTCATTTATGTGTATGATTGTGCGAAAAAGAAGTATCAAAATAAGCGCCTGGTTAGCTCAATCGGTAGAGCGTTTGACTCTTAATAGAGTGCGATCAAAAGGTTGCGGGTTCGACCCCCGCATCGGGCTTAATTTTTTTGAATCTACTAGTATGCTAGTTATAAGCAAAGCATTCCCTAGTTCTACTCTCATATATGTGGTTTCGTTTATTGTACTATTTAGAGCTTAAGATTGAGTTTCTCTTCTGAGTTACTGCTCGACGGAATGTCAAAGAACTCGACACTCTCTGGCTCGGCGAAGCTCACAGAACTTCTGATGGGCCCTCCCATTCCTCCACCTAGTCCACCACTCTGTAGCCCAGGAGGAGAGTTCCTCTTGAATAACATAAACTGAAGCTGTTTCCTTAGACTATTCACTAGGGCTCTTTGTAAATTCAAGTCATCTTTCATCATAAAATTGTCATTGACCAACCCATTAAGTATGCTTTCTCTGTCGCTACGAGCAGTAGTTTCTCTATTCACGAAGGGTAGTATTTTGTCATCTAGCTCGAACTTTAGCCTGTTTAGCTCACAGTTCAAAAATAATAACTTATCTTGGTTCTCTATGCTGGATAATTCCGAGCTGAACCTATTTATCTCTTCCATTGGTTCATGATATCCAAGATTGGTGACCTTGCCCAGTATTATCAGATTTAGTATCTTATTTATCTGTCTGTGCAAAAGAGAATTCTCTTTGGACAAGTCATCGATCTTGTTATTGAGATTTTTCATGTAGGGGAGTAGCTTACTCAACTGACAATTGTTATTCTGCAAATGTATTTCTAAGGAAGTGTCACTGTTACCTACCCAGTCGCAGCCAATCTCATGGGCAGGGCACTTGAGATGGCCCGCTTTCCCACAGTTCTCTTCGTGCTTAGCAAGATTCATCATTGGAATCATATCGTTGAAGCAAAGCTTACATTTGGTATAGTTATATGGACAGGAGCTTTGCAAATGCTTACCTTCTTCAATCTTGGTGATTCTGGCTTGACATAAAGTACACTCGTAGACTTTATGTATGCACTCATACTCTTCTTGGTCCCTATCGCCGTCGCCTACAGTTTTGGATCTCGGTTCTTCTAAGAACCTTCGTTCTACCAACATCTTGCAAATATCTGTCTGCTTCTTGGTTTCTTCACCTTCGTTTTCCTCCTTATCTACACTGTCTACAGTTCTATACCCGTGGCACGCAACGCCGGTGTATCCACAGTCGCTCAAGACATGATGGTCGAGCTCCCATCGACACCCAGTCCATTCGCAACCCCTTTCGTAATTCAAGCAGTAAACCTCCAACTCATCAACCAAATTGGATATTATGAGAGGAGTGGGAAACAATTCGTTGATCTTACTGGAATCCAAGGGCGTCCTGTCCAAAGGGCACGAACCAATGAGCCTTCCAGAGTCCTCTTCTTCATCATCACTGCCATTGGTCCTACTCCTACTAGATCGCTGGTGCTGCACCTTTAAGAATTCATAAATACATTCCTTGCAAAATGTATGTCCACATACGGTAGTAAGGGGTTGTATAAACGGTTGCTGGCAAATTGCACAGCATAGATGATCACTGGATGATTTATATTTCACATTCCTTATGTTCGGTATGTCATCTTGATCCTCGAGATTGAAAGCTATCGAGAAGTTTTTGAGTTCTATCTTAGAGTACAGGCCTACAGGTACCCCTCCATCGACATCCGACATGTTTTGCTCTTATAATGGACGAATAAAGAGCAAAAGAAGGGTACCAAGTTCTTGTGGTCATAACTCCATTCATAAGAACCATACTAGCATATTGGTGAATACACGCCCCTATATGCAAGCTTGCTAAACAGTGGGGTAAGCCCAACGCAATTCACCAGAATTAAACCTTAATTGTAGATCGATCTAAAGCCAAAAAGGCAAAAATGGTGGAGGAATTGGGCCGAGCGGGAAATAACAACCAAGGCATGAAAACTGCGGGATTGTAATTACAGGGTTCTTTAAGATAGCTGTACAACATTGAGTTGGGAAAGGAAAAAAAAATAGGTCGTACCCGGATTCGAACCGGGGTTGTCCGGATCAAAACCGAAAGTGATAACCACTACACTATACAACCAGTAAGCTTGTATGTTTTATTTTGCCGGTTTGCTAAAAGAGAAGGAGTAGTGCTGAATATGCAGTGGACTGAGATCTGTGCCCACTCTTATGTAGAGGAGATACTTCACAATGAGTGTTAAGGCGTCCTAAGGTTACAATGACCCTGAAGAATGATAGATTAGGTGAACAATGTTCAATTGACCAAAGAGTGTAATCGCTCCGCATGGTGGTTCTTCTAGACTGCGTCTCTGGATACTTTTGCTTTTATTTTATTTACTTACACACTCATATTTTTGAAGTATTGTAGCTTAGAGAATCTCTATTCAATTTAGGATCGAACAAGCCCAAATTTAGGTCAAGAGTGACTTAAATCAACGGAATTGCTATACCATCACCTCTAGGATCTGAGCCTGCAGAATAAATCAACTTTCCATCTATACTATTATCTCTAATGATCTGGGATCTTCCAAATAAACCTCTTTTATAGCCTTTGACTAGCGAAACTGTGTGGCCCAATTTCTCTAAGCCTTTAACTACCTCTACATCAATCCCTTCCTCTAGGGCTACTATCGTAACTGGGGTACTAACTGGACCATCGGCACCTCTACCATGGTCCTTTCCCTTGGGGTCTGGAATCAAACAGAATCTAGGTTGATCAATCAGCTGTTGAGGGTTCATTCCAAACACACTTAAATTAAGTACATGTTGCACATGACCAACCGGTTGCATGTAACCACCCATATTCCCAAATGACGCGAATAGTGAGTCGTCTGCCAAATTGGTAATCATCGATGGAATAATAGTGTGGTAGGGTCTCTTTCCTCCTTCTAAAGAGTTTTTAGATCCCTTCACCAAGTTAAAATTAGCTCCTCTGTTCTGCAAGCAAAACCCAAATTCTGGTACAATAATGGCAGATCCAAATCCTTCGTAAACTGAATTAATGAATGAGCACGCATCTCCATTAGAATCAGAGACAGTGAAATACACAGTATCAGACTTATTCAAAGGATTTGGAACACCGTAAGTGATGACATTACCATCTAAAATCTTGTCAGCTTTGAATAGTTTTGATCTCTCGCTCAAGTAGTCCTTATGTAAAAGTTCTTCTAATGGTGCTTTATTGAAATCTGGATCAGAAACATATTCATCTGAATCATAAAATCCCAACTTACAAAGTTCGATAAGGACATGCAAATACTCGACAGAGTTGTGCTTCAAATTGTAAAGGTCAATCTTCTTTTCATTATGAAGCTCTTGAAGCATCCCTAATGCAATCAATGCCACTAGACCTTGACCATTTGGAGCAATTTCCCATACCCTGGTTTTTTCAAAGGCAATTGATATAGGTTCTAAGAATGTAGTCTTGTGATTTTTCAAATCATCCAATGTAAGCTTATGTCCTCTGGCAGAAGTGGTCTTTATGATGGCTTCTGCAACTTCTCCTTCGTAGAAGCCCTTCTTACCATATTTCACAACTTTCTCAAGTGCTTCAGCAAACTTCAAGTTATAAAAGAGGTCACCTTCCTTTGGAGGCTCCCCGTTTTGATTGAGGAAGGCGTTTTCTCCCTTAGCAAAGTCCAAGTTTAAGTTCTGGTTCTTCAATTTTGTGGTACAGCTGAGCCAAATGTTGGCAGATATTTCGTGAACTACAAACCCATTTCTAGCTAAGTCGATTGCAGGTGCAAAGATCTGTTCCAAGGTAACCTTACCGGAACCCCATTTTTCAATTGAGTCAATCCAACCAGCAATAGCTCCGGGAACCGTCACCGAGTAAATCGAGCTCCAGGGAATCCTCAAGGCATCTGGATCATTTAGTTCTTTCAAAACGTCGTCAATTCCAACATTTTGGCCACTTCTGCCTGAACCATTCATTCCATGAACCGTCTTGGACTTCTTCTCATAGAATAAAGCAAAGCAATCACCACCAATACCAGTTGAGGGAGGCTCTAATACGCACAAGCATGCAGATACCGCAACGGCTGCTTCCACACAGTTTCCTCCAAGCTCCAAGATTTTCACTCCTGCGGAAGTAGCCGCTGGCTGAGATGAAGCAACGATCCCTTTAGTAGAATACACTGCAGACCTACGAGAATCGAATTGGAATGGCATTCTGAAATAATTTATTTTTTTATTTTACTTATGACTTTACTATGTATTAGGCAATAAAACCAATCTAAATTAATTGGAGATTAGAGTGTAATCCTAACTTTATCGAGCTATTTATAATCCTGGACCCGGACACTGAGTTAGAATGAGTATGACTCGGAGTTGCCAATAAATATGGGGTAAGTGGAGTTGGACCGTCGATGTTTCGGGATCATAGACGCGGAATTTCAGAGCAAATTTGCCGATACCGATCCGATGTGAAAAATACTGATTTTGAAAACAAGCTACAATTGCTTACTATTAGAGGTGATTGTTTACTATTGGCAGAAGAAGTTGTTAATATAGCTGTAGAAATGTCTGATAGCGATAACGATGATGATGGCGCGTTCGTTGTGAACGTAGATGAGCACTCCAACGGCACTGCTGACAATAATGGTGGAGCAGATGGCAGATCATCAATAAACGCGTTGCCTACTAACGAAGAGCTAAAGGTCGCAAATGCCATAATTAGAAACATTATTTCTAGAGAAGTAAAAGGTCAGCTAATTAAAAGAGACCATTTCAATGAGGTGTATCAGCAATACTCAGATGCCAAAAGAACAAAATTCGATATCATGTTTCAGTTTGTACAGGATATATTGAAGAACGTATATGGCTTGCAATTGGTACATGTTGCAGACAAGGTCATCGCGACGAGTCTGCGAGGCAAAAGGGCGAAAGTGAGCTCAAATAACAGTAAAAAGAGCAGTAACAGTAATAATGACGCTAACAGTGCGAATGGTGCGAAGAATAGCGTGTATAGCAGGACATTTTGCTTGGTAAATACCCTCCCAAGTGAAGCAAGGAACGTTCTTGGAGAGATCTGGCAAGAAGAGGCAAATCAGAAGATACCCAACGGTAGAAATGAAGATGATCAACAATACTTTTTGCCTAAGTACAAGCAAACAGTAACTGCTGGCTCCAACCTGGAACTTATCAAGAGCGGGATCTTACTTTTAGTTGTTAGCGTTATTGTTTTGTCGGAAAATCGTATATCAGAAACTGAATTATTGAAGCAATTGAAGAAATTTGGTCTTTCTGAGAGTGTAATAGAAAAGAATAGCTCTTTGAATATGACCACGGTAGAGTTGCTATCAGAGTTCGTCAAGAGAGATTATTTAGAGAGAGAGGGGCAAGCAAGTGACTTTGTAGACTACACTCTAGGTCGAAGGCTATCCGCAGAATTCGAACCAAAGTCGCTATATGAGTTCATTCTGAATTTATATGGTGAGGGGTTTGACTTGGATGTGCAGGCCAAGACAATGAATAGTATAGAGAGATCATTTGGAGTTCAAATAGAGATACCGAGTGCACCTAGTGAACAACTGCAAGTAGATAGAAGAAGAGAAGGACAGCAAGAGGAGGGCCAAGATGAGGAGGAAGAGGAAGAGGAGGGCCAAGAGGAAGAGGAAGAGGAAGAGGAATAGGCGACAATCTATATAGCTTTCAATTAGCCCAATAGCACGTAAGCTTTAAGAGAAAGCCATGGCGTTTCAGCCAGCGAACACTAGCGATGGTTTCGCACTTTCCTTGTCCCACTAATTTCATCTTTACATTCCACTAAAGCCTGGCGGCAGTTCGGCAAGGTCAGTAGCCACCTGCCCAGGCACACTTCGGTGAGTTTAGCTAGTCAGTGGTAGCACCGGACTTTCTTTTTTGCATAGCAGCGGGGCATATTTTCGCCGTTTTTGGCAAACTTTTGCACCCATGGCGAAAGTGCGACAAGTCCACAGTAGAGACTCATTCTCAACCAAGACTATAACTTACACAATTATGAAGTTGTACATGGTCAATGGTCTCACGCATAAAGATTCCCACGCATCGGTATGTACCGTCGGCCTAATGATTTCGGCCTGATGATATACAACTGTCCTGTGAATATTGAAATCATGTCCGATGTCATAACTCTAAGCAACACGATCTGCGAAATCACAGGACCATCATGAAAAATAAGCCTAAACTGGCTAAAGTGGAGCAAAGAGGGGAGACGCCAGTCTAAAAATCCATTCTCGGGATTGCCATAGAAGAACCACTAACTTAATAAAAGGTATTCAAATCTCATTTGTAGAGTAGTTGCAGCTACACTCTTTCTTTTTTAGTCCGCTTTTCGCTTCCTTCTGATAAGGAATATTCCTCGAGCACCTTCAACGATCGTATAATTTTGATCTCGTACCGCCGAAAGCGGAATTTGCTAGCCTAATCGACTGATTTGAAGTTAGCGTAGAAAAAAAAGGCCACCAGTTTCCTCAGACTGAAAAAAAAAACCAAAGTTTCAAGCGGAATTTCAGCTAGTTTCATTAACTGCCTAGTACCATAGACTTATAAATCCAAGGGCAGTATCAAATAAAAATTTTATTGAACTTCTTTCTTTCTTCACAGAGCAACTCATTTTTTAGTAGAAAAAAAAGACTTATAAATTAATCATGGCATTGGATACTTTGGATTACGCTGTCATGGTTGCGTTGGCAGTCGCAGTGTCGCTATACTTTGGTAAGAGTACCTTCTTCCCATCAAATGAAGGCCTCGACGCAGGTTTTGTTGCAGGGGCAGCCAGTGGGAAAACCAGAAACTTGGTGGAAGCACTTGAAAAAAATAACAAGAAGTGTGTGGTGTTCTTCGGTTCTCAGACTGGTACCGCGGAGGATTATGCGTCTAAGTTGTCCAAGGAGTTGAAGGCGAGATTCGGATTATCAAGTATGAAGTGTGATCTTGCTGATTACGACTTCGACAACTTTAATGAAATCCCGGACGACAAATTGGTGTTTTTCTTGGTGGCCACTTACGGCGAAGGTGAGCCAACAGACAACGCCGTGGAATTCTTTGAATTCTTGGAGAATGGTGCTGATTCCAACTTGCAATCACTCAAATATACCGTTTTCGGGTTGGGTAACTCCACTTACGAATTTTATAACAAAATTGGAAAGGACTTGAATAACAAATTGGAAGAGTTAGGAGGTGAAAGATTTGCTGGTTATGGCGAAGGAGATGATGGTAAGGGTTCAATGGATGAAGATTTCCTTGCATGGAAGGAGGCCGTATTCGAATCTTTGAAGCACAACTTGAACTTTGAGGAGCACGAATTGACCTATGAGCCAGGTTTACAGTTAACGGAGGACTCTTTGATTTCCAAATCCGATGCTGGAGTTTCTGAAGGTGAGCCAAGTTCAGAATACGTAAAGTGGGATCCATCAGTTTCACCTGAGGGGATCACCAAGGGTCCATTTGACCATACTCATCCATATTTGCTGACTATCTCTAAGTCAAAGGAACTTTTTAATAGTAAAAGTAGAAGTTGCGTACATGCAGAATTCGATTTATCTGACTCAAATTTGAGGTACCTGACTGGGGACCATTTGGCTATATGGCCACTGAATTCGAACCAGGCAGTTTCTAAGTTCCTTTCTGCATTTGGTTTGGAAGGCAAGGAAGATTCTGTCTTCAGCTTAAAGTCGTTAGATTCAACCATCACTTTACCGTTTCATTCTCCAATCACCTATGATGGAGCCATAAGAAACCATATGGAAATTACTGGTGCAGTTTCGAGACAATTCCTTCAAGCAATTGCATCCTTTGCACCATCAGAAGATTCCAAAATCAGAGCCCAAAAATTAGCAGGAGACAAGGAATTATTCGCCAAAGAAATTCACTCTCAGAACTTGAATATTGCTGACGCTTTATTGAAGATATCTGATGGTGAAGCATGGACTGGCGTCCCCTTTGAATTTCTCATCGAATCTGTTGCTCATTTGCAGCCAAGATACTACTCTATATCGTCCTCGTCAATGGTTGACAAGCGTTCTATTCATGTCACCGCAGTTGTTGAACTTGAGCAACACGATGACCGTGTTGTTTCTGGTGTAGTAACTAATCTTTTGAAAAATATCGAAGTTTCTCAAAACAAAAAGTCCGAAAAGCAATTAGTAACCTACAATTTAAAGGGACCAAAGGGTAAATATTCTAACTATAAGTTACCAGTTCATGTTAGAAGATCGACTTTCAAATTGCCTAGTAATCCAGCTGTACCAATTATCATGATTGGTCCAGGTACTGGTGTTGCCCCATTTAGAGGATTTGTAAGAGAAAGATGTCAACAGGCTTCCAATACCACTGATAATATAACTATTGGTAAGACCCTCTTGTTCTTCGGTTGCAGAACAAGCGATGAAGATTTCTTGTATAAAGAGGAATGGCCAGAATATTCTCAAAAGTTAGGTTCATCCTTCGAATTGGTTACGGCATTTTCTAGAGAAGACCCAGCCAAGAAGGTCTATGTTCAACATAAATTGTTGACTAAATCTAAGGAAATTAACGAATTATTGGAAAAAGGTGCGTACATTTATGTTTGTGGTGATGCTTCAAAGATGGCTAGAGACGTCCAGCACACCTTGAATCAAATCATTAGTAAAGAGAGAAATCTCCCAGAGGAAAGAGGTGCAGAACTTATCAGAGGATTAAAGGTTCAAAACAGATACCAAGAAGACGTTTGGTAAGGGTAAAATAGCTATATATACAATATAAAATTGGTTTAAAATATTTATAAACAAATTAATTAATAAATAAACATAAAACAGTAAGCTAAACAGCATAAGCAAAGGTAATAACAGTACAAAGTATTCATTTTGGACTGAGTTGCTCTCTCTTCCTGTAAACGATACTCTTGTCATATGTACAGTCCTGCAGGGAACTCAATGAGCAAAACCGAGAAATGGAATGCTCCAGTTAAAAACAAGCTAACCAAAGTCACTCAGTAGCCTCTCAATTATACACTCCACACAATGAAGTTACAAGCATCTAGGAATATAAGTATATTGTCCAAGATACGTAATTCTGTCTCGGGCAAAAAAAACAGCACGGATATATCTGGAGCCGTTGCTACAAACAATTTACCGAGGGCCACAGGCAATGGACCCTTCGCAGAATTACCAAAATTTGAGGCCATTGGACAGCCAAGTTCCTTACTCAATGTGACGTTGCCTGCAAGTTCTAGACTCAACATAAGAAATGGGTCGATCATTGCGATGAACGGGAATTTGAACCATCTAACCACTAGTTTAAAGAACCTCTCAAATTTCTATCCATTAATATACCAAGAAATCAAATCTGTATCTCCTGTGTCAATCTTAATTAGTGGTAGTGGTACTAATTTTTCAATTTTGGACATAGGCAGTAGTAGCGAGAAATGGATCATAGCAAACCTGAAAAATGTCATTGCATGGTCCGGATATGACTTGCAATTGATACCTGAATCGAGAAACTTGGTGAGACAGGGAAGTCTCTTCAGGCTAGATAGGTTTACTGGGTTGCATACTGCAGGTAAGGGGAAGTTGGTGCTAAGTGGAAAGAATGATCTTTTTGACATTGAGCTTTCGGAGGGTGAAGAGTTGATGTTGGAGCCCAGTGTGCTTATAGCGCACAACGACATCGGTGCAGCACACTTTCGTACGATAAGGGGGAGTCAATTGTTCCAGTTACCATCGTATCCGTGGTTTCTGAGATTGGGGATAAGGCTGGCACAGGTGTACAGTTACTTAGAGAAGTGGGCTAAATACGGGTACTTGAGATTGACTGGAGGCAGTTACAGAACACAAGACAATGGAACTCAAAGGAGAGAAATTGAAAGCAGTGCGCAAAGCACCAGTAACGAAACCAGTTCGTCGTCGTCGTCGTCGTCGTCGCTTAACAGCGTAAAGGCGTCACTCACCAAAACGACAGAATTTGTTAGGAAGCAATTTAGTAGATTGGGCCAAAAAGATGTTTACTATCATGTCAAGGGACCATGTAAACTCCTTATAAGTAGTAGCAATGGAGGAATTCCACGTCGTGCAACATTCACAAAGGAAGACTTACAGAGCATTAGGGACACATTGAATTAGAGAAATAATTCCAGTTTATGATTGGTTTGTGCCAGTATGCCTGGAGAATTTATTTATAAATTTTTTTTTTTTTTTCAATTTTTCATATCCTTCACCTTTATACTCTTTCACTAGTTAGACTCCACTACACCAGATCATGCTTATCAGCCTCCGCTGCTCCAGATCTTGTACATATGTATTACAGTAGTATTGTGGCGTAATCGAACGAATGATCAGAAGTCAAATTTGTAGCAAACAATAAAATTGGGGCAAAGGTCTAGATCGAGATGGAACAGAATTTAGTACACTCTAATGTTGTACCATGACAACGCCCGAAAGAATATCTCATGCATTATCAAGATATCGCACGAGGGAATCCTTAATCGTGCATAAGGATGGAATTGACATTGGAGTGGTTAGTAAAAGAATATTATTTTTATTTATTTTTTTGGACTGTTCAGGCGTCCTATGGGACGAGGAAAGGTGTGTTTCGATGTATGTCTTCGAAACGAAAACATCAGGGAGGCATCGTGCTTTTAAGGGTTCCGGACCATGAAACTCATCGCACCGCTCTCAGTATGCCAGTTCCTGTTCTCTCTCGGGCCCTCTCTCGTTCTCGTTCTCGTTCTCGTTCTCATCACCACTCGATTCATACCCATTCATTCAACAATAGCGCCCAAACAATAGCCTCTTAGCCAAGGCGTTCTTCCACCAATAATTCCAAGATTGTCCACCACCTTCAAACTGCCCTGTAATTGTTTTTCCTGAGGTTGAACATTCCATCTACACCATATAGCAGAACCTTAATGAAAAATTTATTTTTTCGTATTCTTGTACTTGCCCTTTTTTTTAGGGTTCATGGTCTTTCTTGATGCTTTGGTGTTCCTCCCGGTTTGTTATAGCTGCAAACAACGCTCCACATTATACTTTTTTTTTTTTTTTTTTTTTTCTTATTCTTATTCTTCTTCCTTTTGACTTCTCTTTGACTTCATTCTACTTCTTTCTTTTTTCTTTTTTTTTTTTTTTATTTGTTTCTGTCATTTTGGAGTTTCTTTCTTTTGGATCATTGGTATATTAGTTTGCTGTAGTATAAGCGTTTGTTGCATTGGCGTATCATAGATGGAAATATCTAAAATCACCTCCCCCAGCGAATGGGTCTACTTTGCGAAGGGCAATGCCAACATACTCTTCAAATATGTAGGCGCCCATGACTACTTAAAGCACAAGTTGCTCAGAGTCAGACTATTGAAAGAGGAAGAAGAATATATATCAACTTGTGAACTCTACGATTTCATTGAGTTGAAGTGTAAACCACTATTTCCGAAACAAATAATAGATATTCAATTGGTGGTGTTGACTACTGATTTCATAAGCAAGCTAAACAACAATGGACACAAGGTGATGGTCAAGGAAAGGTATGGCCTTTTGCTACCCAATATATTATACGGGAACTACGAAAAGCAGTTTCTATCGAAGCATTGCCAACTCTACACAGGCTACTCTGAGGTACCCCATAGCCTCAGCGAAACGGACGCAAGCCAAACAACATCAAAGCAGAACCCAAGTGCTATTGACTCCGTGATTTTCGAGATTAAGCCCAAGTGGCTCTACGACAACACGTCGTCTAATTACTGTAGAACCTGCCTGTTAAACCAGTACAAGAATTATAAACATCATTTTTGCCCTTTGGACTTCCTTTACGAGGATACCTTGGACCAGGGGTTGGCAGACTTTTTCTCTAAATTTCCCCCGGATCACTTAAATCAAATCGAAGTGGTCAACAGGATACCTGTCAGGAAACTCTTCAGGTATTTCTTGAACAATCCTGATAATGTCTTCCAAAAGTTGAAAGAGTATCAGAAGATCAATAATAAAAATGACCTTATTAAGAATTTAGGGTCCCCATCGGATGTGTCGCATAATTTGTCCTTGGTAATGACATTAAGAGATGTAGGGTTATTTATAAAGTTTGAAAAGTATAATAGATACAACAACATCCATAACTCTCATAATAACATCAACAATATTATCGAGATAGAAGATTATGGAAAATTTTTGTTAACGTGCAACATTTACGATTTAGACTTAAAACTGAAGATGAAGTACCGCCATTGGTTTGAAGTTGAACAGAATTTACAGAGTATCTACAATAGTACCAATGAGGAATGGAGATTTTGTACAAGACGAAACATCAAAAACAACTTGGGGACATAAAAGAAGAACGACCTCAGAGAGCGTCAGAGAGAGTCAAGCAGAGTTTTGTTTTCAATGGTTTCACTGCTGCGATTTTCAAAAATTTACCACCTCAGTAGACTACGGATGATGTATGAACTTAGCAAACAAACACACAGACACACAGACACACAGATACACAGACCACATTCACACGAACACTCAGGCACACTCACTCACACACATGTACGACCAAAATAATAATTAACACTTTCGTCTCAAAATACGAGTCAAAATATTACACGCCCTGAAAGCCCATAGTACAGGAGACAAAAGCTGGGGCCACTGTAATATTACCGATAATTTTCCATTCCAGCACAAGCTGATGGAGCCATCTATGCTCCTTCTATTCCACGCCAATTCTGTAGGACTTAGACTTCGTCAGACATTAATTTATATATTTATATCTATCTCCAGCTGTAGGTTCTTATCCATGCAATACCATGTGAAAAATTCGAAGCACATAAAAAAAAAAAAAAAAATTATGACTAAAATTTCAGGATTGAAAAATCTCAAAATTTTTAAGAGTTGTCCATCTTACTCATCTCATCTCGTCATCAGAAAGCAGCCATTATGTCATCTCACAACGGTACAATTACTCCTAAACCTACCATTCCTTTAAAGAGATCGCGTCTCGCAGTAGAATTCGACGGAGAAACCGAAACGGTTGGATCTTCGTTGGCTCCATCTGCTACTCCTTTGCAGACAAGAGTCGCATCGCCTTGTACTTTGAATCCACCTATAGATAACGATGGACTTTCCTGGCCATCATTGGGAGCACGTGAACGTATTGAGCAGACCTCTGAGGAAGCCACTGCCAGAGAACAGAGAATTGCTGGAGCCGTCAAGACCATTTTAACTGAACTTGGTGAAGATGTGGATAGGGAGGGTTTATTGGAAACTCCAGAGAGATATGCTAGAGCCATGTTATATTTCACCAAGGGGTACGAGGATAACATTAGGGATGTCATAAAAAGAGCAGTCTTTGAAGAAGACCACGACGAGATGGTTATCGTTAGAGATATCGAGATCTACTCCTTGTGTGAGCACCACTTGGTGCCTTTCTTTGGAAAGGCTCACATTGCCTATATTCCCAATAAGAGGGTCCTTGGATTATCCAAGTTGGCAAGATTAGCTGAAATGTACGCCAGAAGATTCCAAGTTCAAGAGCGTCTAACCAAGCAGATTGCCATGGCCCTAAGTGAAATATTGAAGCCAAGAGGTGTGGCTGTAGTTATCGAGGCAACCCACATGTGTATGGTTAGCAGAGGTGTCCAAAAAACCGGATCTTCGACTACTACCAGTTGTATGTTGGGATGTTTCCGCCAACAGCAAAAGACCAGAGAAGAGTTCTTGACTCTTCTAGGAAGACGTTAGTGCTTCCCTGCTTGAATACCTTCACCTTATGACTTACGAAAATTTGATCTCAACATACATGTTTTCAATTTTATTTTACTAATCTCTATTATATAACTATTTTTATCTCACATTACTTTAATTCATTATCACCATAGGTTTTGCTAGACGCTGGTATATCATTCAACATCCTTCCAGGGTTCCATATAAGAAGCAAAATTTAACAAAAAAAAATTATAAACAAAGAAATATACACAGACATATACATATCTATATGTAAATCAAGTAGTATTCTATGTACAAGTGTCTTACTCAGTTCAGTTGAGCAAATATCTACTTGCTCTAAATAATATATGTTCATTACCAAACTGCGACATTATCTGGATACTCTGGTTGCCCCACGGTATCGATATCGCTGGCAATCCGGCCAAAGATGCTGGAATGGTTAGCAAGTCGTTGGCGTAACTGTTCAAGAAATTGTCTGCGTCGTTCCTTAAGAATTCCTCTATTGTGGGAGTATCCCCAACGGATGTTGGAGATATCAAGACATCACAGCCATCTTCTTGAGCATCCAAACTGTTAGTCAAGAAGTTAGGAGACTTGAAAATACCATTAAACTCGTGCACCAATTGCTTTCTAACCTGTGTAGCTTTCAAATAGTGATTTCCAGAATCAGATGAAAGTGTATAGTTACCTAGTAGGATTCTCTTTTGGACCTCTGGTCCGAAACCCAAGGACCTATTCTTTGCAATTAGAGCGGAAACAGTGTCTAAGTCGACGTCCTCAGGTGCTTCTTGTGAAAACCCGTATCTCAACCCATCGTACCGCGACAAGTTGGAGGCAGCTTCTGCAGTGGCTATCGTATAGTAGGCCAGCAACAGGCTCTTTATGGAAGGAATAGAAATCCTTTTGATCGTATGTCCCATGTCCTGAAGCCTTTCCACCGCATTGAGCCAGCACTCTCTATTCTGCGGCGAGAGCTCCTTCACTAGAAATTCCTGCGGGATACCTATCGTAAGCCCTTCGCCAGCACCAGGGTCTACAGCCTCTTCTACACTCTGGAGCATATCCCTGATACCAGCAGGTAGCGAGGTTGGGTCCTTTTCGTCATGTCGATTCAAAACTCCATACACTTTTTCTACTGTATCCATGTCTCTAGCAAGAATGCCTACGGTATCCAAGGATTGGGCATAGGCCACAACACCCCACCTGGAGATCCTTCCGTAGCTGGGCTTGAATCCAATGACCCCACAGTAGCTCGCAGGGAGCCGAACCGAGCCTCCAGTGTCAGTCCCCAAGCTGAAGTTAACGACACCTGCGGACACAGCAGCAGCAGACCCACCAGAGGAGCCACCTGCAATACGGTCTCCGTCCTCGTATTTTGGATTGGTTGCAGCTCCATAGTAAGAGTTGGTATTAGAAGAGCCCATACCAAACTCATCCATATTGTTTTTACCCCGGAATTGCCCTCCATTTTCGTCGATCAATGATGCGGCCGTGGCGGAGTACGGTGACTTGAAGTTAGAGAGCAATTTCGATGCGCAGGTAGTGCTGTCTGAGTTCATGAAGTTGTCCTTCAATGTGTATGTGAGATGCGATAGTATGCGACCATCCACACCAGGTGACACACTGCTTGGTTTAGAGATAAACGCATTGTACGCATCGTTCGTATTCAAGTGCCGCTTGAAAGTTCTAACCCGTCTCGAAAGCATCCCGAATCCTTCTTCTCAGTTATCACTATAGATCAGCACCTAGTCCAAGTATTCTTCACTCGTCTGTCCTTCTCTCATGAAGAACGGCGCATTAAGTCCGGAGTGAAAAATCGCAAAGCCAAAAAAAAAAAAAAAATTCAGCAGCTCAAAAAAAATTAGTCACCATGAACAAAAGACGGGCTGACATATCTTCTTCTTACTGCCATATTAAACTATATAGTTACCATGTCGCTTCAAGTATACACTTCTAAGGGCTCGTCCATATTGGACTTGGTGTCTAACATCAAGATTTCCATCGCCGTGACGCACTTTCAGCCTAAGTTAACCTTAGCTGCCAACGAAACTGAGGCTCACTTGTCCTTGAAGGATACCAAGACTGGGTTCGAGCTTACTGAACCCAACGCCATCGTCAAGTACTTGGCCAATGACTTTTCTGAGAGCGAAGCAATCAAGTATGAAGAAACCATCTTATACGGTACCACAAAGGCGTCTGCCTCACCATCAACTGAAGATGTGTCCAGCCTTGCAATCAAGAAGTTGTCCTTGACTGAGGCTAAGATCACCGCTGAGCAAATCATCACCTTCGCAGGTCTTTACCCTAACCCTCCAACCCATAACGAATGGTTCGAGCAATTTTCCAAGATTCCTGAGGTCCACAATGCTGTTGAAACGGCCATTAAGTTGACTTCTAAATTGCAGAAGCCTGACAGGAAGAAGGAGGTGAACACTGGGGCACAAAACGTTGTCACTGGACACTTGGTTAAACCTCAGGCTAAGAAGATCTTACCTAAGGAAAACGAAAGAAACATCTTGATCACCTCTGCTCTTCCCTACGTAAACAACGTTCCTCACTTAGGTAACATCGTTGGTTCCGTTTTATCCGCAGACATCTACGCCAGATACGCCAAGAACAGAAACTACAACGCTTTGTTTATCTGTGGTACCGATGAATACGGTACTGCCACCGAAACCAAGGCCATTGAGGAAAAGGTCACCCCATTGGAACTTTGTACTAAGTACTACAAGATCCATAAGGAAATTTATGAATGGTTTGAAATTGGATTCGATTACTTCGGTAGAACCACCACTCCTGACCAAACAGCAATTGCCCAAGATATATTCTTGAAATTGAACGAAAACGGGTACTTGGAAGAACAAACCAATGCTCAGTTATACTGTGAAGTTCACAACTCATTCTTGGCAGATAGATTTGTTGAAGGTACATGTCCAAAGTGTGCCTACGAAGATGCCAGAGGAGACCAATGTGATAAATGTGGTAACTTGTTGAACCCATTCGAATTGATAAATCCAAGATGTAAGTTAGACAACAGTGTACCAGTTTCTCGTGATTCAACTAATGTTTACCTTAAATTAGAAGAATTAGAGCCAGAATTGAAGAAATGGGTTGCAGAAGCCTCTGAAAAGGGAGGCTGGACAAAGAACTCTAAGACTATCACCAATTCTTGGTTAAAGGAAGGTTTGAATTCGAGATGTATTACTAGAGACTTGAAGTGGGGTACTCCAGTTCCATTAGAAAAATTTAGTGACAAGGTTTTATACGTTTGGTTCGATGCACCAATTGGTTATGTTTCCATTACATCATGTTACTTCGAAGAGGAAGGTAACAAAGAGTGGGAAAAATGGTGGAAGAATCCTGAAAACGTTGACTTATACCAATTTATGGGTAAGGATAACGTTCCATTCCATTGTGTTGTGTTCCCATCTACTCAGATCGGTACAAGAGAAAACTGGACTAAATTACATCACATAAATACAACTGAATATTTACAATATGAAGGTGGTAAGTTTTCCAAATCTAGAGGTGTTGGTGTCTTTGGTAATAATGCCAAGGAAACTGGAGTCTCTGCATCTGTTTGGAGATACTACTTAGCTTCTATTAGACCAGAACTGTCTGATTCTCAATTCTCGTGGCAAGAATTTGTTACCAAGAATAATTCTGAATTATTGGCCAACTTAGGTAATTTTGTTAACAGATTGGCCAAGTTCGTTGATGTTAAGTACAATGGTGTGATTCCTTCTTACAAGCCAGAGAACATTCCAAGTTACGCTTCCTTTGAATCTGATATCAACAAACTTTTAGCTTCATACATTGAAGCAATGGAAGCCTCCAGTATTAGAAGAGGTTTGGAATTAGCCATGGCCATTTCTTCGCGTGGTAACCAATTTTTGCAAGACAATAAGTTAGATAACACTTTGTACAGTGATCATCCAGACAAATCCGATGCGGTTGTCAGTGTTGGTTTGAACCTTGTCTACTTACTTTCTTCCATCTTTTCACCATTTATGCCTGAAGTTGGTGTAAAGATTGACCAGATTTTGAACGCTCCTGCATTATCCATTACCAACAAGTTCGAATTGGTATTGAAGGCTGGCCACTGTATCGGAAAGCCACAATACTTATTCACCAGAATTGATGAAAAGAAGGTTGAGGAATGGAGAGGTATGTACGGAGGGCAACAAAAGAAATAAAGGGAGTAATGATGGTAACGATTAAGACGATTAGATAGAAATTAGAGATGTTTTCTTTTAGTAGCCTGTTGTGTATTTTTGAAACTATATTTGATAATGATAAATACTTTTAATCTGTAAGAAACTTTTTAGAAGAACAAAATTATATATAGCAAATAGCAAAGATAACAGATTATAGAACTTGGACAAGATTAGTTTTGCAACCTATTGTCTAACTTTGAAGCTGAAGTAGTAGTGGTATATACTTAACCGGTAACAATTTTATGGTCTCATCTGCTTTTTCCCTATTGGGGCTCGTATTTCATGCAGGTTGACGCACACTTGCTCAAAAATCCGGGGTAAAAAGCAATGCGGGAAAAATCGGAAATGCGTATAGTCACACCCTGGAGCCATCCTAACTTGCCAGTTTCATTGTTGCATGAGAAAAGAAAACATGTTAACTAAAATGGAATACCCCTCTACAAAGTCTAAATATATTTAAGAAAACGCAAGTTCGTTTTAAAAATTGTTATACTCATCTTTCTTTCTATCTATCTACAATTTATTGTTATTCTTTGCTTTTAAGAATCTATATTTATTTTTCAAAATGTCTTCAATTATATTCAAGGCACCTGTTACTGGACTCTTGGCTGGGTTGGCTCTCCCCCCCCTCATTACTAAGCTTTTACTTCAACCAGCCATAATTCAATCCAAGTATGATGAAATTGACTCTCTTAAACACGAAGTAGATTACGCCGGTTGGAAGGTTAGAACTATGGAAGAAGGGTACGGCTTACAAGAAGCTGAAGTGTATGTCCCCTCCAGCTACCACGAGGGCCATCATTGATGCATGCTAAAAAATTGTACTATTTATATGTTTATATAACGCGTTTACTAATTTAATGAATGAATGAAAATGTCATAATCCTATTAATATAACCAATAAAATGTAAATGTAACTACACACTGCGAATTGAAGTAATTACTTAAGGTCTTCCCAATTTGACCCTATTCTGAATCAAGTGACCCTACTTCATCTTCTTCTTCCTCCTCATCAAAAGGCTCATACTTTCCTAGTCCTTCCCCTTCGCTTAGCACAATTTCATCGTCATCTTCTATTTCAAGTTTACTGGCCTCCCAATTACTAAGGTCTTTAGCGTTACTCAAGTCCCCACCAGTAAGAACCCTGATTAAGTTCAATTTGAAATCCTTGGATTGCTTATTGAAGTCAATATGACCAATGGAGCATTCTTCTACGTCTGGATGATGTCCAACACTTTGACCAACTCTAATTAATGTTTCAATACAACCCAAAGAATTATCCACCATATCTGAATCGAACTGGAAATATTTTGATTGGAAGAGTAATAAAATAGTAGAGCCACCAAATTTAAAATATCCTACCTCTTCTCCTCTACGTATTTCATCTTCTTCCTTAATAGTTAAAACAATGGAGCCAACCATCATAGCACCAACTGCGATCATAACGATGGTACCGAAATGTTCAGTATCAATCGTAATCAATGTCCGAACATTTTCACCAAAGACATCTAGTTCAGATCTTATTGCCATTGGATTCACAGTATAGTATTCTCCATCGACTTGCTTTATTTGTCTTACTTTTCCAGTCACTGGCGAATGGAATCTATGGTAATCTTGGGGTGCCAATCTGAAAATACCTAAAGAGCATTGATTTGCTTTATACAAATTAGAATCCTCCAAATCGTTCAAATTACCATTAAACAATTTAGCTAACGTAAAATTTCTGCCTTTTACCCAAAGTTCGGTAGCATCATTAACATTTTTGAATACTGTACATCTACAGTCAGCAGGAGAAACCACAATCCTCTCATCTTCGGAAGCATTAGGTCTTGCATCAGGCTTTAATTTTCTGTAGAAAAACTCATTGAAAGTATCATATTTTGTCATATCTTCTTCAAGACATTCTGCGAGGTCCAATCTATGAAACTTGATGAATGAAGGTATATCATTCTTCAGAGAAGGATTATCAAACTTTGAACCTTGCTTTACACTCAATTTTTTTAATAATTGCCTGATTCGTCTACTCTTGGCAGAATCCAAACCTTTATATAAAAGTCTGATTCCCAATCTTACATAGACTCCCATTTTTTCCTCCATAATAATCCCCGTTCTTCTATCCTGCACTAAGATATTAGCAGAGTTACTTCCTAACTTGTACTTACCATATGATATTTTAATCAAGGCTTTGGAAAACCACCTTCTTGTAGCAACTTCCGGAGTGTCATACGAAAACAACAACAACTTACTAGCAATGCTCCAATCCTTTGAAGCGCAAATTGCAACATGGGTGACTATGTCAATATCTTGCTTATTTGCAAATCGTTTTTGTAAACATATTGGACATTTTTCAATCTCAAAGATTTTGACACTGCCTACGGATGAATCAATGTGCTTTTCTAAACTATCGCTAATTTCATCAATAGTTAACGTATCACCACCCCACATCAGTCTGTCATAATCATTGAAAAATCCATTCACAATATCATCACTATCTTGGCAACCTAAAGTATCCAAGAATGCTATAAGTTCAATATAATCATAGGTATTCGTAGTTTCCTCTATATGATATCGTTCTAGTAATACTTTCCAAAACTGTCTTCGTAAGCTCTCATAAGGTTCAAATCTTGCTCTGATTTTTAGAACTGGGGAATATTTGCCTACGTATTTCTCTTTATGCAAATCAAGAGCCAAATCAATAGTCTTAAATTTAGAGGTATCAGCATACAGAACCGTGATCTTCTTTCGTTTAGAAAATCTCTTCTTCTTAATGGAACTCACCATATTTGGATCATCTGAGAATTTAATATTCTGCAGTGCAGTTGATCCAGAGTCAACATTGTCCCTTTCAGCAGTTGCAGAGTCAAGGTTTAACGAGAAAGATGCTTCGTTACTAGTAGATACACCTTTATTACCAGGCTGGGACTGAGAATTCAGATCGCCAGAAATTTTGGTTAATTCGTTAACCATCAACGAAATATTAGCAACTTTATCATGAAAGGAAAAGCTATCCTTATCCAATATCGAGAATTTGATGTTGTAATTCTTTTCATGGGGCAATATTTCAAAAGCTAACCTTTCATTAAAAATAGGGTTAAGAGTGTGACGTTTCCAGCTTGTTCTGAATGTTCTTTTTCCAAATGTAACCACAACAAAAGGATCCATATCAAACGAAGTCCTTGTTATATTCTTCATGGGCGGCAAATCAGAACAAGATAAAATCTCCAAAAACAAGACTCCAAGGACCTTTCTGTTGCTTAGTTCGAAATTAGAAGACAACTTTGATTTATGCTTAGAACTTCTTCTCCTTCTACCGAACCTTCTTTTCTTTTTACCTTCATGACTTTCTTTGCTCTTGTTAGTTGTGCGATGTTGGCGATCAAGAACCTGAGATCTAAGATCATGCTCTGTAGGCAGAGTTCCAGGAGGAACTTCATTCGAATTTTCATCGTCTACGGAGAACTCTGACATTGAAGAAGCGTCTGACATTGAAGTAAACTCAGAGTCACTAGCTAGAATTGAGTGCAGCAAAACCTGCAGAGTCAATAACAGGTTTATTGGTTCAGCTTGCAACAGTGGAGGTAATGTTGATTCAGTTGCCATGGTTGCCATAGATTCTATATCAGATGCATCCGCAATTGCAGCAGAGACCTCATTAGTGTAGAATCCTTGGTCATCAGGTTTGTAGAGATGGGTGTCAGGAGTGGGAATGAGTAAACTGTCAATCCAATTTTGGAACAAACTAATCTTTTCCTTTTCATCAACTGTATCTATGGTGACCAAGTCAAGTTCATCGCTCTCCTCTGAAAGCTTCATCGATTCTAACTTCGAGAAGACATCATTTGAAGTTAATGTGGGGGGCTTCACCACTAGCTTGGGAAGTGGTAGGGATGAGTTAGACGAGTTAGAAGGGGGGGCACCTGCACTTGAGTCTTCATCTTTCAGGGATTTCCTCTTCCCCAGCTGCCTTCTCCTAGCCTTGACTTCCAATTCAAAAGAAAGCAACACTGAGCCTGTCACAAACCCCTGAAAACTCTTTCCAGAGTAAAGCTTATACCACTTTAAGTCAGTCTTCAGTGCAGTTTCCTTACCCAAGAATAGGTCGCTGACCTTCAATCTCAATTCTCCCAAATAGTTTTTGTACCTGGTATGCTTGTCCCATATGGTCAATGTGACTATCTGGGAGTAGTCATTCTCTTTCAAGGGTATCACGAGTGTAGAATCCCACGTAGGCTGAGTGGTATGCAACTTCCTATTAGTTTTACTCTTGGAATTGTTCAACGATGCTACAAGAACAGGATTTACGCTTTTTTTACTAGCAGAAGTAGCAGACGCTGAAGAATTAAAGTCCGTGGTCGATTCATCGATATTATTTGGAATCAATTCTGCAGCACGATTAGCGTAGATCTTGAGGAACAACTGGTTGTTCGAAGACTCTTTCTTCTTGGATTTCCTTACTAAACCCATATGAAGAAAGTACTTACTTGGATGATAATGAAAGCGATGTAAAAATATTCCAGCAATTGAAATAACTTCCAATGCTATGTACTTACTTCGAGACACACAGTTCAAGTTGCTAACCTAAAGCAATGACATAAATTATTTTTATCTCCCACCAAATTTAGCGAGCATGGTGAAAAAAAAAAAATATGCACAGAATGTTACACCAAGAGGGGGTGTACCGAAACTGTATTTAGCTCTCAAAGGTCCAGATTAGAGTTTACTTAAGTTAGGAAGCTTCGGATGGTACCGAATTAGTATATTATGAGAAAAATAATTATTATACACTATTTATCCAGTTAGTTAGAGGTTTATATGGTGGTTGCTTTCACAGTGCGTGAGATACTCGCAGCACAAGCAGAGCACATTCTCGAGAACAGAGCACTTCGACGGTAGAGTGTACTGAATGTCTCTTTCTTAGTATAGCATGTTGACTCACTTTGCCATATATGTCACTATAACTTAATTTAATTGAACACGATCCTAGCTGGTCAACATGTTCACCACCCTCTTGACACTCAATCTCTTGATATCTGTATACGTTTGACCCGTACCCACAAACAATATTGGCACTCTGGTAGCCATGACCATATTGATCATGGTACCGACCAAATCTCCCACAGTGTCAACTTTCAGAATGATGAAGAAATCCAATGACCTTCTGTTACCGAAGGCATTATTGAAATTCTGCGCCTGTTCCACCGAATCTGTACCCACTAATGCCTCACCAACCATGATGATTCGATCAGGGTTAGCGGCATCCCCAAACTTCTTTAGAGGAGCCATCAATTTGGCGTTGGAGTGGGTTCTTCCTGCGGTATCGATCAACACTATATCGAAGTTCTCTTGCGCCGCATACTGGATGGCCAGCTTGGCTGTGGCGACGACGTGGTCACCACCACCGTAACCTTTTTCAAAGATATCTATCTTCGAGTTGGACGAAGAGGTGGAGTTCAATTTTTGTAAGTTGTTTACATGCACTTTCAACTGCTCTACAGCACCCGACCTGAAGGTATCACAGGCACAAATCAAGACATTGAGATCGTTTTGCAAGAACCAGTAGGCAAGTTTGGCCAAATTAGTGGATTTCCCAACTCCATTGACCCCAACAACAGAAATAACGAACGGTCTCTCTCCGGACTTGTTGCCCTTGATCTCGTAAAGCAAATCGGTGGACACGTTGGGGGTCAAGATCTTGGTTAACTCAGTCTCCAATGTTTGCTTGTATACCTGCTTAGTGACCTGCTTCTGGTTGTTCAACTCTGACTTGATTTTCTCTGTAATCTTGGTGGCAGTGGGCGGCGAGATGTTCTTACTAATAAGATGGTTGTAAAACTCTTTGTTGAGAGAGTCAATAGGCACGGTAGATCCAAAGTATGCTGAGACTTTGCTGAAAAAGCCACCCCCACTCAGTCCACTCTCTTCACCAGCCTCATCATCTTCGTCGTCGTCGTCGTTATCAAGGATCTCGTTTAACTCGTTCACAATGAATAAGTCGTTCTCTTTCTTAAAGGCAGACTGATCTATTTGCAATTGGTCTGCATTATTCGACTGCTCTGCTCCGCTTTCGCCCTTAGATTCCGAATAATCAAGAGCTGTACCGTCTCCGCTAACCTCTACAGGCTCTCCACTGTCCCACTTCCTCATTTTCTTCCCAGTACCGGGGCCTGAAGCTACACCTCCAGTCTTTCTCACTGGGGTGGTCGTACCACTGGTATTGGCCGATGAAACTGCACCAGAATCCACCTTGGATAACTCATTTCTCTCCTGCTTGAACTTCATCAACTGCTCGACCTGGTAATCGATCAACTTCTGCAATTTTTCCGTCGTCTTTGCATCGCTCACTATTTCCTCCTCCGCTATCTTAGCGTACGTCTTCCAGATATCGGACAAAGTACGCTTTATCCTTTCTCTATCGATGGTAGTAATGACATCGAAGTATAATGCAGTGTAGAACTTATTGCGCTTTAAGCAATAAAACCTCTTTTGACCAGATGTGGTGGTAAAGAAGTTGGGTTCGATCTCATGAAAGGTTTCGTTAACAATAGACGAAACGAGCTCGTTGAAAGGATGCACCTTATTATTGTACTGGTAATGCAATTTACCCGAGGTATTGAAGATCACTAGAGATTGCGACATAGCTGATAATTACAGACTCACTACCAGCAAATTGATGTTTCTACTACTTGTGGATGGCTCCTATCCTTATACCCTTGTGAACTGCTTCCTGACCCTCTTGATCTTATCGACCCAGCGAAAAAAAAAAAAAAAAACCAAAAAAAAAAAATTTGAGATCGAAAAAAAATAACGTCACAGACAGGATTCGAACCTGCGCAGGCAGAACCCAACGCCTAACAGCTGCTAAATTAGCAGGGCGTCGCCTTAACCACTCGGCCACTGTAACAGGGTACAACGAAAAAATTAAAATGAAGTGCTAGACTTAGTGTTCGTAGTGGCCAGTAGGACTGGAGCAAGATGGTAAGTAGCAGAGCCAGGGTATTAGCACTGGGGCCAGATGGTAAGTAGAAGAGCCAGAGTATTAGCACTGGGGCCAGATGGTAGTAGAAGAGCGTATTAGCACTGGAACCAGATGGTAAGTAGAAGAGCCAGGGTATTAGCACTGGGGCCAGATGGTAAGTAGCAGAGCCAGGGTGTTAGCACTGGGGCCAGATGGTAAGTAGAAGAGCCAGGGTATTAGCACTGGAGCAAGATTGTAAGTAGCAGAGCCAGGGTGTTAGCACTGAGCCAGATGCTGTAGTTACGTTATTACTGCTCTTGATGTTGGCTTCCTGTTCTGTTGAAATCGATCATTAAAGTTTTACTACTACAATAGTTGCACTACCAGAGCACACTAATGGACGGTAATAATAATATACACCATTATATTGATTCCTCTCCATAGAGCTGGAGAGAGTATACGAACCATCTATATACTTTCGATCTTTTTAGTTCACTCATAAATATAACTTTAGGTCCCGATACTGTTAAGGATATTTTGCTAGTATACTGGCCTTCCTTCCAATCCTTCTTGATTCTCTCAATTACCTTAAGATTGATCTACACATAAAATTTCATCCGCTTACCGACCTTCCTACCAGTCTTCTTGAATCGCTCAAGTACCTCCAACCTAAACCCACACCTTCTCTCACACTAATCATTATTTCAAACCTTCCTTCTTTCGTCTAGTTGGATGTCTTCCTGTGCCCAGTTGGTCTTATAGTACATAACAAAAGAGGACATAGTAAAAATATAAAATTCAGTAGTAATTCGGTCCATTTTCACTAAAGAGTATAAGCCGAAGTTGACAATCTGTGGCGATAAATCCATGACCATGGCCTTGAAAAAGGGGACAATCCATTCACTCACTGGGCCATTCTTGATCTTATTGTCCATTTTGATATCCTTATCACGAATAATATAGAGAAACATCAAAAAGATGTATAAATCGGTGCCTATACCATGCTTTGTCACGAAACAGTACAAGCCAAAGTTGAGAAGGTGTGGAACGATATCACCAACGAACCACTTTATTATTGAATAAAACATATCTATAACAGTGTTTCCTTACTGTTATAAAAGAGCAGAGAGATCGAATCATGACGAACGTACCACTTTTATGAAACTACTTCGGACATCTTAAAATAAGTTCACGAATCAAGTACATGCAAAGTTGAAACAAAGAAACAAGGCTGAGAATCCGAGTTTGGCGTTCCCCAGATTTCACGAAGTTCAGAACTGCGCCATGAAGAAGTATGTGCTGTGCTGTGGAAAGAGGCAACTGGAGAAATTAGAGTATTGGCAGGAGCTTAATGCCATCGTGCATTATTGTTTATCATGAAAGTAAAAACCGAGAGAATGTTTTCCCTTCGGATCAAAAAAGTAGAGTGTAAAGTTGCGATACAGTAGCGAGTTGTGATAAACGCAACTTGTCAAAATATTTAAACACATGCTGACATCGTGTTTCAGCGGAATTCATTAGTTTGTCTAATTCGACTATTGCAGAAGATAGTGTAAGGAAACATGAAATTATGTAGAAGTCAGTAGTAGTCAGCCTCCTAACTCTTATGATTTAACCGTTGATTGTTAGCAAATGCGACCGGGCCTCTGTGCAAGCAACCTACCACTTGAAATACAATACTTTAATTGTTCATAATCCAATTTCTTAGCAAAAGCTTGAGCTTGACGAAGCCCCTGAAGAATGTGTATATTTTGAGCAAGAAATTCTTAGCATCCGATAAGAGACCATATTTACAAGATTGACCACCTTCAGAAATAGGTGGTTGAAACGGAAGCATACAAAGTTGAAACAAAAGGTCCAAAGTTAGAGAGCAGGGCCGAAAATCTGAGATGGGTATTTCCAGGGTTTCACCAAATTTCAAGACTGCGCCAAGGAGACGTATGGACTCGGATAGTGGCGGGATGGGAGCATTGATTAATGGTATTGAACTCTCTGTATGCTGTTTTACTGAGTTAATTGATACCCATTTAAGTCAGTTCTCATTATTTCAATTTGGTCTTCATTTCTGCTATCGTATAGTCCTGTGGTAGGGCTGCATATTCCATAGTGGAGCAGTATCGACCGTGTGTAGTATAGTACATAGTAGAAATCTTGTTCTTTTGCAGCAATGTAATATCAATGCCATCGTTCTCTAGCTGGAGAGAATCATACTTTCATATTGATGTTTCTTTTGTCGTCGACACCTTCCTGTTTCTCTCTGCTTTGTTTTTAGTCTAACTTTAAGATCGACGATAAGTGCAAAGAAAGAAATACAGGAAAGATAGAAGCGATGTATAAGTAGTCTGCGTCTTCCATTTCTCGCCATACGTTACTGCCCAAAATTAGTTAGATATGATAGGACCATATAGAAAAGAAACTAAGCTTGTCTATAATCGATATGTTCCTCCGGTTTAAAGTCCTCTCTCAAAGCTAATTTTACAATTGCAATAGATAATGCAAAAAAAGTGAACATCAGCGATATGTAGAGATATACGCCATAGTGATTTAACATTAAATTGAAATTTGAACGCCGTAGAGATAGTTTGCATTCCAAAGCATAGCACTCGACCTCAAACCAGACAAATCTTGCTACGACTCACTGCTTGTTTTATTCCTTAAACTATCCCACCAGCTCCAGCAGAGTCTCTCAGCCTGCTTCTGCAACAACCCTCGCAGCACGCTGTGCAGCACCCCATGCACGAAACCTGCGCAACAACCATACACGATTTGAACCGCACACGACCCGATATACACCTGAAAAAATTCACAGACGTCGCGACGCCAACCAACAGGATGCAGACTAACCACTCAAAGAACACGATACCGTTGGCGATAGGTGACTTTATTGACTCTAATTGTTCGTGATTCAGATTTGTCTAGAAAATTTACCCTAGAAACCAGAAAATTATGGCTTATTACCAGCAGCAGAATCAAAATCCGCAGAACTTACAATTCTACCAATCCAACTACGCATATCAGCAACCCAGCCAGGGAGGATTGGCATCGGGCCCCGGTGGCCAGAATATTGGCATGGGTGGAGCTTCTGGTGCCCTCGGAACGATGGACAGCACATTTGGTGCCAATATCAACGTCTCTGGGGAGATGGGTGGTGGGGAATTGACCCCTGGATTGCTAGCTGCTTTCGGTACCAGTGGGTACGCCAACGAGCCACCGTTATTGGAAGAGTTGGGGATCAACTTCGCTCACATCAAGCTGAAGACCTTGGCAGTATTAAACCCATTCAATAGAAATGCCACCTCAGACTACATGATTCCAGACGCCGACTTAGCAGGACCTATACTCTTCGTGTTGTTGTTTGGTACGTTGTTGTTGTTGGCGGGCAAGGTCCAGTTCGGTTACATCTATGGGGTTGGGTTATTTGGAACCATCAGTTTGCATTACCTCTTCAAGTTGATGAGCACAGAGATATATATAGACTTGGCCAGATCTGCTTCCGTGATAGGATACTGTTTGTTGCCATTGGTGTTTATCAGTGTAATTGGAGTGTTCGTTACTTTAGATAACCTAATCGGTTACATAATAAGTGCCATCGCTGTTTTCTGGTGCACATACTCTGCATCGGGATTTTTCGTTGCAGTGTTGAAATTGCACAACGTAAGACCGTTGATTGCTTACCCATTAGCCATGTTCTACTCGGTGTTTGCGTTGATGGCGATTTTTGTTGAGAAGACGGAGTTGTAGAGAGAAGAGCTGAGGGAGTTTCCATCGAAGAACATGCGAGAGTGGAATGCAAAAGGTGAAAAAAAGAAGAGAGATCAAAAGGGAGGGAGCACGCGGGGAGCACTGGTGACCCTGAGTTGCGGCTATGAGCGACGGGCATGAGCGGTGGCTACGAGAGTGAGGAAGAATACACCTAGAATCTCGAAAAGCCTGAAGCTGTGACAGACCGTAAGGTACTGCAAAGTGTTCCCCTTGTGAAAGTAGCTTAAGAAAGCAGTCCAAGGCAATTGCACCTGTTCTTCCCCATCACTCTTGAGATCTTGGACTTCAGTGCTGTTAGTGTTCATAGTTTCTGCCTTATTCTGTCCAGAAGCACCATTGAACTCTGTGTATAATAATCTAATAAATAAGAATAGAAAATATCAACTTATAATTACATTTAAGAACCCTTCTTCCCGAGTATATCCACATCAAGCTGCTCAACATGCCCAAGCTGTTCCACTCTTAGTGGGCCGACTCGCGATTTTTTTTTTTTATTTTTATTTTTTTTTTTTTTTTATTCCACACTTTTCACTTTGTAAATCTGCAACAGAGTCCAGCGGTTGGATGAAAGTGTAGTTGGAAAGAGCCAACATCTGACGTCTATTGCGTTCTAGTCGTCGTCTTGCTGTCGTACAGAGTTAACATGGTTGCTGGTGTCGCGAGAAGTCTTCGCTTTTTAAGATTTTCCTCTACTAAACCTTTTTACACCACTACTCCGATCTTTTATGTAAACGCTAATCCACATTTAGGTCACTTGTACAGTCTGCTCTTATGTGATACTAGGAATAGATGGGAGAAGTTGAAACCGGGTGCGAAAACATTCTTTACCACCGGAACAGATGAGCATGGGTTGAAAATACAGGCGGTCGCGGAGGCACAAGGAATTCACCCCAAAGAGTTGACTGATAGGGTGTCTGAGAACTTTAAGAAGTTGGCGACTGACTTGAACATCGAGTACGATAGGTTCATCAGAACTACCGACCCCGACCATGTAAGCGCAGTACAGTACTACTGGAACACAATGCAAGAAAAAGGGCTATTATACCAAGGCTTGCATAGTGGATGGTATTCCATTAGCGATGAAACGTTCTATCCAGAGAGCCAGATCGAAGAACACGACGGTAAAATGATATCCAAGGAAACGAGAAATGTAGTAGTTTTTCAAGAGGAAACAAATTACTTCTTCAGGCTCTCTAACTTTCAAGAGCAGCTCATAGAGTATCTTGAACTGAACCTGGATTTTATCATTCCTCATTCTAGATATTTGCTGCTCTTGAATGAATTAAAGGAGAACAAATTAGAAGACTTGAGCGTCTCCAGGCCACTGTCAAGATTGACCTGGGGGATTGAGGTACCCAATGATGAGACCCAGAAGGTTTACGTTTGGTTTGACGCATTAATAAACTATATAACTTCGTGTGGTTATCCCAGCGACGCCTTCTTCCTGGGTGCCACTGCCGACGGAGCCAACCCTTGGCCCGGCACTCACGTCATTGGCAAGGATATTATTCGATTTCACTGTATATATTGGCCTATTTTCCTCATGGCCGCTAACATAGCGGTACCTAAACAGGTTGTAGTCCACTCACATTGGCTCAGCGATGGATTTAAAATGAGTAAAAGTTTAGGAAATGTAGTAGACCCCCAGCTGACTGCTGATTACTATGGCAAGGATCCACTCAGATTCTTCCTTATGGAGTATTCGAACCTAGAAAATGACTGTAACTACCGTGAAGAGCAATTCCACTTTACTAGAGAGAAGCTTATTGGTAAATATGCCAATCTTATAACCAGATGTGGTGGAAATGCTTTCAACATAGTTGAATCCTTGAAAGATTATGAGTCTGGTGAGTATAAAAATATCGATGGATTACTTGATTCCCGAGCATTAAATCTGGAAGTACCGGAAATCAAACAGATTCGTGACAATCTCGTGTTGCTTACCAATAGCTTGTTCGAGACCATGGATAAAAAAATGGAACAATTTGATCAACAAAGAGCCATCTCAGAATGGTGGAATATCGTAGAAAGTGCTAACCAGTTGTTCCAATTAGGACAACCATGGCTCTACGCTAAAGAATTGAAGAACGAGCAAATTTCGCCTGAACGGAAGAAGGCTTACACGACGCTCAGAAACTACTATACTTTCATTGCGGCAGAGGTGAGCCGTGTGAGCTCCATACTTATAAGCCCAATCATCCCTGAGTTATCCAATCAAATTCTTGACAGGTTGAACGTCGACAAGAGCAGACGGAATGCAGCTTTTTGTAAAATAGGTTCTGATTTAACCTATGGGTTAGGTGCAAATGACAAGAGCCACAAGGTTCCAATAAGCAGAGTTCCAATGAGAGAGTGAGCAAAGTTTTGATGAGAGCAAGCAGAGCTCGAAAGACAGAGAAAGAGCAGAGTTCTGATGAGAGAGAGCGAAACCGGGAAGCTGAGGAATGAAGAAATACGAACCATGTAAATAGCAATAAACATAGATAATGATGCAAAATAGCAGATGAAATGGAAATCCCTGAGCGACTTAAACCCCCTTAAGCCGGGTTGAACCGAACTGAACCATACTGAACTCATTCACAGTTGTAGGTGACTAGCAATAGCTAATCATATTCCTGCATATATCCTGTCCCAAAGCGGTAGCCTTCATCCCAAGAATCCTAAAAGGGAAAATATTTTGATAGTCAACTTAGAAATTTTGCAGCCATTTCTCTTCAGTTTGACCAAATTGTAGCATATATGACCATGTTGTTCAGATAAAGCTTGAGTTCGTCTACTCTGAGCGGTCAAAAAGATGCTTCCGGGATTCTCAAATGATAACTTTTGAGGAAACTCAATATAACTAGACTATATTGACCAGTATACCCAATTTCAAGGCATCAATAGTCGAACCAACAGTAAATGAAGTATTTTTTTAAGTGAATCTTCGTTTAAATTGCTGCAAAATTTCAGAACCGGCCCCAGTAGTAGCAGGTTAATTTAAAATTTGGTGGGAATTTCGAATTTTTTCCCTTCCAGTGCTGGAGCGAGTGGGTGGAAATCGCGAATGGGAAGGAGTTGAAAATGGAGTGACAATTGCAAGAAAGGTGCAATTATTCGGCGAGAAAATGCTGAAAGTGCCACTAGAAGTAGGATAAGTGTAACCAGGGGAACAATCGGCTCAATATTGATACCCTTTTGCGCCATTAGCACCAAATGTCAAGCAGATTGATGTCCCTTTCCATGTATCCTAGTTAGTCACGTGCACACCCTTTCCACTCTCATTTCCTCGATATGTCCAATGTTTTTTTTCAATATTTTTAGTAATTTTCTTTTTTTTGCCCTGTAAAAAGAAATCTGAGCTTTTAAGATAACACTAATCAATTGTGGGAGTTTACCTCGTAATTTTTGAGTTTAATTCCTGTACTTGGCCCTCACAGTACATAGTCTTCCCTTTTTAGTAGCCTAGGAAGAAGCGAAGAAAGAACAGCCCGCTGAAAGCCGAATAGGGAAAACGAATTGGAATCACCGAAAGGCAGCTTTCTGTATTAGCTAAGCCAAAGTTGAGTACCAAAGTTAAGTACGACTGTACCACGAGCTGAACCGTTTTTCGACTTATTATATTGACCTTTGGCGCTTAGCTTATAAATAGTTAGATCGGAGTTTCTCTTTACTCCATTGGCTCAAAATATTCAACGTTACTTTATACTACGATCCTGCCAAGTTTAGAATGGCTGGAAGAAGAAACGGCAGTGACGCAGAGGAATCTGATGAAGACACTAGTTTCTCCAGAAGGTCGAGAAAGAGAGTTTCCTACAACGAGGACGAGGATCTAGACGACTTCGAAGAAGAAGAAGAAGCCGAAGCCGACGTATTAGCTGACGATAGTCCTGCTGTCATTGAAGAACCAGCGGCAATAGATGAAGACGTGAAACCTGAGGCAGACGAAGACGACGAGGATATCGATGACATATCTTCAGATGAACCTCCAGATAAAGAAGAAGACTATGTAGATGATGGCGAGGACGATGAAGATAACATAAGGAGACGAGGACGTAAGCGGAAGAGAGTCACCACTGTGAAGAGAGCAACCTCGAGGTTGGGTTCAGATGATTCTGATTTCAAAGGTGACAGTGAAGCAGGTGACGACGAGATAGATGAGGATTCCTCTGAGGATGACTTTGTAGAAAAGCTACAAGAAAGAAGATTCGTGGCCACGGACGAAGAGGGCGGTTCTGATGGTGATGATTACGGATATACTAGTCGTCGTAGAGGCGGTCGTTCAAACCGCCGCAAGAAGCGTGTCATTAGAGCAACATCTATAGAACCCAAAGTTTTAAGAAGCGGTAGAACTATTAGCGGAATAGTGGAAGAAGAGGTAGAAGTGGAAGATGGGGAAGAAGATACTTCAATTCAGAAGGAAATCCAAGAATTGTACGATTCGTCACCTTCTACCACGCCAGTGAAACATAAGTTGAGAGAAAGAGGTGCTAGAATTGATTACACCATTCCACCACCGTTGAACCCAGATCAACCAGATGACTATTCCATGTACGGTAATGGGTATGCCCAGCAAGCAGGACGCGCCAATTCTAACGGTTCTGTAGCTGGAAGAAGAGGTCGTAAGCCGATTAAAAGTGATTATAGAAAGATTCTCTTCCCCACTGCTGGACCATTTGGAGGAAGCGACGTTATCTCCTTGTTCGGAAAGAATATTCCTCCAGGAGGTATCCCAATAGAGGGTATGACGAATACGACCGTAGATGCTCAGGGTAACTTGACTGCCATTGGTGGTGCTGCCAGTGATTCAGATTCATCTGATGATGAAAATGTCACTGGGGCACAAACTGCGGGAAGTGGTGCCCAGTTAAACGGTGCAGATAAAACTATAAATCATACCAAGTTGATAACCTCAGGAACTTCCACTTCAAAAAAGAAGAATAACTTAAGTGATACGGATCCGCTTGGCGTGGATATGAATATTGACTTTTCCGCCGTTGGGGGTCTCAGCAATTACATCAATCAATTAAAGGAAATGGTAGCGTTACCTTTGCTCTATCCAGAGTTATATCAAAACTTTGGATTAACTCCTCCTAGAGGTGTTTTGTTCCATGGTCCTCCAGGTACCGGTAAGACTCTTATGGCAAGAGCATTAGCGGCAAGTTGCTCAACACCTGAAAGAAAGATTACCTTTTTCATGAGGAAAGGTGCAGACTGTCTCAGTAAATGGGTCGGTGAGGCAGAAAGGCAATTAAGATTGCTATTTGAAGAAGCTAAGAACCAACAACCTTCAATCATTTTCTTTGATGAAATCGATGGGTTGGCTCCAGTAAGATCGTCGAAACAGGAACAAATTCATGCAAGTATCGTGTCAACTTTATTGGCATTAATGGATGGTATGGACAATAGAGGGCAAGTGATTGTCATTGGTGCAACTAATAGACCAGATTCCGTAGATCCTGCTTTGAGAAGACCGGGAAGATTTGATAGAGAATTCTACTTTCCATTACCAGACCTTAAGGCAAGAAGCGAGATTTTACAGATTCATACGAAAAAGTGGGAACCGCCATTACCACTGGAATTTTTGGATAAAGTTGCTGGATTGACAAAAGGTTATGGAGGTGCTGACCTTAGAGCTCTTTGTACTGAGGCAGCTTTAAATAGTATCCAAAGAAAGTATCCCCAGATTTATCAGTCTGATGACAAATTAAAAGTTAATCCTAAATCAGTTAAGGTCATCGCAAGAGATTTCATGAAAGCGGTCGAAAAAATTGTTCCTTCAAGTGCAAGATCTACCTCGTCCGGTTCATCGCCATTACCAGAGCATTTGAAACCATTACTCACCAACACATTACTGGAAATTAGCAAAAAATTGAGAGATTTATTACCAACTTCGTCTTCCAAAATAACTACGTTAGAGGAAGCGCAATATTATGATCCAACTATTAACGATAAAGATGGTGGGTTTGGTAAACAAGAATTACTTCGTAATTTGGAAAACTCAAGAATTTGCAAACCTCATCTCCTAATCTGTGGAGAACCTGGTAATGGTCAGCAATACTTGAGTTCTGCTATTTTGAACGAGTTAGAAGGTTTCCAGGTCCAATCTTTGGATATGGGTAATTTATTTGGAGATGCCACTAGGACACCAGAACTGAGTATTGTACAAGCTTTTGTTGAAGCTAGGAGACATCAACCATCAGTTATCTTCATTCCTAACATAGATATTTGGTTCCAAGTGGTTCCTGCTCTGGCTCGTGCCACATTGTCTGCATTGTTAAGGACATTGAACAGTAACGAAAAGATTTTATTATTAGGAGTGGCTGAGACTACAATGGATATGCTAGATGGAGATATCAAGTTGATTTTTGGATTCAACAACAATTCTACAAACAATGTTACTTTGCACAACCCTACAAGGAAACAAAGAACTGAATACTTCTCAACTCTTCATAACACTATTTTAATGAAGCCATACGAATTCACGAACGATTTGGAAAACAGACCTAGAAGAAAGTTGAAGAAGTTGCCAAAATTGGAAGTTACTGAGAAGGCTACAGACATTGCTGCGCAAAGAAAATTGCAGAAGGAAATTGAATATCAAGATACCAAACTTAAGAACGTTTTAAAATTGAAATTGGCAGGGTTGATGGATCTTTTCAAAAATAGATACAAAAGATTCAAGAAACCAATTATAGATGAGGCATTGTTGTACCATTTGTTTGAACCTTCAATCTTGGATCATGATAATCCTCAACATCAATTTTTGAATTATGACGTGTTATATGTAAAGTCTACTGATCCACAACATGAAAATATGATTAAAGAGCTTAGCTCTGGTCGTTACTACTTCAACATGGATTTAGAGATCATCGAAGAGAGATTGTGGAACGGTTACTATTCTGAACCTAAGCAATTTCTTAAGGATATTAAGATGATTGTAAAAGATTCTATAACAAATGGGGATAGAGAGAGGATTTTGAAGGCCAATGAGATGTTGACCAATGCTCAGTTTGGCATAGACGATTTTAGCACTCCAGAATTTTTGAATGCCTGTAAGGAAATGAGATCTAGAGAGATTGAAAAGCAGGAGAAAATTTTGCAAGAGCACAAGAAGGCAGAAGAAGAGTTCCAAAGACAGCAAGAGTTGAATCTTGAAAAAGTCAGATTGGAACAGGCCAACGGTCTACTTGATTCCCAAGTTGTAGAAGTTGATGCATCAGGGGATATAAACGGGAATGTTAATGGCGCAGCGAATGATCACATGGATACTGACAGAGACGAGGAAGTTAAACTAGCACTAGATGTGAAGCCTGCGGCAGAGGGAACGGCTGCTCCAGCTGGGACTGAGGTCAGGATCGAGTCATTAGTACTGGCAGAGCCAGCAAATGGCACTGCTTCTATTGAGCCCACTGAAAGTGTTCCAACCGCTCCAGTTGCTACAAAAGTCGAGGTTACTGAACCTGAGGCACCAGTTGTGCCAGTGGCAATTGAAGAAACGGTTACTGAAACAATTAAGGAAGTTTCGTCGAACGGGTCAGATGTGAAGCCGGCTTCGATACTTGAACCAGTAGACATAGAGATGGCTGCTGTGGAAGAAGATCTTTCATCAGAGTCCGAGATTGAACTCTTGGATCATCCTGACAAGCAGCTCACAATTGATGGTAGAATTGACGAGTTCTTCAATGAACTTTTGCCTGAACTTACAGAGAACTACGGTGTTGAGAAGTTGGAAATTGTCATGGCCAAGTTTATGGAAATTGTATGGGCCGACCGTTCGAAATGGGACAGAAGAGAGACTATCCTGAAGCTTGTAGAAGCTGCAAAGGACTTCTCGTTAACATTGAATTGAGAGAATCAAAAATTTAAAAGAATATACAAACGATATTAATGTGTAAATTGTAGCAAGCGCCTGAAACTGTATACAACTGTATATCCAACAGCGGCCCTCTTTCATGTATACAAGCGGTATGAGGTTCCTACAACTGTATGTCCATTAGGTCTGCGTCATAGCTGCAAGAAATACCTACCATGAGTGTTGAATACACAAGCTTGCCCTACCTCTGCAGTGCCATATCGAATCACGTCAGGAGTCTTACATTGCATGTCCATATCGAATGGCGATAGAAGCCTACACTACGTATCTATAACGCACGGCCATAAAAGCCTACGCCGTATATCAATATCGAAAGACTAATACTGTATTTTTCAGTAAGTAATTATATAGTACATGGGGGAACTTCTCTACGGATGTCTAGTCTCCTTCGACACTTCGACCCTTCGTCCCTTATTTTTTTCTTTTCCACTCATTTGATTCTCCTTCTTCTAAAAGTTTCAAATCCACAAAATTATATAAATAAATATATAAACATTCGTGTTTAATCTTCGGCACTGCCGTCTCTGGGTCTATAGGCTACATTCTGCTCAGTCAAGTCACTTATGACGTGGGGTGGGAGCTTACCATTAATCTTCACCGCATATATTCCAGGCACAAACGAGTCAATACGAAGCCATCTTGCAACCCAAGATTTCTTATTATCGTTACCCAAGGCTACTAGTCCCTCGAAGGATGGCGACGTACAGTCTTGAACTTGATTGTCATCATTGTCCTGGAAATGCAACACACTCTCACAGTTAGGACACCCAGCATCCACAAACTTTTTGTACGGTTGGATCAAACCACACAACATACATGCTCTTTCAGTTCTCAGTGACATTTTCCAACTTTAATATTACTACCTTGCACTACTGATTTATTGCGTACCGACCAAGTTAACCGACTAAACCACCTGCTAACTTTTTTTTTTCATCTCCATTTTTTTGAACCTCGTTCATGGGACATGTATGTGACACAAAGCCGATTTTTCACCTGGGCATGGCTCAATTTTGGATGCGGTGAAGGGTGGTGCAACTGTTTGGTCTATAGAGAGTAAACAGAGCAAAATAGACCCATGTTTAGGAGATTACAAGGCGTACGATATGGGCAATTGATGCCCCGTCATTCCAGTGGTCTTTGCTCAGCGGGAAACCAAATTGTAGTGAAGAGAAATCTTTCTGTAGACCCCCAGATTGTAGTCACATCGCTCACCGAGTCCATGCAGTCGCTACATGCGCTAACGGGCATACCGTGGTGGGCTCTCATCCCCATAGCCACCTTCAGTCTCAGAGCTGTTTGGACGTTGCCGCTAGCAGTTATCCAGAGAAGGAGAATACAGAAGCAGAATTCATTCAAGCCGGTGATCAGTGCCATGTTCCCAATCTTCAAGCTCAAGTTGGGACAGAGGGTGCAGAAGGCAAAGCAGGCTGGCGACAAGCTCTTGAGAGGCACCGGCGGAAAGTCTGGTGGCGGTAGTGGTGTAAGCGGAGAAATGGAATTCATGCAAGCACAGAACCCTGTGAGCACCATGAAGTACGAAGAGATCGTACTTATGGCCAACAAGGAGAGAAGAAGAAGACAGAAGCAGCTTTTTAAAGACCACAACATCCAGTTGTGGAAGAACTTCTTATTACCGCTCTTTCAAATCCCGCTCTGGGTTAGTATGTCTTTGACCATGAGGAACCTCAGCGGGTGGTCCTCGTGGGACAACTTGTCCAACGCTGCGTTGGATCCCAGCCTATACGAGGAAGGATTGTTCTGGTTTACGGATTTGGCCAGCTACGATTCCTTGCATGTATTCCCTGTGGTGTTGGGTATAGTATCGCTCTGTAACGTTGAGTGGACGTTTAGAACGATCCAGCTCATGAGACCCACGTCGTCTTCTTCGTCTTCTGCGAGCATCTCGAGCTCCAAGGCGCCGCTTAGGCCCACTCTCATGGACTCGATGTCCAACATCTCCAGGATGTCTGTGGTCTTCATGATGGCCATCTCCATGAATGCTCCAGTGGCCTTGGTGTTGTACTGGATTAGTTCGCAGGTGTTCTCGTTGATACAGAATGTTATTCTTGATTTGAACTTCCCTATGAGTTTCACACCAAGGAAGAGATTTAACTACAGAAAGCAGAGGAACTTAGAGGCAGAGGACGTCATCAGGAGAGAAGACGAGAAGAAGACAGCCAAATAGAGAGCACTGCGACCAGATCTACCATTGACAGGAAGACTTCTACCTGACAGGAAAAAAGGACCCAAGATAAAAAAGTACCAAACAGAGGGGCTCCCGCATCGCTTCCCATCCCAGCAGGTACCCCAGCAGGTACCATTTGAGCACATAACCTACATGTATATAGTTTGAAATGAACATAGCACCGTCCACACCATGGGCCAGTATGGCCTGGAACCATGTAGTTACATACAGGAACAACGATAACGTATATGCAGGACATCCGATAAGAAAAGCGTGTCTCGAGAAATTGCACAGCTTTGTTTGGTGGTAGTCACTCTTCTTCTATCCTTTCCCTCCCCATAGACCACACATATCGCTAGATGAGAGTTTCTTCTTCGGTTAGTGGTATCACTCTTATCTCCATTTTCTGCGGCTCGGCTCAGGGGGTCTCTCTTGACTTTTTCAACAACATTTTGAAGGACCCTGTGTTCGACTTCCAAACTGACGGCGTTGCACCTTATGACTCTTGTCCTATTGACATACCGTTGTCGTGCACGAACAACACTCCGGTGGAGAATTCCTGTTGCTTTGAACTGCCAGGTGGTATAATGCTACAGACGCAATTCTGGGACTATTACCCCCCAATTGGACCCAATGACACGTTCACTTTGCATGGGTTATGGCCCGACAACTGTGACGGTACATACGAGCAATTCTGTGACGATAGCTTGAACGTTGCCAATGTTACCGACATCATTGTCAACGAATTTAAGGACCCTGAACTCTACCAGACGATGACTTCGATCTGGAAGAACTTCAACGGGAATGACGAGAGCTTGTGGATGCATGAGTTCAACAAGCATGGGACTTGTATCAAAACGTTGAGACCAACGTGCTATAGTCCTAGCCAATTCAGTAACCACGAAAATGTGTATGATTTCTTCAACATCTCGGTGAATCTCTTCAGAAAGTACCCAACCTTTGAGTTCTTGGCCTCTGAGGGCATTGTTCCATCCTTGGACAAGACTTACACCAAGAAGGAAATCGATGACGCTCTTCTGAAGAACTTTGGAGATAACAAGGTATACTTCAAATGTAATAGGTACCAGGCTTTGCAAGAGATCTGGTATTTCCATGAGGTCAAGGGGTCTGTAAAGCTGGAAAATTTCAGGCAAATTCCAAGCTTTATGAATTCCAATTGCCCTAACGAAGGAATCAAGTTCATCCCAAAAAGTGGCTTCAAGCCACCTGGCGGAGGAACCCCTAACCCACCGGGAGGAAACCCACCAAAACCTGGCTTGGGTAGAGGCTATATCAAGTTAAGCGGCAAAAACGGATGTCTTATTAGCAATGGGCAATGGTACGCTTTTGGTACGTGTGCTACTTATCAAGTTTCCAAGCTGACTTTTGGCGGCTACAACATTAAGTCTTCCAAGGGTTACTGTGGAATTAATGCTGACAACCAGTTGGCCTGTCACAGCGGCATTTCTCCTTCTAAGTTCCAGTTCCAGTACGACAAAGAGACGAAGGAAATCGGATATGGAGGGAAGTTCGACTGGTGCTTCGATGAGGGCAATAAGCATGGGTCCGGAAGATTTGTACAAGTCCCAATTAAGTTGGGCACTGACTGTGGCGATGTAGTTAAGTTGAAGTTTCAAGGCTAGAGAGCTCCGGACAATATACCAAAGGTTATATCAATACCCACAAAACATGGTTCAAACGCCAAGCAAAAGAAGATAGAAAAGGTAAAAGTATTAAAAATATCGATTGTTTATTAAAATATACGTTGAATTTTAGATAATGTGTGAGATCATATTCTGGGGTACCTTCTACTCTTTTAGTAGTATGATGAGCTAGACAAGTTATCCGAGAATTTGATCTGAATGAGTCTCAGCTCACAATCCTATACTCTTCTTCATTAACGTAAAGTGCTCTCCAAATCGCTAGTTATCCTATATACATGTTACTTGGTTTACTCAGCTACTTAGTTTGCTCACATGCTTCTCCTACCTTTTCGTGCAAGTAGTCGGACAACTTTATCAATCCAGATTCTCCATTGCAAAGACGGTACATAGAGTTGGACTCGTACGTGTCAGGGATCATCTTACCGTTCCCGTCCACTTGAACATAACCGAAGATATCATCGACTTCAGGTATTCTTGCAAAATTTGGTGTGTGGCGGAAGTCGTAGATCGGCATGTAGGATGACGCATTAACTCCAGCCTCTACTATGAACAGGAAGTCGTCCCAAACAGTATCGCCAATGGTCTTATGAAGTATATTCAAAAACTTCTCATTTTCTTGAAAATTCTGGGGAGTGATATCATGTCCTGAACCAAGGACTGTACCAATTGGGACATCCTTTGGGTTTTTAGAAAATGATACTACAGTTGAACCTAAGTGTTTTGCTGGGTGTATGAAGATCTGATTGTTCCTTGCATATTGGGTTAGGTAACGGTTGAATTGTCTGTTGAGCATAGTGGGGAATTTAGATTTGAACATGACGATACTATTATACTAAAGGTGGAAGAGAAGAGCCAAAAGAGCAAAGTGCGACGACAAGAAATCAAACAGCGAAGAAAGAAGTTAATGAACCGTTGCTATCATCTAGCAAGCCGATGAGCCTTCCTCTCTAACGCATTTTTTCTTGCTACAGCATCGGTGCCCAGGCTTCCTGCATGGCCTATGTAGAGATAGTACAAATGGCTAGCGGTGTATTATTACATTACGATCTCCGTATAATATGCCCAGTGTATTACAGTATGTATCTCTATATGTGATATGCTAATTGTATTACAGTATGTTTCTATATATATTATGCTCAGGGTGATTAAGTATGTACCTCTATATACCTAACCCAACATACTTCTCTTTCTTCCTCTCAATCTGACATCTTCCAAACGCTTAATAGTCTCGACCAATTTCTTAGAGCCTTGCTTGGACTTAAACTCTTTACTTAAATGCATATCGTTGTAGCCCTTCAAGAGCCATTCATTGTAGATTTCCAGATGCACGGAATGGGTACTGAGCACCGCCCTTTCAAGCACGTACAAATCCACAGCCTTATCCTCAGGCAATCCCGAGTACGAAGACAAACCGAAATCTATTAGTACTGCTTCGAAAACTCCATCGTGGTTCTCTTCTAGCAAGATATTACTACTCGTTAGATCACCGTGGATCATCTCATTCAAGTGCAACTTCGCGATTAACGCACCAATGTTGAGAAATACCTTTTCAACCACGTCCAGTACGCACAACGAGGCAGAGTCGTCTTGCTTTTCCAACCACCAGAGCCAGTTTTTCAATGAGCTTATTTCACCGTTAGCCAAAGGCTTGCCCTTATACCCCATCCAGATGACCCCATTTATCGAGTCAATAGAAATTAAATCGGGCGATGGGATACTCAACTTACTCAACTTGCTCATGAATTTGGCTTCTGCGATGGTTCTGGACTTGGTGATCTGTTTATCTATTTTAGGGTGTCTATAAGGTTTGGGGGGTCTGTATTTGATTATGAAAGTTGACGCATTGGAGAGATGGATCAACGATTCTTCAGAACAGTACGGATGCGTCCCAGTCTGGAACACCAACGCCTCGGCACCTTGTGAAACTACACTCAAGGGTATGTTAGGCAATATCTTCTGCGCCTGGGCAACAATATGATCAGTCATGTTCCTTCCTCTGGAATGAACCAGTCTTCAATTCTTATTTCACTTAAGTGAAGTATTTTTTTTTTTTTCTCTCCTACCCTCTAGCGTCTCGGTGGGCGCCTAGGCGCTAAATCATTATCGAGATTTACTGTATGCACCACAGGCTGGAGATTCACCCCACTCTTTTCTTTTGCTTTATCTAAGTTCACAAACTCCTGATACTCTTGCAGGTCAGTAGTCGGTAGTTGTGCAGATAGATTGTAGATTGTAAGATGCACACGTCTGAGCTAGTATATATAATCCCCCCGTATCTTTTGAACACCGCCTTGGGTGCTAAGTTGCAGAAAAAATTGGCCAAGCTAGACCCTAAGCTATCGCAACTCAATTACCTATCTACAAATTCCAAGTTTTATAACGATAACAGCAAAAGTAAAAGCGATGGTAAAGCCCCCAAATATGAAGTTACTTCTGAAAAGCGGAAGCAGTTCTCAGACGACCCGATATTGAATCAAATCATAAAGGATAAACTTATATATAAACTTTCAATCGTCGGTCTTGCAGGAGATTCGTCCCCCATGGAGAGGTTGAAGCAGGACGAAGACTATCTCTTCGAGATTTTTGACACCTTTAAGAGTAAAATTCTGTACGATAGGAACCCTAGGCACAAGGTCGGGATAAAGAGGTTTGGAGACGTAAGAGGAGGAAGAACAAGAAGATCAAATACTGGTGCTATGTCTACAGGAGATGGAGCTGGAAGTATTTCACACGGTGTCGCAGAACCCGACTCGGAGTACGATAGTTACGATACCCTTATCTTTGCCGAGAATGGCGATGACTTGAATTACGTAGATATAGAAACTCTCCATCGCATACACGGTATTGGTGATGGTGACGATGATGGAGATGATGAAGATGATGATATATTCGAAGGCGATGACGATGACTTCAACTTGGCTCTAGATGAGGACGACGATAACTTCGATAATGGTGCTGTGTTCAGAAATTATGATGACGGACAACATATTGATGGAGGAAATGACCTGATAGACCAAGATACCATCGACCAGCAAGATTTTGAAGGACGCTCAAGTTCCAAGAATGTGTACAATTCGGAAAAGGTGGGGGAATTCAAGTTGGAGGATACTTCCAAATATATTAACCAAGTATTGAAGGAAAATGCTCAATTGTTTCCATCTCAATTTAAAACGTGCAAGTACACTGTAAAACAGTATCAAAAGTTTATGGGCAGTTCCCTTAAAAGCTTGCTTTTGAGAGTAGATACCGAAGAAAAGATGAAATCTAATTCAGTACCTAGCTTTGTTGAAGTTAACGAGGAGTTTTTCCAATATCCTCTTCCGGTAAGCTGGGTTCCTTTGACTTCAAGCAAGTATTCCAATTATCTCCAAAACAATCTTGGGCTTGATATTAAGATTGATAACGGATTTCTGAATATTGAACTTTGTCAAAAAAAAGTGTTGGATGAAAGTTCGGAAGAAAAGTCTCGTTCTAATTATCTGGATTCATACCCTTACAAGTTCAAAGATAAATACACCAATTTTATTGGTGATAAGACTGTCCCTGCATCATGTGGAGTATTCTATTATGAAGTTGAAATCAAACAAAAGTGCACCGCAGTTTCAGATTTCAGACCTATTATCGTCACTAATGAAGAAGCTGTATCTTCTAATAATTCAATTAGTGTTTGTTTGGGGTTCACTCAGAGGTTTACCAATGTAGACTTCTCCAAGAATCCTGCAGTTGCGGCAGCTGCGAGCTCGAATAACAATGGCCTAGATTCCAAGAGAGAAATTGATTTGGAAGTGGTTAAAAACGATGTTGACGCATTCATCTATTCAAACTCTCCAAAAGCGAGACTAGACGATGGTCGGGAAGAAGAGTTGGATGATAACTCAATGTTGGCGGAAGATCATGAGAATTTCCTTTCTGTTCAGCCAGGACTATTCAGAGGAAGTTATGCCGTTAACTTCGAAGACTCCTTGTTTTATAATTCAGAGAAAGCTTCTGAGTCACTACAAAGAACAGCTGTCTTGAATATGAACAGGAGGCTATCCTTGAACAGACAGATTGTCGACGATCATGATTCTGGAAAATTGGAGCTCGGGTTTACTTTACTGACCTACTTGGAGAGAAACAGGGGAAAAGAGGAAGCCCCTTCTGGAAACTCAGCTATCGAAAATCACTCGAGTGATGTTTGTGATGTTTACAATACTGAAATAATTGGATGTGGAATAAATTTTTACGACAAGTCAATCTTCTATACATCTAACGGTATTCTAGTTAAAGTTATAACCAATGAAGAATTAAAAACTACCAATAGCAATTCAGATGCAAGCTTATTCTTTGATTCAGAATCGGAAGCATCTCGTTGGCCATTGACTGAAGATCTACTGATTAGTGAGTTGAAATCAGTTTATCCAATGATTGGAATGAAACTTAACACTGAACTAAAATCTCACAAAGGGGCTACTTCTTCTACTAATGTATCACACACTAGCATTAAAACAAATTTAGGATTCAAAGAATTCAAGTATAATATAAACAATCATATTCGCACCTTTAGAAGTGATAGTCAAAACTCATTATATCAAAGATTGTTGCAAAGAATCCAATCCCATGCTTCCCCTGAAAAGAGAACAGATGAAATTGGGTCATCTGTAAAAGAGTCTGAGATTTTGAATATCAATGGTAAGTCTACTTTAATTAATAAGTTAATAAAGGGATATTTGAACTATGAAGGATATTTGGAGTCCTTCAAATCATTTGATGATGATTTGCAGAACTTGACAAGAGAGATTGGAACTGAAACAGCAGAGGAATCGGAAAGTAGTTCTAAGCGGGAGAACGTTTCACTTGAAAATTCTCAAGCAGCTAATAGACAGCTTATAATGAACCACATCAGAAACAGTGAGTTTGATCATGCTCTTAATATTTTGTCTGTCAAGTATCCAACGTTGTTGTCTGACACCGGGAATGAAGTTACAAAGGGAACGACAAATAGAGAGTTGAAGAAACAGATTCATATGAATGCATCCATAATATTCGAATTAAAACTATTTAAATATATCAGCATGATTAAAGCACATCTTGAAGAATATAAAAATGGATATCCATTGGGTGAAACTAGGTCCATTGTTAGGTCTGAAATTTTTGCCAATATTTTCAATTATGGGAAAGAATTACTGTTAGAATACCCTAGACATGTATCTAAGATTCAAATGTTTTCATCACTCCTATTAATAAAAGATGGGCAATCTCTAGCTAATTTACCTAGAGCCAGCGATTTTTTACAAAATTACGATGAAAAACTTAATTGGTTGGCCAGTACTGTCAATAAGATGATATTGTACCGTCTTGGATATAAGGCAAACTCTAACCTAGAAAGGATAGTTGGTCAGGTGAATGATAATGTTAGTTCGCTCGGAATAAACTACTGTGATCCTGCATTCATGTTGGTTAACTTTGAAAGAGATTATATGGACTTATAATAGAAATGGTATTACCAACGTATTCAAAATTAATATGACATACTTAATGAAATTATTAGTAGCAGATGTAGAATTCAATTCTTCTTACGCTTCTTGACCTGATCGCTTTCTACCTTAACGTGCTTTCTCTTTTTATCTTCTTCTTCTTTAACTACCTTCCCACTTTTTGGCTCAACCTTGATGTACTTGAATAAAACATCTTTCTCTACTTTGAATGGTAGCTCGATATCGGCCGTAATGTCTATCTTTCCCATATCATAGAACTTCAAAGACCAAGCACCCTTCTCAAGCTCCACTAAACTTTGCTCCTTATTGTTGTTGTTTCCATCTAGAATGTCAAAAATGGCCGGCAAATATTCATCAGTATATTCCTTCAAGTTATACTTAATTTTGGTGTCTGGCCTGGTTGGTTCAAGCACAAAGTATATGAAACTCTCATCACTCAAAAAGGGTGGTGCCAAGCTCAGGATGGGCTCCGCCAATGAGAGTATCAAGCTGGCCGTAGCTGGACCCACTCCACGTAGTTCAGAAGCTTTCTTAGTAGCGTCTTTCACCGTAGATATGTATAATTTCTTATCGGAATCTGTAAATGGGAACGACTTGTTCTGGAGATAGTTAAGTAATGTTTTGAACGCAGATCTAGTGATCAGTTCCACTTGAGCAGCTTCATTTTGGCGAATTAACTTGGGCAAGGTAGGTCTGAATTTGCCCTTTGCAAGTTTCCAGTCCATTAGCAAGATCAATTCATCTTTAGTTAGCCAAGTTTCGCCTTCTTCGTCGTATCTTGCTTTTAATATTCCTGGCAAGTCTGCATTTCTCCATTCATCAAGCTGAGCGAAGGTCCACGAATTATCAAAGTATCTGGTCGTTTTTTGGTCAGATAAGGACTGGATTATCAGGGGGTAGAGCTCCTTGGCGGATCTTTTCAAGATTGGAACAGTCGTCATTATAGATACTGCTTTTAAACAGCAAAAGGGCCTAGAGTAGTGACACCCAATAACACCAAGACCCTGTGCTCCATACTCGTCCGTTTTGGGCAGGTGAGCCGCACAGGTGTTGAATTTTTCACTTTGATCTCCCCAATATGGTAGATCTACAACCATCACTATCACTAGACGTGCTCTACACTTCATCCGTATTTATAATCCGTTGAGGAAACCTTTATTAAATATATAAATCTACCTTTTCTAAAAACAACAAAAAAAATAACAAAACTTGGCCCCAGTATAAAAAGATAAAAAGAAGCAGACAGGGACAAGTTCAACCCAATTTCTAAACATAAAAAATTTTTATAAAAATGAAAGAGTTCGTAAAACCATTAAATGCAGTTGATGCAATTTAAAATTAAAATACAAGAATAATGAAGGGAGGGCGTTGTAAGGGAATATGACATCGAGTTCGTTACAAAATTGATATTATACTTCCAACGCCGAGACCCCGTTCAAAAAGGTAGATTAATCAAGACGATAAGATCTCTAGTATCTGTAGATATCAGCCTTGAATGGACCAACCTTTGGAATACCTAAGTATTCAGCTTGGACGTCACTTAAGACGGTCAACTTGGCACCTAAGTGGTCCAAGTGACACTTGGCGACGGTTTCATCCAAGATCTTTGGTAATAAGTGGACACCAACAGAGAATGGACCGGTCTTTTCGAATTCTGGGTATTCAGATCTGAAACTCTTGTCGTCAGCCTTAAATAAAGCAATTTGGGCTAAGACTTGGTTAGAGAAAGAACAAGACATAACGAAGGAAGAGTGACCAGTGGCACAACCTAAGTTAACTAATCTACCTTCAGCTAACAAGATCAAGTGACGACCGTTCTTCATCAAGAATCTGTCAACTTGTGGCTTGATATTAACAACGGATTCAGCGTTAGCCTTTAACCAAGCGACATCAATTTCAATGTCAAAGTGACCAATGTTACAGACAATAGCATCTTCTGGCATTTGTTCGAATTCCTTACCAGTGATGATATCACGACAACCGGTGGTTGTGACGAAGATTTGACCGATAGAAGCAACTTCACTTAATGGAGCAACTTGGAAACCGGAAACGGCAGCTTGCAAAGCGTTGATAGGATCAATTTCAGAGATGATGACTCTGGCACCCATACCTTGTAAAGCCATGGCACAACCCTTACCGACGTCACCGAAACCAGCAACGACAGCAACCTTACCAGCGATCATAACATCGGTGGCTCTCTTGATACCATCGATCAAGGATTCACGACAACCGTACAAGTTATCGAACTTGGACTTGGTAACGGAATCGTTAACGTTGATGGCTGGGACCTTCAAGGTAGCATCCTTGACCATCTTGTATAAGTGGTGAACACCGGTGGTGGTTTCTTCAGATAAACCGAAACAACCTTCAAGCATTTCTGGGTACTTTTCGTGAACTAAGGTAGTCAAATCACCACCGTCATCCAAGATCAAGTTCAACTTCTTGTTGTCCTTGAAGGCGAATAATTGTTGTTCAATACACCACAAGTATTCTTCGTCGGTTTCACCCTTCCAAGCAAAGACTGGGACACCGGAGGCAGCAATGGCAGCGGCAGCATGGTCTTGGGTGGAGAAGATGTTACAAGAAGACCAGGTAACTTCAGCACCTAAAGCAACAAGAGTTTCGATAAGAACGGCAGTTTGGATGGTCATGTGTAAACAACCAGCGATTCTGGCACCCTTCAATGGTTGGGATGGTCCGTATCTCTTTCTGATGTACATTAAACCTGGCATTTCATTTTCGGATAATTCGATATCTTTTCTACCGAAGGCGGCTAAGGAGATGTCGGCAACTTTGTAGTTGGAGGCTGGAGCAGAGGACATGGTTACAGTTTAGTTTTTTCTTGATCAAAATGTAAAGAGACAATTGACTAATGGGAAAATCTAAAGAAAAGAAGAAAAGAAGGGAAAAGGAGAAACAAGAAGGGCAAATTTCCAAATCAATGGGAAACGTGTGTGTTTTATGCTGGAGTGAAAAATTGAGCAGGCAGTAAAAAAAAAAAAAAAAAAATTTTTCATCACATGCGTGGTTAATGCACGTTGGAGAGATGGCTAAACGAGATACGAGGGAGATGGGGGAGCAGGGAAGAGAAGGGAAGAGAAGGGAAGGGTAAAGTAGTGCTGGAGGGTTGGCTGGTACTCTGGCGTGGTGATGTGGGATTGGCATGTTTGCTCTTGTGTGTTCTTGCTTGCATTTGTTTTGTTTTGGTGTGTTTTGGCTTTATTGTCCGTCCTCTCCTTCACTCTCTTTCAGCTTTTCGTTCTCCGATGCGTGTGGAATTTGGCTCTCTGCCTGGACTGGTTGTGCGTTGTTGGGTTGGTGCGGTGTGCGGATGTCTCTCTCTCTCTGCCCGGTAGCTCGCTTACAATGTAACTATCGGTACCTGGAGGGTACGCAGATAACAGACAGAGTCAGATAGAGATTCGGGCATATGTAGTATATATAGCGGTAGCTGTGCTAGGATCTCTGCTCTTCTCGTTTCTGCTCTGTTCGTGCGGTGGATCGCACTTTTCACACCGGTATGTTTTGGGCATCGCTCTAATGCAATGGTTTCTGTAGTTGCGAATCAGGTAGTTAGTTAAGCACTGCATTGATTATCAGTAATTATTTAAGGAATGCATTGATTATCAATGATTAAATACCAGCAATTATTCGAGCACTGCATTGTCCAGTAATTAGCGATTCGCTATTATTTTGGCAATGGGTCTCTTTTTCAACACTGCTATACTGTATCTGCTCTATATCCACACCACACTACAATCACACGGCACTTCAACTTATACTACTACTTCAGTATCACCCACTACTCTCTGCTACACTTCTCCAACCTCATTTCCTGTCGTACTATTCGTCCATGCATTAAATGTACTATATACAATTACCAGAATCTGTCCTATTCAATGTCAGTCCACTTCACTACATGCTATACGCTGCTGAAACCACTTGCTCCAAATGTTAACGTCAACATCAAATGTCTACCTATTTCATATCAAACAAACACCAAGCCAAAAATTTGATCACTTTATATCTCAAACTTTAACCAATCTAAATCCTGATCCACTTCGCCTCTTTGGTTTGCTCCTGATATGCCGGTACCACCGTTATAATGATTTTTCTCCTCCTTCAATCCAGTAGTCAACGAAGACACTGCCTTTGAAGCTGGAATTGAAATCTCGAATTTTTGTCCAGGTTCTGCAAAGTCTCGCTCGTCCACATCATTTTGCAATGAAGTATAATTCTTAAAAAAGTCATCTGTAACCATTTCATCGTCATTCATTCCCAGGGATCTAGCTGCATTGTCAATATTGTTATTGTTGTTACTATTATTACCTTTCAACTGGCTATCATAAATTTCATCATTGAAGTTCGTGGAAAAGTGGCTGCCCTCATAGAATGACGATCTTTCGCTCCCTGGAGTATGGGCACCGTTTCTGGCACCGTTACTTTCGAAATATCCTCCAGTTTGTGAAGAAAACCTCTGATTGAGTAACCCAATGTTAGTTGGTGTTAATGAGTTTGTTGGCGGAGTACCTTGATTCATGTTCCCTAACACCGAATTCTTCCTCTGCAAGTTTGAGAAATTTGCATTAGAGGTCCTTCTACTTAAACTCATGGATTGGAATGATGTAGTGGATCCCCTCTTGCTGTAAGAAGAGAGAGAGACTTGAGAGGGAGTCCTCCTAGTAAACGACGATGGTTCGCAAAAATCCGTTTCAACCTTCTTCCTTTTGTTATTATCAGTAGAGGTTCCATTAGTAAATGGAGAAATTGAAAGGGTAGGGTCACCCAATTCGTGATGTTCGTTGGGTATTGGTATACCTTTCATTGCTATTGACCTTGGTGTGGGAGCTTGCAGAATGTTCTGTGGCAGCTGTGCCGACAGCGTTGGCGTGCTAACGCCGCCCTGTGGTTTCGGAAGAATCAACACATTCTTATACCTCGAGCCCACGCTATTATTATTTGTATTACTGTTGCTGTTGCTGTTGCTGTTGAAGTTAGGGTTGTTGTTCATGTTAATGTTATTGCTACCCACCGAATTGTTTATTCTGGCAGGCGAATTTAATGATGAGGCATTGTTCATGTATAAAGCGTTTTGCGCATAGTATGATGATGAAGATGATGAAGATATGGGGATCCCGTTAGGGTAATTATATGGATTTCTATTTGGAAGTGACGTAGAGAAATCTTGAAATGAATTCTTCCTAGAACGTGACGAAAAGGCACCACCTGGGGAGTTGTTCCCAACTGAGCCTGGCGTTATTTTCGTGTTTGAAGGTAATCTTCTTGAGTTTCTCTTCTTAATAATGTCAGTCTTTAAGCTTAATGGTCTGGTTGTTCCATGAAGCTTTTGGAACAATCCACAAGCATTGCAAAGGGTGTTTCCCTCTGGATCTTTTCTCCAAAGTGGAGTCTTTAGGGTATGACAGTTGTGGCATTCCGTTGGTGTTGAAGATTCGCCAGCTGCGCTATTCCCTAAGGTGCCACTAGAAGGCCCAGAAATCGTGGATGCAGTGTCACTATTACTGCGGGGGGAGTCGATACTCCTAGGATTAAAGTGCTGTTGTTGTTGTCGTTGCTGTTGCTGTTGTTCTTGTAATATCGATGTCGTCAAGTTGGATTTAGTTTGGTTCTGGCTCGTAGGCTCTTCCTTCAATTTGGTTATGCTGTCATTGTACTCATTATTATTAGTAGTATTAGATGAGGTGGGAGTATTCTTTTGGGGTATCTTGAGTTGGTTTTGAGAACTCCACGATGCTGAGGTGTTGGGGGTATCGGAATTATTTCTGCTGTTGTTGGAGGAGTTACTGCCCGGAGGAGAGTCGTCGTTCATACTGGTGGGCGTGACATACGCCTTGACTGAGCTGTTGGCATTCGCGGTTGTGGTCGATGAGTTGGTCACCGATTTCGTTATGCCAAGTTTGTTGTTGTTCTTCAAGTCGTCTAGAGAGACGGGAGACAATAAATCTAATGCATTCATGCTGGTGGACGTCGTTTCTTCGGAATCGTTGTGCAGCTTCTGCGTCTTCGAGTTTTCCTTCCTAAGTTGTCTGTTTTCCACTCGGGTTTGTAATCGTAATAATTTTTTTGCGGACAGGAAGAGTTCTAGGATAGATGGAGCAGAGTCTAGTTCATCTCTTGCTTGCATCATCTAGTGGTGGAAAGTTATGACTGAGAGTGGCTCAAGTTCTTGTTTTTGGTGTAGAAACTGTTTTTCTTGTGTTAAAAATTTTCCTCTGTAGTCTTGCTTGGCAGTGTACTTTGTAATACAAGCGCAAAGTGTACTGTACTGGCAAGGTGGTGGATCTGTTGGTCACTGGCGGATGTACTGGCGGTACAGCGCAACTCTGGGGATGTTCTGGGGGTGTTTTTAGTGTGTTCTGAGGCTGTATTGGGTAGTCTTGATTGCGTATTCACTAACCGAGACCTGGTTTGAGTCCAGAAGGGGATCTTTTGAAGCTCTATATGTAGCCGAGTGGAGCACCAATATACGATGCGCTGATTATCCGAGCTGGTGAGTGTAATGCTAAAGCGTGTGCGAAGTTCCTTCTAAATCCTGCGTTTTCTTTGTAACTTAGCTACGTTTGTCTAACTATATATCTCTAGTTCGCTTACCTAGCTATAACTACCAAGAAAATAATAAAAATTCTGCTTCTGTAACTTTGAATTACCTCCGCTATAAAATTTTACCGTTCTCACTTAAAAAGATTTTCGTTTCTTTCTTTTTCTTTTTTTTTTTGCTTTTTTTTTTGGCCTATTTTGCTTATTTTGCTTTTTGTGCACAAATGGCGGGTAGAAAGCGGAGTTGTCTGCAGGACGGACGGGGTACTGCGAAGGCAGTTGGTGCGGTTCTTCTTGCTCGTCTCCGGCGGGAACGTGAAATTACGAAAAAATAAGGTGAATGGGACGTAATGGCGATTTAGAGCCAGAATACGAAGGGGAGAGGTGGGGTGGATGGTAGGCAAAGAATGGAACTGGAAGGGGAAGGAAACGAGGGAGGTGAGCTAGGGGGAAGAGATTGTGCAATACTGCTTGAGTGTGTGACTATTAACGTTATTCTTCTCTGGTGATGCCTTGTCTTTTGTCTTCCCACTCTGTTTAAGTTAAGTCTCCCCACGCACATATACAGGAAAATTATGGCGTTAAGTGCGTTCGCTGTAGTCAGTGCACCTCACCATTACGCTCAGGTTCAGTTATGCTTAACGTACTATAGAGATAAAAAATATTATTATTACTATTGTTAGAATTGGTATTACTACGAAATAATTATTATGTACATATATTCTTATTATTATTATTATTATTATTATTATTATTATTTTCATTTTTATTACTAATAGTAGGAAAGAATCGAGTTATGCGAGCTCTAAAACTACCGTACCGATGCGAAGGTAAGAGCAGATTCTCCGCACTAGCTACTTTCAGGCCATTATTTGGCTTTCTCTTTTCTTTTCTTTTCATTTCCTTTCTTCTTCACTTCTTTTCATACTTGCTAGGGCTGGAGTACGGGGCCCACTGAGGGGTGGCTCGAGGGAAATAAGGTTTTATGTGCGCTCAGTTGTCTTCCGTATGTATGCAATCACCTCTGATGGTTACATAAAAGTCTAATGTTGAACGTCTTCGTGAGCGCCTATTTGTGCAGCTGTGCATTAAAAGAGGGCTTATGCAGACTTTTTTGCATGGAATGGCAGGAGATGCAAGATTTAATAATTTTATAGGTAGCTGTGACAGGGAAGAAGAAGAAGAAGAAAAAGAGGAGGAGGGGGAGCATTAAGCAAAATAGCTGGGTTGGAGCCAAATGAGATCCAATATGGCCCGCGGGGTGGAGGGAGATGAAGTTGCCGTCATTGTTCTATCTCCTGGAAATCCTGTCTGGGTGGAAGTGTGGACTATGTGGAGCTGAAATCTTTTAGAATTGAGTAATTAATTATTTTTTAACCTAGTCTGCATAAAATTTTTCAGATCTTGATTCTCTCGGTTCTTTCTACAGGGGTGCCCATCACTTTTGGTGGTTTGTCTGGTATCATTTTGGTTACCTTTGGATAGTCGTTCGTATTGTATTCTCTCTGTTCTTCCTACACCCAGCACTCTCGGCGGTTTCTCTCCTATCATTTTGCTTCCTTTGGTTAGTCGTTTGTATTCTACTCTCTCTATTCTTCCTACACCCAGCACTCTCAGTGGTTTGTCTACTATCATTTTGCTTCCTTTTGTCATTGGTACTCTATTCTCTCTGTTCTTCCTACACCCAGCACTCTCGGCGGTTTCTCTCCTGTCATTTCACTTTCCTTTGGTTAGTCGTGTGTATTCGGTTTTCTACGTACATTAAGCCTCGGGCTCGTTCTTATTGGAATACAGCTTCGGGTAACGGCGGTTTCCTCCCCCATGCTTATCTGAACCTCCCGAATGCAGCAGTGGGTTGTTGTTGTCAGAATGTAATCTATATTCGAAAGAAACACCGTAGACCCTCTCATTCGAACCTGAATCCAACGTTTCAATGCTATCAGATCCTCTGGTGATTGTTTTGCATTCACGAATAATTCTCAAAATGGAGTCACAGATAATTCTTCTTGCTTGGAATGAAGTCAATTTCTTGGAAGTCTTATCGGTGTCTTCAGCTACATCTTTATTGTTTGCACTTTGCTTCTTCTTATTGAAATTCAAATTGGAGTTCCAGATACTAATAATGTCTTCGTCTTTTCTAACACTCAAAACTAAACCTGAAATGTCATTGAGAAGTAAATCTTGGATTTCCTCAGAATACGTGGAGTCTGGAATGATTGAGCCGGTCATGGTCTTGAGGATCAACCTTTCCCAGATCAAACTGGATTTTTTACGGACATTCATCGACGATTCTCCATCTGAATCCTTGCTATTGTTGCCGGGAGAACGACGACTGAATCTGAATACCCAACGTCCTCCCTTGGTGTTTATAGGATCTTCCCAGACTGGATTGACTCCACTCTTGAAGATGAGCAACTCGGTCCCGATAGGTAACTCGTAAGTTTTCTTTAACGTAGACAAGCAGGCCCACATTTGCTCCAAGGACCCGATATTAGTGGTCGTCTCAGTGGTATTGTTCAACTTGGGGAACTCAATCTCGTTGGTGGTCTGCAAGTATGAGTTGACAGCTACAGATGAGTCGGTCTCGGTACTAGTACCAGAACCAGTGCCCGAAAGGGCAGCGACAGCGGCAGCGGTGGATGCTGTAGCTGATGATCCTGCTACAGCTGCTGCTGCTGCCCCTGAACCGTCTTCTTCTTCCACCTCTTTCTGTTTAGGTTTGGCCCTAGAATGGTGCCATATGGTCCAACAGTACGGCAACACATGGTGGTCCGCTGGGATATCCTTCAACGTCTCCTCTGCCGTCTTGATTGGGTCCTTCTTGGGCAACTCGATATTCGGGTTGGGCATGCTGTTACTGTTATTATTGTTGCCTCTGTATCCGTTTCCGCTGCCACCATTGTACGACTTGTAGCCACCCTTGTGGTGATGATGATTCGATGCGTGATGAGAACTATGATTATTGATGTTATGACTGCTGTTACTGCTATTACTACTGTTGATATTATTGTTGCTGGAATGTTCGCTATGATGGTTATTGTTGTTGTGGTGCCTCAGCCCATAGCTCTTTGAAGACCCTATGGAAGATGTCATCCCCCCGGTTTTGGACTGAATTCCGTTGCCAGAATTGGAGTTCGTGCCGCCGGAGTTGGAACCGTTCTGGTTCATTATCCTATTGAAAAGCGATTCAGCTCTTTTCAAGTTTTCTGACATGGTTTTTCTCTGTGTTTGTGTTAGGGTGTGTGTCTACGGCAATGCTAGATGCGAGAGGGGTCTTTTTGGGGCGTTTCAGGGGGTCTTTTTCTGTAATTTTGGTTGGTCTTCAAGAAAGAAAAATTTTGTGCTTCTCTTTAAACTTTTTTGCAGATTTTCAAATTTTTCGCTCTGCTTTTGCGCTTGGAATTGTTCGTCGCTGTAGCGCTGTTCGACGAGATCTGGTCCTGCGTGTAAGAGATGTGCCTGAGGATCGGAGGGTAGGGAAGAAAGGGAAGAAAGGGAAGGGAGGGAAGGGAGGTAAGGGAAGGAAAGGGAGGTAAGGGAAGGAAAGGGATGGAAGGGAAGGGATGGGGAGTCGATGGGGAATGGAAGAGAAAGAATGGAGTGGAAACGGGGAATGGAGAATGTGAGATAGGGAAGAACAGAAGAACAGAAGAACAGTGCAGAGTTTTTTGGTGCAGTATTTTTGGTGCAGTTTTTTGGTGCAGTTTTTTGGTTGGGTGCTTATAGGTGCAGTGTAATGAGAGAGAGCGAGTGCGTATGGCGAGTAGACTGGGTTAGGACAGAAGAGGTGGGAAGGATAAGCGTTTTTTAGCAGCTTGACCTTTTCGTCTTTTTATGGGGCTTACGGGGAGCTGGCGCATTTTTTAGGAAGCGTAAGTGGGCGGTTCTACTTATTGGTGGTGGCATTGAGTTGGTGTATTCAGTGGTGCTCAGTGGTGCTCAGTGGTGCCCGTGTGAGATCTGCGCTTGTGTGGGCTTTGGAAATCGCGCCGGGTAACTAGAGAGTGCATTTAGCCAGGAATCAAAGGAACCGCATACTATGATGATGGGGTGCTAGGATGCTGGGATGCGGGATGAGGAGGAGGCTAGGAAGAGAAGAGGAGGTGCTGGATGGTAAGTGAAAAGATGCTGGATGGGTAGAGGAACCACAAAACTTCGATCTCTGGACAAGTACGCTAACACCTTTTTTGCGTGTTGTACTGCTGAGTGTCTCTTCTTATTTCCTACCCTACTGGTTTGCTCACGCTCACTCTGACTGGTAGGAAAAGTTCTCTCGTTATGCACAGTCTTCGCAGCATCGCATGCGGGACAAATGTGCTGCAGAACTTCAGTTAGTGATGAGACCCTTTGACAGACTCTCCCCGTCCAAAGTCCTCGCAATCCAGACTTCAACTTACTGCTGTACGCTTAAGAATATGACGTTCTCCACTCTCAGGCTCGTCTCTGGATTTCTGCACTAAATAAATTTTTACATTCGGCACGATTTCTACATCGTTCCAGGCGTCTCTGCTATTCACTCTTTACAAACACACATAGTCACCTTGCACCCATTCTACATTTCCCCTCTTTCTAAATTACTCTACAGTCTTGCTCATATCACCATATACTTTATATTCTTTATATTCTTTATATTCTTCATATTCTCACATCTTGCTAAAAACTACTTAACCTCTTCCATAGTAATGCAAGTACCCACCCAAGGTCTTACATCCATTAATGTAGTTGCTAACATCTAATTTTTCGTTGATTGAATGTGCTCCATCGTCTCCTCTACCCATAGGTAATAATAGCACGTCAGTTCCTAACAGTTGCTCAAAAGTAACTGTGATTGGAATGGATCCACCTTCTCTGGTGAAATCAGGCTTAACACCCCACACGTCTTCAGTGGCCTTGGCAGCTGCAGTGAAGGCATCATTAAATGGGTTGGAAACCCAGTATGCACCATCGTGGATTAATTCGGCCTTAATTACATTTGGTGAGTTCAATTCAGCAAACTTCTTGTTAACAAAGTCGATGACTAACTCGTCTAACTTGTTAGATTCAATGTCTGGAACAGTTCTGATAGAAAACTTACCAATGACCTTAGAAGGGATAACAGTCTTGGCTCCTCCCCCAGAGAAAGCACCTTCAATACCATGGACTGATAAGGATGGGTATCTCCATCTGTGCTTCAAGATATCTTGCTTTTCAGAGTATAATGAAGTCTTAGATCCTGAAGCTGCATTCAATTCTTCCACTGAAAAGTCAATGTCGTCATATAATGCGTTTTCCTTGTCAGTTAATGGAGCGATCATTTCTGCAATACCTGGAATCAAGATTCTACCTTGACCATCGACTAATTGAGACAAGACTTTAATTAAATCGGTCATTGGTTCAGCAATAATACCTCCAAAAATACCAGAATGTAAATCGGCTCCTGGTCCCTTAATGGAAACTTGGTAGTAGTTACATCCTCTCAATCCGTAGGTCAAAACTGGCTTGGTGGTACCCAACCAATAGTTATCGGAGATACAAACAGTGTCAACTCCCTTGAAGTAAGCTTCAGCTTCTTGGGCAATAAGCTTGTCCAATCCAACAGATCCACTTTCTTCCATACCTTCAAAACAGCAGACTAAATTGACAGGTAATTCCCACTTCAATTCGTTGTGAGCTTCTACAACGTTAAGCCACCCCATAACTGGGCCCTTATCGTCGGTAGAACCTCTACCAAACAAAATGTCCTTGACACTGTCATGGACCAAAGTGAAAGGGTCAGTGGCCCAACCATCTTCCTTTAAGGCCGGTTGGACATCGTAATGACCGTACACCAAGACGGTCTTCTTTGATTTGTCATTACCCAATCTGGCTAACACCACAGGTGGTAACTCCAACTTAGGATTTTCCACTGGTGGGGGTTGGATTCCTAATTCCTTCACCTGTATGTCCTCAAAGCCCAAGCTGGTCAATTCCTTAACCAAAAAGTGTGCCATGTCGACCACCTTGGGTCTCAAGGATTCATCTCCGGAAACTGAAGGAATTGCAACAGCCTTAGAGAGCCTCTCAATGAAGGCAGGCTTCAATTCATCGATTTTATCGAAAAGTGGTTGTAATTCAAGTTTAGTGTAGGACATTGTGTACAGAGTAAGAGAAAAGGAAAAACGTCGGTTATACTACTTTATTTTTTGTACTTTTCACTCCCGTTGCTTCTTCCCTTGTGTAAGGCATTCTGTTCTTTTTTTTTTTCCTATGCTTCATGGTGTTGCCGTCTCAAGGGGTGGACATAAGCAAAAAATGCGGCTCTTATTTTCCGCATGCGTAATTTAGTTCCTTTGACGTTTAGCGTGAAACCCAGTAATGTGTAACAGATATGTAATGGTGGTAGTTGTACGCTAATGTGTTGATTTTTTATTGACGCTGGACCCGTCTTGGTCGTGGTTGCATAAATATTTTTCTTTTGTATTATTTTTCCGGCTTCATAGTTGTATCTGCTGCAATCACTCTGAGTATGTTCCTGTCATCATACCTTGAGACCTTCGTAAAATCTGCCACTAGTATATCTGAAATATTTTCCTGCACAATGCACCCTGTATGGTCTACCCTCTCTGTAGCGTAGCTGAAGAGTAATCCATTTGCTGCTTGTGTAGGCAGTACTAGAGAAGTAAGGGAAGGTATATGAGGTATGAGCGACTCATCTCCTTCTTCTTCTTCTTCTCAGAACTCCTCTACTGAAGAAGATGTGGATATAATGGAAATTATTACAGGATCACCGCCCAAGAGGAATCTGTCTCGCTATCGTAGACCTGTGAAGAGGAACAAGAAAGATGGGGGCCAGCAGATCAATCCAGGGAGTGGTGACGACGAATTCGATCTAAGCTTGCCTGCAATTTTTCAAACAGAAGCAAGGAAGAACGAAGAGCTATCTCTAAGGAACAAAAAGATCGAAAGTGAGTTGGCAGAGCATGATGCCCAGGTTAGGCATGAATACTCTGAATTAGTGTGGGAGCAAGAGAGAATAATTGGTCAACTTAATGACAATGGTTCCGAAGGTAAAGTGTTGTTTCTGTTAGATAAGGATAGAGATTACATCGAAGACATAATGACATGCAAGAAGAATGATCTGGATGGCGTGAAGCACTACTACTTTCTAGTGGAAGAAAGAGCAGCGGTAGACAATGGAAATGGATTGTTTAGGGATGAGCCTGACGAAGAGTACTATGTATATGATCAATTTGAATATCTTCACAGGAGAATTATAGAAGAGGATATTGATTTCAAGGAAATTACAGACTATGTATTTGATCTTAAGGAAGTTAACAAGTTAGAACGGTGGGTTCAATTCTTCAAAGAGATCCAATCGGACTCTTATGAGTGTAAAGGCATTGAAGATATTGACTTCTTCTCTTATATGAAATCTTTCGGTGGGTGCAGTGATCATCTTCGCTATGAGTTCAAGGAACACCTTCCAAAGAAATATATCCACTTTTACCGTGATTCAGAAATCGCTTTGAACAAATTTGCTATCATGTACTACGGAGAACTAAAGACAAGCTCGTCTACTTATTGGGGTGACTTGCGACCGTTTATATTGATGTTTTCCGATTTCTACCTCAACAAGAATTACTCTGATAAGCTTGTAGAGACAATGGTGCCCGTATTTGCTTTAATGCTTAAAAAGAAAGAGTCTAAGTTTATTAGTGAATTCTTGAAGGAGCTAAGGTATATGACCTTGGAGCAACAATATAATATCTTATACAAGCTTCAAACCAACGGAGAGACCCAGGGCGATGCTTATCATGAGGCAGTAAGCTCAATGTCCTTGGCCTTTATATCCGACGACAAGGGGAACATACTCAGCGAGATTCTGCCGGAGCTAGAACTCAAGTTACTTGAGAAATTGTTCAATGAAATCAAAGCATCCGAATTCGAAGCTGCTGGGCCACCCTCTCAACTCAAATATGACAAGCCATTCTATCAGTTCAAGCTTTTGAATATTTTCAACTTCGGACCAACGTCTGATATAAATCTATTGCACCATATCGATAGAGCACTACAGGATACAAAAGACTATTTACACAGGAGGCTAGGGGTACTATCTGAATCCAAATCAGAGCCAAAAGAGGACCTCGCTTATTTAACCCAGATGTATAGTATAGTTGAGATTATGAGTCTAGGATTGGAGAAGAAGTTGATCTGGAATCAGCAGCGCTCCGATTTATTCTATTCTGAAGAGTAAAGAGTAAGTTTAGCGTTAGGCCCAGTATAGAAAACAACTTGTTGTTGTGTCAGGTAGAGGTGAAAAACTTCAAGGAGCCAAGAATTGTGATCCAGCGTCGTTAACTACCAAATGGTTCTATTCCGGTACCAAGTAATTAAGTAACTAACAGTTGCTTGTATTCCGGTACCAAGTAATTAAGTAACCAACAGTTGCTTGTACTCCGGTACCAAATATTAAGTAACTAACAGTTGCTTGTACTCCGGTACCAAGTAATTAAGTAACTAACAGTTGCTTGTATTTCGGTACCAAATATTAAGTAAATAATTCCGGTACCAAGTATTAAGTAACTAACAGTTGCTTGTATTCCGGTACCAAGTAATTAAGTAACTAATTCCGGTACCATGTATTAAGTATTCTGTGACTTAAATAAATATTTATTACTTCTGGTGATAATTTCAAGAACGCATCAAACCTCAAAACGTGCCCCTGCAATATGAGTCAAACGAGATGGGACTGCGAATAATGTCACAGCGGTAATAATGTATACAATATGGGATAGACTCACTAGATGGAAGCCAAAAAAAATAAATACATAGAAAAATCGCAAAAAGTTTAACCTTTTTCTTACTGGGTTAGAACGGAACGATATAGCTTGTATAGTTATACTATAGTTCTTCTCCAATTTATACTTGTAATATTACTTCATAGTTAATAGATATGACCGCGTTAAACTGGAAAAACCCTGAGTTGGACAATGAAATCGGTTCTGAAGTTAAGTTAACCTACGGATTTGGACCAGTCCCCACCAAGAATAAAAGAATCTTTTACTTTGATATTGACAATTGTCTCTATGAACGATCTACAAAGATTCATGACTTGATGCAAGTAAAAATCCACCAGTATTTCAAAGATCACCTTCTGCTTGACGATGATGAGGCAAACAGGCTCCATATGACGTACTACAAAACATACGGATTGGCAATCGAAGGTTTGGTTCGAAACCATAAAGTGGATGCCTTGGAATACAACTCCAAAGTCGATGACTCTTTAGACTTGAAATCTGCCTTGAAGCCTAACCCAGAATTGAGAGAGATGTTGATCAAAATCCGTCAATCAGGCAAGTTCGACTACTTCTGGCTTGTTACAAACGCTTACAAGAATCACGCGTTAAGATGTATTTCATTCTTAGGCTTGGGAGATTTGTTTGATGGGTTGACCTTCTGTGATTATTCCAATTTCCCCATCGTATGCAAGCCAATGACTAAGTACTACCACAACGTGTTTCAGTTGACAGGTATTGACTTCGAGGACAAGGAAGCGATGGGCCAGCAATACTTCATCGATGATAGCGAAATCAACGTGAAGGCTGCCTTTGATTTGGGCATGGGGAATGTTTACCACTATGTCGAAGTTGATAAAGAGTATGAAGCCTTGATACGTAAAGAAGACTTCAACAAGTACTATGGTGAAGGTAAGATAAAGCTAGTGAGGCATATTTTAGATGTTGGCAAAGACTTTTGATAGACAGTATTCATATAGCCTATAGAGATAGAATTTAAATAGTAGAACCTAAGAGATCAATATAGTATGAACGACTGTAGCGCATTTCTTAGTCATCAGATTTTCGATATCTTATCTAAAAAATTTGGAATGGTTAATGGAACTCTTTTACTTTCACCTTTTTTTTGGCTACCTTGACCAGCATCTTATATTACAATTCGTAGCTGCCATGACTCAACCAAAGGGTAGGATAATCTTTTTACACGGCTTCACTCAGAGCTCGTCGATATTCTATGCCAAAACTTCAGCTCTTCGCAAGAAGCTTTTGAAACTGAACTATGATATCATATATTTGAATGCACCACTAAAGCTTACGCCAGCGGACTTCCCAACCACTGATTCACTTTCCAAATTTGGGACGGTAATAGCAGAACCAGACGAAGAAACTAACTATAGAGCTTGGTGGTTTAAAAATACAGGTAAAATCGACACAGTACCTGCCATTGCAACCATTGAAAAATTCTTGGAGACTGGCCAAGTACATGAGGATGATGATACAAAGGATAAGAAGTATTTAGCATCATACAAAGAAACTGACGAAGTTCCTATTGTTGGAGTAATCGGATTTTCCCAAGGTGCTGCATTAGCTGGAGCACTTGCACGTAACTTCAATACCTTGTTCGGAGCTAAAGCCAGTGGTAAGTTAGATTTGAGGTTTGTAGTGCTGTACTCTGGATTCAAAGTAGAATTTGACGAATTCAAAGGGTTTTATGAATTCGATAGTTCAAATGTAGAGAAAAAGGATGCCTTCAAGATGCTTCACGTTATAGGAGAGTTGGATAGTGTTGTTGAGGAAGATAGGGCTCTAAGCTTGTACAAAGAGTTCGAACTGAAGAGTGACATCTTGAAGCACCCTGGTGGACATTTCGTTCCAAACTCCAAAATGTTAATAGACCAAGTTGTCAATTGGATAGAAAATGCCATGATTCATGAAAAGGCGGAAACTGAGAAGAAGGAGGATGACTTGGATGACTTAGATGCTCTTATGGATATGATGGACAATTTGGGTAAAGTTTAGACATTAATTTGAAGTTTTTTATAGATTATAGATTAGCAAACTATTTAGCTAAGTACTTATATACAAGTTTTATAACTCATCGTGTGCTTCTTGTTCTTGTTTTGGCTTCTTACCAGTTCTGTATTTGTAGTAATACTTTTGTTCCTTCTTCGACAACGGACCTTCAGTAGGCTTCACTCCATTGTTCTGTTCTACGAGCCATTCGCTTATTTTGATGTTATCGACCTTCTTGTTACCAATTTCGAGAGTTTTGAAGCTTCCAGAGTTTTCATCAAGAACAAGCAAAGCAGGAAGTGCTAAGCCTTCAGGAATGGATACGCTCTTGCCATTGACAGTAAAGCTTGGTTCCGATCCAGTGGTTACACCACCGGTCTTCAGAATAACAGAGGCAAATCTATAGCTAGAGAGGAAATCGATAGCCAAGGACTTGAGCATAGGGCCTGTGGCCTTTGTAGACTCAGTCAAAATGATCACTTTCTTGAACCCAATGGAACTGTCTTCCACCCAATTCTTGAGAGCTTCAGAAGAAACAGATTGGAACTTCTTGACATAATTTTTAATTCTGGATTGCAAGAACGTCCATATAGCCTTCAAAGATCTCTCTCCATTATAAACTTCGGATGCATGTCTATTCGACTTTGAGCTAGCCTTCGGATCGTTGTCCTCATACTTAGGTGGTCTGAACACCATGACAGTGGGGAAGCCCGAAACTTGGTACTTGGCGCACAAGGGCTTGTTGACTTCCCTGTCACAGTTGACAGCAACAACGTTAGTAGCATACTTACCTTCTCCATGAATAAACTTACCCAACTTCAGAAATGTGGGCTGCAACTGCTTACAGTAACCGCACCATGGTGCGTAGAACTTTACAATGGATGTGTAGTTGGTCTTAAGAACAACCTTGTCAAAATTTGAAGGTGTTAACTCATACACATATTGGTCTTGTACATAGTCTCCTTCTGCGACAACCAACGAGACGAGGAGATAGAATAAGAGAATGAGTTTCATTATGTACAGTTACAGTTGATATCATGAGCTATCCACTCCAGAAGCAAAGCACAAATATTTTCATCGGAACCATATCGGAGCTGTTCCACGTAAGCGAAAAATTCGCAACCAAAAAAAATCGAGAAGGTGAAGGAACTTGTCGAGCTGTGTGCTTTTTAGGTTAGTGGGGTGGAAGAAGGTAGAGGAAGAGTGGGCTAAATGTGCTCTGTTGTTCTCAGTGTGGGAAGTTCCGAGGAGCCGATTCGAAAATAGTAAACTACTGAGTATTTAATGGAACTACTACGTATTTAGTGGGTCTATATTCACACTTGTATACAAGTCCTGTATTTGTTAAATAAAAGGCTAAAATATAGCAAAATTAAAAGGTCAAGAATGACAGTCCGGCACGTTTAATGGTATTATTGTGTTTGCTAGTTATCATTGTAGTAGTCAATTTACTTTCGTACTTCTTTCCCATATGATGTTTCGTTGTTTTTTTTTCGTTTTTTTTTGATACATATATATATATATATATATATATATGTTTTAATTCTCTTTTTAATTTTATATTCTCGGGGGGTTAAAGTTTGATCTTAAGTCTTTTCTCTTGTTTTAAAATATGTCGTTATTGTCGTGTGTTTAAACTTATGAGAATGGGTTTAATATTCTCACAGTCAAACATGGTAAAGCCATTCCAATTTCTGCACGAATGAGAACTGGAACTTGCTTCAATTCTCTAATTTCTTGTATACAATGATTGTTTTCTTCTCTAACAACAGCATCTTGTAAATATGGCCTTAAACCTGATGGTACTCCACTATCAACGTCCGATGGATTCTTGGATGCAACTGAGTTTGAGGATGAAGTCCTCAAATTCTTTGGGTAGTCTGACTTTAATGGCGAAGATGGCATAGATTTAGTAGTGTTTTCATCAAGTAAATCCGCAACACTGTCAGTTCTAATGGATGGAATCTTCAATACAGGAGGACTTAAGTTGAATTTAGATAATTTTTCAATTATTGTATTCTCGTCTGCCTTGCTGTTTGAAATTTGCAACTTAGCCGCTTCGACAGCAGAAGTTCTGTGTTTATTCTTAATTGAACTACGGTAAGATAATGAAGATTTTTCATCTGGGGGTATATAAGTTGCCAGATCGACTCCCTTCTCCCAGAATAATTCCAAGATTCTTTCATTTTTATCGAACTCCGCTTTCACTAATGGCAACTGGTCTCCATGCACTCTCTTCTCAACTCCAATTTCAGGAATAAATACATCAAACGACGATTCATAAACTTGAATAACAGTCCCCATACAAAGTAATTGTCCTGAAACTTGACTAAGGTCGTCAATTGTTTGGGATAATAATAAATGGATGGCTTGTTCTTGGGCATTGGCAGCACAGTCTTTCTTAAAGTTGCAATAATCTGCAGTAGCTTTCAATGATTCTAAATCAAATGAAATTCCCGTACTGCCATTATTAGGTTGATCCTTCTTCAATATAGACTTCAACTGTCTGTGAACAAGTATATCAACGTATCTACGAATAGGGGCATTGAAATGAGTGTATAAAGGTAAGTTGAAATAGTAATGTCCATAAGAATCAGGATCCTGCTTTCCTGCAACAAAATATTTTCCTCTTGACATACATTTGAATAACAAGATCTCAATACATTGCCTCTTTACAGGATCATCAATTTGTATAATAGAATTTTGTAAAGTAGCTGCATTTGTTGTGTCGATCTTAACTCCCAAATTATTAGCCTTTCTAACAAAAACTTCCATTTTCTGCAATGTCGGTAAAGCATGACGCCTCAACATTGCCAAATCTCCTAATCCAGCATGAATCTTGGCAGCAATTGCTCCATTGACTTTATGGCTGATTTCTAAGATAATATCATTTGCCGAACTGTCTTTGAAAATATTCAAATCCAATCTGACTCTTTCATCATCCAATTGATCTAATAAAGTCAAGTTTGGAGATATATTCAAACTTTTGTTGTCCAATCTTTGTCTACGGAATTCTCTGGCAATTAATGATAAAGTTTTGATGTAATCACAAGTAGCAGAAGAAATTGACAACTCTGAGACGACTTTTGAGTTGGAGTCATTGTTCAAAATGGTATCAAATGCATCATATGAAACTATTTGCTTAGGAACAATTATACTTTCATGGATATATAAATCTTCTACTTCGAAATTCGTAGTATCGATTTCGAAAATAACAGATACAGCCAAATTCTTTTCTCCTTCCTTGAACGATATAATTTCATTCACTTGAGGAGGTAATAAATGACTCTGTTTCTGAGGAAGGAAAACCAGTGAAGATCTCTTCTTTGCTTTTCTATCAAGGACTGAGCCTGGTTTAACGAAGAAAGATACATCGACGGAATGAAATCCCAATTCAATTTTGGTGTTTGACAATCTTTTAACATGTAAAGCGTGATCAACGAACTGGCCGTTTGGTGAAAATGCGATCACGTATTCATTGAGATATTCTACACGGTTCACTTGGTTCAAGATTTCATCCTCTGCACTTGGCAAATCTTTGATATAAGATTGAATAATCGCATTGCTTTCTTCTTCGTCGTTATCAATTTCACCATACTCATCACATGAAAAATTGTTATCTCTTAAAATTGAATCAATCTCAGTATTTGAGTCGTCAATTGATCCCAATTTATTCACTAAAGTACCAAATGGATGCAAAGAGGTGATTGGCCATCTTTTGATGGAGGCAACAAATAGTTGATCCAGATACTTTTCATGATTTTCAACAAAATCTCTTGGTGCTTGCTCCGTTGGAATGGCAATAAGTGGAACTTTCTTGTCAGTTGGCTTAAACCACACAATTTTAGGTGACTTGGGTGTTTGAATATTCAGCTCTTTTCCATTCTTCTTATCCTTGGCAACTTGTGCAGCTTGAGCAGGCCTCAATAATCCAAGAGTTCCAGAAAATAACTGCCCTGGGATTCTATCAACAACTGCTACAACATGACCTGCGTAAAGTGGTTTGATTTCATCATTAATTTCCTCTTCTTCAACAAGTAACAAGGATTGACCTTCCACTTCTACGTCGTCATTCTTCTTCATGGTTGGTCTTTGCTTAAGGGATCCTCTTCTGGTGAGATTGGGATTGGAATCATCGCCATCGATTACTTTATCGTCGTCTTCATTATTGTTCTTGGTAGAACTGGTGGCATCGTTATGAATGTCATCATTCAATACAGAAGCTGGGCCCTTGGAAAAGGTATTGTCTTTTCTTCTCTTCTTCTCCTCCTTTTCCTTCTTTGATTCCCAAACTTCATCTACAACCAACAATTCAATGGCAACTAAATCACCTTCCAAAGCACGATTACGATCTTTAGACCCACAAATGAAGATATCTGCATCTAAAAGTCCATCAGTAGAGACGTAAGCGTCAGATCTATTCTTCTTATTGACTCTTAATGTACCTGTTACAAGTCTGCCGTCTGCAATTAGATCCGGAAGCGGCAGTTGAGGTAAGTAAGGGGCAAAAAGTGACTTACGGCCATTGGAGTTTGAATTCTGGTTATTCTGAGAGTTGTTGGGCATGAAATGGGACAAGGAAGAAATAGAAGACCCTCCCCCGTAAGAGCTGTTTCTAGATTTATGTCCTGGTACAAAGGATGGAGGCTCAAGAGTGTGTGCATAGTTGTTTACTTGATTCTGTCCCTGCCCTTGTTGTTGAGAGGGTTGACGTTGATGCTGTTGCAGTCTCCAGTTAAGGTTCATATTGACTGCACCATTGGGGTCAAAGTTTCTGGAATTTGAACGGTAATGCGAATTTCGTCTTTGGTGGCCCGAACCTGAAGCACCACTACCACTGTTAGATCTCTCAGGACTAGTGGTGATATCAAAATTGGGTGTTGGAGGGAGTAACGAAGGAGATGTATTAGGGTTGTTGCTAGCAGCAGGAGCTGCTGATTCGGGTGGAAACTTGAAAGATGGTTGTCCGTATGCTAATGGTCTACCACTAGGCGAAGTTGGAGAGTCGCTGCTACTACCAGATGCTGGTTCCGCTGGGAATTTGAAAGATGAACCAAGATTTTCCTCATTATTTGATGAAGATGAAATCGGTGGTGGTGGGGACGAATTGACACCTCCTGTGACTGCAGAACGGTTAGATTGCCTTTGGTTGGCAGCTGCTTTGATGGCCTCATTTAATCCCAATGAGTGTCTTCTGTTGTGGCCATTCACATTGTTCACCGCAAGATTGTTATTATTAGTAGCATTGTTGGCGTTGTTGCTGTTGCTATTGGATCCTGTTCTTCTGTGTCCGTTGTTCGAGAAGGATGCTGATTTGGAATGCTGAGTGGGACCACGGAAGCTGGAGGAAGGCGGAGGCATCAACTCAGCGTTGGACTTCGGTGGGTACGAGTACTGTGCTTGTTGCAGTTGTTGTTGCAAGATCTGCTTTTGCTGGGCCTGCACTGCCTCCAATTGACGCTGGAGGTTGTACTGTTCAACCATCAAGGTGGTGAGTTCGCTCGGAGAGCGTCTATGAGCAATATGCAAGTTTTTTGGTTTCTTTGGCTCTTGGTCTGACATGGCGAGTGAGTTGGGTGGTCAGGCTATTGAAGGAGCAACGCAATTAGGCTGAATACTTAAATGTGGACTAGCGGAAACCAACGGAATTGAGGGCCTAAAGAGAACGTGGCGGAAAGGAAGGTGTAATGCTGTGTGGTGTGGGGGTTGCGACCACAATTAGGAAACGATGATTATATAGATATATCTCAGTCCGGGGTGGCAACGTTGGATTTGGGTCTAGCTATGAGACTTTCTCTCTGTACTTTACGAACCAATGGTGGGTGATCGGGCGCCTGGTACTTTCAACAGTGTCCTGAAAAGTTATGGTGAAACTGGGAAGGACTGGGTGATGAAAAGAGAAGAAAAATTTTAGAGTTGGACAAAAAACAAGGGGGGAAAGGAATTTGAAAAAAAAGGGAAAAAAAAAAAGTCGTGAGAATTCAGTGGTGGTGGGAGGTGGTGGAAGCGAAGAATTTAGTTGGTGACAGCAAAATGGTAACGGTAAAAATTAGTGTGGAGGACAGCAAAAATGAGAAAAAGGAAGGCTAGGGGAAAGAGCAACTAAGAGAAGGCAAGCGAAAACGAAGGAGAGAGAGCAGGAAGCAAGTGCGGGAGGAATTGAGGGAGTGATGTGGCAAATGCACAAGGATGGATGCAATTGGACGTTATCGAGGGCTTGGTTGACGAGGACAGGCTGAAACTGATAGCCAGTGTGAATGCTGTGTTCCTAAAAGCTTAAATGGTGTGGGATCAGTTGGGTGCGCGCAGAGAAGGAAAAATAAATAAGTGAGGGCTAGGGGCCGGTAAAGTTGGGTTGGGAAGAAAGCCAAGTGGACAGAAAATGATGGTTGAGAAAGAGAGAGGTACGAATAGCGCAGCTGCGCAGCATCAAGAAGATGTGGACAGGGTAGAGAGATTCGGGTCTAAAGTTGCTATGCAGAGCGTACCGATGCTGCTCTATCTAACGATGTGGTGTAATTGAGTGTACAACTACCACAGGTGTACTGCGCAGTAGTTGGCATGTCCTGTCGCATTCTCTCCAGCACAGTGGAACAGCCGGCAGCGTGCCCAAAATTCACCGAGCAGTGCGCGCAGTTCGTAAAGAAGAAACTGGGCCCCAAATGCCACGCTAAGCCATCCGTATACCCCGTGAAAGTTGGTCTCATTCTGTCAATGAGCTCTCCCTCCGCTCCCTACGCCAGTGCATCAGCAGCACCGTGTGTATACCTAGCAAGCAGCCCTTGTTCGCCTTTTACCTCTTCCTTCATCTCTGTGGGTTCCCCACTATGGCAAGAAATTCTGCGCATCACTATTTTTGTAGTGCGTCATCTTAGCGCATGAACCCAAGCAGGTCCAGAAAAAAAAAAAAAAAAAAAAGAAAAGCAATACAGCCTTGCGCTCAATTAAGCTTTTCATCCCAATGTCAACACCTGAAGCTAAAATAATAATTATCAATACAAATATAATGAGTGACTAAGGTACAAGAGCAGTATTACGCGAGATCACCATATATTGCACCCATAGTGAAATGTTCGCCACTAGCAAAATGGCACCAACTCACAGCCTACAGCAGCGTCGCACGTGAAAAATTACCGATGTCGTCTATTTTTGGAACTTCTATTTATAGGATCTAATGAAGCAGGAAGAGTCCACACACATTCGGCATGAAATATGCTAATACTACATACACTAAGGGCTCTTTCTATAGCCTAGCATTATTTAACTTCTCCCAAACCTAACCCTTCAACAGTTGCAATGCTGCACTCAAGCTTTCATGTGGTGTGTGGTTGGTTGTCAAGCTCCCACCAGTACTAAATCTGTAGCTAACTTGTCATGATGCGAGTATTCAAATCTAGCAAGATTTAAAATTTTAGCGTGAAAAAAAAAAAAAAAAAAAAAATGTTGAAAAATTCATGCAAGATCCAAGCATGTTTGCCTAAATGGGGCCGGGTCCACGTAGAACCGAGCAGGCCCTGTAGAAGTCAGTCTGATTCAACGTGATCTCTTCACACTCTCAAGAATGTTAGCCCAAGTGGGGCCAGGTCGTCCATGTGGAACCGAGCTGGCCTAGTATAAGTCAGTTTAGTAAAACGTGATCTCTTAACACTCTTTAGCATGCCAGCTTATGTATTGGCCCTGTAGAAATCAGACCAAACGTGATCTCTTCACACTCTCTAGAATGTTAGCCTAAGTGGGGCAGGTCCACGTGGAACCGAGCTGGGGTCTACCTGGCCCTGTGAGGAACCGAGTTGTCTCTGTAGAAGCCAGTCTAGCCAAACGTGATCCTCACACTCTCAGGCATGTTAGCTGAGGTGGGCATGTGGAACCGAGCTGGCTCTCGCATAGTCAGTCTAGTCAAACGTGATCACTTCACACTCTCTCGTGATGGTATCAAAAATGACCAATTGGCCCGATTCCGAGAACTTCGGTATACTTATCAACAGAACCTCAACCTTAGGATCCGAGACGTCACCCAGTTCCAAATGAATAGTTTCACTACTAAATTTGTCCTGGTTTCCTGCGAAAAGTAAATGTGGGGTCTCTTTGGAAAGTGTAAACGGATCGTAGTTGTTAAATGGGTAGCAGTATAATGTGTCTGGCGCTGTAGGTGCGATGTTTTGCCATTTGATACAGCATTCCAACAACTTGGCGCTGTTAGTGATGTCTTCTTCTTTGATTCCGCCTTCGCGCTTGTGTAGGTACCTTTTTATATCGTCTATGTTCTGGCCCGAAGTCCCCAAGATTGTAAATCCCGTGCTCTTGTCCTCTAGCCAACATGGGTTGGTTACTGTCTGCAAGCTGCTACTTCCAGCGTACTTTCTATTGGCTTGTAAAAAAGCTCTGTGGAGAGGCTGTTGCGGAAGACACACCTCGCCAGGGTCGTTTGCACCTGGTAACATGGTAATAGACACCGATGGTAGCAATTCCAGCAAAAAGTAGTCAAATATCTTGATGTTTTCAACGTCCAACTTGGATACGTTTTTGGATCCAAAATTCGTGGCGGAAATGGACAGATTGGTGAGAGATTGAGCTGGCAGTATCGAATCTCCGGCTATTATCAACCGGGAAATTGACTGGGCCTTAGAAATATCTTCTTCAGTACCGAGCTCTCCGCACAAATACTGTTTAAGGAGCTCTAACTTCAAAGAATGGTCCGCTTCCGTGGAGATGTTCAACCCAGAAACAAATGCAATTTTGTTGCTCTCGCTCTGGGTGCTTGCAAGTGGTCGCTGTGGGCTGACTGTTGGGTATATAACGTCCATGATTTCAAATACCCCGGCCTGGATCTCAATTCCCAACACTGCCACTATGCAACCGGTCACCAACACGTTCTCTTTCAAGAAGTCATCGTTGTGTAGTATTGCTCTACCACTCTCATCCTCAAGCATGACAAGGGGAGCACTGTTCAGGTTACTTTCTTCTTCGCTGAGATATGTAGTAGGTAACTCCGGCAATGTGTCGTCAGCACCAGTCTCTACATCGTGGAGGATCTTCAACTTGTTGTGCAAGTCACAGAAAATTGTCCCACTGACCCAGCAAATCTCTCCGCTGGCGATGTCCAAAATTTTTTCTTTTCTATGTACCCTTTTACCGTCTATCTTGTAGGTACCGTGGCCCCACTTTTTCATGGCATTTTTGTCGACTCTTTCCTTCAAAGTGGCCAACCGGTACTGGTACATCAAGTAGAACTGCTGCCCATAAGTTCTCTCAGAAGCACTTAACGAAAATTCGGAGTTCGACTCGAGCGCGTTCGCACCACGAGCATGCTGGTCTTCTGGTAGCGCCTTAGATAAGTAGGTATCAAGCGACATGTCTATACTGTGGACGCTAGCCTGATGAATGTGATGATTGTGGAGGAAAGCCGCCAGTCAAACGCGTTGCTTCAGGTTTTTGTAGAAGTACGCGGATGGGTTGTATGCAGGACGTGATGAGAGTGTATGTGTTGGTGATGTCGAGCGTGGAAGATGGGAACCAGCTGAATGTGGTACGTAGATGCAGAGGTGGAGGCAGAGGTAGAGACAGGGGTAGAGACAGGGGTTTGTTCTCTTCTCTTCTCTTCCCCTCTTTACTCTTGTGATTGGCGCTCCTGACTTTGTGTCTACATCTTCATTTATATGCTAATACATTCCTATTTATATGCTTCTACATTTTAACTTGCTTCACTCTAAACTCTTCTTTTACTTCAGCCCTAATTCTTATCTCTTCTCTGCTTCTTATGCTTCTTTTCAACTGACTTGCCGCTTGCTCCGATGGTTATATTTACCTTAGGGGGCACTTCGAACCCGAATGATTTGGCCACCTTAGTGAGATCCATCTTGTCGATTTGGTATACAGTTTTCAAGTGATGCGATGCATAAGCCTGTAAGTACGATCTGTACCCATCCTTGGCAGATTGGTGTAACCAGTAGTTACTTTTGATTAATTTGGTTAATTGCGATTGCACGTTGGCAATCTTGTCTGTTGGAAATTCATATTCGTTCAATGGTACGTTTGCCGCCTTCAAGTATCTTAAGAATCCCAATTCCAGAGGAGTCAAGAACATCAAAGAACGACCCTTACCATCAGTACCTCTGGCGGTTCTACCGACTCTGTGAATATAATCTCTTGGATCATCAGGTGGATCGAATTGAATGATCCAATCCACCAGCGGGATGTCCAAACCTCTAGCTGCCACATCAGTACAGATCAAAATACCTTGTTTGGCGTTACAAAACTCGAAAAAAGTATTTGTTCTCTTTTGTTGCTTTTGCTTACCGTGCAAGTCCAACACTGGCAAGTCGATATAGTTCAATAATTCTCCAAAGTACTTTACACAGTTACATGACGACAAAAACACAATGATCTTCTTCTTCACGTTTCTTTTCAAAAATGAAAAGAGTAAAAGGAATCTCTTATCTGACTCACAAACAACATATCCTTGTTCCAATCCGTCTGCCGTACTTACAGATTTCTCAGGTACAACGTTGATATAAAGTGGACCTGGTCTCAACGAGATTCTTGCTAAATCTTCCACCTTGGTGGTCTGAGTGGCAGAGAACAACATTGATTGTCTCTCTTCCTTTGGTAAGATCTTGATTATTTGTTTCATTTCCTCTTCGAACCCGATTTCCAAAATTCTGTCAGCCTCATCAATAACTAAAGCCTTCAAGTTTTTGAAGATAAAGCCTGGAGTGTTTTGTAAATGATCTAATAATCTACCTGGAGTCGCAATCAAAATGTTAACACCCTTCATTAACTTCTCAGCCTCTTGTCTTCTGTTGGCTCCTCCAATTACGATACCAAAAGTTTGGGTATGATGCTGCATTAATTCTCTTGCAACTCCAAAGATTTGGAGTGCTAATTCTCTAGTTGGGGAAACTACAATTACACCAGTACCATTTCTTGGCTTGAACTTCAATGAATAAAGCATTTCAATAGCTGGCAATAAGAACGCCAACGTCTTACCAGAACCAGTCTTGGCAGCCCCAAGGACATCACGTCCAGCAAGAAGAGGTGGAATGGTTCTAGCCTGAACCTCAGTCATCTTGGTGAAGCCCATTTCATTAATTGCACGCAAAGTTGGCTCAGAGAACCCGACATCGTTGAAGTCGGTTGTAGCAGTGGAGACATCTGCAGATGCAGATGGTACTTCAGCACTAACTTTGGGCTTGGTGAGCTCTCTAGTCTTGGCTTCATCTACTTCATATTTGGCAGCTTTCTTGGATTTCTTGGCTGATGGATCCTTTACATCGTCTCCTAAAAGTTGAGCAACTTCATCGAACTCATCATCAAGCTCATCGATTAATTTTTCATTGTCTTCGGCATCAGATTCTGAGTCAGATTCCTCGTGAGATCTCTTACTAGAAGGTTTGGTCGTTGGCTTTGTAGCTGCCTTAGGAGCAGCCTTAGACTTGGACTTTGTAACCTTGGCCATTTTTGGATTGAAAGTAGCTAAATCAAAGAGTACTATCTAGGTGTTTGAAGTATGGAGTGGGTGCTAAATATTTAATTTTTTTTCTTTAGGATGCCATCGCTGTACTGCAGGTAAGCAAAGAACTTCCTGTACGAAATTGAGTGTGTTCCTGCATGTATGATGATAGATCTGATCTCTCAATTTGCAACCACAGGGCAAGGAAGGCGGTGGTATGGGGCCCTAAGATGGCATGATTATGGAATTACTCGAAGATAGAATGAGGATTATGGAACTAAAGTCAGCGTTTATTGGCTTCATGGAGAAAAAACACTTTATTGGGTATTGTTTTGGTTTATTGCTTGTAATTTTCAGCTCTCAGTAAGGCGATCGGGAAGACAGTTCTGTGGTGGTGAAAATGTTAGGAGGAAGGGCTAACACGTGAATAAGACAAACTTACCACTAAAGCAAGATCAATTGAGTCACAGTAAAAGCTCTGAGTTCGGTCTTGTTGATCCAAGGTACTTTTGAGCTCTCGACGGCATATCTCTCACAGACTACTTACACTTGCAGTATCTTTGGTGGTGTTTCTCTTCTCTTCGCTGTCGTACGCACCGATTTTATTTTTTCCTGGCCCTTGTAGGCAAATTTACCGAGAGCTCTCGTTTTTGCCACTAATTTGGCAGGGCCACTTTGTGCATAGCGTCTCAGCGTAGCGGGAAGGTATGAATCATAGCTTGTTTTTGCAGCCCAGGAAGAAAAGCAAAGTATAGGTGAGGGTCTTTTCTTTCTTCTTTCTTCTTTCTTTCTTCTTCTATTTTATTTCCTTCTCCAGTTATCAGAGCATACTCATACAATGGCTTCGTACACAGTGACTTCAACTGGCTCGTACATGCAGGCGATGCAACCTTTGGTTGAAATGCTTAATACACTTGAGTTCAAAGATACTGAGAAAGTGCCCAAGTTTAACTTCGACGTGAGACCAACTCCAATCGAACTGATTATACGTAAATTTGACGATGTTTCCACAAGCATATTGAATGAAATTGAAGATGAAGTGGATCCAGAGGTAAAATTGCTTCAGGAAATTGAAAGCCAATGCGCCAAGATTGGACAAGATCGTGGTGGTGATTCAAGTAATGATGTTTTGGTAAGCATACGGTCTATTTTAGCCACAGATCCAAGCGATGAAGAGTTACAGTCTTCCTTGTTTGACATTTTAGGGTTTGAAGAATTCGATTTGATATCGAAAGTCGTTCAAAACAAAAATTTAATAAAGAATCCACCGGTTGCATCGGACGCTCCATCACCTTCTACTGAAGATGTAACATTTCTCACACCAGAGCAAAGAGCTCAACTAATAATTGACAGAGCAGCAAAATTAAAAGACCAGCCGTTGTTTCCAAAGCTGTCAAATCAAAAATATCCTCATGTATTCAAGAAAAATGATGATTTTATACCTGGCAAGAAAGTAGCTTTACCTCAAGGTACAACCAGGGAAAGCTATGGATCTCACGAAGAGATCATCATTCCACATGTGGAGTCCAATGCAAACAGGTGGATCTCTGATAGACAATTAGTTAAAATCCATGATTTGGACTTTTTATGTAAGGGAACATTCAGCAGATATAAGACGTTGAATAAGATGCAGAGTTTGGTTTTCCCCGTGGCGTATAATACCAATGAAAATATGTTGGTATGTGCTCCAACTGGTGCCGGTAAGACAGATGTAGCACTCTTAACCATTTTGCATACCATAAACCAATTCACCAGTGCTGCTTCTTCATCTGAGATAGATATCGATTACGATGAATTTAAAATTATATACGTAGCTCCCTTGAAGGCGTTGGCTGCAGAAATCGTTGAAAAATACGCTGAAAAGTTGAAATGGCTAGGAATCCGTGTTCGAGAATTGACTGGAGATATGCAGCTAACTCGACAGGAAATTGCTACTACCCAAGTTATCGTTACGACGCCGGAAAAATGGGATGTTGTCACCAGAAAGCAGAGTGGTGACAATGAATTAGTATCCAAAGTCAGGCTACTCATTATCGACGAGGTGCATTTGTTACACGAAGACAGAGGTTCAGTTATTGAAACCTTGGTTGCTCGTACATTGAGACAAGTCGAATCTACACAACTGATGATCAGAGTAGTAGGTCTTTCGGCCACCTTGCCTAATTATATGGATGTTGCGGACTTTCTTGGAGTCAATAGACAAGTAGGGATGTTTTACTTTGATCAAAGTTTCAGACCTTGCCCGTTAAAACAACAAATTATTGGTGTTAGAGGTAAGTCGGGTTCAAAAGTTGCAAGAGAAAACATAGATAGGGTTTCTTATGACAAGCTTATTGAAAATGTCTCGAAGGGTTTACAGGTAATGGTATTCGTCAATTCAAGACGTGATACCGTGAAGACAGCCCAGACTTACATTGAAATGGCCAGAGCTAATCACGAAGAGAGTATATTCGACTGCTCTGAAGACTGCGACCAGTACGAAAAGTTTAAGAAGGAATTGGTACAAACTAAACAGAGTAGAAATAAAGATATGAAAGAATTATTTCCCAGTGGGTTTGGTATACATAATGCGGGAATGTTAAGAAGTGATCGTAACTTGACTGAAAAGATGTTTCTTTCTGGTGCAATTAAAGTGTTATGCTGTACTGCAACTTTGGCTTGGGGTGTGAACTTACCTGCCGCTGTTGTCATTGTTAAAGGTACTCAACTTTATGATGCAAAACAGGGTGGATTTGTAGACTTGGGAATATCGGACGTTCTTCAAATTTTTGGTCGTGCTGGTCGTCCACAGTATGAAGAAAAATACGGAACAGGTATCTTGTGTACGTCTAGTGATAAAGTGGATCATTATCTTTCCTTGTTAGCACAGCAGCATCCTATTGAATCACGTTTTAGCGCTAAGCTTGTGGATAACTTAAATGCTGAAATTTCTCTTGGAACAGTTACCAACGTTGATGAAGCAGTTTCATGGTTAGGTTATACTTACATGATGGTTAGAATGAGGAAAAGCCCTCAATCTTATGGCTTACTTCCGAAAGACTTGGAAATGGACCCATTACTTATAGGTAAAAGGCATGATATGATTCAACTGGCTGCAAGAAGATTGCATGAGTTACAAATGATTGTCTTTGACGAAAGTACAGGAAGTTTGATCTCAAAGGATTTAGGTAGAGTTGCCTCAGATTTTTACCTTTTGAATAATTCTATTGAAATTTTTAACCAGACAATGAACCAGAGAGCCACTACCGCAGATGTCTTAGGTATGGTAAGTATGAGTAGTGAATTTGATGGATTGAAATTAAGGGATGAAGAAAAAGTCGAATTGAAGAAAATGGAAGAAATAGTTCCATGTCAAATTGCAACAAAAACTAAAAGTAAAATTCGTATCACTGGAAATGCAAGTGGCCCATCATCTGCTAAAGAATCTAAAGGTGGAAAGGGAGAAGAAGAAGACGACGCTACGGTGGATGATGGTTCAAAGACCAATATCCTTCTTCAAGCATATATCTCACAAGCTAGTTTCACCAACTCCGCTCTTATTTCAGATTGCAACTATGTGGCTCAAAATTCAGCTAGAATATGTCGTGCCTTATTCTTAATAGGAATTAACCGTCGCTGGGGAGATTTCCTGAGAGTTATGCTTTCCCTTTGTAAGTCACTTGATAAAAGGATGTGGGCTGACTTTGATCACCCATTAACCCAATTTGATTTGCCAGACCAAATTCTAAGAAACATAAGGCTGAAAAGCCCAAGTATTCAAGAATTGAGAGACATGGATGCTGGTGAATTGGGTGACTTGGTCCATAACAATAGAATGGGTGGCATTTTGTACAAACTTATTGGTAAGTTCCCAACCCTTGAAGTAGAGTCTGAAATCTTCCCAGTCACCAGCAATGTCATGAGAATTCATCTTGATATTGACCCTGACTTTAATTGGGATGATAGATATCATGGTGGAGCTCAAATGTTTTGGGTAATGGTGGAAGCTCAACCGGCATTGATCTCGGAAGAAAATGCCGAAGGAGCTATTTCTACTTCTAATGAAATTGCCCCACTTCTTCATGTCGAGAAGATTATTTTAAATCGTAGACTGATGGGACACTCCCATGCCCTTGATTTCATGATCCCATTGTCTGATCCACTTCCAGCTCAAATCATTGTCCGTATTGTTTCAGATTCTTGGATAGGTTCAGAAACTCTTCATCCAATTTCATTTCAACACTTAATTCGTCCACTGAATGATACCATTAGAACTAAACTTTTAAGATTACAACCCTTACCTCTTTCAGCACTCCATGACCCTGATATTGAGTACATTTATAAGTCAAGATTTCAATACTTTAACCCAATGCAAACTATGACATTCCACTCGTTATACAATTCAAATTCGAGTGTCTTTGTTGGTTCACCTACAGGTTCTGGTAAAACTATTGTTGCTGAATTGGCAATGTGGCATGCATTTAGAGAATTCCCAAAATCTAAGGTCGTATATATTGCGCCTATGAAGGCCCTTGTTAGGGAAAGGGTTGACGACTGGAGGAAAAGGCTTTGTGGTAACAGTAGTCCAAAGGCACTAAAGCTTGTTGAGTTAACTGGTGATTCGTTGCCAGAAGCTAGAGACGTTAGGGAAGCTGATATTATTGTTACTACTCCCGAAAAGTTCGATGGTATTTCGAGAAATTGGCAAACCCGTAAGTTTGTTCAACAAGTCTCTTTGGTTATTATGGATGAAATTCATTTATTAGCCAGTGATAGAGGTCCTATTTTAGAAATGATTGTTAGTAGGATGAATTATATTTCGCTGCAAAGAATGTTGAAAGAGAAAGAATTGGAAAGAGAAAAGGAATTGACTACCAATAGGGGCAATAACCAAAAGGGTCTTCAAGAAATTAGGCTTCTTGGTATGTCCACTGCAGTATCAAATGCTATGGATATGGCTGGTTGGCTAAGAGTTAAGGAAGGTTTATTTAACTTTTCGTCCCTGGTTCGTCCTGTCCCACTTCAAATGTACATTGATGGTTTCCCAGATAACTTAGCATTTTGCCCTTTGATGAAAACTATGAACAAACCTGCGTTTATGGCCATCAAGCAACACTCTCCAACAAAGCCAGTATTAATCTTTGTAGCATCTCGTCGTCAAACTAGACTTACAGCATTGGATTTGATTCATTTATGTGGAATGGAAACTAACCCAAGAAGGTTCTTGATAGCAGGAGATGAAGAAATCCAAGAAAGTATTAGCAAGGCCAAAGATGATACTTTAAAATTATCCTTACAATTTGGAATTGGTTTACATCATGCTGGATTAGTTGAGTCGGATCGTCAATTGGCTCATAAGCTTTTCGAGCTGGGAAAGATCCAAATTTTGATTGCTACTTCCACTTTAGCTTGGGGTGTTAATTTGCCTGCTCATTTGGTGATCATTAAGGGTACTCAATTTTTCGATTCCAAGATTGAAGGTTACAGAGACATGGATTTGACTGACATATTGCAAATGATGGGAAGAGCGGGACGTCCAGCGTTTGATACTAGTGGTACAGCAATTGTTTTCACTAGAGAGTCAAAGAAGACCTTTTATAAGCATTTTTTGAATGTCGGTTTCCCTGTTGAATCATCTTTGCATAAGGTTTTAGATGATCATTTGGGTGCAGAGATTTCGGCTGCAACTGTTACCACACGTCAAGAAGCAATGGATTTCTTGACATGGACATTCTTATACCGTAGAGCTCATAACAATCCAACTTACTATGGAATTGAAGATACTTCTACCTATGGAATTCTGAAGTATCTCGCCGGATTGATTGATCAGACAATAGACAATTTGATTGAATCTCAATGTGTGGTGAACTTGGGACAAGATGGAAAGTTAATCGCTACGCCTTTCCTTCATATTTCGTCGTACTACTACTTGTCGCACAAGACTATGAGAAACATAACCAAGAAAATTGAACCACAATCGTCATTCAGAGAATGCTTAAGGTACTTATGTGAAGCCACTGAATATGATGAATTGGCTACTCGTCATGGAGAAGAGTTGATCAATATGGAGATGTCTCAGGCAATGAGATACCCTGCGGAAGATTTAGACAAAGAATTCCTTTGGGATCCTCATGTCAAGGCATTTTTGTTGTTACAAGCATTCATGAGCAGAGTAGAGTTGCCAATTGCAGATTACGCTCAAGATACTGTTGCTGTATTGGACCATTCATTGAGAATTCTTCAGGCTTACGTAGATACTGCAGGAGAATTAGGATATTTGAAGAGTGTATTAACATTTGTTCAAATGATGAGATGTATAAAATTGAAAAATTGGGACGATGTCGATCCCATTCAAGCTGCATTACCTGGGGTCATTGGTGTAAATGACGAAGAAATCAATTTAAAGAATGTAGGTGCAATGGATATGAAGAAACTTAATCTGCTTGCGAATAAGTTAGGGGTAAGATCAGATAAAAGACTGGAGTTTGTGAGAGTTGCATCCAGATTGCCTACCGGTAATCTTAAGGTGGAAGTCTTGTCGGAGTCCAAGAAGATCCTGGTTGAGTTTAAACATGAGAATGAGCCATTGACCAGCGAATTTAGAGTATACTGTCCGAACTTCCCAAAGGATCAAAGAGAATCCTGGTTCGTCATTTTGTGCGATGCCAAGGAAGAGGAATTGTTGCTTCTCAAAAGGGCTTCTCCAAAACTTCAAGGCAGAAAGGGTATCGTCAAGTGCGAATTAGACGTCCCAGAGGATTTGATTGGTAAGGGCGAGTTTATTGTTAAGTTTGTGAACGATGCAATTGGCTTAGAATACGAAGAGAACGTTCAACTATAGATCAGAGTAAGTCGAAAAAGGACTCAATTGTTAGGAATGATAGAACATATAGTAATTAGACATTAGAAGTATTGCAGAGAGAGGAAATACTGTAAACTTGTTGATATTTATTGTACAGTCTATATACACTCTATTCAAAGAAATCATCTTCCTCTTCTTCTTGTTCCACTTCTTTATCTTGTCCGTGCTTGTTATTGTGGTGTTCCTTATTTGGTGCATCAATTTCTTGATGTGGGGTAGATTGTGAGTAGGAGCTGGTGTCGACCTTGATGGTCTTACCGGCCAATACATCATCAAAGGAGAATGGTAGTTTGCCAGTTTCAATTAACTTCTCAACATTTTTACGCAACTCTCTTTTCCTCTGTTCAGTCATTTGGGCACCTTTCTTGGCTTTGGCGTTATTTAAAGTGGATTGATCTTCCCCAGCCTTGGCGTTAGGGTATAATGAAATATATTTCTCTTCCTTGGGGAACAAAATGACGTATGCTACATCGACTTCAGAGTGGGAAACTACTTTCCTTGCTTTTTTGATGTCTTTTCTTACTTCGGTCTTTGAAACGTCTTCGAAAGACTTCATGGCCTGCTTCAACTTACGGATGGCCTTCTTTCTCTCAAAGAATCGCACCATATGGTACTTTTTGGCAACTTCTTTGGCCTTTAATGAATTCTGCGTGTTGACCAAATCAACTTTCAATGCTTTAAGCGAACGTTCATTGTCAACTCTGATGTGTGCTGGGATGTTATCTTTCTTCAAAAGTCTTTCGATATCTCTTATCTTTTTCTTCAACTTTGAGGCACCTGCGCCGAGAACGTCTGCCACCTGAGTGTTGTTCCTGTTATTATGTCCGTTTTTTCTATTGTGGTTATCTTTGCCATTGTATGGTCTCTCGTTACCGGAATAGGCCATTTTGAACTGTGATAATGCTTCAAACTGAACGCTTCACCACTCCAGCTCTACTCATCTCATCGCAAAATTGAAAAATTAAAAAAATCGAGATGAGCAAAATTTGGAAAATCGCTGGCCCAGAGTGGAGAAGTGTGGTCCTGTATATAGTCCTGAGAGATTTGGCACAGAGAAAAAAAAAAAGAGATCCAGTCGATTCAACGACGGAAGGGGACCATCTTCTTTAGGCTCTTTAGGACGTAATATCCGTAAATAGAGACAGTTTGTAGTATTGTAGCACGCCATGGGTATTACCGAAAAGATTGCCCAAATTCAGGAAGAATTGTCCAGAACCCAAAAGAATAAGGCCACCGAGTATCACATTGGGCTCTTAAAGGGTAAGCTAGCAAGATACAGAAGAGAGTTATTGGAGCCACAACCTGGCCAAGGAGGTGGTGGAGGACAGGGATTTGAGGTTTCTAAGGCAGGTGACGCAAGAGTGTCGCTTATTGGGTTCCCATCTGTGGGTAAATCGTCGTTCTTAAACAAGGTTACCAACACCAAGAGTGAAGCTGCAAACTATGAGTTCACGACGTTGACATCTGTAGGAGGGATCTTGGAGTACAACGGAGCCGAGGTCCAAATTGTAGATTTGCCAGGGATCATTAAGGCAGCTTCCCAGGGTAAGGGTAGAGGTAGACAGGTCATTGCGGTGTCGAAGACATCGGACCTTATCATGATGGTTCTCGATGCCACCAAATCCGAGGACCAGCGCCAGATCTTGGAGCACGAGTTGGAGTCCATGGGGATCAGATTGAACAAGGAGAGACCCAACATAAGCATCAAAATCAAGAAAACCGGTGGTGTCAAGATGAATTCCATGACCCCTCCTAAGTACTTGGATGAGAAGATCGTGGCTGCTTTGTTGAAAGACTGTAAGATCCACAGCGCCGACGTCATGGTACGAGACGAAAACGTGACGATTGATGATTTCATCGATGTGATCAACGAACTGACCATTTCTTACATCAAATGTCTTTACGTGTATAATAAAATTGATGCTGTGAGTTTGGAGGAATGTGACCGGTTGGCAAGACAGCCTAACACCGTGGTCATGTCTTGTGAGTTGGACTTGGGTATCGAGGATCTCAAGGAGGAGATCTGGAGACAATTGGGGTTGGTCAGACTCTACACCAAGAGAAGGGGGATACTACCAAAGTTTGATGAACCTATGGTGGTTAGAGCCAACTCTACTATCACACAGGTATGTGATGCTATTCACAGAGACATGAAGCACCACTTCAAGTATGCGAGTGTATGGGGCTCTAGTGCTAAGCACTCCCCCCAGAAATGTGGTTTGAACCACCCGGTGAACGATGAGGATGTAGTGCAGATTGTGACAAAATAGGCGGACATTTCAGGGAGAGGGAAGGTAGATAGTTAATATAGGAGCTTATTGGCTTGTATTTGGGAAGCGTAGGAATATATACAGTAAGAAAGGGAGTCGCCTGTGCCTGTCGGTGTGCATTAGGCACCCTTGTGTTTTCTATCGAAGATCTCCTGAATCGCTTAACAATTAAATGTTATTTTCTTCATTTTCCTTCTTTTCTTTATTTTCATTCTAGCATCACAAAGATTTCATTGCTTGCTTCTCATCTACCTTCCTTTCTATTCTAGACAATTTTAGGCATAAGTGGCTTCAGGTGGAGCTGGAATTCCCGATGAGCTCCCCCGCCATTTTGCAATTTTCGTGGTGTTGACATTTTTCAGTTCGATCGCGTATCGAAACGTCTTGGTTCATCACTCTTCTCTGGCTATTGGCTTCTCTAGGTAGCAATGGATAAGTATACTGGGCTTCCGGACATTGAAGAGGGACCGCAACAGGTGTTTGAGAGCTCTGATGTCGAAGATGAACCAATTGCCTTACAGGAGGATGCGCAATCTTACGCTGACTCGGATGTAGATGAATCGTCCACGGACATTGTAGATGCGAAGAAGAAGTTTAAGCACGATTTTGTAACAGGAGAATGGGACTTTCTGGGTAATGTAGGAAACCCGCTAAGCAGCAGTGGATATAAGGTTGTGCTGTTGAATGAGACTGTAGACGAGAAATTGGCGAGGATCACTAGAGAGTTGGAGGAAATAAAGATAGCGAGTGAAAGTGAAGCGATTGAGAGCGATAAGAATAACGAAATTGAGTTCTTGGTTGGCTTGGTGGAAAGACTTAGCGACAAGAACAAGACTAATGAAGACAGTAATGAATACACCAAGGCGATAGAGACAATATCGCCCTACAGTAAACGAATAAAGGAGGTGTTTGAACTTACTTCTGAGCAGCTTAGCTTTAAACTGAGTTTGGTCTCTAATCCTGCTACTACGGGGTATGTTAATCCGTCTGCAGTGCTAGCGCTCGAGGCTCGAATTCATGACCTCGAGACCGTTCTAGGATCTTCAGAAGAGGGGACAAGGCAGTCAGTACAAGGGCAAATAACAGAGCTCGAGCGCAAAGCCAATTTGGTCTACAATCCAGAGTACCATACGAAGAAGTTGAGTGAAGAAGTTGAAAAACTAAACGCAAACGTTGAGAGATACTTGGCAAACCGTAGACTAGCGCAGATTGGCGGCAGATCTGTACAGGGCGGCAGCGTCGTAGATCAAGGCCAGGGTGGTGCTGAAGCAAGAAACAACAAGATCGATGAAGTATTTAGCAGAATTCCAGATTTCGACAACGTCAAGGCCATCTTGCCAGCCGTGCTTGCAAGGTTGAAGAGTTTACATTTAGTCCACAACGAGTTGGGCGCGTGTGTGAGAACAGTCACTGAGTTGGACAAGACTTTGGGGGGTATAGAAACCGAAATGGTCAAGTGGAACAAATCTGTGAATGATGTGAATGAAAAATTGGACAAGCAGGAGCTAGATTTTGACCGGAACAAACAGATCATAGAGCAATGGGTTAAACAATTGGAAGAGAGGGTAGGTAAGAAGTAGCTGACAAGCTTTTTTAAATATATGTAGTAAATCTGTCAATGAAAAATTGGACAAGAACTGGAGTTCGACTAGGGCAAGTTCGACTAGGGCAAGCTCGTCATTGAGTAATGGGTGAAGCAATTTAAAGAGAGGGTACAAGAAGTAATTGATAAGTTTTTAAATATTCAAGTGTAATAAATCAGTCAATGATAAACTGGACCACCAAGAGCTGGAGCTCGACCACGCAAGCTCGTCATTGACATCGATACGATAATTAGATAGTAGATTAGTAAAAGACTTTCAAAGCTGAAATGGTCCAGTGAGATAAATTTGTCCAAGAGTCACAGTTTGACCGGAACAAACCGCTCATTGAACGTGCGTCAAACCATAGGAAGATGTGATAAGTAAGTAGTAGTTCATTGGGAAATGGCTAACAATAAATACATTTAGCAAAAGAAGTACATTAAAAAACTTAAAAGACCACTTTTAAAGCGAGATAAATCTGCGAATGACGTGAACTAAAACTACAATTCAACAAAACAAGCACGCCATTGAGCAAGGAATACAATTGATACGATAAGTAGTAGCTGATAAAGAAATTTTTCAAGATCAATGTATTTTTTTTTCTTCGTATGTTTCTCCGATATGCATCGTCTTCGCCTGCTGCTGCCATTAGTGCGCACGTCGCTTACAACTTCCAACGTTCCAGCTGAAAATTCGTCCTACTAGTACTTTAAGCAGAGTATGGAGAAAAATGGCCCGCCGCAGAGTCGGGAGTATAAATTGACTCAGTCCCCACTATGGTCAGGTCATCAAGGAATTGTTTTAGAGTTTCTTTCTTTCTAAACTTCATTATTAACATTATTGTTCGAATTTAAACATGTTGAGATCAGTCACACTCCGTTCTTCAGTCCGCGCTGCGGTAAGAAGTAGTTCCCGCAAGTCATTAGCTTGTAGTGTAACTGCTTTGAAGTGCGCTTCAGCTTCAGCTGCAAGTGTCAGGTATGCTAGTCAGCTCTCAGTGCCAAAGACGCCAACTTTGATCAATGAGCCAATCAAGAACTTCACCTTTAGCGACCAAAAGGACTGGGATTTGCTCAGAGCATCCATTAGTAAGTTCACCGACGCCCCATTGGACATCCCTGTCGTTATCAATGGTGAAAAGCGCTTCAACAGTGCTACGTTGAACCACGTTAATCCAGCTAAGCACTCACAAAACTTGGCCAATGTTTCTCAAGCTACTGAGCAAGACATCAAGGATGCCATTGAACTGGCCAAGGCCGCCAAGCAAAAGTGGGCTGCCACTCCATGGTCTGACAGAGCTGCCATCTTCTTAAAGGCTGCAGACTTGATTGCTACCAAGTACAGGTACGACATGTTAGCTGCTACCATGTTGGGTCAGGGTAAAAACGTGTATCAAGCCGAAATCGACTGTATTACTGAATTGATCGATTTCTTCAGATTCAACGTCAAGTACGCTCAGGAAATCTATAGCCAACAACCATTGGAATCATCTCCAGGTGTCTGGAATAGGGCTGAGTACAGACCATTAGAAGGTTTCGTCTACGCTGTCACTCCTTTCAACTTCACAGCCATTTCTGCAAATTTGATCGGTGCTCCAGCCCTTATGGGTAACACCGTTGTATGGAAGCCTTCCGCTACTGCAGCTCTCTCGAATTACTTGTTGTTGACCATCTTGGAAGAAGCCGGTTTACCTAAGGGTGTTGTCAATTTCGTTCCCGGTGAACCAAACCAGGTCACTGACTTGGTTGTTAATGATAAGGACTTTTCATCTTTACACTTTACAGGTTCCACTGATGTCTTCAAGAAGCTTTACGTTAAGATATCTGAGAACGTTGCCAACGACAAGTACAGAGATTTCCCAAGAATTGTCGGTGAAACCGGTGGTAAGAACTTCCACTTGATCCACAACTCTGCCTCTGTAAACCACACTGTCTTGTCCACTTTAAGAGGTGCTTTCGAGTACCAAGGTCAAAAGTGTAGTGCCACTTCAAGGGTATACGTTCCAGAATCCATTTGGCCCGAATTCAAAGAAAAATTGACTGCTGCTATGAAAACTATCACCATCGGCAACACCACCGACCCAGCCTTGTTGAACTCGTTCATGGGCCCTGTTATTCACGAACAATCGTTTGAAAAGTTGGCTAAGGTGATTGAAGAAGCCAAGAATGATTCTGAATTGACCATCTTGGAAGGTGGACACTACGATAGATCTGCTGGATTCTATGTGGAACCAACATTAATCCAAGCTTCCTCTCCAGAGCACCCATACTTGACTAAGGAGTTCTTTGGTCCTGTTTTGACCGCCTACGTATACCCAGATGCCGAATTTGAATCTATTATGGGTAAGGTGGATGCGGCCACCAAGTATGGATTAACTGGATCCATCTTCGCCAGAGATAGAGACGCTGTCAGATTGGCAGAAGAAGGCTTGAGATACTCTGCCGGTAACTTCTACATCAACGACAAATCCACTGGTGCTGTTGTTGGACAGCAGTGGTTTGGAGGTGCCAGAATGTCTGGTACCAACGATAAGGCTGGTAGTGGTAACATTTTGAACAGATTCGTGTCGGTTAGAAACATCAAGGAAAACTTCTATGAGCTTACCGACTACAAATACCCATCGAACATTAAATGAGAGAGCTTTATAAAAACGGAAAAAGAAAAAGACTACTAGCGTAGGGCGACTAAAAATATGGGCGGTTGTTATTATATATAAATAGTACATTGAATACATAATGCATAATGATATTATTGTAGTGAACGAACGAGTGTGAACATTAAGGAAGGACTTTCACTTCTTAGAGTGGATCAGTTCTTCCGTGGAGGAAGACTTGGGTTGTAGCTGATGTACTGCTGGGAGCTGTACTGCTGAGGGTTGTACTGTTGTTGCTGCTGGTGTGGAGCATACTGCTGATGTGGAGCGTACTGCTGCTGGGGATGATAGGGCTGTGTGGGCTGTTGTTGTAGGATACGACCTATACCATTGCACACGGGACATGTGTATTCGTCGAGGAAGCTCCAAATCAACCCCGTTCCTCTACACCTTCCACACAAAGTACCACCTATCCTTGGGTCGCCCGGTCTCACGTTAACAGGAGGCAAAGGCGGTGGTGGGGGCCCGCTTCCAGGCGGTACATACGTTGGCTGGGCAGGAATGTAGGTGGTCGTTATAGTATCCGAGAACAAATCAAAAGGCGACAGGTAAGAGTTCACCTGGTGGCCCGGGAACAGGTTCCTGGGTGCAAATCTCTCGTAGCAGTCCTTGCACGTCTGCCCGTTCTTCTTCTTCACCCCGGTGTTCTCGCATTTCTCACACAAGAAACGCTTGGGGTACTTGAAGATCAAGTTGGGGTTGGGGTTGTACGCATGGTCCTTGAGATAGAACTTCTGCCAGCAGTCGAGGCACACCTTGCCGTTTTTCACCTTGTAGCCGGTGTTCTTGCACTTGGGACAGAGCGTCCTGCTGGGGAAGCTGAAGGGTAGTCTGCTACCTGACTGGGAAGACCCCAGCGATGAGCTGCCCTGTTGTGGATAGCCCTGGGGTGGTCTACTGCCTGTCTGGGGAGACCCCAGCGATGAGCTGCCCTGCTGTGGGTAGCCCTGGGGTGGTCTGTTTCCATATGCAGAACTGGAGCCTGGCCCTGATCCCTGGAACTGAGAGTTCCCTGTCGAGTAGCTGGACGAGGTAGCCGATGTGGATGGGCTAAGGCGCTGCGGAGGAGGAGGGTAGCTATGGATTGAGTTGCTGGAACCCGGTCTGGGAGGTTGGGGTGGTGGTACATCTAAGTAATTGGAATTGGGTCTAGGAGGCTGTGGTGGGGGGCCACTGCTCGAAGAGGACGATGTGATACGATCATTGAGAGCTTCTTCATACGAAGGTGGTGGCAAATCGTCGTCTTTACTCATGGTATTACCTGTTGGTACAGTATATAATATCAAAGACTCGAGTAACGAATCGTGATAAGGAATAGTGCCACCGCTTAGGGGTGGTCTCCCCATTTTTCACTTGTCTGATTTCCCAGTGGGGCATGCGAAATTCCTTCGCATCGGATATGCACGCCAGAGGGCCGAATGGGGGACATGAGAAGAACAGAGACAGACGAAGGGGGCAGAGACGTAGAAGGGGGCAGAGACGTAGAAGAGGACAGAGACGTAGAAGAGGACAGAGACGTAGAAGAGGACAGAGACGTAGAAGAGGATAGAGACGTAGAAGAGGGCAGAGACGTAGAAGAGGACAGAGACGTAGAGGAGGACAGAGACGTAGAAGAGGGGCTACAACAGGTATATCATACTGGTTTGAAGTACTTGTGTATATATAGATATTCAAGATTAATGTCTTTGGTAACTTTTTGGGGTCGCTGAGCTCAGGCCACCACTTTAATCTATCTAACTAGTCGCTCTCCTCGTCGATCACTTGAAGATACTCATAGTAAAATGCAATGATCTGCAAGTGCGAATCAAATGGAATATGCTCATCAACTCCATGGGCATGTGTTTCCAAGGTAGGCGTGAGGCCTGGTCTGTAACGGAAGATGTGCTCAGTGAGACTCCAGTACCACTGAGTGTCCGTATTACCTGTAGCGATACCTGGAGCTACAACCACAGGCTTTTCTGCAAACTTCTCTGGCATGGCAACCTCTTCGTACACATGTCTGATGGATCCTCCCAATACTTCCCAATGTCTGTCATTTGTGGGGGTTAATGGAGCTGGCTCCAACGTGCTCTCCTTGTAAACAGTAAAGTAGCCCTTAGCGGTTTTGTTCTTCAAGACTTCTCCTTCGTAGACGACTCCCAAGTCGAACTTTTCTGCATATTCAAAAACCTGATTTAAATCCTTTTGCACTGTAGCGTTCACTGAACTCTCTACAGATATTCTATGGTTAATAACCGCTTCCACGTACTCAGGAAGTGCATTGGATTTGGCCCCTCCGTGGATAATGTCGATCGCCTGTGTGGTCGAAATAAGCGCCTTGACATCCAAGGACTTGCGTGACAAATACTCGATGGCGATGCCGTTGGCGATCTTATTGTGTTCGGAGTTCAAAATAGCATGCTTGATTGGCGTCAGTAAACTAGGCGAGTGTACAGCTACACACTGGAATTCCTGGAAGGTGGGGTTTCTTGGCGAGAAGATGGGGTCAAATTGCTTGTCTTCTATGGCACTGATCAACTTGGAGATGATTCCAATAGAGGTGTGTGCTGGTGGCACCAGTGAGTGTCCTCCTGGTGTATTCAAGCCGATGACCAAGTTGACCATTCCCTTTTCTCCAGTGCCTGGAAGGGCCAAGTATATGTCGTCTTGCTCTATCAAACTCTGCCCACCTTCATCGATTACTGCGTAAAAAGAGCTCTTGCCGTACTTCTCAATTAAGTGCTTACCAATGTGCTGAGCACCGTTTTCACCTCCAATTTCCTCGTCGAACCCAAAGCCCAACACGATGGTTCTTTTCGGCTTGAATCCGTCCTGGTGCAACTCCTCCAATGCTTCTAACACCCCAATCAACAAGTTCTTGCAGTCCGCAGACCCACGGCCCCACAAGTGCTCACCATCGTAAACACCGTCGTATGGAGGGTAGGTCCAATCCTTCAAGGTGGCATCCTGTGTGGGGACCACGTCTTGATGTGCGGTCAATAAGATTGGCTTCAAGCTAGCGTCCGAGCCTTCCCAGGTGAACACTAGCCCCCAATTGTTCACCTTCTCCAATTTAGTGATCTTGAAAACGGTTGGGAATGTCTTGGCCAAATACTGGTGAAATGGCTTAAACTTGGCCTCCCAGTACTTAGGATCGTCGCCAACTAGTGGACTATCGTCGTAGGTGTCTGTTTTGACCTGGACTGCTCCGGAGAGCTTTGCGGCGGACTGGTTTCTGTAGGAAGCATCGTAGATAATCCTGTCCAAGGTAGAGTTATCCTTGAGATAAGTCTCTGGGCGGACATACGGGATAAGGGGGCACACATCGTCGGCGTCTACGTTCAACGAGGGCCACAATTCCTCGACATTCAGGGTGCACGAGGGTATCACACCGCCAGAGCTGTAGAGCACAAGGAGAGCAGTGCAAATGGCTGCAACTGGCTTCCAGGTGAACTTGGATTTCCTGGCGGAACTCAATTGCTCAACTGAGCGGTCGGGGTGGTCTTGCTTTTCGATATCTGACATTGTCTATTCGCTAGGGAGAAAGAAAGAGCCAAAAGAACCGACCAGAAGAAAGGAAAGGAAAGGAAGTAAAGTACCCTTGACCTGAAAATTGGGACGGCACGTTGCTCCTTATCCACATTTTGTCCTGCATATAGACGAACGGAACGCATCACCGCTTTCAGTGCATGCTCGTGCATTTAGCGCTATGGCGCGCTGGTATGCAGGAACTCGATAGCAGCCGAGCCACCGGCCACTGGGACGAACAATGCTCCTGACGGCTCTGCAAGGGACCGCTTGGGCAGGGTAGTGAGGGACCAGTTAGTCAGGCTAGAGTGAAGGGAACACGAAGGCTATAGTGATAGAGAGTGAGATCTCTGTGGTTAACTTTAGGGTCCAGAGCGCACAGTGCCGCCGGCCGGAATCTTGGGTGTCCCGCCGTCTCTCTAAAATCCCAGTTGCATGTTGTCACGTGACTCTTCTTGCACTGGGAGCTAGCCCAGCGTACCGCTTAACCAGGCAGAAGGAGTGGAGTAAAACGATCGAGCTGTGATCTTGTTCTATTTGTAATGTAGTTACCCATTACTTTCCTAAGATCCACGCCGTTAGAGGTGGTACTCCTCCATCCCTCTCTGACCACCCGCCCTTTAAAGCAAGTGACTCACGTGACTCTGCACTCACTTGGCGCGTCGTACATGAAAAAAAAACAGACACCACTCAAGAAAGAGCAAGCGACTGGGCTAGAAGACACAGCTTTACATCCAGGCCTGTTATATACACACATACGTCCCAAGATGATCTGGTTATCAGAAAGGCAGAGTACGTAATACCGAGGCTACTTTCGGAGCTTCAAAAATTGGTCTTATAATCACACTATTTGTAGACGTTTACTAACTTTGTTCCCTGTAGAATTTGGAGTGGGATTCACCGCTGGAGGATTCTTCTTCTTCATATTTGGAATATTTGCATTTTTTGACTCTTCTTTCCTTGCATTGGGGAACATATTATTTGTAATTGGATTGATATTAATTATAGGTCCTCAGCGTACCGTTTCATTCTTCAGTAGACCCAACAAATTGAGAGGGACGTTTTGCTTTTGCTTAGGAATTTTCTTGATCTTGATCAAGAGATCGTTCATTGGATTTATAGTGGAGAGTTTTGGGATATTAGGATTATTTGGAGACTTTTTCGGGACAATTGTACAATTTTTGAGGTCTATTCCCTACATAGGAGATGTATTGAGTCATCCAGTCATTGCACCTACCATTGATAGATTGGCCGGTGTAACAAACATGTTACCAGTTTAGGACAAATGTAAAGAATAAAAGTGTAATTTTGTAGCAACTGGCTTAGAAATGATCCTTGCATTTTAAGTAAACATTTATATGAGATCTTTTGTATATATATATGTACCATATTTATTTGATAAATAATTTAAATGCTAAGCTATGTTTAGGAATGATTAGAGGACGGACAGGATTCTCCTTCCTTGGAGTACCTGGTTTATCACTTGTAGAACAAAATCGCCGGTTCCTAGTGCCATTAACAAGTCCAAATGCGCCACGATCTCTTCTCTGATCGGGTTGTACGAATTCGTTTGGATGGATATTGTAGTCGTTCGACTGGAATTGTGGTTTGTCTCGTAGCTAAGTAGATGCTCCCCATTGGAGTTGGTTATGGCTTTAAAGCTTGGTAGCCAAAGGGCCGTAGCAGGGTGCCGTACCCTAGGTTGTTGATGGGCTAGAGAAGATGTCCCTTGGTACTGGATATTGAACAAATTGGAATAAACCAAGAAGTGTGATGCTACGGAACTTTGGAGAGTGTCCTGGTTTTGAAAGAAGTCCAATACTACAACTTCATCTACAGCATTATTGTTTCTAAACTGTTGCACTATGCCATCAACTTCTCCGTGTAGTGGAGATGTGAAGATCACCTTCCCTGAGCCCAACATCCTCCCTCTGATATCATTCATTAGTAATATTGGATGGTAGAGAAATCCAACCACATTTGTTTGTGTACGGGCCTGGAATTGAGGCTGCAAGTCAGCTATAACCACTTCTAGCGTTTTCTGTTGCGGTTTCTCCATCACATTAAAGTTCATCGCAGGTGTAGGCGAATTTCTTATCAGCAACAAGGGTATAGAGCATGCGCTGCCAAATATGATATGCGAAGCTAAAACATCCATAAATTGTTTGTTAAGAAAGTGATTATTATTGAGTGTGGTCAACCCACACCACGGACTGAGATCATGATTTATATTGTTCTTGAGCTGGTGCTGCTGGTGTTCAACTATGACTATCTGGAGCTGTCGTATGCTATTCTTATAGAAGTTAAGGATAGTATATGCAACAACGTAAGACACGAACGTTGAAGGGTGTGAGAGTATTATCAACAGCATGAACAAGTAATAGAAGGGAAGAATGGCATAAAGATAAGAGAGGCATCGGCTCTAACAAAAATGCTTCATCCATATCTTCATTTTTATAGTCTATACTGGGTGTAGGGATGTTTGCGGCATCTGCCTCTGAATACGATTGTACGATAAGCAATGATACTGCCAACATTGCAGAAGTGTAATATATTCATAGCAGAGTAGTAGAATGTGAGGAATATTAACGTCGAGGAGAGCTGGGGACTCAAATCTATCAATAATTTAATATAAGTACACTTGCTGTAGAATTCGACATTCAAGATATACTATAATTCCAATAAACTTTGCAATAGTGTAAAGTTATTCAACAATTTAGTACCCAGCGAGACGAAATAGAAGAAGAAGTCTTACATAGAGGAGAGTAGGCCACTTTCATATACAATGGAACTAGTCCATCATAACTTCACCGTCTATCCTCGGACATTTTCCCATTCCATACATGCACCAGAAAAACACATTCTATATTGATCAACCGATAGAAACTTTAGTTCAAGAAATCATCCGTGATAGTTTAGTGGCTAGAATTACCGCTTGTCGCGTGGTAGACCGGGGTTCAATTCCCCGTCGCGGAGCTTCTTTTATCTTGCGCAAATGGTTTAGTGGTAAAATCCAACGTTGCCATCGTTGGGCCCCCGGTTCGATTCCGGGTTTGCGCATTCTATTTTTTTTGGATATGGTTTCTTTGATCCATCAGAAAGGAAAGCTCTTCTTCGATTATTATGTCAATATAGTAGTCAAAAAATCGGAAAATTAAGACTGGGTACTATATTGAGCTCTTTTGGAAGTACTGTAGCATAAAAAATTAGAAGAAAACATTGATTAAGGTATTGTTTACCTTTTCCACCCTCTCTTATCTCATCTCATCTCATCTCATCTCATGACGCAGGTCACCAAGGTGAACCGTAGGAAAGAAATAAAAGCCAAGGAAGAGCTTCAAGCCCAATTCCAGTTGGCAATATCGAAGAACAACAAGAAAATCTTATCATGGCTCGATTCAGGAGATAAAGAGAGTGCGGTGGCTTCTGTTTCGTCAACCAGTGCCGCTGCTCCTAACTCCTATGACTTTTCAGCTTCCAACAATGCATTTTTCGACTTGCCTATTGTACCGAATGGTTCTGGACTTTCGTCCATGGACTCCTCTAGCTTCAAAGTAGGGGATTTTATAAACTCAAAGGAAGGAGACATCAGTAATTTGAAGACACAATCGTCCAACGTTGGGAAGACCGCTCCAGACTCTAAGGCAATGACCGCCTTGAAGAATAACTTGAGGACTAAGAGTAGAAAGACCGTAGAGACGAAGTTTAAGGAGCGAGAGGGCCCAAAGAATTTCAAGCAGACTATAAAGAAGGCGAAAGAGCTGGGGGTATCAGACTCTAAAGCAGCGAAACCAGAGGGAGAGGATGATGATGACGAAGATATTGCCGCATTGAGGAGTAGATCAGTGAAGAAGAGTGGCATTCAACAGTTTGGAAAGAAGAAAGGTGGTCGTCCTTTCTAGGGTAATAAATACACGGAAACCTTCATAATGAACGTAATATATTGGTAGCATGGAAACTAGTCGTAGAATTTGACTAGAAGCAGTAGTATTAGAATGCAGTCGTAGACGTTCAGCTGGAAGCACTAGTAGTCGCAACGAATTAGTGGAATAGACGTAGAAACTTTCGTGGAACAAAGCGCCTGAATATTGTCTTTCATGTATCCTGAAAAGAGGATGAAGGCTAGCTGAGCTTCTGCAAATAATCTTTACAAATATTTTCCAATCTCTTTATAACAAGTACGACTTCCCATATACATACAGTAGTCTAGTTTGCTTATAGTAATATAGTTTGCTTTCAGCTCACGAGTTCATACCACCACTTAGGCTACTTACATTGTCTACAGCGTGGATTTGCATCCTACAAATTGTATACTGATACCCTATATTCAATATCCAGGTAATTATATAATACTAATACAATTCTTAAAATGTAATAAAAAATTGCGGTTGGCTAAGTCTTTTGCCTTTTGCTGGAATGTTCTTCTGCGTGGATCAAACTGTTGATATTTGAAACACTAGGTGTAGATGCTCCCAGTTCTCTTTCTTGGGTTTCTTTCCCTCCATTACTGTTGTCTTCGGACAAAAGCGAAGTTACTGATACCTTGTTCACAATTGGGCTTGCTTCGTGGATGACAGTTGGTGTGGATGAAGCTACACTGCTTCCTGATTCACTGATCTTGGACAAAGACGTGGCCTCATGCTCCTTGTCATTAGCTTTGGAAAATGGGGAGGTAGTAAGTGATCTTAATCTAGTTAACTGAACTCCGTTACTTCCAGACTGTCTGGGAGAGTAAGTGATCGAACCTGCGCCATTTTTAGTCAACGGAGGCGGAGTCAGCGTACCACTATGTAAGTTTTGCAAAGGAGGGAGTTGATCCATGTGAGGCAATGGGTCGCGGGGCCCAATAAGTGTCTCTTCCTTGTGGTGGCTATGGTGGGAAATCGATCCGAAGGACGATTGACGTTGGAATGACGAGATTGAGGAGAGTGATGATTTCTCTGAGAATATAGAGTTGTTTGAAGACTGGGACCCGAGAGAATCGGCTGCGTTTAGTTCAACACCGACTCTCTTCTGGCCGAGGTGAAGCTCAATCAATGAAGGACGTAAACGTTCTTGAAGCGAGGAGTTGATCGGAATAAACGATGGTTTTTTATGAACTGAGGGAGATGTGGGAATGGAAGCCGCATTACGAGTGAGGTGGTGTGGTTGGGGGGTCGAGGAAGATGAAGAGTGACTGTGGAACTTGGGAAACGTACGTCCACCGCTAGGGGTTGGTACAGTAGCCGCAGAAGTAGGAGGTACGCTGTTGTTTTGGCTAGATGTCTCGTGTCCTTCACCACCAGAGCTTCGGGTGGCAGACATCAATGAGGATGTCGATGTGTTGGATGAGACTCTTTGAAGACTCGAAGGCGGTGGAAGCTTAATCGAGTTCCGGCCAACGGGCAGACTTACCGAAGGTGATTTAGGTGAGCCTAGCTTGGCACCAGAAGCTGCGTTAGCGTGGTTAAGCGGCATGGAATTAGGGGTGGAAACAGGATGCGGCAACGTGATTGGCGTGGTGGATGGTGGGGGAGCCGATGACGAGAAATTAGACATGGCTTCAGCTGGGTGATGGTGGTAGTGATGATGGAGTGGCACCGGAGCCAATGGATCGAAGAGGAGGGATGGGTTTCTAGGCCTCATTTCATTGCCATTGTCCCAAATCTTTCTAAACTGTGGGGTAAAGCCAGCCTGCGACGGAGCCTGTGCCTGGGCTGCGCTAGCCTGTTCGTGAGCCTTAGCCTGCGCCTGAGCGTTAGCCTGGGCATTTGACTGAGCGTGAGATTGGGCAGACTGAGCCTGAGCCTGAGCCTGAGCCTGAGCCTGAGCCTGAGCCTGAGCTTGAGCTTGAGCTTGAGCTTGAGCCTGAGCCTGAGCCTGAGCCGCTACGCTTCCGGGCCCCTGAGCGTACAGATCAGACTGAGATCTGGCGCCATAAGGCTCTACTCTGCTCGCCTTCTCCACGGGTAGACTGTCCACTCGATTGTAATGCCGTATAGAGTCCACTGACGGGCTGTAGTATGGCTGGATCCCGTACGGTACCTGCCCCTGAGGGTGGCCCTGCGCATGCTGCTGGACGGGATGGGAGTGCTGAGGATGCTGGGGAGGATGCTGCTGTGTAGGATGCTGTTGAGGGTGCTGCTGAGGGTGCTGAGGGTGTGCCTGGGGCTGGGGATAAGGATGCTGTATTTGGGGGTGCACGATACGTTGCTGAAGCACTGGCGGTTGGTAGTACATGTGTCCGTTGTGAACATACGCCTGCCCATACCCATAGGGATGGTGCAAGGCACCAGACGATGGGGGGCCGGTGGCCTGTGCAACACCATGGGCTGCTATGTAGTGGGCATGCGCCTGTGCTTCGTATGAGTTGGGCGACGGTGTCGAGGCCGGTATCATCACACCGTCAGCGTTCTCGTGGTAGCCACCAGCACCGCCAGCACCGCCGTTGGGGCCCCCTCCGTTCCTGGAGCTGTTCGAGGAAGACCTTCTTTTAATGTACACCAACGAATCTTCGTCGTCCTTCTTAAATTTACCACTGGAATGCTTAAACTCCCAGACCGGCGGGTTCTCCACGCCATTGACCGAACCGTTGTTGCTATCAGAACCTCCGTTGCCGGACTGTGGTTCCGATACCTTATGGAACCCATACATGTGGAGCTGACGGACAAAGCTGGCCACATTGCCGTGCTTAAAGTAGCCCGTCAACGCTGTAGCAAATTCTTTCCCTGGGAACAAGGCAAACGTATTCCGCTCTTCGTTGGTCGTCCACCATATCAAATGGGACAACTTAGGGTCGCTTAACATCGAGTACAACTTGTGTACGAAGGCATTCTTCTTGACTGGGGGGTCTCGTGTGTTCTTCTTACTCATGGTCGGATATGTCACTAGAGTTCGGAATAGAAGACAACCAATAATATGTTCTAAATGGTTTGGTCAAAAATTTTTCTCTTTTCTTTGCTCTTTTTTTTTCAGTTTTTTTTGTTGGTCTCGTACGATACTGAATAGTTTTTATACTATGATAAACCTGGAGTACTTGCCACTATTATAACTATCGCTCTCTCTATGTGCCGCCTGTGTTATGCTGTTGATATCCACTACTAGACTATCACAAAAATGTACTGTCTTTTCCCTTTCAACACTCAGGGTCTTTACAATTATTTTTTTCGTATCTTTTTGTCCTTTTCAAATAGATTTTTTTTTTATTTTATTTTTTCTTGATTTCACAATTTTGCATAGAAAAAACATGAAAAAAAAAGAATTAAGAAAAAGAACTACAACTGGCCTAATCTAGGCGAGAAGGTCAAGGGACGTACATGAATATATATGTATGACAAACATGATGCCCAATTAAAAAAAAAAAAAAAAAAAAAAAGATCAAAATAAAATAAAATAGAGAACATAGACGCTGGTGTCTTTCTTTTTTTGTTTTAGTAAAACGAGCCAACGAATTAGTCAATCGGAAATCCTCATCTGCATCAGAACTACGATGTCTGGTAGGCTATCTTCCCTTCCACTGGGGTTTTTTGTTTCTTTGTCCCATCCGAAAGCTGCCTGAGAGAATGCATCTGCTGCCTTCCTTTGATTGCGTGGGGAAGTTTTATTTTTTTTTGTTTATTTTTCACGTAGTCCGAATTACCTAAAGGAATTTTTACAAAAAAATATAGAAGCACTTTCTTTTTAATTTATTATATTAGGTGAAGGTGAAACTAGTGCAGGGAAAATCTGCATGGCGCTAAAAAAATAAAATTTCAACAAAATGTTTCTGTTTTAAACAAATTAAGCGCACTATCGAAGAATGCAAATGGTGCAAAATGAGTTCGAGTAGCAATTGTTAAGAGAGTATCATAGAGGGTTAAGGTGTGCGAAAGCACAGGGAATGGGGAACTTTAAGAGAGAGGATTGGACATTTTGCTCATCATCTTTTGTATAATTTTTCGTAGCTGTGTTGTGGCATTCATTTATTTTTTCACCCTCGTAGGTTCAAGCTCGATGAAACACCAGAAATTCATTCGTCCAGGAGGCGGTCCCATTCTCGCACAGATCTCGATTTGTTCTTTATATTGGGAGGCAAGATACTAATCATAATTTCAACACTGTAAGCAACTTTGCTATGTAGAACATTGCTTCAGAGGGAAATTGTTGGCCAAAAAATGAAAAAAAAAAAAAAAAAAATGTCTATGAAAATTAACAAGTTCTACATCACGCGCTGATAATATGACCTGCAACAGTACATGGAAATGGCCACAAGGTGCATTAACTAAGATGCTATATGGTTAGAGGTTAGGAGCATTATGTGGACATGAAAGTAAAATTAACAGTTCTGTCACTGACAAAAATAGGAGTATTTCGTGTCTTAAACACCGGTAGATCTGAAGCTGCCCGTAGTTTAGATTTGAGCTAAAAAGGAAAGTACATACGATATCTTTCATTCTGTTGCGCCTTCCAAACTTCACATTCCCTGTGACTTTCACATTTTTCATTCTTTTATTTTCTTTTATTTATTTATTTATTTATTTTTGTAGTTATCATTTCTCTTCATAATATTTTAGCCTCTTGCACTTAGAAATCGACGGATGAAGTGAAGGTGCTTGGAGCAACTGTCCACGTCAACGTCAACTTAAAGGTACTGTGTCATTTTTGTCCAGCCAGGTAGTCCAAATTGGCAAATTTTACGATTTTACGCGCATCTTAAGCCATTCCCTGTCCAACAATTTAACGTCGTAACTTCATTATCTACCACCGCCTTTCATGCTGGCGCTCATTTTTTTTAGATCTCCAAATGTGAATAGTTGACGCAAATGCGGAGAAACCCACAACATTTACCATGCATGCATATCAGTTATTCTTATCACTATTGTCACTTATGCTATAGCAATGTTAATTCGTTAAAGGCAATTATGATCAAAAGGAAAAAAAAATACACCTGACAGAGAAGGTTTGATCATTCGATCTTGAGGCACGCTCAAAGAAGCTGTGAAAAAATATCCACCGAAAAACGGCGAGGTGTTTTTTCGATCCTTCCTTCTTTTTTTTTTTTTTCTTTTTTTCTTTCCTCGGAAGGAAGCGAGAAAGAAGAAAAGCCAATTCCTTCCGTCGTGAATGAACTATTTGTATTGGTCTTTCCTTTTTGCTCTAATTTTTAGCTAATTTCCATTTTTCTTCAATGAGGCATACTTTGTTCTGTTTCTGTACATGGATTTAAGCCGGGGACTTTGTGAAGCTGGCAACTTTTGACTTTATTTACACTTCCAATTTTGAAAAATTTCAATTTTATTTAAACTTCGGGAATTTAAAAATGTTCAATTTTTTTATTTTTTTTATTTTTTTTTTCCCATTTTTTTGTTGCATTATTCGCTGCACTTGAAGACCGTTATCAGTATGAACAACAAAATAGCACCACGAAGGGGAGAAGAAAGTAAGAACAATAGAAGTGGGATGGAGTTCGAATGAGGCAATTATTTCACGCCTAATCAAGAAACGAGAGAATAAAGAATAAAGGAAAAAAAAACTCCCAAGGAAACACATCGTTACCGCTTAAGTTTCAATCCAGTCACATTCCCCTCAGCGATGCCAGTCATTTCTCAGACACAGCGAAGTGTGTTTTATCCTAGCTCAACAAGTACAATTGATTAGGTTTTCGCAATTTCGATACCGATAACGCTGTTTCCGTTGATGCATCGTGTCGCCTTTCTAATGCTTGCTCTGAGTGCTTCTCACCGTATTTTATTTTTCTCTTTCAAGCAGAGATGCCTGATAATCTATGCTTCTTACGTTTTAGCACATCATTAAACAAAAAATAGTAGTCCCACAATTTAATACATGATGCAACCTCGACGTTTGAATGATTGTTTAAATTGGTGTGAAATAAGCTCTCGAGCATAAGCTGCATGTAGCTATGCACATATTGCTTTTTCTTCTTATACACCAACTCCTTTGCAAATTATTATTTTTTTTGATCTTGCTGCGCGTCAGAATGACGTTGTTTTTTCGGCTTATATTTTGACTTTGCAGTTAATATTTTTTCAGGCAATTGTTGCCCTGTCACCTTGTCAAAGAAAAAAGGAAAGTTTAAACCATTACCATCATTGAATTGTAATTTAGTTATCTTCAAGGCATATTATATTCCCATTCATTTGAAGCACACTGCTGCCAGGTACATTCTCCACCACTCAAGGGTTCAAACATTCCAAATATTCAAAACAACTAGATTTTATAGCTTTGTTTAAAAATATTTTTTAACGGATCTTGTTGTGTGACAATCAACGGTAGGATCGTTGATTGTTTGATGCATGGCGATGCACAGTACATGACAAAAGAAAATAAAAAAACAATTGTGAACTTTGCGTAAAATGTCCTACATAGAACCCATTTTCCATTATTTTTCTGCTTGTGCACATCAACATGTGAGACGTTTGCATCTACGAGAAGCACGCTTATAACTTTTTTACGATAAGTACGGAAGGAAAGAAAGAGTGTTGTATATATGCACAACAGGACTAAATAAGATACTTGAAATTGGCCCATGGAATATGCTGGTCAAAAAAGAACTTCATCTTAGTATATCCTCTGCAAGAAGGTTCGGAGCAGTGCCAATGCAAGTCCGAAAAATTGCTACATCTCTAAAAGTCTAGAACAAACTAACCTCTTTATTTCAGCCCCAGAATTCAAAGTTGGTGGCCCATTGATACCACAATAATGTAGCTACTATTGTTGTAATCCTTGTAACCAAGAAAACATTCTCTAGCCTTGCTTCACAGTACTCTTAGCATGCACCACATATGATGGCATTTTGATGGAGTCCGACAATTATGAAAAATACCAGAAATATTATACCTGCATAACGAGGAATTAGGCTAAATCACGATGACGCCTGCATTTCGCTTCGTTACGATGAGGCATGGCCAGGACTTAGTTAACTCCACAATAGGTTCTAAGGTTATCTCCACCTATTAATTTATTCTAAGATGCAAATAAAAGGCACTAGGTTGACATTTACGAAATGCCCATGAAGGACATATCGATCGAATTAATAATCACTAAGTGTACAAGCTTCCATATTGACATATGCAGCTGAGGCAGTGCTACGATAACTTGCATACCAATGGTTGCACCCACCCACGCAGAATTACTTGAAGTGAAATAGCCCGTAATTATTACTTTACAGAGTTTGCATCTGGTAATTAGCTTGTTCGAATCTACACTTTATTGCAATAATACCTCAAAATAGGCTTGAACGTGACGATATCTCGTCTAAAGTTACTGAATTTCAAACTCATATGACAGGGTGGGTTTTCTAACACTTTACTCTGAAATTTCCAGGTAGAAATGAATTTCTTTGCAATGTTGAAATTACAATACACCCATTGCAGCTTCGTCCCTACAGTAGGCATCCGAAATCGTTAAAAATTTAATATATTTTTTGTTTATGTACTCTTCTAATCTAGAAATCAACTACTAGTTAACTTCTTCTTTCTATCCCTCAACAAAAGTCTACCACTTAACATTTCATTGGCCTTTTGTAAATCCTTCCAGTGAATCACTGTACCCTTTCTTAATTTGATATCAGCTTCATTTTCGTAAAGCTCTTTCACTGGGGTGAAGGTAATTTGTGCACCTTGAATTCCAATAACCACAGCAGATGGAGTGCCAGTTTCCACAGAATATTCATGGATTCTATTTTCTCCATAGAGTTCCTGTGCATGGTATTTCTTGTCATTCCACTCTTCAATGTATTGGACAGCCTTAACTGAGTATCTTACAGCTTGAACTCTATCTAATGATGATGGTGTAAAACCTTGCTGGACATGACCAGGAATGGCAGTTCTGGTTTCGAAACGCCCTTTGGCCAGCTCCTTTATTATGTCGGCAATTAATTCGGCGCTATACACAGACAGGGCCTGTTCGTTTCTGATAATCATTTTACCGTTTTTATCTTCACCTCTATCATTCTCAAAGACATCAAACAATAAATCAATATCTTCTTGTAAAGTTCTTAAGGTGATCTTTGTCTCTGGAGTGTAAGTAGCAATTGAACCAGTTACCAATCCCGCATAGGAAGCTACGTAACCAGAGTGGCCACCTTGAACCTCGACAACGAACACTCTTCTTCTTGAAGAGGAGGCAGATTGCTTAACCGCATCACAATAATTGACTAATTGATTTAAACAAGTATCAGCTCCCAAAGAGTCCTCAGTACCTGGAACATTGTTTGAAACAGTGGCAGGTATAACAACCAATGGTATATTGAATATTGGGTACTTGGATCTATTGCTATCCAATTCATGTACTGCAGTAAAACTCTCGAATCCTCCAATCACAATTAAACCATTCAACTGGTATTTTTGTAAGTAGAAGGCTACACTACCGAAATCTTCACTAGGTAACGATCTATTGGTACCAATTTCCGAGCCACCCTTGTTATGCCAGTCAACTACGTCAAGCCACTTCAATTCTTTAACTTCTCCTGTGGTTATTAACCCAGAGAAACCATTGATTATACCATATAATTTGTGACCGTGTGATAAACAGTACAATGCAGCCGCTCTTGTACTGGCATTCAATGCAGAGGACGAAGCTCCGACATGAACAATACCAATGTTCAATTGCTTTTCTTTTGGTAATATATCCAGTCCGTCATCACCCCTGGAAATGGCCAAGAATTGCTGGTAAGCTTCATAAAATGAAGAATCTCTTAAATTAATTGCCTTGTCGAAATCTTTCAGCTCAATTGCTGTAGCAACCGACTTTGTCAATTCAACTGCTTCCACCAATGGTCTTCTTACAATCTTATTTTCCAACATTGCAATCATAGGGGATGGAGTCTCTGGAGTGCTTTCCAATACAGCTCTAACAGCATCTACACCTTGTAAAGTAGCCAACATTCTATCATGAGCTACGGCACTACCACCTCTTTGAACATGCCCCAAAGTAGTAATTCTTGTGTCAAGTCCCAATTCTACAAGAACATCCTTTACCATTTCTGATGTAATTGGATTCAAATCATCGTCGATGGCTCCCTCAGCTACAATGACGGTGGTCTTTCTGTTTCCCTGTTTTCTATGTCTTTGACAAACTTGCTTCAAGTCTTCCTGCCATTCACCAGCTTTAGGGGGTCTCTCTGGGATGAAAATATAATCAGCACCACAAGATATACCAGACATAAGGCCCAACCAGCCACAATGTCTTCCCATGACTTCAACCACAAATGCTCTAGAATGAGAAGTCGCAGTAGCATCTATGTAATCAACCATTTCTGTGATTCTAGCCAAGGAAGATGCAGCACCAATCGTAGTATCAGTGCAGGCCATGTCGTTATCAATGGAACCGACCAACCCCACAATGGTTAAATGCTGATACGGGAGAACTTGCTCCTGTGTCAATCTTTTAGTCAGGACCAACTCCTCACACAAGGATGGCCACTCTTCACGGAATAAGTCTGCACCAGTCAAGGACCCATCTCCTCCACAAACAATAAGTGCGTCTATACCGTTAATAATCATATTGTAGCAACTGGTCAATCTACCGGCCCTTTCTCTAAATTCCATACAACGAGCAGTACCAATGGCGGTACCCCCCAAGGACAAGTAAGATCTAACATCATTCCATTCCATTTTCTTCAACAATTTTCCACCTTCAACCAAACCGGAGTAGCCTTCATAGACAGCAAATACATCGCAGCCTAAGTAGATCCCGGTTCTCACTACAGCTCTCACTGCAGAGTTCATCCCTGGAGCATCACCTCCAGAAGTCATCACTGCAATCTTCTTCTTCTTCTTCTTAGATTGGTTAAGAGACCAGCGGTTGGTGGAATCGTTCTCTGACGTTTGAGGTTCATCCTTCTTAATTAGATCCAACAATAATTCAGTTCTATCTTTAAGATATTGCTCGGCGGAGGTATAACTCTTACCATTGGGTAAGTCTTCTTGGGATGTGAAATGCACAGTGTTGCCCATAGGGTCGAACACAGTGACAAGGTTGCTCTGCTGGTTCCTCAATTCGGTCAGCAATTCTTTGGTCAAGATGTCTGTAACCCTCTTCAACTCAGCGGTGAAGAAGAATAACTCTTGGTTGGCAACGGCCTTAATCGATTGGCCTTCATTCGACAATCTGAGCTTTAAAACGACACCATGGCTGAGGGCCTTCAGACCGTCTCCATGGTAAACGTCCAACTCCTGCCAGGGGATCAATTGACCTTTCTCATCAACATTCTGCAAGGGAAAGGACTCTAACCAGAGTTCACGGAGGGAGTCGTTCGACACTCCAACATGGAGCTTGGATTGTGCCAGGGCAGACGCAGTGGCCAATGCAGTGTTGGAGAGCTTGGAGTAATTCTTCACCAATCTAAACCCTAACTTGTTATAAAAATTGGCACATTCATCAAACACCTTGGTGTCTGAAGTGACAAAGGAGGTGGAAGCAACACCTTTCACAGCTTTCGTGGGCATCGTTTACCTAATTCGCAATTTCAAATGGAAAATACACCGTTTTTTCTCTAATTGAACAAAGAAAAGATACCTGAACAATTCTGTATCACCTGGGATTTCTGCCTTCTTTTATTTGCTGCGCTTGATGGTATCACACCTACTGGAGATCTGGTGATGGTTCACTCCCCGTATGATTAGAGCAGGTGCCGGTCGGGAAAATAAAATCCGAGACCACATGCAGGACAGACAATTGCGTGTGCAGGAACAACAGTAGGTGTTCTGCAGCTGTAGATCCGAGACCACATGCAGGAGCAGTAGGGTTGCTGCTTTACACCAAGAGCAGGAGGAGGACGAAGACAAGGTAGAGTGGGTTCAAGGGGACCCTGGAACCCGTGTTTGTGTTTGTGTTTGTGCCATGGTTTGTGGCAAACTGAACGAATCTGTTAGCATCCTCGTCGGTGCTGTGGGCGACTTTTTCAGTACCTGCTTTGGCCGAAGCTTTGTCGTGGGCTTCTGCATGTGTATGCTGTTCTCCCTGAGCGCTGCTAGTAGCATCTTCTTCGCCCTGGGCACCGGTGATGGCTTTCTCTTCGTCCTTTTCACCTTCATCGCTCTCTTCTTCATCACTCTCCTCAGCTCTGTTGCTTGCGGAGCCGTTTTTCTTCGTCTCATACGCTTCAAACACCCTCAACTGCTCTTCGCTTATATCTGTTAAAACCTCGTTCTCTGTTTCACGCCCAAAGACTTCACCACCTCTCGAACTCAAAGGTAACCACCGCCCATCAACGTTTCCATACACATAGTGATCACCAGTGGAGTAGTCGCTTACTCTGACATTTCTAATATACATATCGAAGGGCAAGTCTTGAAAATCCGTGAGCCCTCCAGACCACAGTATGGTGCCTGGGTCATTGGTCAGATCTCCTCCAACCCAAATGCTAAAGACAATGTACATTGGTGAGGTTGGATATCCTTCCTTTGGGTTTGGTTCCACTTCACGGATCAATTCACCGTTTAAAAACCATTTGATTTTCTCTGGGGTCCATTCTAACCCGTACGTGTTATAGTGTTCCAGAGCAGCACCACTTTGTAAAGCATGATACATACCCCTTTCGTAATCACTGGTATTGCCTTTAACGAAGTAGTTCGTCTGAATGTGCTCCAAATCGTTTCCAATAGATTCCATGATGTCAATCTCGTCTAAGTCGTCGCTTTGCAAGTACAAGGAGGTTACCACTCCTGCGCCGTAGCTAGACCTAATTTCTGCGCTGATATTCCCATATAGCAAGTAAAAATTGGACTTAATGGAGGGATCTTGAAACCTTTCGTTAATGCTCAACTTCATTCCAAATTCTGGCAGGAACTCAGTGTTTTGGGCATAGCTGGTGCTGGAGAACAATTTTGGCGTTCTAGCAAAAGATTCGAATATTGAAGTGCCTAGCGCCTGGTTAACCGAAAAGCAAGTCCTCTCTAATCTTGGATTGCAGGGAGTACTCTCATCACGAGCATCAGCGGCAGCATGTTTAGTAAAAGCGCTTAACCAAATGGCAATAAACGTGAAAACAATCATCTTTGAAGGGCTGAATAAGCGCAATAAGATATAGATATACTGTCAAATGAATATCCTATCTAAGGTGAATATGTCTAAGTATCAAAAATGTCTTGAATTTCTTCCAAATATAAATACTGTATAAAATAAATATACTATCAAATGAACATTTAATCAAAGTGATCTTGGTGTCTAACTATTTTACATGGCTGGAGCCTTCTCTAAGTTCTTCCATGTTTGTACTATCACTTGCGTGCAAATAGACTCATAAAAATTGCAAACTTTTATAACGGCCTTTCAGAAACCAGTAAGAATCGTTTAGCAGCGGAAACCATACAACAATGACTTCAATCCTGCTTCAGACCGTACAGCAACTTTCTCCAGTCGTTACTAGGCCGTCAGTGGTTGCAATTGTAAGTAACCACTGAGCGCTACTCACAGTTTGTCATAACCGGGCAATTTTGCAACCATTTATTATATGCACACCTGGACAAAATCACGTACTCACCTCGTAAATAAAGTTGCACTCTATTTACGTTTGCATTTTTCACTTTCAATGTCTTCGTTACCTTACCTTCAAATATGCTGTATTCTTCCAGAATGGATGTATACTCACCCACCCACATAACCCTCCTAACGTACATACGGAGCGCTTCGTCTTGCCTGCAACTGCAGTTGCTCAAGGTCTTAGCCAAGATCATCAGGGCCATCGAACCGGAAGTGACAACAGCCTCTCAATCTCCGGTCGAACCCACCATCACCAAGGAAGTACTTGATGGCTATATCTCTGCTATCAACACCAAAGTTAACCCCACAGGCTTCAAGATTGCCAAATACAGAGATCAAGTATCTGGTACGATATACTATATTTTTATCAGCACTGTGTCGGACGCCATAACCAAATCAAACACCTCATACACACCCCCGGAAATCGATTCTATCAAGAAGGTTATAGATGACATAATAGACCAGGACAGCTTCGTGTACTCCTTGGGCTACGTGAATCTGAGCCAGCGTGTTGGCCAGACCTTGAATAAGACTGCTAGGGAGTCGAACATGTTTCTCACAAAACTTATTGACGACGGTTGGTTCGAGCTAACGGAAGAGGATAGAATAGTCTTGTCCGGTCGAAGCATCTGTGAATTGAAACACTACTTGGTGGAAAGGTACGGGCTCTACGGGGAAGATGTAGAGAAAGGGAAACTTTTTGTGTGCCAACAATGTAAAGAACTTGTGACGATAGGGTTCAAATGCAAGGAGAACTCCTGTGCCGTTTCGTTCCATGCCAAGTGCCTTGACTTTTATAATAGATTGCACGATAGCCCAAGGTGCCCCGGGAATTGTAACTTTGAGTGGACAGAGGCAGGGAGAAGACTAGGTGTGCTTCCAGAGACCCTCAAATAGAGAGGTGCTGACGTAAAGGCATGCAGTGGGCTACGTAGAGAGCTGTTCGTTCGAAAGATATAGTTAGACCACGTCGAGAGGTGTTGGTATAAATTAGTAAGTCTACGCAGCTCTCGGCAGTTGAGTCTGCCTGTGCTAACACATGTTATAATTCATTTCATTCGTTAAAGTACAGCCACTATTCGTCATAACTATCTAAATACTCAGCTTCCACTTCGTCTATAACATCCCATAGCCATTCCTCAACAACATGCTCAGCGTATCTCGAATTTATTGGTTTGGGTGACAGGTTATCTGGGAGCTGCGGTGGATATTTGAAGCTTGGCCCTGCATTGAACTCAACCATTCCCTTTTGATAAACGGAAATCATTGGGTAGTACCCCAAGGATCCGTCATCAGTATTCCTATACGCAGGGTTTTGCATCTGCTTCAAATTGTTCTCATCATCGCCACCTATTTCCGCAGGTAAGAACGAATACAAGTTTTCAAACATCTCTCCGATGCACTCGCCATTCTTGTAAACGATAATTTTAGAGTTGGGGATTGTGGGCAAGATATCGCCGAGTTCGTTGTGGTTCTTCTCCAAGATTGCTCTCTCCCCAAATACCGTCACAGGATTGAGCAAATGGTCCATCTTCTTCGTGGTTGAGTATTCGTACTGTTCATAGTAAAGAGACGATTTATATTTGATAGGGATTTGGTCTCGAAGAATGTTATTGTAGTTTTGGAAGTTGGAGTTGTCCAAATCAACGTCCTTTTTGGAGTTTATTCTTCTTTTTTTTGCCTTCCCACTGGCGGCTTCAGTCGGCGTGCTAGGTAACAGCGTGGCCTGGTTCTGGTCCAGAGTGGCTGTCTTTGTCTGTAGAACTTCTCGCTTAGATCTAACGAATTGCTCCACGTGCCTCCGGTGCTCTTCCAATGAGGGTAATTCTACATACATGCCGATCACGTCACCGCTTCTGAAACCAACGTCCTTCGTTTTCTCGTCTGGACCCTTCTTCATGAACTCTTTCGGTCTACTCAAAGTAATCTTCTGTCCATTCACATCTCTGATCCCATACCCGTACCCGTCAAATCCCACAGGAGCCTCCAACGATGCCTCTCTTCTCGCAATTCCAACCCTGACATGGCTCCTATCGGATCCGTTATTGGCATTGATAATGTTGAACTCCATGTAGTGAGAGCCCTCGCGCATTCCGATGTTGGTCCTGATGGATCTCCACCCATCTAAAGTAGAAACACAGTCCATTGAGTCGTTGAATATGATACCCGACGCCCGGTCAAAGTAAGAGGGGCACACCTTGAACGGGAGGATCTCGGTAGTGGAATATAAGTTGGAAGGGAAGCTCGGATTTGCGGAGCATGGCTTGTACTTGTAGCCTCTCTTGTTAAGAGGGTGGTCTTCGGAGTTGTAAAAAGTGATGCCTTTCTCCACGATGACCTGACTTTTCGAGGGAGCACCCTTGGAGGCGTGCAAGTCCAGTGCCTTAAATGGGACAGGCTTCAATCTCGGGTGGATAACAACGTTGTCCTTCCTTTGCTTAGCTGCAGATTTGGATATGGTCACCTCTTTAGACCTGGTGGAGTACGATTTAGACAGCACATTTTCAGCAGTTTCCTCCTGTGAGATCACCACTGGCTCAATTACGTCCTCCGCCGCCTTAACCTGTGGCACTATTTCCATGATATCAAGCAATTGAGGGTGCTTTTAGTGAAGAGTAAGCCCAAACAACTTTGTTCAACCTCAAGGCTGAAAAATTCATGCTAAGATAAAAAACATGACACAAAAACAAACGTGTACCGGAGCCATAGTGGTAGACTCGGGGGCCATTAAGATACTGGTGTAAGTAGGAAAGAAGAGCATCAGGGGGTAACTTTGCATTCAATTGCATTAGATATCTCACAAGACGCTTGCAATTGTAGAATGAGGGGAGTATTTAGTTTAATAAAGTTATGGGTGGTTTTAGTAGCCTCAGGGAAAGAAGCTTACCGCTCACCAAATGATGGGGAGAGACGAAGCAAATACCATGAAATGGTCAGCAAAAAGCCTGACTGCTGAAAGCCGTATAGCTGCATTAAGATTTAGTCTACCTGAAAGTCTACAAGTATACAGACTAACCCAACCCAACACAACATAACACTAACCCAACACAGAACAACTCCACCCTCCACGGCTTGCCCGCGCAATACCACTATGCAAGTCTAGAACCCCGGACCTCCCAACCAGATGTTCTTCTAAAAATATATCTTAACTCTATATAATAACGCAATCCTTAACTCTGAGCTGCTACGGAATCCAATACACTCACTCAAGACTATCAAACCTAAACACAACCTTCATGTCCTTACTCCTTGGTGCTGCATACCTGATGTCTGACCTGAGGTTGCATAGATAGGTGCCCTGGCCGCCTTATGCGCAGACCAGGCACAATTAACGTACACTACATGCAGTACAATTAGATTCCCACAGTGACGATCTAACTCTAAATTCTCTTCCTCTCAAGCCATACAGTAATAAGGTTTCAATGATTACATCATACCTGTAATCTCTTTATCTCAAGCTCAGTGCCAAAAAAGCCGTGCAGTGGCCACCAAATATACACACGCGTCCACTGAGCGCCGTGTAGCAATTTCATAAACTGTTAAAGGGGCCACTGCACGCATGATAGTTGCACGTTTATACCTTATGTAGTACGTAGTTAAAGTTTCAAGGGCCATTGACTCAGGGGTACCAACTCGGTTTCGCCCGGAGGAAACAAAGTAGCAAATTTTCTCTGCCTTTAGTCAACTCTGTTACCACACCAAACACTAAGCCCACTTGACAACCTGCCAACCCACTAACGAGAACAGTGGATCTTATTGTTTTATTGTCCAAGCATGATACTTCAAACTCGGCTAATTTCTGTCTACATGTCCCCATTGCAACCCAGTATGTGAAATTAAAGGTCATACGTGAGGCGTGTTTTAACGTAATATTGGTATATTTTCACAACTAGACTGTCGTAACAGAAAGGGGCACGCCGAATTCCACCAAGTGACACCTTCATGTACAATCGTGATTATTATTACCCTTCAACTCTCCCCTTACTCTTTATCCGTAATCATGCTGTAGTAGCATGATTTTTTATGCGCATCTCGGCTATTTCCTTCTTCCATTTCTCGAATGACCAAAACTTTTGGAACACTTTTTATACTTTACACACGGACACGGCTTTGACAAACCTATGTGCTACGCTACAACCTTACTATGCGATTCACAATATAATGATTCTAGAATTATATACTTTAAATAAGTACTTATTTATTTTATGTGGTTGTACTCTGTTGGCTTTATTTCACCTACTGTATTTCAATTTCACTATGCTTTTGTTATCGTTATTAATGTGGGGTCATTAGTATGCCGTCTGACTTTCTCATGCTTTTCCAAGCTGGTACTACTTTTTTACTCCGATTTTCTTCCAGAAGGATGACTTCTTCTGTGCTTTCTTTCCCTCATCCTTCTTGGAACCAGTAGATGTAGTTGTAGACGTAGATACATTCGATTTCACTTTTTCTAATTTTTTCTTAGACGGTTTTTCTTCATCAATAGAAATCAAAGATTTAACTTTGTACATTGGCTCATTGCTACTCAGATTTTGCTTGGAGGAGTTGTAAATAGAATGAATCTTGCTGTTGTTCAATACGGCCAGATCAAATTTAATCGACGTACCATTACTACTTGTACCATCTTCACTTCCATTGGTAGAAGTAGACTGTAATTTCAGTAAATATGCTCTAGATTCTTTCAATGAAGTATCTGAAACCAAGGCAATCATATCTTTAAATCTGGATGTTGCATTTGACTGGAAGAATTTTTCAACTTGATCTGAGAGATTTTCCGCCGCTAAGTCTTCCACAGTATCAACTGTAGATTCAATGGAGTCAATAGATGCAGAGGAGACTTTTCTTTCTGCAGCTCCTCCGTCTGCAACTTTCAACCCTTCCTCTTCAGATAATTTTGTGTTTCCAAATGTTACACCCTCAGCTTCAGAAGTGGAAAATGAGCCCTTGGCAGAATTACCTACTATAATAATTGGAACCGGGAAGTATTTAATCATGTAAGAAGTCAATTTAATTATAAATTGATCATTTTTACTCGACCCATTGCTACTAGAAGCAGATCCAGAAATGGAACTTCTGCTACTCCCTCCTGTACTTCCACCATTGATACCATTGATTCCACTTATAGAACCATTCTTAACACCACTTGCTTGAAGTAATCCCGCAGCCAGCATAGCTACTGCAGCGCTAGCTGCACCTGAAATAGAACTGGTAGTAGTAGATTTACGGCCAACCTTAACTGGATATTTGAAATTTAAATTAGTCGACCTGTTACCAATAATGACTAAAAAAGGTTGATATTGCTTTAAAAGTTTAGAAAATAAAAATTTGTACCTGACAAGTTTCTTTTTAGTTGCGAGAATTGAAGTTGTTTGTTCGTCTACTGTGTTATCTGTGATAAATTCCACAGTTACTTTTAATTTGAGATGTTTGGGTAAGTTATCCGTAATGTAGTCTAGTAATTTTTCACACTTTTGATATAGAAAGCCATCTGTATCTGGATTATATATAGATCCTGCAGAGTTTCTCTTCTTGTTCTTTTTACTTTGATTGTTCAAAAATTTTGCTGGAATTAAAGCTGCTACGACCAAATAATCTCCATTTTCAAGGAAAGAATCACCTGTTTTCAAATTAAAGAGCCAGTCCAAAGAGTTCCATGAATGTCTTCTACCAGAAATTACTGTCAAAAGAGTTCTATTGGGAACCACTTCAAATTCAGGGTGCTTCACTGTCAAATTTATGGACTTATAGTTATTCTCATTAGACGAAGGATAAACTGTGTTCTTACCATTCCCATTTGATGAGGAGTTTTTTCTGGATTGACTTGGGACTTTGTAGTAAGTCTTTTGATTATCAAACTTAAATTGACCGACGTTCGAAGTTTTCGATTTAGTAGTAGCAAATTGGGGGTCTAATGCCATAAGTTCCTCATTGGTCATACCAGAGTAAGACTTTCTTCTAACTGCCGGTGGAGAACCGGAAGGAGAGTCATCCTCATCGCTGTCATCACTGTCAGATTCAACTGCAGACTGAGACGACTTATTTACAGAACCATCTTCATTTACAGTATATGCTAATTCACTCTTGGGGACATTTTTAGGTGGGTGTAATGCTAAATCGTTCAAATCTTCATGATAATTAATCCCCAAGGATTTACTGTTCTCTAAATTGAACAGCCTTTGCTGCGGCAGTAACTTGTTCTTTAAAATGGATTTCGAAGGAGCATCAGGCAACTTTGTACTTTTCCTCCTTTGGGAATACCCAGTGGGGAGTGCAGCCACTGGAGTGGACAGATAAAGTCTATTTACATCTAAATTCTGGTAAGGCAGTTGAAATGAGGGCGAAAGTGATTGGGAGCCGCTGAACAGGAGAGCATAGTTTTGTTTAAATGGAGATGCTTGATCCGCATCTATGTAATCTGGGTATAAATTATTGAATGAAACTCTTCGAGTGAAAGTTGAGGTCATCGAGTCTGGATCGGTTAGTAAGAATTCATATATAAAGGCCAAGTAACCTATGATACTAAGAGTTGAATCAAAAAAACAATCAATTGGAAAAAAAATATGGTGAAAGTATAGTGGAATAAATTTGATGGGAAGGCGGTGACCACCTGAGGCAGGGTCTCTTACTTAAAAGGGCACAATGCTTGAAATTTAAATTCTTGGTCTTTCTTTTTTTTTCTTTCACTCTATTGCTATTCCCTCGTTTGGCTGGTTTGCCCGTGCTTCTTGTTTCTTGTTTCTTCACTACCAGTGTATTTTGGACAATATGATTGTAAGTACCAGGAAACAATGCAGGGCAATCTTACTCTATGCAAATGAGGAATGACAGGAATGGGAAAAACTAAAACGGAACTGTGTGATGTCTTTTTTGCTCTTTTTGGGGGGTTTCTTTGCACCTCCCTATGTGTTTCTTTTTTCTATTCTTCGTACTTTTATTATTTTTTTTATACTAAGGCTGAATACTCACTTGCAAATATTTCTTTCTTTTGTTTGACTGACTTCTTATTTTAGTTCTTATGGAATCTTAATCTGTGACAATAGAGTAGGGACGGGGCGGGGGTGTACTAAAACAAAGAGAGTTATAATTCCACGAACAAACGCTTTTGGACTTATTTTAATTCAGTGAACTAAATAAAAAAATTAGAATCTACTTCCAAGTTCTTGATAAGAAAAATTTTTATGGTGTAACAACTCACCCATGGAATATTCTTCGGTATATATATTTAATGACTCTCTTTTTAAAATATTTTTTTAAAGTTCCCCCGGAATTGGTTGCTTAACGCATAATATTCAAATTTGGGGTACAGGGAGTGCACACAGGGTCGCGAAGATTAAGTGGGTTCCCCATTTCGTGGTGGGTTCGCAGGCCAGAGAAGGAACCGTATCACCACTTCCTGCATAGCTGAGCAATGGGTTTTCTTGGCGACAGAAGATTACCCAGTCTGATGCGGTTAATAATGTGTGGCGATAGTAGTTAGGGAAGCACTTACAGGCCAGTTAGAATGCAAAAAAATGACTCCAAAAGCGAAATACAATACAATACAAGCGCAAACCAAACAAATAAAAAAAAAAAACCCATAGAAAATAAACTAACAGGCGCCTACAGGGAATCCGAAAAGAGTGCATCCCAATTTGGATTTATTCTAGACGGTGGTAGTTCAACCAACTATTTTTCAATTTCACCACTCACTTCCATGAGAAGTCCACTGGGGATGACCTAGACTTCTCGGTGCTTTGAATAGCCCATCAAACAGGTACCATGGGTGAACAACCTGCTGTGTCGCCTGTTCAAATTCTGTTCTTCTTTTATTTATATTATTATTTTTTATTGCTATTTTAAGTTTGACTAGTCTTGTTCATCTAATCAGTTCTTCCATAGTACGTGCTTCTCTCCCCCTCTCCCGTATTTCGCTTTCCCACTTCCACCGTCCCACCCCTAAAGAATAAGCTTTCGGTGCGAAATATGTATGGAAAATGGTACCATGCACGTTCCCTGTACAGAGGTCACAGGGAAGGCTAATGGGGTCGTCAACATCAAAAAGTCGCACTTTTGTAGCAGGAAGAAATGGAACTAAGCGAGATAGTCTATACTGACTAAAAAGACTACGGGGAAATTACAGGCTACGAAACGTGGGATGTGACCGAGGTATGGAACAAAAGCTAACTTAAAGACCTGGCCATAAAACGCTAACCTGCAGCGCAGACAAAAAAAGAATAAAGAAATCCAAATGGGTGTTCTATTGTACTTGTAGCCCATTGATTTTTCTCACCATTTCCAGTAGTGCTTTTTCCACCACTACCCTACTCACCCTACTCACCCATAGCCTTATCCACCCAAGCAAAAAGAATGCTATCCTTCATAACCATCTCGTGACAAGCCTGGACTACGACCTTATCTCCTATCAAACAAGGCAACCCACATCACTTGAGCCCTCATTTTTCTTGTTCCCATCCTTGGCGTCTCCCAGTTGATCTCAGCTAGCCAAGATTATTACTGATTTCTAATTACTTCTATCTGCATACCATGCTTCCCCGAGGGCTATGCCATCCTTCGCACAGAAAATATTTTGATTTAAAAGATAAAAAGACCTCGTGCGATATGAATTTTTTCATTCTCAATCGCTTCCTTCATGCTGTGCAAGGTTCTGAACACTGGAGTTCACAGCAGCTTCTTTCGTCTAAACCAATTACGGAAGAGGAGATGTAATACTACCATCTAGCTAGCGAACATGAACACCGAGGAAATGTGGGAACCGCGAGACCTCCAGCCACAGGGGGTATTCCTATGTCAAAATATCGACCCACTGGCAATTTGAGTCGAACTTTACCCTCTAATTGCCCTCCTTTAGGTGTTGATATGGGCATGTACCTTCCTCGTCGTTATTGAAATTTACTCTTTTTAGCAAGCAGCAATTTTAAGCTCGCGCCTAAAAATAAAATTAAAAAACCATCAGGAATGACGTGTGGTCAATGAAATTTCCAGTAAACAATATAAGCCAACCTTCGCTTTCTCTTTGCTGTATCCTTTTTCTTCATACGTTCCTTTTAGTAACGCAATTTATTTATTACCCCATACTTACTTCGTTACATTTCTGAAACACCATGTACACATCTTCTCTTCCCTTGCAGGAATATCGCGAACTAAATGAAAAATCCGCTTCACCTCCCAAACAGCTACCAATTGCGGACCTAGTTGCAGGCTTGGACATAAGATGTGGGCCCATTGTCAAGTTATGTGGGACTCTTGAATCCGGTCCCAACTATCGTGCGACTATAATGTTGGTGGTGAAGGAATCAGAGGAAAAAAATGGTCCTACTCCGAAAGTCACATACAACATTGGAGCTTCCACTAATGCTGGAACATCTGCCAATTCTGGTGAATTTCCAGGAACCGAATATCACGTCGAAGATGGGTTTCATTTTTGGAGATTTGACGTTAATTTATCATTAATTGATGTTGAACAAAGAGTTCAATATTACATCAACGGCGAGGGAAAATTCCAATTTTTCATTCCTGCTATTGAAGAATCCATGAATGTTGTTTCTTATTCATGTAATGGATTTTCGCTCGGTGTAGACCCAAAGGATTTCAAATCTCAACTTTGGTATGATGTCTTACAAAATCATGATGTGCAACATTATCATGTGATGCTTGGTGGAGGAGATCAAATCTACGCAGACTCCATTAAGCTACACTCAAAGGAATTAGAGAAGTGGATGACCGAGAAAAACCCAATGAAAAAGCGTCATATGATTGCTACGGAAGACACGGTGAGAGATTTCTCCACTTACTACTTAAACCATTATATGGCTTGGTTCGGTAAAGGGTTCTGGGAAGGCAAAGATGGTAAGACTACCTTGCAAAGTTTATACCCAGTAGCAATGTCCACAATCCCTTCAGTCAACATTTTTGATGATCATGATATTATAGATGGATTTGGTTCTTACCATGACTCAACCATGGGTCAATCGATTTTCAAAACAGTAGGAAATGTTGCTTATAAGTATTATATGTTGTTCCAACATCACATGTCCCCAGAAGAAAAGGTTCACAATTCAATTGAAGCAGAACCTTCATGGATTTTGTCAAAGGGAAATGGACCATTCATGCAGCAGAAAAACCACTCAAACTACATTCGATTAGGTAAAGAAATTTCCATGGTCGGAATAGATTGCAGAACGGAAAGAAAATTGAAGGAGATCGTTAAAACTTCTACATATGATATTATATTTAAGAGACTTGAACAAGAAATTAAGAAGGCTCCTGATGTGAAGCATTTGTTAGTTATGCTAGGTGTTCCCATTTTGTACCCAAGATTGGTCTGGTTAGAATGGTTGTTGACGAGTTCAATATTAAGACCTGTTAGAGCATTGGCCGAGAGAGGGGTGGTAAATAAAGGTCTTGTTAATGAATTCGATGGTGGGGTTGAAGTTCTTGACGATTTGAACGATCATTGGTGTTCTAAGAACCACAAGAAGGAAAGAAACTTGTTATTAAAGAGATTGTTAGAATTTGGGGCTTCACATGGTGTTAGAATTACTATTTTATCGGGTGATGTTCATTTGGCATGTATTGGAAGGTTGAAATCGAAAGTGCACCACCATCTTCATACTCACGCTTTGAAGAATCAAGATCCTGAGGAACTTGAACAACACAATGTTGATGTCTTGCAAAATCCACATCAAGATCCAAGATTAATTTTCAATGTTACCTCTTCAGCAATTATCAATACTCCTCCTCCAGATGCAATGGCAACATTGTTAAATAAAAGAGCGGGAATCCATCATTACAATAAGGTTACCGACGAAGATATATTACCTATTTTCTTGACCAATACTGATGGATCTAAGAGAGTTAACCATCAATTCTTGAACAAGCGTAATTGGAGTGACTTGATTATCGCCAAGCAATCCAAGTATGCGGACAAACTTAGTAGCGAGAAAACAGAATGGAAACTTCCAGGACCCCAACGTGAAGAGGCCAAAGCGCTTTTGGAAGAAAAGGGCAGAGTCCTCAATGAGAGACATGTCAAGTATCCCTTGTTTGAAGACTCGTTGGTAACAACTATCCACGTTGAAGATAAAACCGATGATTTTGACTGTAATTCAGCATTGTATGAAGTTTTAATTCCAAAGATTGTTGGTAAATACAAGATAGATAATCCAGGTATTAAGCACTTACTAGAACACGAGAAGTAGACTCTCTAGTTCATTAAAGAAAAAAAAACGAATAAAGAAAAGTTTTTGTTTATGTATTTTAGATAAATTAGTTGAAAAGTAAGATAATAAGATAGTCAGATAAATAATCTACAGTTTAGTAGACCAGTAGAGATATCATGTACCGAGTAAGAGATGAACAGTCTTGGGTTCAGATTAAAGTTCATTAAAACTGAAATGCTTTGTTCCACTGATCGAAATCTCGGAGATACGATACTTAGCTCCAAGCACGAGAAGTAGAAGTTTAAGGTCATAAGATAATCGGAAAGGAAAGACCTGCACCATGGCGATATCGATACAGATACCACTAGCATTAATACATTCTCCTTGTCTACATGCACATGGGAATACATTCACATAACCACACCCACTCTCTGTCCAACGTGAGTACTCATGAGTCTTCTAGATGTGAGCTGTAGTATGTTGCGGCTCAGTTTACGAGTGATTACAGTTTAATTCACACATTAACCATTTCAACCAGCAGGTCGCCACTCTCTGTTGCATGAACACTGCATGGAAGATGAAAAATTACATACCAACAGCCCCTTAACAACATCATCAAACAACAATGCCCACTTTGACACACTTGATCATCATAACCACCTACCTACTTCTGCATCGGCTTTTCAGTATTTTTTTGGCCCATTTTTTTTTTTTTTTTTCCACTTGTGTTTTCTCGATAAGCGATTATTTTTTTTCCGTTGATAAATGACAATTAGACATTTTACTTACTCATCTTAGCTCCAATAGGTCCAGTTACATATAATTATCTAATACTTCCATGGGTGATAAGAGAGGATCTGAGGACACTCAGAAAGCAACAAAAAAGAGTCGACCTTCCTCCTCTATTATTGGAATTTCCAGGGCGATTTCGGCCTGCCAGAGATGTAGAACAAGAAAAGTTCGTTGTGACCAGGATTTTCCAAAGTGCTTTAAATGTGCTAAGGCCGGGGTGGAATGTATTGGGATTGATCCCGCAACTGGAAGGGAAGTTCCCAGGTCGTACATTATTCACTTGGAAGACAAGATCTCGATTTTGGAGAACTTGTTGAAGGAGAAGGGAATCGACGTAGGAAGTGCTGGGGGTGGGGCCATCGGAAATGTTCCTGGCGGACTTGGTAGCAGTGGTAACGGTGGTGCTGCTGGTCTATCTTCGTCTTCTTCAATTGCTGAACATCTGAATGAGCCAACTAGCGGGATATCTCCTAGCCAAGACTTCCCAGGTATAAAACAAGAACAAGTATATGCAAGTACAGCAATTCCTCCACCAACGGCAGCAGCTCACGATGCTACAAGCGCCCCATTAACGTCAGTTCAAGAGGAAGCGCCATCGCTGCCTTCTTATGAAGAGAACCACATACATAACATAATGGAGGGAGTAAGTGACGGCACGATGAAGTCTGGTTCCAGGGCCCCTCCTGGCTATTTGGATCGGAACTCGGAAGGCATTTCTTTCGGCAAATTAATGTTTACTGCTGTAAAGTTCAACAAGAAAACGTCGAGGCAGTCATCTGCACCTTTACAGTCTCAACCCCCAAGCTCTATCCCCACCAATGTCAACACAAACTTAGCAAACAAAAACCTGTCAACTACCAGGTCTTCGTCAATTTCCCAAAGTGTTGTAATTGACCCTTCAGTCTACCTTAAACATGACGTACTTCCGGCCATTTTACCACCGAAGTCTACTGCTCAGGAATTCATTAAAATATACTTCGCTCAGTCAAATTCACAATTACCTATACTACACAGAGAAGAATTTATCAAAAACTGTTTTGTTCCTATTTATGGAGCTCTAGACCCTGGAATATCTCTAGCTTCTAATTATACGGCAATAAATATGTCGATAATCGATGGCAATAGAAAAAATCTGAAGACAGCAGATGCCCAAGAAAAAGAACAGCCATGGTTCGAAAACTATAAAAATCAATTCACTTCTTATATTGAAAAACATCCCAATGAAAAGATAGACCCGGTAAAAATATCCAATACTATCGTACCACCTACCAAGTACCACAGAGCGCTTTACTTTTTGAATATCGTATTTGCCATTTCGTCTTCAGTGAATCATTTGCAATACCCGAACCTTATTTCTGACGCTTTTAAAGCAGCTGCAGTAAAATATATTGAACTTGTTTATTCGCTGCAAGATCAACTTGAATCACTCCAAGGTATACTTCTTCTTGCATTGTATTCTATAATGAGACCTGCCGTTCCTGGAGTTTGGTACGTTTTAGGTCTGGCCTTAAGAGTAGTTGTCGATTTAGGTTTACAACACGAAACAGCAAGTTCTATTCGAGGTCTAGATTCCTTTACGAAGGATAAGAGGAGAAGGTTGTTCTGGTGCACATATTCCCTAGATAGACAAATTTGTTTCTACTTAGGAAGACCGGTAGGAATACCAGAAGAATGCATTGAAGTGCCATTTCCATCAGAGTTGGACGATGCCTTGATAATACCGAATGACCAATCAAACGATGATTATCTGAATAATGTAAGTGGAATGCCTACATATAAGGTGATTTCATTATCATTTTTCAAGATTAGGCAAATCCAATCCGAAGTTCAAAGAATTTTATTATACGAAAAGCTGGAACTTCCGAGAAGATACGCAAATTTGGATCAATGGAAAGAAGATATCAGTGAAAAGTTGAAGATATGGAAGAGTCAAGCCCCAAAGACTCAAAGGAAAATGAATTGTGACTTTAACTTAGAGTTTTTTAACTTGAACTATAATCACGCACTAATTATGTTACATGGTATAAGCCCCAAAAAATTTACTCTACTGATTTCAGATTTCCATAAAGTGTCAGAATCTTCCAAGGAGTTGATAAATGGTTATTACCAATTATACTACAGTAAGTCTATTAACTATACTTGGGCCGCAGTTCATAATTTGTTTATGGCCGGATCACTGTATTTGTATACCATTTACAATTCCCCTCAAGTCAGAGAAAGAAATTCATTTTTTGAAGTGAAGAAAATAACACAAGAGTGTATTACAATATTAAATTCTTTAATTGACAGATGTGATGCTGCATCCAATTGCAAAGATATATTCGAAGTGCTAACTGCTGCTATATTGAAAATCAGATACAATGAGGTGGTGCAAGGGGTTAGTGGAAGTATCCCCACGGCTCAGCAGATTGCTATACTGCTGCCAGCTGGCCATGTTAATTCGAATTTGAAACAATTGGTGGAGACGCTAAGCAGTCCTGATGAGAATCAGTATTCTTCGGTGATGAAAAAAGAAGAGAAGCTCACACCACATATACTTGGAAATGGTGATGAAGAAAATACTTCTTTTCGCTATGCAAGATACCCACCACCACAATTTAAATTGAATCCATTCCAATCAACAACTCCTGATTCAATGTCACCATCGGGAAATTATATGATGAATAGCTACAATCAGAGCAATAACCACAACAATATTGACACCAATAATGCGAACTCTAGCCACACTCCAACTGCAAACAATTATTTGACCAGAATTCTAAACGAAAATGATAGTACTCCAACCGAAGATATCAATAAGACTAGATATAACGCACTCCAGTTTGGATCTCCGCAAGCATTTGAATGGATAACTGACGATCGAAACTTGACAGAGTTTGGGCGTAATCAACAAATTACACATCAATACGACTTAGATATATTTTTCGACGAGTTAGAAAACCTTTCATCGGAAGCATCCTTCGATAATCCACAATCTCCGAAAAATGTTTCTGAAGGTTCGTTTGACCATGAAAATGTTGCACCGTTAACCACTTCAAATGAATTTCTTCTGAGTCTGAGTATTACGACAACCCCATATTCAAACGAAAGTAGCAGTTCGGGTGAGAAGCTGAGACAGGCATCTTCTTCTACTTCCGGCGGACTAAAAGGTACTGGTTCATCTGACGAAAATAAGGGGGCAGCAACAGCACGCCATGATAGTTATAAGGGAGCGCCAACAAAGGAAGCTAAGCGGGTATACGAGTTAATACATCAAATGCCCACAGAAGCAATTTGGGACCAATTTTTTACTACTAATGGCAACTCTTTAAATACTGGGAACTTATCCTAATTAACCGTAATTTATATACATCAAATAGACGATATTAATCAATATGTGACAATCGCCAACTTGTATAGCAAAACTCAGAAAGAGAAATCTGAACTTTCTTAAAATTGATTAACATAGGAAGCAAACTACTGGAACCATTGCCCTACCACTTGATCTCATTCATTGTAATTTTCTCATTTTATCCATTTCAATCATGACTAACAACTTTTTAGGATCAAGAAACTCTCTTCCATCCACACGCATACAAGAAACTACTGCTACATTGGAACCATTATAATACCCGGTTACATCTACGAAGCCTCCAACCATTGTGGTATCTGCGGAGAGCTCATTCACAATGTGATTCACATTTATGATGAGCATACTCTCACCAGAAGAACTAGCTCCATTGTATGTATGTTCTTCGGCATCTACATCAGTATCATTTAAATCCACCGTTTCATATATATCCGGTACATTTGGAACTTTCCTTAGTGATAGTGTAGCGCCCTCTATATCGTACTCAACCACCTGGGCCAAAATCCTGACACTCAAAGTCTTCGACTCTGAAGCCTTAGGGAATCTCAACGACAAAGAAGTAGGATCCAAGACCAAATAAGTCATCTACTGGCGAACAAGAAGAGTTTTAACAACACAAGATCAACCTTTCCGATCTAAAAGCAGAAGCAGAAGCATAACCATATCACAATCACGTGACAAACAACCTCATCTATATGCATAATTTTTTTTTTCAGTTTCGTAAAGTTCCTTATATCTATGTATTGAAGCACCCTTGCTGAAGATTCCTTCCTTTACTATGAAGATATTGAACCCTAGAGATAAGTTTCTCTCCAACTACGAGGTGTCGGTGCATCTTAATGAAATAAAAAAGAAGAATAACTGGACCTTTAAGCCAGATGAAGATACTTCCTTCTCGAAGAAGAAGAAGAGATTCACTGCATGTGGCTTGGATTTGGAAGTAATAACCAGAGACTTGTCCTCATATCTTAATAGTAGCCCGTGCTCCGTCATAAAAGATCCAGATTCATTCACAGAACTACTCAAATTCTTGAATGAATTCGACTTGATGAAGATTGAAAAGCTACAGATTGTCAACTCATTACCTAGAACCATGGTCTGCCTATATGCAGTCGTTGAAGAATTCGACCTGAGGTTTGATGAAGATACTTGTGACAAGATAATTGGGAAGATCAACGAGTTGTTTCCAGTAGAAGGGGCCAATGAGGAGGAAGGTGAAGAAGAAGGCAAATTTGAAGATGCAGAAGATACGCCAATGGAAGGGTAACTACTACATGATAACTTTAGGTATAGAGCCTACTCCTGTATAATAGATGAAAAGTAATAGACAAACACACCCCTAACGGGTTTAACCAATATATTCCTCTTTACTAGATGTAGTTATTCTATTTACAAGGGGACATCACACAAACTCCCCCACCACTCGATTTGTTAAGCATAAGTCACCTTGCTCGCTATCCAATTCTTGACCGACGCTCAGCTCGTCTATTTCCTGTTTGAACGAGGGCCGCTTTGGGCTATTGTCATTTTTGATTCCTGTGTCAGGATTTTCAGTTTTTGTTGTAGTCACTCTGCCATACCAGTGATCCTTCAACAGCCCCATCATTTCACTAACATCGGATAAGAGACCCGTGGGGCCCACAGCAAATATTGACTCGGAATCGTCCTTGGAGTTGATCCAGTGGTTCGCTTCCTTCGGTTTGACTTCCAGTTCTACCTCGTCGACTTCTTCATTCTGTTTGCTTATTAAATCTCTAGATAAAATTCTGGATAAGTCAACTTCATCCTCTAAATCGTCTTGGCTCTCTGTTTCCTTCACTGCAACAGGAGGTTCATATTCTTCAATTCCAAAATGATTTGAAACAATATGGGACACCACGGGCCAACCATAAGCATTGGCGTATCTTCTTCTGACAATGATATTGTTGTGAGCATCTGGACGAAGTTGTACCAAAACCTTCCGCCATGACATTTGTTTATGATACTCCCTAGCTATTTCCTCCTCCAAATGCTCCACATCATCAAGAGAATTGACTAATCTCTTACGAAGTGATGGACTAGTAGTGCTGTATTCGTCATTTTTATTTTCTTCAGGAGCGGATACAGTGGTAACAGTAGGTTCAGGTTTCGCTTCAAGTATTCCTCTGATTTTCTCTACGAAGCCTAGCAGCTGCTCTTCCTTCAGTTTACCCTCCTCTGCTCTAGGCGGTATATCCTTTTCGTAGTAGACTTTGTCATGAACTATAATATCATCCCTAGACCCTGGGTCGGTTATGTACTTAAATGATGGAAGTGGAGGGAGAATAAGTGATGTAGCTGTTTCCAAAACGGATGATTTTCGAAGTAAGCCTTCTCCACCACTATTGTGAGATCCAGCTCCCATCACGTTTCCTTCATCACCACTTCCAGACTCATCCACTCTTCCAGATCCAACACCTCCACCAGTTTGGAACTTTAGGTATTGGTTTTTAGCGTTCGACTGCTTCTGCGGCATGAAAAATGATAACATTGCTTGTACAGGCAGTATCCCGTTGGATACCTTGACAGAGTCCAAAGTTTCAGAGTTAGGAATCTTCGTAGCCACTTCTTGGTCATTTTCATTACTTTCACTACTTGTCATGTTGGTACCCTTTTCATTGTTGGACATGACCTTCAAAACTCCCTTATAGTCGAGGTAGAGTAAGGCACTCGTTCTGAGCGGCACAATACCGTCGTTTCTAGTATTTGCATACACTGTTCTTCTTCTGAATCTTTTCAATACTTTATGAGTAGGTCCCGTCGGGAGCAAATATAAGAGTGGGACTGCCTGTTCACCCTCACCTTCAAGGAAAACTAGTCCCAAATCCTGTCCCGTCTTCCCAACAAATCCAGCCAGGAGTGCCAACTTCACGTACATAGGGTTTTCGTGTACTACTCCCAATAAGGGAGACGCTATTGCTATGAAGTTCATTGGTCTAATTGATTTAAAAAACCATGGGAAATTGTTTTCAATGTAGGCAATTGCAAAAGTTTGAACCAACCCACCCAAGGAATGACCAACGAATGATATCTTTGTTGTCTTCCCTTGGTTAAAGGCTTCATTTTTTGTCACAAGATCTATCACAAATTCTGCCACTCGACTTCCAAGATACTTAATCCCACGTTCAGTCTTACCTACATTACCAAAAAAACCCTTCACCACCACGCTCTCTTTAGTCGAAGAAGTTTTATCAATCTCTTCCTTCAAATAAAGCATATCTGCAGATACATTGGAATGTAACCCATGAGTCAATATCACCAAATGTATAGGCAATTCTCTATTCTTAATCAAAGGAAGATTCCACAAATCCAATGTGTCATGATTTTTAACTAAAAGTATGTCTGACAGGACGAATGTTCCCAACTTGTCACTATTGGGAATGGGTTGGCTATCATTTTGGAATGATAAGTCATGCAAAATTTTCTTACTGGTCCCGATAGTTATCTCAAAATCCACGTTTATAGTGTTGTTGAATATTGTTTGAGAGACAACATCGACCGTCCAAGTATAAGTTGGCTTCAAGCTGTGACATGAGAGTTCTGCGTACACAGATTGGCCAGGTAGCAACTGAGGTTCAAAGACTGGTTGGTCTGCCGTGATAAAGCATTGTTTCTGTGAATCGTATGCCTCAGGCGTGCAATCCACGTACAAGACGTACGGTCCAGCCAAGTATGCTGCTCTCAATGCAATCAGTTCGGTATTCTTAACCTTGAGCCAAAGGTTTGGTGGTATAGGGTTGCTATTTGCGTCATGGTCTGGCTGAGGTGTGTATTTTATTATGAATCTCTCCGTTTGACCGCATTTAACAGCACCAACTTGTCGATACAAGAGAACATCCGTGCTCATGCTATAATTGAATACTTTCGTGTTTCTAATCGCCAGCGTGGAAACTAATTACTTTTATTTGGTGTTCACAAGTTTTGCGTACTAAGCGTATTTACATGTGAAACAGAAAATCAAAATATCAGTGCAAGAAACTTGAAAATCAATGAAAACCGAAAAGTATCCAAAAAAAGTATACAGTAACGAAAAAAACAGTGCTGGAACAGGTAAACCTCAATTCGTGAGCGTCAAGGACATACTTGTTAACTAGAGTTATTTTCTGTGCGCGCACAGGACACAATGGCAGCTGATCAGCATCGAGAAGTGCCCCAGACCGAGCAGCCCAAGGAAGATGTACCGGCATCTCCAATAGGGAATGAACTCCACCAAATACTGTCCAATGCTTCAGTGTACGATCTACACCCCATTGAACTAACGGCTCACACGTTACTTAGTGGATCCCTCGACCATCTAAACGAAAACTTCAAGAATCTTAACCAATCGCAGGTTATTCTATACACACGTCTTCGTCTAATTGAGGATCGGCTCAAACTGTACTATACCGTGATCGAGCAGAACCAAGCGGAACCAGACGAGCTTAAAGAGGTCGTGCTGAGAATTAAGTCACTAAAGAAGAGGCTACTTTCATCGGTGAAGACGTTAAAGAAGGTGGAGGTGAGAGTGGAAAGAATGGAAGAGCTCATAGACTAGTACTACAGTAGGGAATAGTATATAACGATAATGAATGAATGAACGAATGTATGCACACATCTAAATGGAATTCCTTCTATTTCTTCTATATAAACGTATACCTTATATATACTTTTACTTTTCACCATCTTTCTCATAACCTTGTTGTCATTATGCTACTTCATCATCCTAAGCAACTTGAATGGATATCCGGCACCCTTTAATCCAAATATTCCTACCAAGATAGCGTAGAAGAAGAAGATCAAGAAACTGAAAATAACAACTGTTATGAACTGAACTTGACTGTTCTTCAATTCTGGTACCTTCTTCACCAAAATAACCATAAATAAGCTCAAACATCCATAGACAAACGATAAGATTTGAGTTTCAACCCCGTATTGGTTTTGTTGCTGTGCCAAAATGTATTCTATTTTACCACCACCCAATTCTCTCACGTATGGCACTCCCCTAATCTGGTTAAACATATAACCAGAGGTTAACAATAATATGAAAATTAAAGAGAGTCCACTCCAGATGATCTTAGACGTCAATACCTTCAACAATTGCTTGTGGAAAATTTTAGATAATGAGAGGAATGCTAATGCTCCAACGATGTTGGTAACAAGTTTAGTATAGTCAGGTGGGATATAGATTGGAAATTCATGGCCAGTTAATTGTTTCAACCAGTCAATGAGTAGATCTTTGTGAGACCCAGCAAAGAATTGGTACTCAAGAGATTCCTTGAGGTATGCGTTCTTTTCAGTGTTGGTTGATGGTGGGAAGTAGAAAACCTTTGGAATGTTGTTTAACTGGAACACTCCGAAGAATTCTCTAGAGTCAGTGAACTCAGAGTATAAAAAGTAAATATTCTTTGGAGCTACTTTGCTCAAACTTTCCCCACCTTCTTCGTCTGCACTTACTTCAAGGTCTTCTTCAGTCAAGCCCTCAGGGTGGTCTTGGAACCAGGACAGAGATACTAATTCATATTCTGGCTTAAATTCAGTACACAACACACAATTGATCAGCGAAGAAGTGGAAGTCATAAGGACCACCATGTGGTAGTCTCTTGGACCTTCCAAGAGTGTCTTATAGTTCGCATCATTAATGTGAATAATTCTTTGCTTCAGGTTTTTAGACAATGTGACGAGTTCTTTATTACTAAGAGCAGCAATTACAATGTTAAGCAACAGCGCAATTACAATGAATAAATTGGCTCTCATGTCTTAGTAAAAAGTTCAATAGAAAGTCACGAAGTTATCAATTACTCGTAGAAGGAAGTATATGTTTACTTGACACTTGTACATATGAACCAAGATTTGATTGTCCGGCTTATGAAAAATGAAAAATTCGAAAACTGAGACACGTGCATTTAATCACGTTTTAGAATTGCAACCATTTTATGGCATGGCTATGGCCAGCTGGGGTTGATAAGAGGGCCATATTAGCCACTGAACGTTATGGGTAGTCATTATTCAATATGTATTGCTCAGGGTAGAGTAAAAGAGCTTTACATGAGCCTAGCTATATATATGCCATCATTATCCAATACGTAGTGCTCAAGTTAGAGTATGTATCTCTAGGTATTTCTATATATACTCTATCTTCCTGCTCGATCCACAATCTATCACACACCCGCCAATGCCTGATTCAAACCTCTCGATTAACAAAATGTACTCCAGAATGCCGGCTAAGTTAACTTCTACAAATATGCCATATAAAGAATTGCTCCAATTTTCATTGACCAATACTGATTCGTGAGTTACCAGCGAGAATATGGAAGCTCGGAGTGCCGGTCTATAGTCACTAATATCATTCTGAAACCTTCCGTTAGACGCAGTGCTTCCAGTAAAATCAGTAGCATTGGTATATTGGATGTGAAATTTGACTTTGGAATTCGTAGATGTTGTTCTGAAATTTACCTTAATCCGGTTGCTGTTGTGCCAAGGAATCAACTGCTTCCTAGCAAGGAATAACGATAGGGTTACATGGTACTTGGAAAGTCTAATACTGTCGCTTTCGGCGTCCGTATTCACATAAATTTTAAAATTTAAAGGTTTATTACTTTCGAGGACTTCGTAGGTTGAGAATACAATTCTGTAATTTCCAGGCTTAATATCATCAAAGTTCATCAACACTGCACCCATTTTATAGTTCTCTTGTCTAATTAGATTCAGTGGCAGAAGTATCTCCACTAACGGAGCGTGCAAGTCATTACAGGAGAAGACATGAAAATTATAATAATAATTTGCCAGCTCTCCAAATACACCAATCGAAATGTTAGACTCTTCGCTGACCTCTAAATTATATTGAGGATTGTAAATGAATGTAGACTTAGTTAGATTACCACCCGTGATATTCAAACTCCATTCATCTTCAATTATAGGGAGTATTTTTTTATATTTTGGTTTGGACTTGTAAAAGCTAAATGCAGAGTTACTGAATGCTTTTAGAGTGAAATTCGATGCTGCAGTTGAGTCAATTACTATAGTGTATGAATCAGCAGACAGATTTATTTCCAAGTTATCTAATTTTGCAAGAAATGTCCTATTATTTGTTCCAACCGATGGCTTATAAACATATGGGTATTGAGTAGTGGTTAATAGCTTTTCCCCGGTTCCTGATTTATAAACCAGCAAGTTAATGACAACACTGTCGTCTTTTTCTTCTGCAGTCAGTAACTTGGATGGTAAGTGTCTTTCCAAAAGAAGCCATACGCTTACCGACTTCGATGTCAGATCTTCTGAGCTAAATGTAATTCCAACTTGCGGTTTATCGTAAAGACTATTCCACAACGTATTCTTGGGTAATTTAACTAGATTTATCTCCTCTTTGAACTTGAATAAATTTTCCGAATTGTAGTTAATGTACAAGTAGTTGAAATGCTGAAGTTGGTTTTCATCTATCCACCAGGCAGAATCAGAAGAAGCGTTCTTATTCCAAGGATTCCTGATATTGAACTCTCTCAAACCAGAGTTTATTCTAGTGCCTATAATAGAATAATCATGTTCCGAAATAAGTCCAACACTCTTGGAGAAAGATTCACTGATTGATCCTACCCCGAGCCCCATTACAATATCTTTAGAGTTATCATCTAAAATTCTTGAGATGGCTGAAGGTAACTGACCATTTTGGATCCTTATGACTTCGGGAACCCACCCAACTAGCATATATACATCTAGGGCCATGTTAGATCCCTTGAAATTATATCCTTGGCCCATCAATGTTAAATACGCTTTCTCAAGCAAGGCTGGTCTCCACAACTTAGAATTCGGACGAGAAGATCTAATCACCAAGCTGCGGTTGCTACCCAAACTTGAACCCTCTTTAATTATTGGAAGCTCATTATTTATGACTATTAACCTATCACATCCATTGACATGTAGCTTAGCAATTGAGTTACTCTCATTGCAGATCAATCTTGACTTGATCAATTCAGGATTCACAAACACTAACGACAACATTGCACAGACAAAAGAGCAATTAGTCAAAAGGTCTTGGTATAAGTTCTCCAATTCCACATCACCCTCAGGAGAGTTGTCAATCACATGTAATGGAGAGCAAATTTGAAACTCAAACTCGTTCACGAATTTTGGTGGGAGGTCTAACTGAACTTTGTCTACTCGATTACTTGGGATAAAGTTCATATTATGACTACTGACACCCGGGCCAAACGACACCACCGGAGGGAAGAAGTTCCCATTTATTTTGGAAGACAACCATTTGAATTTTTCATTGTACGAATAGAAGTCATTTTTGGCATTTATTGCATCGTAGAGCGTCATCAGATATTTAGAAAGGACATTACTAACATCATTAGCGCCAGTGAGTTTACTAATAGTATTCAATACTTTAATGCTCTCAAGGCAATTTTGTTTAGCTTTTGGTATCGAATGTAGCGAATAGGCGAAGGATCCTTCCTCCAACAAGGATATTACGTTGGACAATTCCATAAGAATTGATTTAATGATACCTTTCACTAGTAGAGTATTTTAGATTTTCTGATTTATTTGGGTTTTCCATACTCGAATATTGCCAAGACTAAAGAAGACGACCAGCATGACAGAGAAATTGAAAGTTGATTTGCAGTACATAACATGGCCATTTACTAATATTTGATGCTCTACATCCTTGGGAAATTGATTTGTTTGAAGATATGTAAACACTACATTCAGATAGGAGAGTTTTTTTTAAGGTAATACTATGGGTGCAAATTATGCAACCTAAATTTTATTTGTCGAATCTGTATCGATGCTGTATATTTGGGCAAGGAAAAGACTATGATGAAAAAGCAAATTATATAGTGGTGCAGATGGGAGAAAGAAGTGAATATTAAAGAATATTAGCTGCTACCAAACGAGGAGTCTTTTTTATTTTATACTTTGTTTTTTTTATATGGTTTGGACATATTAGTTACATATATCTTGAAGGTGATTAATTCTTTATTAACCCTGGTACGCATTCCCATTGAGCAAATACATACCAGCTGGTGCCATTATCGCCTATGACAAGACCTCTATAGAACCCGAGTTCGGAACACTTGATATTACTTTCAAAAGTACCAAATGGTTTGGACTGATCCAATTTGTTCAATTTAAAATATTTTCCAGAAGGTGACTCAATAACAAGTTTAAAGTCTAAATTCATGACCCCCAGTCCAGTATTTAAACCCTGGGATGGATGTTGTACTATTTCAAAGTTATATGCATTTTTAACAATTATCTTGTTAGTTTGAGGTTGCTTTATGTACAAATCATTATTTTGACTTTGAACTGTGGGAAACCTGGGTACAAATTTGCAAGGCTTGTATGATCCAGAATGGTACAATGGGATTACAATGGACAATTCATGAATGTTGTCAAAATGCTTCTGCAAACCCTTAGGTCCTGAAAATATCTGCAATACCCCAATAGATTCATTCTCTGGTAATATTGCCTTGATTTTGGCTATTCTAGTGTTCGAAGTCCAGTAAACCTGGGCTAAGGTTAGTTCATTGGTGGTCACCTTAGATGTCTTGATTAATGTGAAAATCTCAACATCGGTTGGGATCTCCAATTCTAGTTCAAAAAATTCCAAGTCGGTCAACCTTGTTAATGCATTGTTGAAGTTTCCAAACTTGAGATTATTTTTATAAAATCCAGAATACATCCTGGGTAAGTAAAATGCAATGTTTTGATCAATTGGTGGAACAACATGTTGCAAATCGATAATTGAAGGAATATGAGTTGAAACCACAGATAATGGTCTTGCTAAGAAGTAAAATTCATTGTACTTTTCTTCAAGGACGTTACAAATTTCCCCATGAGCAAAGTTGTACATATCCATTATGAAAAATTGGTCATCTAACAATATCAGCAACCAACAATGGTTTAAAACATACTGCTCATTGTGATAAAATTCGTTAGGACGCTTCCAAAAACCTAGTACTATCTCTGATGGGATTCTCAAAGCATCCAACATCTTTTTGAATAAATAATTCATTTGATAAATGGAACCTTCTCCTTTAGACATCAATTCTTGCAATTTTGGCTTTTGTTGCAGAATCTTCCCACCATCCTCTATTTCCTCCTCAATAATTCTAAACTTTATAAGTTGTAATAATACGGCTCTAACTTGAGATAACCTAGAGCCACTTAACTTGACGCTAACATCAGCTATAAATTCATTCAAGTCAGTAGAAATGTCATACTTACTCACGAAAGAATCTATTTTGCGGAGGGAAGAACCGCCGTAAGCAGAGCTTTCCCATTTCTCTTCATCAATTTCACCCAAGACTTCATTGGTGTTAATGTCAGATACAAATTCTAAGGGTTTGATGATAAGTGAGCGTTCATTCCTGACAATTCTTTTAGTACGAGCCTGCTTGGATTGAGTTGTTAAGGAATTCATCCTGTTTAAGTCAGACTTAAATGTAGTCCAGTCAATAGATGAAGGGTCATCAATTCCTTGTTTCAGTAATAATTTTTGCTCGATCAAGTTTTCTCCACTTTCTGATTTCTTTTTCAATAGCTTTTGAAAGATATTTGAATGCTTTCCGGACTTCTTCTCTTGGAATATGGTTTCTAAAACGTCTTGATTGTCTTTAGGGATTGGTTCAGGTTTCTCTGCAATTTCAGGAATTTGTCCATTCTGCTTTATTAGTTCATTTTCATACTTATGTCTCATAAAGGAGCCGGCACTGGTAGCACTTAGCTCAGATAAGTTTAAGACATCACTTTGTAGAGACTTGATCGAGTTTTTGAGCTCTTCTTGTTGAATTTGAGAAAGACGAAGTAATTCTTCATCTGAGAATCTAAAGTCATCAGCGTCGTATGGAGATTCATGGTGTTTCTGGGGCTGGTTTAGACTTCTATTGATGTTGCTCATGGATTTATGAGTTGGGATTGATTTACGAACAGGCGGAGGAGGAGCGTCGTCTTCATCTTCTTCTTCGACGTTATGCGCATCTTGGTAATCGCCATCTACGTCGTACACCTCAACCACTTCTTGTTCATTTAAGTCACAACTCAACTTCTTGCTTAGGTCATCTCTGGAGCGGTAATTCTTCTTAGAGCTCATGACTCCTTCGCTGATAAAGGACGATTCATTAGAAATGTCCCCGTTAGACCTTCTAGATCCTGAAGCAGGCTTACCATATTGCAGTTTTCTGCTTTTTTCAATGAGCTTCAATTGCTTTAATTCTCTTTCCAATTGCTTTCTCTTGTTAGTGATTTCGTCATCATCGATGTCAGCAAACAACATCTGATCACGAGGAGAAATGATCTTTGGCGAGTGCACAGGAGAGTAGCTTTCAATTGTATTGCTATGAGCCAACGGAGGCGGCTTGAATTTTGTTTGAATGGATAGGTCCACGTTGGAATTGGATTTGTACGATTTAGCAGGAAAGGTTTGACTTTGGCTCTGTTTAATTCTAGATGCAGATTGGGATTTAGTCAATTGAGATGGGGGCAAGGGTGGAGAAGAAGAAGACGAGGAATGGGCGTTCTGTTGCTGATAGGACATCCTCTTATGCTGTTCTTGAAGCTTTTTCACTTGGTAGTGCTGCTGCTGTTTCAACAACCTGAATTTCTCTAGCTCAAGTTCTCGCTGCTGAAGTTGCAACAATTCGTTTTGATGGTAGTGGTCACTCATGGTCTGGCCGTGGCCCTGACCTGGAGATCTAGGGTATGCTCCACCTTTGGAAGCAGACATGGGAGCCTTCTGCAGCTTACCATTCCCACTGTAGCCCGAATACGAAGTATTAGCGGCCGTGAAGGACGTGTTAGGCAGCTTGTACTGCATTGGACTTTTGGTGGGGGTGCTGGGCATAGTTGGCGTTGGGGTGTTTGTCTTTGACGAGGTGGACATGCCGAACTGATCTTCCATTATGGTCACGTAGTCTCTAGGGAAAATCCCCTCGGCTCCATTTCTTCTGAGCTTACCACTCCACCAGCTTTCATCCACCACTGAATAAACTTCGACAATCTCACCTTCTATGAAACCCAAGTCACCTTCCTCTTCGCCCGCCCAGGAGAAGGTTGTCTTAACCTTGAAAGGGAGATTGGGGATGGACATGGCCTGTAAAATATGCAATTGAGTAGATGGAGGGAGTGGGGGGAGGAAAGCGAATAACTATCTGCGGGAAAGGCAATCAAAAGAGCGCAAATACTATACCGAAACCGACCTGTTCTATCTATAATACCTAACAATCTCTTGATTCTCTAAAGGAAAGAAAGTGAACGAGAGTACAAACGAAAAAAAAGCAAAAAAATATTCAAAGTGAACTATTTGAAAGAAGAACCAAAGCAATTTCCTGGCGACTTTTTCCCTTCGTTTTTTTTTTTTCCTTGTCAACTGAACTTGTATATGAATCGAAAACAGATCAAAAATAGCAAAAAATAAACCTGTTGTAGCTCTATTTTGGTTCTATTAACAATTACACTCTTTAGGAAACCCAGATCTCTGCAGCCCAGAGGCTACTCTTCTCGAACGAAAATTCAACCCCAATTAGGCAAAACAATAATAAGCCGGTTTCATGTGCAGGAAATGCTTTTGATACATGGGTGAAGAACAATACCAAGCAAGAGACGACATGTCACTACATCTGTAGATGAAGTGGGATAAGCTCTGGGTAGCTGAAAAAGCCCACACCTTGGTGGCTGAGGGCGCCATAGTGGGTCGTAAAGCTTCACTAGAAGCCATATTGAGGGAAAGAGAGTTAAAAATAGCTCCATTCTTCACTCAGGTACTTTATTCAAAACGGATGCGAAACACTCAAATGTCGGTGCAACCGAACAGTCTGCCTGTGGATTACTTAAGCGTGCATGAAGTGCATGAAGCAAGTAGGTGCTCTTATTTTGCTACACAACCAGGGCAGCTGCCGTGTATGGATGCCTGGGACGTAGCCAGAGTTAGGTGCTGTCCCCTAGTGGTATGTACTGCCTACTGGTGGTATGTGTTGCTTACTAGTGGTATGTGCTACAACTTACATACACTCTCGCTTAGATAGTTATCTGTTACGCACTGTGCTAAAAGTATGCTACATGCACTCTCATTTATGGATACCTGTGGAGTACTCTCTACTTAACTGTGTATGACTACGGTCTTACTTAGCTACACACGCTCATTTATGGATATCTATTAACTATTCGTGTTAAAAAAACTATGTGTTTGTGAAAGTATTCCCCTTCGGACATTGCCAACATCACCGAAGTATTAGTCATTTTATTCTCTCTCTCTCTCTCTCTCTGTCTCCCTCCCATTTCCTTCGCCATCTTCGTTGCAACCCCTTCTTCAGTACTTCAACGCACAGTAAAGAAAAGAACTACTTAGAAATTTGAGGCCTGTGAAATATCATTCAACTTACTGTTGTTGTCTTACACCACTGACAATATCATCAACTCTTAACAACAAGCAAGCACTCTCAATGGCAGTCTTGACAGATTGTTGCTTGATAACTTCTGGTTCCCATACTCCATAGTCATTCATATCAACAACTTTACCTAGATCTCCATCAATACCAAATGTGTAATCTCTCTTTGCATGCTTAGCTCTCAATTGTGCCAAAACTCTGATAGGGTTACCACCGCAGTTTTGAATCAATGTTCTTGGTATGACCTCAAAGGCATCAGCTACGGATTGGTATGGCCATTGCGCAACACCTTCAATGGTTTTAGCCTTTTCAGCCAATCTGACACTGACGGCCATTTCAGTAGCACCGCCACCTGGTGATAACGATGGTTCAAACATAACGTTTCTGGTAACAGCCATGGCGTCGTGCAAGTTTCTTTCGATTTCATTCAAGATATCCTTGGATGGCCCTCTAAGCTGAATGGTACAAGCTTGTGGCTTCTCACACTCAACCAAATATGTGAAGTATTCGTCTCCAATCAACTCAACTTTGAACAATCCACACTTGGTTCCAATGTCAGATTCCTTCAAGTCTTCAATTCTATTTACAATGGTTGCACCGGTGGCTCTAGCAATACGATTATTGTCAGACTTCTTGACTCTTCTTAACGCAGTAACTCCACCTTTCAAGAGAAAGTGCTGAGCCAAGTCACTCACACCCTTTTCGGTGATAACCAAGTCTGGCTTGAGGGAGAGAATTTGCTCACAGATGGCTTTAACTTGCTCTTCTTCGATCTCCAAGATTCTACTCCAGTCTTCTTCCTTGGTGATTTCAATATTGGTTTGAGATTCTCCCTTCTTGTACTCTAAGGGACAATCCAACAACACAATTCTAGGGTTTTCGATTCTTCTCTTCATCTTAGGGTGGGTGACATCCTTGTTCAATAAGATACCATCAAGCACTACACTGTCTTCAACTTCTCCACCAGGGATCTTCTCGATCCTGACGTATCTTTTGACGTCGATCTCCTTGTGTCCACCATTATCAATGACGACGGTCTTGACAGCCTTGAGAGACAACTCACACATCTTGGCGGACCACTTATTTATGTACTTAGTACCAATAGATGCCTTGATCAATTTAACCATGGCCGCGTCATTTTCAATGTCTACAGGCTTGGACACTTCGTGGATGATCTGCAAGGCATCGCTAAGTGCTTGCTTTAAAGCCTGGATAATTATAACGGGGTGAATGTTGTTCTTCTCAACGTATGGGAACGCCTGGGCCAATATCTCACCTGCCAAGATGATAACGGTAGTGGTACCATCGCCGACCTCTTCGTCCTGGGTTCTTGACAATTCAATCATCGACTTGGCTGCTGGGTGTGCCACGTCAATTTCCCTTAAAATTGCATGTCCATCGTTGGTAAGCACGATACCACCCATTGGATCCAACAACATCTTAAGCATTGCCTTCGGTCCAAGACATGTTCTGATGATGTCTGACACGGCCTTGGCAGCAGTTATGTTGGAAATTTGTGCCTGACGACCGGATTGTCTCTCAGTGGAAGCGTTCATATACACTACAGGAGCTTGCATCTTGAGTTGGTGAAGTTAAATGGTTGTTTCTACAGACCGATCAACTCGTTCGTTACTTTTCACTTTTGTAAATTTTTCGACACGCTGAGTAAAAAAAAAAACACATTTTGTGTAATGGAGTGCATACAAGCACATTGGATATGATCTGTGCAAGTCAGCCTACAAGAGTGGCCTGTAGAGTAGCTGGCCATTCGGTGGGCAGCTCTCAATTAGTATCGCTGTCGGTGTCGTAGGAGCTTTTCCCGATTCATAACTATCATGGACTATCTCAATACGAACTTCACGTCCATAAAGGATTTCGATATCCTAGACGAAACCATGTCCAAGCTAGAGAGCGCTAAGTTGGAAATCGCAAGCGTGGTCAAGCAAAAGGTGGAGTCGAATGGCGAGCAGCAGCAACAGCAGCAACATGGCCAAAGCTCAGAAAGCATAGTGTCGTCTGTTGCAGAACATAATGACGGAGTTCCAGATATGATTGTAGGTCAATTGGAGGAAGTATGCGCTAGTTCGAATACTGTGCTCCTCGCATCGCTCCAGTCTCAGTACGGTAACTTGGCCGTGTTCAACGAATTGTCAAAGTTGTTTGAACAAAAATCGGAGTATGTGCAGATCTTGCAGGTATTGGGCGAATGTAAGGCTTTGGAAGAGAATGAGCTTAAGAATTTGCCCGTTGACGGCAGTTCGGTCGAACAGTACCAAGCTGTCTTCAATGCCATTCCACAGACTACCCCCACGTTGAATCAACTTAGCCAGTCACTTCTTACGCAACTAAACGCTAAAATTTACTTAACTAAAAATTCGCTACAATATAATCTTGAATCCATATTGAACTCGTTCCATTGGTTGAAGAAAAACAACGACCAAGATGGCGGAATACCGCCGGCAACGTTGAAGTCTATTCAATCATTGATCAAGAAATTGATGACACTCCAGTCAATAAACCATAAGCCTGTATACCCAGACACCTGGTGGGCCATAGATACCCTTGTGAAACCATTTATAACCAGTTTCCAGTACCACTTCGTAGATCCAAAGAAACCCACTAACAAAATCGATAAGCCTGAATGGTGCTTGGACTTTATGGAGAGTTATGTGAAAGAAAACTTGGAGTATATTCTGCTTGTCATTGGAACTAATATTGACCAGTTAAAGAACAGAATCGTAGAGTATGATATCTTGTCATCTATGTTAGTGCCAGTAAGAAGTAAAATGATTCATTCTGCCAAGCAGATCAACAAGGTAATCGAAATTCAGGAGCAGACCAGCAACCCAAGCTCTCAACAGCAAAAACGAGGCCGTGCACTTAGCCAAGTCGAATTTGATTCGGACATTGGAAGACTTTTGTCTCATTTAATTTATGAGTTGTCGTCATTTGACCAAAGGATACGTAATAGGTACAAGTACAACCCGTACATAGATAACTATTTAAGTTTTGACCTGAATATTGGTGGTGAGTGGATGGGGATCACTGGTGATATCATGCTCGACCCTAAGCTAGAATTTGTAGCCACAAATTGGCTCAGTTTTGAGAGTCAATTGGCCAAGAAGAGATTTCACAAGGGAATATTGAACTCAGAAAACTCTTTTCAAATTGATTTTGACTTTAAAGAAAATACTACCACAACCACAATCAAGCCAACATATTCAGCTTATAATTTAGCGAAATTATTCGAGAATTTGACCAGTCACTACGAAACCTTGAACATTGTGAAATATCAATTGAAATATGTACATAATATCCAACTAGATATCATTGAATTATATTGTGACGAATTGACTAAAAGGTTTAAAAGCTTAAATCTGAAATCAGTACTTGAATATATACCTGGAGGTATTGCCAGCAAGGCCACTAGTTCCAAAATAATCAACAGTGCTAGTGGTACAGGAATAGGAGCTGAAAAGGGAGAAGATCCCTTCTCCATACTTAAATCCATCACTTCGTTGTACTGTTCTACGAAGTTTATAATTGAAAAGATGGAGCTTTGGAGTGAAGAATTCATTTTCATCAAGCTATTTAATGAATTTCAAAAAGAAAACAGAATCACAGGAAGCCTTGACAAAGATCTGACAATATTCGATGATGAAGTGGTGCTGTATAGGAAATTGGCTTCTAGCTTGATGCAAAAGTTTGAAGTTTATTTCACAAAGGAAGTTAGATCCTCCATGAAGAAATATGTAAATGATTCCAAGTGGGATGAGGAAAATGAAACCATCGAGGAAGAAATGGAGGTTTCCAACGATCTTGGAACGTTTGCATATGTATTACCCGAATATCTTCGCTACCTATCTAAAAGCTTATCAAGCATTGACTACTTCTTAGTATCTAGAGATGTTTGTTCTATTGTTGCCAAGACTTTCAGAGAATTCGTCATAACAAACAATAAGTTCAGTGTCAACGGAGTCAAGCAGTTGAGACTTGACTTTGATTACATTTTCAGAATAATAGGGAAGTTGGTTTACTTAGAAAAGGATACATATTTTGATAACTCCGAGAATAAGGAATACTTAAAGGCTAATGAATCAGTACAATTGTTGGAATTAGTAAAGCCACATGAAGTCAAGAGTTATGGAGGTTATGATGCATACCCTGCCTTGAGAGATAGGTTTGAGTCACGTTTGCATCTTTTGAATGATTTCGAAATATTTGATTTGTTGCATAGGATAAATAGAAATTAGATAGAGTGATTGACATAGTATTTCTTCAACTGCATCAGTTTGCAGCCATCTTAAACACAGCTAATAATCCTGACTTAAACAATCTTTCCTTACGTTCCTTGAAACTACTTAATAAAATTTCATATTAATGCACTTCTCACATATTTGCCATCTTCAAGTAATTAGTTGATACAATAGTCGAAGTAGTTCACCTTCACTACGGCTGGCCCTGGAAATTCTGACCAAGCGAGTTTTTCACCTTCGCGGGCTCGTAACCGGTAAACATAAATAAACTTCGCTTCTACATGTACGACTTGTTGATTTGATATTGATCTGGATGGACACCAGTTACTTGGCGTCTAGAGTTAAGAATTTCTTCATATATCGGAGATGTCATTGAACAGAAAGAGGGTGAGTTATAGACCGAGGTAGATGGGGTCCTTTTTAATGTATTTTATACTAATATATCTTTTCTTTTAGAATAACCACGACATTTCAGAGTCCGAAAATGGAAATGGAACTACGTCTGTGAAGAAAACGTCACATAATTTCCCCACGATAGCTAAGCTATATTCGATAAAAGCCGAGGAAACTCATATATCACTTCCGCGTAAATCAGGAGGGATAGTTGTTGGGAGAAGCAGTGGGTGTGATATCAAAATTAGTGGCGGTGATGTATCGTCGAAGCATTGTCAATTTTCGTTAGCCAACAATGGGAACGGGCGAGAATATTTGTACCTCACGGATATGAGTTCCAATGGAACCTTCTTAAATGACGAGCTAATTGGTAGATCTACAACCACGCTATTAAAAAGTGGTGACAAGCTTACATTTGCCAAGACCGGCGGTGTCTATGTGTTTCGCTATGCGATAGATGAAATTGAAGAAAGAAATAGGAAAGTCTCATTTTTCGATGATTATATATTAGGTAAACAATTGGGTTCTGGTCATTATGCAGTGGTGAAGGAAGCCAGAGATCGTCATTCAGGAGACATTGTTGCAGTGAAAGTATTCCACCCTAATAAAAGTACCGCTACCAGCGCTGACTCGGAACTTGCGGAGAAGGAAGCTGCCAAGTTACAACAGGAAATGAACCTTTTGTTGTCAATTAACCATGCTAACATTGTGAGATTCATATCATACTATGTAGAACCTTCGTCGTCGACTGGTCTCAGCACTACTTATCTTGTATTGGAGAAAATGAACGACGGAGAATTGTTCCAAAGGATAGTCAACAAGCTGAAGTTAGGACAAGAAGAAACCAAAGCGATGTTTCGTCAGTTACTCTCGGGATTGGAATATTTGCATAGTAACAATATTATCCATAGAGACATTAAGCCGGAAAATATACTTTTGGATATAACGCCCCGTGTCTCTGCTCAACAGGCACAAACAGGTCCCTGGGACCATGATGAAATCGACATTAAGGTTAAGATAGCTGACTTTGGATTGGCAAAATTCATCGGTGAGCTCAAGTTTACCAATACACTCTGTGGAACTCCCGCTTATGTAGCTCCTGAGATTTTGGACAATACGCATGAGAGAAGTTATTCCACCAAGGTTGATCTTTGGCTGAGTGGAGTCTTACTCTATGTTTGCCTTTGTGGGTTCCCTCCTTTCAGCGACGAACTAGCACCACCATCGATGAGACAGCAAATCTTAGAAGGGAAGTATGCATTCTATTCTCCATATTGGGACGAAATAAACGATTCTGCCCTCGATCTTATAAGTTCCCTATTGGTAGTGGATCCCTTAGAAAGATACGATGTCAAGAGAACTTTGGGGCACTTCTGGTTTTCTGAACAAGAAGGTCATTCTAATATATCGCAGTCACAATCACAATCGGAGATAGAATATATGCAAGTTGATGACAGTTTGAATGCATCAGCTCCGACTCAAACGAGCTTATCTTCTGTATCCGTTCAAAGGAGCCAGCCTCGATCGAATACTCAACCTCTAAGTTTGAGAGATAGGTACACTTCAGAGTTGAACTTTGGAAAATCCTCCATGTAATTTTATGCTTTATAAAATGATTATATTAATATATACAAGTAATCTATGTGAAGTTAAATCCTAGCGCATCGATAGAGTGAACACTACAATTTATATATTCCTTCTGACGGTCTCAACTGAGTCCTTCCTTGTTTCGAAGAACAATTTTAACGTACTTTCGTTTGTGTTCAATGACTGTTCTAATTCTTCAGTCTTAGGAATCAATCTCTTGACTCTAACGTTCTTGATTTGCTGTTCGATGCCCTCCAACTTGCCTAATACCTCTCCAGCTTTCTCATACTCCTTTAAATTAACATAACAATCGAACTTCCCCACCATACAAGTCAAATCGTTGCTTACTTCGTTCCCCAAATTAAACCATTCAATGGCCTTGACGTACTCCTTAAACGTATTCATTTCCAAGAATCCTAAAGTAGCGAAAGACTCCTTTAGGCCCTGACTAGCTGCAACTTCCAAATGGTACTTGCCCAACTCTGGATCCACGACAGCATATAACTGACCCAAGTAGTAATGAGCTATAACAGTGTACTTGTCTAACTCTCCCACATTTATCAGTTTTTCAAAATTCTGTTTAGCTAACGTTAAATCTGGCTTGGGCGTCATATAACTGAAATAGTATACTCCCAAATTAGAGTACACTTGGCTTGCCATGACTGTGTCGCTTTCCAATTCAAGGAACTGTTTCCAGTACTCTACACCACTTGCGTGTTGCTTCTTTTGAAAAAACGCCAAGTCTCCAAGCATCTTAAATACAAGTGGGTGCTTCTTATCCACTAGTCCCTTCACAAGCTCCTGTGCATATGCAAAATCTTCAGCACTCGATGTGGACTTCGAGTTCAAGGTTTCAAATGCGAGCATAGTAATAGCATCATTGTCACCCAATTCGGCAGCTTGTTCTACGAGCTCATTCTCCAAATCGACCAAATTTTTGTTTATAACGTTAGTCTTATTCCTAACTGTCGCAAGGATGTTCTTCTGCACCATTAAATCCAGACCAGTGATGGATTTCGGTAACCTTATCTCATGTGGTCTATCTAAGTTACTGTATACTGTGCTTAGTACAGGAATGGCTTTTCTGTACGACAACCGACTGTCAAAGTCAAAAAGTAACCTATTTAGCGTCCGTTTGGAGGGAAGAATACTTTTAAGTTCGGGCCTAGACATCGCACGAAGCGCTTCATATACTTTCATACCGATTTGCAGACTAAAGAAGCAGAGTTTAGTTTATCTACAAACCAATTTGATATTGAAATTTCAACTTTTCATGTGCGGCGTGAAAAATCGTGCATTAAAAAAATGAGAGTTTGGCTCTACGTGAACAGAGAAGTGATGCCATGTCTCTTCGATTGTAGGCAAAGGGGCACTCTTTCTGAGTGGTAAGATACTCCCAGGGGACTACGGTTATTGCAGAAATCCCAATAATGGAAGAAAATTTCCAAATTCGCTACAATTCTGTGAAGTTCCTGCAAAGTAGAGCACTTCTTGTTTGGTACGTAACTACAATAACTTGGGCCCTTTCAAGCTAAAGCAAGTCATCTACATGGCCTACAAATTCTGCAATTGGTCTCTCATTTTCTTTAATCATAAATATCAAGGATAATGACTATTGTAATCAATAAAACTGTCCACATGTTGATTATTATGACCATTGGAATAATTGGCTTCACTTCCTGGTGTTTGCGCTATAAACTCATTACTCAATGTAAACTCGAAATCTTGATGGCTTCCCAGTGGTGCCAGTTCAGGTTGACCCGCGTTAGGGGTAGCACCTGTGAAAGTCTCGGAACCTACCACTCCACTAGGTGTTGGATTGTTGGTGATTGAAGCCCCTCCGGGGGTATCTCCAAGGCCATTAAGATCAATAAATTGCTCATCTCCCATGTCGTGGTCTCCATTGGCCGCTATACCATTGTATTGCTGCTTTGAATCACTACCGAAGGGTGAATGGTGCTGATGCGTGTAGGCCTGTAAATTTGTACTTGGACTGTGAATTAAAGTGTCAGTCGTTGCCGACGGATCATTGGGATTCAACGATGAAGCAAGCCCCGGTGTCTGTCCCCCACTAAAAAAATCTGGTGAGTTTATGGTGAACTCTTTGTTGTTATTGTGGTTATTAATGTTACTATTATTACTGTTGTTGTTGTGATTATTATTATTAAGGTTGTTAACGTTGTTGCTGCTGTGACCCTTGGTCCCATGATTATTATTATTGTTATTATTATTATTATTACTATGATTAGGATTGTTGCTGCCGTTTACTACATTGGAAGGGTGGTGGCCATTGCGGGTACTGTCTTTTCCATCATTCGGCTTGTTCTGTCCTCCATTTTTAATATGATTGGTATGATGCATGTTTTGGTCATTATTAGGTATTAATGGGCCCACTTGTATACTTCCAGCACTGTTGTTACTGGTGATTGAATTTGGTGATGTTTCTGAATCGATTCCTTCGCCTAAAGGTGAGAAGCCGTTGAACTTGCCGTTTTCCCATTCGAGATTGTTTCCAGTCTTAAATTGAAAGTCGTGCTCGCCAACGGCATGAACTCCTTCCTCTTCGAATGGAATATATTCCGTACCTGCTTGGTCTTGTGGATGATGCAAGTGATGCTGCTGCTGAGTCTGCAGTTGAAGAATTTGCTGTGAGTTTTGGTGAAGATGTCCTAATTGGTTATTTTCCAAGATATAAGCATTCAAAAACTGTAAACTGTTCTTGACCCCTACCAAAACATGCGGTATAGAACTGCCTCCCTCATTACAGTAGGCAAGCAGAACTTGTTGGCCCTCACTGAAATCATCGCATATGCTCCATTGATTCGACTCAGCATTGGCTCCGTTGAAGAAAAACACCAGGAATTTGGGCTGGTGTGATAAACTTACTCTCAACTCGCTGTTCTCCTTGTTTATGTTGTTGTCGAGTAACAGACAAGTGATGATCGACAGGATCGGATAGAAGATCCTAAACAAGATCTTACAATTGTTCAGAATGGCCAGAAAGAAGTAATTCAACTCCAAGTTCTTCTTCGATAGTATCACCAACAAGTCCACATTCGACATCACAGTATTCAACGTAAATGGGGATAAGTTCGATAGTGACAGTTTTAGTATATTTTCATCATGGAACCCGGTCTTGATTCTTTGCCAAGAGCCAACTGATAACGACAGACAGTCGACAAGACAGTATTTTTCGTTGATTTCAATTGGTATGGAGTTGAAGCTGTAGAGCAAGCTGTTGGGGCGTGAGTCATGTATGGAGATCGAGTTCGATCTCGAAGAGTGGATAGACGAAGTCCCGCCATGTCCACCGTTACCGCCAGTGCTATTTCTTCCCATTCTTTCCAACTTCCTCAATTTGGCTCTTCTGTTCTGAAACCAGATTCGTACCGCCTTCTCGCTCATGCTGGTGCGGTCACTTATCTCCTTTCTTTGCTCCGGGGATGGGTTGTGGTTGTGCTCGAATTCTTGCAAGAGATAGTCCAACACTTCTCCGGAAGCGCGGGCCCTCTTGTTCGAAGGGTTATCATCAAACGACATCTTGATTAGAACGGGCTAGCTGCTAAGAATGACGACGGGAGGGACTGAAAAAAAAAACACCTCCTAGAAAATCTTTAAAGCCCGACTGGTGGTGAAAAAGAGTAAAAAAAAAATAAAATCCTGAGCTTGTCAAGGAAAACGTTGTCTAATTTTCTTTGTGGCACTGTCTTTGGTTCAGCCAATGTGGTAAGGATGCAGTGCAGTCGTGCGAGGAACGTTCAACTCTATGATGAATACAGAAGGCAAACAAAGGAGTTCCAATGTATGTACATATACGAAAGTGTGTGCTTTCGGTAGGGTGAGCCAAACGGAAAGTCCCACTTGCGGAATATCTCGATAACCAAGCTCAAAAAATCTGATTGTACTGATCAAAAGTTTTTTCCCGTCAGTTCTGGAGTTTCTCCTTTCCTTAAAGGACCAGGAAACCAAAAAGAAAAAAGAAAAAAAAAAAAAAAAAAAAGAAAGAAAATAAAAGGCTAAAAGAGAAAACGAAAACAAGAGTGTGCCCCAGGAATGGGTGCTGAACTGGGAAAGACCGAGCGATGCGCTTGGGGACGAGGTTCGGCAGAAGAATATGTGCGGATTCACTGTCTGCACGGTGAGCTGTAGGGCACAGAAAGGGTGAGCAGCAGCATGCTGCTTATGCTTCGTGGGTCCTCGACTGAGACACTCTACTGTTCAAAAAGAAATGTTTCACGGAGGGCTTGGTATCACCCGCTGGTTTCGTTTTTTTTTTTTTCCTTTTCTCCACAGGTTGCATTGAACGGTGTGACAGGCAAAATGGAGTCGGGGCCCTTATAAATGGTTGGGTCCTGCACGGTCACTAAGTATACGAATCAGACAATAAGAGCCATAGATATCGATGCTGGGGATATAGCGCTGACCAGGTAGTTTGGCACTTCTGTCAGTTTCATTACGAAGAAGGACCACAGATAGGGCGTGAAACTATCTTGCTATCTCTTCATTTCTTGTTTCGAGGTGCGCCATTCCATTTTAGGTGGGCAATGCCTTCTTTCTCGCTCTCCCCCTCCCCCTCCTGGTGCATTCTCTACTGATCTTCTCAATTTAGATTTTCGGTTCCTCCTCTCATGCTACTACCCAGGCTCAATGCTGTGTGATACGTCACGTGGGGGTCATTATCCATGGAAAACATTCCACTTGCTCTTGCAAGTATAAAGTATAAACTTTTTCTAACCCTTCGTCTAAGTGGATTCTTTTGCATTAAAGTTCAATAATTAGCTCAGATTCTGAGACTTATTCAGGTGCTAGAACTCTAACAACCCTTGAATACTCTTCATAAGTTTCATTCTTCTATTCATGCATGGTCGACTTTCTTCATGCACAGTGGCTCACGTTCCTGTTGTCTGGTTTACCCTAACACCACCTCTACACCATGGACTGTAAGAATGCTAAATATTATTACTTTTGATCATATTTCTCTATAAACTTTTTATATAATGGAACACTCTCGACTAGGTCTATACCATTCGGCCCGAATCAGGCTGAATCAGCTTTGATATAATGATTTCGAAAAGCATGTGCAAATTCGAATACCGCAATTACTCTCTCTTCTTTTTTTTTTTTTTCTGGATCTATTTTACGAGATACGTCTATATGCATCCCCACGTTCTCTCACAATAGGACTATACTCATCCCGGACGGTTCCATACTAGCTGTATATCTCTTCTATGTCAAATTCTTCCAAGGCTTCTAAGCAGAACTTGATTTCTTTCCAATTTTTCGTTGTAGGCTCCCAATTCTTGTACTCGTAAACCAATTCTCTAGCTAAGCTAACTCCTCTAATATGCTTCGTTTGTCCTAATTCCTCTAATAACTCTCTAATGCACCACGGCAAGAGATACACATTTGGTATAGCTGAACCTCCGACACTATTTACACTCTCGGATATAGAATTAAATCCATTGGGTCCCGAAGTACCGCCAGTGTACTGCAATGGCTTCCAATGATTTAAGCTGGTAGTTTCAATTGTATGCTTGATTGCATTGAAATAGATTTCGTTATTAAGGTAGATCTTACTATGCCCACCTTTAGATGTAGTCCCCATGCATATTTTACTCAACTCTATAAGTAATCCATGGTCTCCGCGTCCCATATTCATCAACATTAATATTATCTTAATCAAGACAATAATGAAATTGGGATAATCACAATTTTCACTGACATTGATGCATCTGAAAATATTTGGATGCTTGAGAGTTATACTCAAGGACAGGTACATTGGAATCAATTGGTCATCTATTGACCCCGAGAGGGTGATTTTCACATTATTTTCTATAAGTGTCTCTAGACTTTCATTTAAGCTGAGTCGCTGGCTACTTCCGGGTTTTTGGAATTCGAATAACTCATTTAAAATCTCATTTTCTGTTTGGGTATATGCTCTTATGATAATCTTATTGTCCAACCCTGTAAAAGGACCCTGTAGTATCCCTGACATACTGAGCAATCCAACCTTTTGCAATTTGGGCCGTACGATACTCTCTGATATCAACTTTGAAAGTAAATGAATCGCCACTGCACTTCCTTGAGAGTGCCCAATTATGAATAAGAAATCACAACTGGTAATTAAATCTTCCCAATTTAGTAGTAATTTGTATAGATTGTCTACTCTTTCGGATATCTTACCCTTACCTTCTAATGAAATTGTTGCAATATCAACTTCGTCTGTATCGTGCTCTTCTTCGATGTCTAACCATTTATATATTGCCTTGGTAGCCTCATTGGTAAATCTCATGGAGTTTCCTGTAGACTCTCCGATTAGTGCTTTTACCATCTTAAAAGGAAAGAATCCATGTACTCCAATTACCACGATTTTCTTGATTTTGGAAGTTTTCTTTAATGCGATATTCTTAGGTGTAGATTTGTATAAATGAACTTCGCTGGTCTCATCTTTGAAGAGGATATGCTCACCAACAAGTCTTACTTTGGTTTTTACAGTTAGGGTTCTGAAATTCTCATCTACCGTCGGAGCTACTAGGTGGTTTCTGTAAGTTGAGAGAAGGGAGCGAGAAGATCTGATTGAGGATGCAGAAGAGCCCAGAATACTTGCATGACCATGATGATGATGTCCATGTCCATTGAATTGACTGTGCCCATTAGCTTGAGAAATTGCTTGTTTTTGACCATTATTTTGGGCATAGACTTGAGTCTGAAGCTGTTCGGATTGGGGAGCTGAAAGAGGAACAGGCGATGTCTGCTTGGAAGATGACCTAGTCCCATTATTTAACTTGATGCTGTCGATTTTTTCAAAGGCACTAGCCAGAGGTAATTGAGGGCTTAGACTTTTCGCATTTCTGGGCGTCCCTGTTGCAGATGTATTAGATTGAGGTGGTGCTAAGATTGTCGCAGGATTACCAGATGTAGCTGCAGCTATTATATTCGGAGCAGCTGCTAACTGCTGTTCCTGGACTTGATTTGGAATTAGTGGAACTTTTTTGTACTTGTATCGCACAGGTTGCACTTCTGTCTTAGTATGGCTTACGGCCAATTCTCCGTAGGCAGAGTCGATCTGTGTTCTATTGTTCTTAAAGGCATAGTGTAGTGAGTCTTTATTCGCTTCAATAGCAACCTTGGCCGACTTCAACAAGTCATCATCTAAGTTAGGCTCCCCGTCTCCATTTGAAGCTGGTCCGAATGGGTTCCAGACCCACGAGAACCATGCACTGCCTTCAGTTTCTTCGCTTTCAGCAGTCTCAGGATGTTTATTGTTTGAAATGTTTGCTTCGTTTAGTAATAAGGGCGAGGTTTCTGTTGCACCCTCCAGCTTTCCAGTCGTATACACATAGCTGATCACCGAGCTCATTCTACGATATGTGAAGAAACTATCATCATTGACATTACCATTGCTCTCATTTGCATCTTCTGCCAGTATCTGCTCCTGTGCTACATTTGATTGATCTTCATTCTCCTCTGCATTATCATTTTCTTGTATTCCATCCACTTGGCCCTCTTCTGACCAAAACCACCAGCTTGATTTCCTTCTATTCGCGCCGCCATCATTAAGTGGGGCTGCACCATCTACCACACTAGCTTTCCTGCTGCTCGTCTCTGAGTTTTCTCTCGAGGCTTCCGTTATAGCACCAAGGTTGCTGCCTGCTGGCTGTTGGTGGGACTGCTGATTTACTTGTGGTGATTGTTTCGCCTTCTGGGCTTGATGAGCTTGGTGCGCATCTTGTGGTTGCTTTGACTGTTGCTGTTGGGGCTGCTGCTTGGACCTTTCACTCAGACTTAGCGAGAAACTCCAATTAGAACCATTTGACATTTCTTAACATTAACGGCCAAGAAGGAACAGCGAATTATTTTCCTTTTATGTGTACTTGGTCAGTAGTGACTTTTGGGGTTGTATGTTTGGTTTGGTATAATTTTTATGTTTAGTATGTATTGTGCTAATATGGAGATGCCCGTTTGTAACTACTGTTGCTCTAATTTTATGCGCCTTTTTTCTAGCCTATGTCTATTCTACTATCTGTTCGCTTTTGTAAATGGCCATTGACTATTGCACGCGAACAATTAACTCAAGGAAGGTACTGTGTGTTGCCTCTCTTTGGAGCACCTGCTTCGTAAATCCGAGGGCCAAAAATAAAAAAGTGGTAACTAATGATGGTGTGTTATCGTACTGCATATAGGACCTGTCAGTATGGGATTGTGCCAGTCGAAGCGTTGGTAATACACATCCACTTCACGTACCACTCTTGTCTGTAGTTGCGCTGTTATTCTTCTGTTCTTCCGTTAGTTGGTGCCACTTATGATAACATGACATGGGAAGACCGTCTCGATGCTCAGCTAGAAGTCCGTGACCAACTAGAGAAGGCAGACTCTCAGTACTTCTCCGCGTTCAATGAGTTACTTGAGCGTACCATAGCTGCTGAGAAAGCACTAGCTGCTGTGAAGCAGACACCGTCTTCTTCCGAAGTTCGAAGCAGTGGTATCAAAGATGTTGTCGTTCACGAAGAACTATTGCTGCTACAGCAGGAAAATAGCCAACTTGTGGCCAAATTGAACGACCTGTCGTTCGAGATCCAGTCCAAGAATGCCAGGATACGATCACTCGAAGCGTCGGAGCAGAAACTTTCGAAAAACATCGACTTTTTGAAGAAAAGAGTAACAGACATGAGGAACGAGGTTCAGGAGAAGAATAAGTCGATTGAGATCATCAACGACGAGATCTTGAGTTCCCAGATCCAGAACAATGTACTAGCCAAAAAGGTTGACGAATTGAGCCAGGAGAACGAAGGCTTGATCAAGAGATGGATAGACAAGGTAAGGGCCGATGCAGAGAGAATGAACGAGGTGAATGAGTTGCTAGAGGCGAAGTCAAGGCTGAATGGAGCAGGACTGGAACCTGGCGTGTGAGTAAACGAATTAGTCAGTAGCAGTTCTATCATCATCAAAGTTACTACCCTCAGCTGCTGTACTAGCAACTATCCAACTGAACAAGTTACAGGCAAGGCACATTGCTCTAATTGAACATATTTTTATTACTTGTTTATATATGTATTTCATCGTATCATCGTCTCATCGTCATCACCGTTTTGGGGCTTATTTGGAAGTGTCAACAACGTATCTACCTAAAATCTTACCTTCTTCCATTAAAGTGTAAATGCTTGGAAGTTCGGATAATCCAACAACCTTAATACGGCATTGGATCAAACCTCTGGCGAAGAAGTCAATAGCTTCACTGGTATCAGCTCTGTTACCAACGTAAGAACCAGCGATGGTAATAGATCTAACAACTGCATCGAAGACACCGGCGGTGACCTTGGCACCAGCTGGTAAACCAACAAGCACAACGGTACCACAGGATCTAGTGTACTGGACAGATTGGTCAATGGCAGCTTCAGAAACGGAAACGTTAATGGCACCGTGAACACCACCACCGGTTGCCTTTCTGATTTCGCCTACAATATCCTTAGACTTGGTGAAGTCAACGTACACTTCAGCACCCAAGGACTTGACGAATTCACCCTTTTCTTCCCCACCATCAATGGCAACAACTCTGTAACCCATGGCCTTAGCGTATTGGATAGCTAAAGAACCTAAACCACCACCAGCACCGGAAAGAGCAACCCATTGACCAGCGCTCAACTTGGCGGTCTTTAAAGCCTTGTAGACGGTAACACCAGCACATAAGATTGGAGCAACATGAGCCAAGTCGGTTCCCTTTGGAATCTTGGCAGCTTGTACAGCATCTGCGGTTGCGTATTGTTGGAAAGAACCATCATGGGTGTAACCAGACAAGTCGGCCTTTTCACAGTTTGGTTCGAAAGTTCTTTCACAGAAGTCACAATTCATACAGGAACCGTTAAGCCACTTGATACCAGCATAGTCACCAATTTCCCAGCCTTGGACGTTGCTACCCATGGCAACAACGACACCGGCACCCTCATGACCACCAACTAATGGTAACTTGGTTGGCAATGGCCAATCACCCTTCCAGGCGTGCAAGTCAGTGTGACAAACACCGGAGTACTTGACGTTTATTAAAAGTTCATTTGGCTTTGGGGTTGGAACTGCAATTTGCTTGTATTCCAATGGACCACCGTTAGTTTCAAAGACGACGGCGTGTTGAGTAGTAGGAATTGACATTACAGTAAAGTTTTTGAGTTTTTCAGTTTATAGTTTAATTCAATTGTATTGATAAACAATATAGAATGAAGATGTAGAAAAGAAAAGGAAAAGGAAAAAGAAGAAATCAATTCTCAATCAAGGAGACTCCCTTATATACATATACAGACACTCAAGGGAATGCATTGCTTACATTATGTATGATGTACCTACATGAGTTACGTGGTGCAGCAAAGATACCACACCACGAGCCTCTATGAAAATAATTCGGGTAAACTATGAATCGGTGATGCCAAACTGAAAATAATCTGTCAAGTGGTATGTTACCTGACTCCCCTCCTTTCTATACAGGGCATACAAGCTTCACCCTTTCGGAGCTTCTCGGTCCAGTTACTTCGTGCTGGTAAACATGGACAGATGAATGGAGAGATAGAGAGTGATGGTGCGTCAATGGACTGATTCCTCACCTGATATGGACGCATGCGCATCATGCGCTTCTCTGTCTAAGCGCATGAAGAGAAAGAGGTGAAAAATTAAAAAAAAAAAAAAAAAAAAAAAGACAGAAAAAAAAAACGTTGCCTACTAGTTAGATAAGCCCATCGTATTTTACAATAATGTAGCATGTATTTCAGTTGGAATATCAGATTGTCCATTGATGTGGTGCTGTATCTACTTCGAACAGTATACTATGACATCCCCGCTTCTTCTGCTATCCCAATGGAAGTAGCTATTGAAGAATCTGTTGCATTCAATGTATTTCGTTCCAAGTTGACTCGTTATCAAGTCTTCCTCTGGTGAAAATATGATTAACCGAGCTGGCCAGGCATATTTTTTTCCTTTCTGATAAACATCCGTGGGATATGATACAGGAGGGAAGTTTTCGTTGATAAAAGATGTGGGATCGTCGTAAAACATATCAGATTCATCTCTATATTTTTTAATTTCTTCCATTATGTTGTTTTCTGAGTTTTTTGATAGATGGAGTGGGGGTTCACACGTCAATGCCCAACTGTTTCCATCATTGTAATTGGGATTATGTAAGTAACTTTGCCAAGGTGTTGAATGGCATGGAGTCAACAACCCAAACGATTCGTTTGTACCTCTTAAGTAGTATATGACATCAATAACTCCTCTCTCATTTACTCTTGTAAAAAAATACGCAATTGCAATGTTTATGGCAATCATGGGTATCGCAAACCTCCTCACTCTAGCGTAGTTCTCCACTATTGACATTGCTACGAAAAGTATGAAAACTGGCTGTAATGGGTATATAAATCTAAACTCTTTATGGTTTATTAAAGAAAAACTCCCCACTACGATAAAGGATGAAATCCCCAATACACTTTTGTAACCCTTCAATGAAATTAAGTAGTGTATCAAAAAAGGCAATGAGGTCATAGTCATTATTGGAATTGCTTGGAAAATGTAGAAATGCCAAGGTGCCACACCGTAAAATATTGATAATGACTTGATTACATTGAATTGAATGAAGTTATATATCGGAAATGTAACCTCATTGTAGAATAGATAATCGATCACAGTGTTGACCAGGAGAATCAAGATTGTCTCAATTAGTATGAAAAGAGCTAGTTTAGCTCTTATATCCTTTAATCTGAATAGCAAGTGAGCTCCCAAACATAGCCAAAGAATTGCGTTTGTTGGCCTCACAATGCAACTGATTATACCGAAAGCACTACTTATGAGAGCTTTTTTAATGACTATACTTTTATTATCGTTGTTATTGAATGGCCAGCAAGAAAGTCCGATAGTAGTTAGGATCATTTCAAAGTTATTAGAAAACGAACGAGTAATGATATACCAATTGAATGGATTGATCAAGGACATTATCAATGCCACTTTGGCGAGCTTAACGTTACCCTCTGAATAATTCAATGCAAATTTATATAAAAAGCATTCGCCAATGGAGGCTAGTATGGCTCCAATAACTTTAGGTGCTACAACTATATCTATATTTAAACAAGAAGTCAATTTGTACCCTATGGCGTATATCCATGGATGTATAGATGAACGAAGTTTTTCATTCCATTCCCACGTTATATATCCATACCCAAAGGCAAGTTTGTGTGCTGGTTCAAGGCATTGATAGAATTCATCCGCTTGAAAATATGTTGTAGTTAGTAGAGCATTGGCTAGCCTTATACCCAATATTTTCCAAAACAAGAGAATACAAGACGTAGATGTAAATGCAGAAGCAGAAGAGTCCTTAGAGTCGACTAACTTTTCCTCTGACGGGACATAGTTTCCATCTTTCTTGTTATTCCTTTGCTTGACGCCCAGCATTTGAAGTAGAGCAAGGCACGGGATGATAGGGTGCAACACTCGAAAGACGTGTTCCAAAGTATTTACATTTTTTTCGCAGTACTAATTTTTCACTATGGTTTAACCAAGGCTGATCAGATCAGAGCTCATCGAAAAAGTAAGCTACAATCCTTCCTTGGGGTACTAAAGAAGACAATAGACTTCGGATTATGGAATGCCAACAACTTCAGTTTCATAGGAATAGTTCTTCAGTAGTGAATTTGTCATTCATAAAACCCCACATTTAGGCAAGGTATAGGTGGCCTGCAGGTAGTGAACATACTATATTGAATACTGAAAATGACGGTGCAACCTTACTAAAGAGGAAGGAGCTGCCCCTAACACTGGAAGTTGTCTGGGTTCAAGGGAAATTGGTTCCGCGAGTGGACTCAATGGATAATCCTGAATAGTGGAGATATAGATTTAGTAGTATAATTGAAGAATATTGGCGGCTACGTGCTTGCTACTTCACCATGGAATTGAAACTTTATTTTTAGTGCTTATCACATTCTTGATTTCCTCCTTGATTTCATGTTGAAGACTGGCAGCTAGGAACGTTTTTTTATTCATATTGAAGTTCCAAGACATCCTTATATATCTAAGAAGCTTACTGATTATATAATATTGGCTACCTTTGTTTGTAATACCTTTCTAGGAAAAATACTAGGTTCTAAGCCTTAGGAGCAAATGGCCTTTGGCTAATAGTCCTGTTCAACTCGCAGATTTTCATCGTATTTGAAATTAGGTGCATGCGGATGCATTCTGAGCCCCACCATTTCTACATGTTGTCGCAATTAGCACTCTCCACAGCAGTGAAGATAGTATTATAAAACTCGAAGTGAAACTCCTTATTATTTGCCCCTGCTCAAGTGATTTGTGGGAAGGCTAAAGAGAAATTCAATCTCTTGAAGGTTTTGCAAATAACTGTGAGTAGACATAAAATTAATATGGCTGCAACTGTCTTCGTTTCTGGTGCTTCTGGATTTATTGCTCAACATGTTATCAAGCAATTGCTTGAAAAGGGGTATAGTGTCGTTGGGTCTGTCAGATCTGAATCAAAAGGTGAAAATTTGAAGAAGAATTTTGATACAGACGAGTTGAGCTACGAAGTGGTAGAAGATTTGGAAACTGTTGGTGCTTTTGATAGTGCCTTGAAGAAGCATCCTGATGTCACTATTTTCATTCATACAGCTTCTCCAGTTGCCTTTCAAGTCAATGATAATGAAAAGGATATCATTATTCCAGCTATTAACGGAACTGTCAACGTATTACAGGCAATTAAAACATCTGCTCCAAAAGTTAAAAAGGTCATCATTACTTCTTCCATCGTTACCCAATTGCAGATAGACGATCTCTCTCAGACTGCAACAGAGGATACATGGAGTAATATTTCATATGATCGGGCTAAGGAAGATGGATATGCTGCTTACTTCGGTTCTAAGGCTTTTGCTGAAAAGGCAGGAATTGAATTTGTTAAATCTGAAAAGCCAAATTTCACTCTTTCCACAATTCACCCGGTGTATGTGTTCGGACCCCAAGTATTTGATCTGGAAGCAAAAGGAAGCTTAAATTTATCGAATACTTTTGTAAGTCGCTTGTTAGAATTAAAATCGGAATCTGACTCCCAGGTTCCAAATACTAGTGGTTCTTTTGTTGACGTTAGAGACGTTGCTGCTGCACATATTATTGAAATTGAAAAGCCATCCAACGGATTGAGAGTAATCACTAGTAACGATGTTTTCACTAGCCAAAAGTTGTTGAACATAATTAATAAAAATTTCCCTGACTTAAACCTTATTAAAGGGGACACAAGCCCAAGTGCAGAAGATACTAAAAGCAATGTTGATGACACTAAATCTAGAGAATACTTAGGATTGGACTACATTGGTCTTGAAGAATCTGTCGTCCAAACAGTAAAGCAGTACCTTGTTGCCAACAAATAGAGATAGAATTTAAAATTGACTATGTTTATGTTTATAGAGCTATAAGAATATATGTGTTGGCATCAATCAAGTTTTCAATTCTATATGACATACCATCCTAGATTACTTTCTGGTATTGCTGTACTTCAAACCTTAGCAGCATATGTAAGGTGTGTATTAAATTTCGCTTAAAAGTTTTGCAATCTGCGGACTTCTCTGCATAACGTTACTTGGTTCGCAACCACTATAAAATTGTAACAAGTTCAAACTGTGTTTAATGTGATAGTGGCTGTACACTTCAGAGGATCTGACCTGAATGTAGAGAAGCTTAAATTCAAAGAAATGTTGAAATTGCATAATTCAGGAATATGAGTTGTATTTGCAGACTGACACTCCGGCATTCCACAGTTGTGTCGGTCGTAGACTTACCGTGTCCTCAAATCTTAGATCATATATATGGCCGGTAAGTTCGGTTTGGTAAGTCTAGTTTGAGCAATATAATATGTATCCAAGACTTAATGTGGGACCAGAAAATAACGGTCAAGTCCCAAAAGATGCATAAATCTAGTATTGTAAGGTGTGTTGGATTGGGCTAATTTCGCTGACAAAACTAATGCAGGAATAGGACTTTAGGGGCTCTCCGCTGACAATTTGCCAATTCAGCCCCTAATTCTGACCGATGGTGCGCAATTTTGTTAACATGCATGAAGACCATTTGTAAGCCGCTCGCTAATTCATTGGCGTATTCACATACGCTCCACCAGGAAGTTTCAGTATAAAGTTGCTACTAAAGAATCTTCAAACACAGATTTTTGAATTATTCCAGCATAGTAACATATTTTCGCTAATATTTACCAAAAACTACAAACGACCTCAAATCTCACAAAGATACAAAGAAAAAAAAATGGTTGCAACTGCCTTCGTTTCGGGTGCTACGGGATTTATTGCTCAACATGTTATCAAGCAATTGCTTGAAAAGGGGTATAGTGTAGTTGGTTCTGTTAGAAGTGAATCAAAAGGTGAAAATTTGAAGAAAAACTTCGCAACTGATAAATTTAGCTACGAAATTGTCGAAGATTTGGAAACTGTTGGTGCCTTTGATACTGCTTTGAAAAAGCACCCGGAAGTTACTATTTTCGTCCACACAGCTTCTCCAGTTACATTTGACGCAGAGGACAATGAAAAGGATATCATATTACCAGCTATTAATGGTACTGTGAATGTGTTAAAGGCTATCAAGGCTACTGCACCACAAATTGATAAAGTCGTTATCACTTCTTCGGTAGCTTCTCAACTCACCTATTCCAATCCTCTGGCTCGTGTCTCTGAAGACACTTGGAATGACATTACCTACGAACAAGCTAAGGAAAGCGGAAGTGGAGCTTACCTTGGCTCCAAGACATTCGCTGAAAAGGCAGGAATTGAGTTTGTTAAGAAGGAAAAGCCACATTTCACAATTTCCACAGTACACCCTGTATTTGTATTTGGTCCTCAAGTATTTGATCTGGAGGCTAAAGGGAAATTGAATGCTTCCAATGGTTATATTAGTAGGTTATTAAAGCTAAAGGAAGGATCACTTCCAGAATTTTCGGCTACATTTATTGATGTTAGAGATGTTGCTGCCGCTCACCTTATTGAGATTGAAAAGCCATCCAACGGCTTAAGAGTACTCGTTAAAAATGAAGCTTTCAGTAGTCAGTCTTTATTAGACATAATTAATAAGAACTTCCCTGAATTAGGACTCATTAAGGGAGAGCCTGGGGCACCAGTTAACTACGACAGAATTACTGATGATGCCAAGTCAAGAGAATATTTGGGTTTAGACTATATTAGTATTGAACAGTCTGTCGTTGACACTGTAAAGCAATATATTGCAGCTAACAAGTAAGAAAAAAATTTTAGTTACTATAATTATAATTATCGATTTACAGATAGAAATATCCAGTACTCCTAAAATGTAAGTGGCTCTTCACCCAGTACAAGAAATTGAACTCAACTTTGAACTGTGATACATGTTGCATTGAGCCGCACAGGTTAAAAATAACAGGGTTTTGAGAACCATGGAGTTCTCATCTCTGTTGACCATTGAAAAGCGATCAAGCTGCTAGTTTATCTCTGCTACAGATAGTATAAATAGACAACTAAAGAACCGATTACATTCCGACTCATAGTATCTATAGAAGTTACCACTTAATGAACATTTGTAAGTAGAGGGTTACTATTATATGGTATCAACACAGCTACCAAGGTTTAGAAATTGTCACTTTCCAAAGTATGGAATTGGCTTGTATTACTTAGATGAATTGACGTAATTGAGTAGTCAATTTGATATGGCGTATCATCCTTGGCTGATTTGTCGTAATATTGCATCTTCAAACCTTGGCAGCATATGTAAGATGTGTATTAATACTCGCCTATGAATTTTTCTAAAATGTGGACTTCTTTTTTTTTAACGTAATTTGGTTCGCAGCCATTGTAAAATAGTTACAAGAACAAACTGTGTGTAGAGAGAGTGGCTGAATTCATCAATCGGACTTGGATTAAAAAAAGCTCAATAAAAGTGGAGAATTTTGCATAATTGAAAAAATATGAAATGCATTTACACACCAACACTCCGGCCGGCAATCATCGGTTATGTCAGTTGTAGATATGCTGTGTGTTGGGTTCGGTTAACTCGCTGACAAACTAATGCAGGGGTTTGTTCGGTCAAAATTGTACATCTCAGCCCCTAGTACATGCCGATGTTGCGCAATTTTTGATTACGTGCATGAGGATCATTTGTAAGACGCTCGGCGATTCATGGCGTATTCATATGTTCCTTACCGACAAGTTTCACTATAAAACTGGCAGAAAAGTATCTTCAAACAATACCTTTGTAATATTTTAGAGTACTGATATATATCAATTAATATATATTACAAACTACAAACAAATAAGTCTCACAAAGAAATAAAAAAAAAAAAAATGGGTGCAACTGTCTTCGTTTCTGGAGCTACTGGATTTATTGCTCAACATGTTATCAAGCAATTGCTTGAAAAGGGGTATAGTGTAGTTGGTTCTGTTAGAAATGAATCAAAAGGTGAAACTTTGAAGAAAAACTTTGCAACTGACAAATTTAGCTACGAAATAGTAGAAGATTTGGAAACTGTTGGTGCCTTCGACACTGCTTTGAAGAAGCACCCAGAAGTCACCATTTTCCTCCACACAGCTTCTCCAGTTACATTTGACGTAGAGGACAATGAAAAGGATATCATATTACCAGCTATTAATGGTACTGTGAATGTGTTAAAGGCTATCAAGGCTACTGCACCACAAATTGATAAAGTTGTTATCACTTCTTCGGTAGCTTCTCAACTCACCTTTTCTAACCCTGTGGCTCGTGTCTCTGAAGACACTTGGAATGACGTTACCTACGAGCAAGCCAAAGAAAGCGGAAGTGCTGCTTACGTTGGCTCTAAAACATTCGCTGAAAAGGCAGGAATTGAGTTCGTTGAGAAGGAAAAGCCACACTTTACAGTTTCCACAGTACACCCTGTATTTGTATTTGGTCCTCAAGTATTTGATCTGGAGGCTAAAGGGAAATTGAACGCTTCCAATGGTTATATTAGTGGATTATTACAATTAAAGGAAGGATCGGTCCCACAATATTCAGGTTCTTTTATTGATGTCAGAGATGTAGCTGCTGCACACCTTGTTGAAATTGAAAAGCCATCTAATGGCTTGAGAGTACTCGTCAAAGATGTAGACTTCACTAGTCAGTCTTTATTAAACATAATTAACAAGAATTTCCCAGAATTAGGACTTGTTAAGGGAGACTCTGAAGCTCAAGTCGATAGCAAGAGAATTGTTGACGATGCTAAGTCAAGAGCTTACTTGGGATTGAACTACATTGATATTGAAAAATCTGTCGTTGACACAGTAAAGCAATATATTGCAGCCAACAAATAAGAAATATGTTTTTAGGTTATATAATTAGAATTCATATGGAACTCACCACTGGTCTCGTAATGTATCCTCTCATAATGTAAGTATCACCTTAAGCTGCAAGCTCTTCACCAAGTACAAGATATTAAATTTAGCCTTAACCCTGCGATGCGTTTTGCATTGAGCCGCACAGGTAACTTGACGTACTCATACATAACAGGATTCTGAGAAGCATGGAGTTATCATCTTTGTAGGCCAGAAGAAAGGGATCACGCGGGTGGCTTATCTCTGCTACAACAAGTCTAAATAAACTACTATGCAGTCAGCTACATCTTGGTTCATCATATCTATAGGAGTATAGAAGTAACCACTTAGTGAACATTTGTGAGCTGAGTGATATAATCATGTGAAAAAGAAAACACATCTACCAAAGCTTACAAATGTGTCAACCTTCCGAAGTATAGAGCTGGCATGTATTATTTAGATGTATTGACGTGGTTGGGTAGTCAATTTGATATGACGTATCATCATGGGTTGATTTCTCGCAAAGCTGTACCTTCAAACTTCGCAGCATATGTAAGATGTGTATTAATACTCGCTTAAGAATTTTTTTAATCTGTGGACTTTTTTTTTAATGTCATTTAGTTCGCAGCCATTGTGAAATAGTGACAAGGACGGTATTCAAAGAAAGAGTGGCTGCATTCATCAGAGAATCGGCCCTGAATTAAGATAATTCTGAAATAATTGAGAAAATTACATAATTCAAGAATATGAATTGTGTTTACACACCAACACCCCGGCAACTATCAGTCGTGTCAGTTATAGACATGCTGTGTGCTGGAGTATGACTTACTTGCTGACATACTAATGCAGGAATGGGTTTTTGCGGTAAAAATTGTACATTTCAGCCGCTGATACATGCCGACAATACGCAATTTTTGATTACATACATGGAGGCCATTTGTAAGCCACTCAGTGATCCATCGGTGTGCTCATATACACTTCACGAAAAGGCATCACTATAAAATTGGCAAAAAAGTATCTTCAAACACTTAAAATATTTTATAGTTCATTCGCTAATATTTATTACAAGTTTCAAACTTCAATCTTACAAACAAAAAAGGAAAATATGGGTACAGCTGCCTTCGTTTCGGGTGCTACTGGATTTATTGCTCAACATATTATCAAGCAATTGCTTGAAAAGGGGTATAGTGTAGTTGGTTCTGTTAGAAATGAATCAAAAGGTGAAACTTTGAAGAAAAACTTTGCAACTGACAAATTTAGCTACGAAATAGTAGAAGATTTGGAAACTGTTGGTGCCTTCGACACTGCTTTGAAGAAGCACCCAGAAGTCACCATTTTCCTCCACACAGCTTCTCCAGTTACATTTGACGTAGAGGACAATGAAAAGGATATCATATTACCAGCTATTAATGGTACTGTGAATGTGTTAAAGGCTATCAAGGCTACTGCACCACAAGTTAATAAAGTTGTTATCACTTCTTCGGTAGCTTCACAGCGCACGTTTTCTAACCCTTCGGCTCTTGTCTCTGAAGACACTTGGAATGACATTACCTATGAACAAGCTAAGAGCGATTCTGTTGCTGCTTACTATGGCTCGAAAACATTTGCTGAAAAGGCAGCAATTGAATTTGTTAAGAATGAAGAGCCACATTTCACAATTTCTACGGTTCACCCTGTATTCGTTTTTGGACCACAAGCATTTGACCTGGAAGCCAAGGGAGAATTAAACGTTACCAATACTTTTATAAGTGGATTATTAAAATTGAAGGAAGGATCTGATGCCTCCGTTCCAACTAATTCAGGTACTTTCATTGATGTCAGAGATGTAGCTGCTGCTCACCTTATTGAGATTGAAAAGCCATCTAATGGCTTGAGAGTACTCGTTAAAAATGTAGATTTCAATAGTCAGTCCTTATTGAACATAATTAACAAGAATTTTCCTGAATTAGGACTCATTAAGGGGGACCCAGAAGCCCCTGTTGATAAGAAAAGAATTACTGATGCCAAATCGAGAGCATACTTGGGAGTAAACTATATTGATATTGAAAAATCTGTCGTCGACACAGTAAAGCAGTATGTTGCAGCCAACAAATTAGGATGAACTGTTTAATTATATAGGTATCATTAATTTTTTACAGATAGACGCTTTTTAATCCCTCGAACTGTAAGCTTTACCCTAAGTTTCCAAGCTACGAGCTCTTCACCAAGTACAAGATATTTAATTTAGCTTTAGTCCTGCGTGCGTTTTGCATTGAGCCGCACAGGTAACTTGACGTATTCATACATACGGAATTATGATGTTCGGAGAACCCACGATGTTCGGAGAACCCACGATGTTCGGAGAAACATGGAGTTAACATGGTTGTTGCTTATAAGAAAGAGAGAGATAACAAGTTTGTCGTTGGTTTATTTCTGTTTTAAAGCTTGATTTGGGTAGATTCAATAATCAGACTCATTTAAATCTGATACTATCATGGGAAATTCATCGGTCTTCGTTAGCGGTGCAACTGGCTTTATTGCCCAGCATGTCATCAAACAATTGATTGAAAAGGGATACAAGGTTGTCGGATCAGTTCGAACTGAAGCAAAAGGGCAAAACATTCAGAAGAACTTTGGTTCTGAAAATTTCAAATATGAAATTGTCGAAGACTTGGAAACTGTCGGAGCCTTCGATAAAGCGTTGAAGAATCACCCCGAAGTGACAATTTTCATGCACACGGCTTCACCGGTCACTTGGCTGGTACAGGACAACGAGAAGGATATTATTTTGCCTGCAATCAATGGTACTGTGAATGCATTGAAGGCTATTAATGCCACTTCCCCTCAAATAGAAAAGGTCATTATCACTTCTTCCATTGTCACTCAGTTCAGTTTCTCCAATAGAAGCGCTTTAACAAATGAAAACTCGTGGAATGATATTACCTACGACCAAGCCAAAGAAACCGGAAGTGCTGCTTACCATGGTTCTAAGACTTTCGCTGAAAAGGCTGCAGTTGAATTTGTTGAAAAGGAAAAGCCAAGCTTTTCTGTATCAACAGTTCACCCTGTATTCGTTTTTGGACCACAAGTATTTGACCTGGAAGCCAAAGGACAATTGAATGTCACCAATACTTTTATTAGTGATCTTTTAAATTTGAAAAAAGGCCAAAGTGATGAGACTCCAGTCCCAAAAATAATGGGATCCTTTGTTGATGTGAGAGATGTTGCCAAAGCACATTTAATTGAAATTGAAAAACCTACAAACGGATTGAGGGTCATTGCTCAATGTGAGGATTTCAACAGTCAGAAGTTATTGAATATTATCAATGATAATTTTCCTGCTTTAAATCTTGTGAAAGGAGATCCTTCTTCAACAAGTATAAGTGATAGAAATGTTGATGACTCAAAATCTAGAGAATATTTAGGCTTACAGTATATCAGTTTAGAGGCATCTGTAGTCGATACCGTTCAACAGTATGTTACTGTTAATAAATTACTATAAATAGTCCAAATAAATTTTTATGAAGTTATCTAAATTTTGCCCCATCGACAGATGCAACTACTTCTTGAACATGCGTAAAGAGATGATCACGATATTGTATATAAACTAGCACCTTTTACCAAAACGTAGTAATGTGTCAATATTCTTAAGCATAGAACAGTCATATAGCCGCGGAGCATGCACCAGTGAGCCGCACTCTTCATAAAAAGGAACGGCACTGTTCAAAATCAAATCAGTTTCGAGTCAACATTCTTTTCTTCAATTCTAGTAAGAACCAATATCAGCTACTTTAGTGCAAAAAGTATGACATCTTCCGCCTTCATTTCAGGAGCAACTGGATTTATTGCTCAACATATTATAAAGCAATTGCTTGAAAAGGGGTATAGTGTAGTTGGTTCTGTTAGAAATGAATCAAAAGGTGAAAATTTAAAGAAAAATTTTGCAACTGATAGGTTTACTTACGAAATAGTTGATGACTTGGAGACTGTAGGAGCTTTCGACGAAGCTTTAAAGAAACATCCCGAAGTTACGATTTTTCTTCATACTGCGACGCCAGTTACGTTTGAAGCAGAGGACAATGAAAAGGATATCATATTGCCAGCTATTAATGGTACTGTGAATGTGCTAAAGGCTATTAAATCCACAGCTCCACAAATTGATAAAGTTGTATTAACTTCTTCAATTGTCTCTCAAATAGACCTTGGATCTGTCCACACAATTGTAGATGAGTTAGCATGGAATGATCTTAGTTATGACACTGCCAAGCTGAACGGATTTGCTGCATACTGTGGAGCCAAGACATTTGCAGAAAAGGCTGCAAATGACTTTGTGAAGAAAGAGGAGCCAAACTTTACTGTGTCTACTATTCATCCTGTCTACGTTTTCGGGCCCCAAGCATTTGATCTGGAAGCAAAGGGCCACTTAAACTTATCAAATAACTTTATTAGTGAGTTATTGGTGTTGAAAGAGGACCAAAATGCTGAAGTTCCAAAAGAATACGGTTCTTTCATTGATGTTCGAGATGTGGCAGCAGCCCATATAAGAGAAATTGAGAAGCCTTCTAACGGATTAAGAGTGATAACCAAAAGTGGAGATTTCTTCAGTCAAGAATTGTTAGACATAATCAACAGAAATTTTCCACAATTGCACCTCACCAAGGGTAGGCCTGGATCAATGCCTTTTGCTAGAAAAATTGATGACACAAAATCAAGAGATTACTTAAAAATCGACTATATTGATTTAGAGAATTCCGTCAGAGATACAGTAAAGCAATATATTGAAGCAAATGATTTATAGTACTGCACTTCAAATATCTCTTTTATATTTACTTATAATATTTGAAATAAATCCATTTCTTATGCCTATAATCAGCATGTGTTGAGACGCTTGACACATTTTTCATGCATGTAATCAACTCGCGCAGCAAGCACTTCTATGCACAGTCATACAGTGCTAGCACACCATTTGCACGTCCTTGAATACTTTTTCTGTTACCTTCTTTCCTACCTACTACTGCAATGATTAGATCAAGAACCAATTGGCTCAAATATGGGCAACTTTCCCGCTCATTTTCCTCATCTAGGTATCTTTTCAGTGACTTTTCCCATGTAATTATTGGCGGAGGTGTGGTCGGTACGGCCATTGCTTCGGAAATACAAGGTTCCCTTAGTTCCAACGTCCTTATCGTGGAACAACACGAAAAGTTAGGAATGGAAACCACTGCTAGAAATTCTGAAGTTATACATGCGGGCTTGTACTATCCAAAAGATAGTTTAAAGGGTCAGCTTTGTATAAAAGGTAAAAACATGATTTACGATGCGTATAATCTGGGGAAGTTCGATTCGGTGCAAGTCCCATTAGCAAAGTGTGGTAAGTGGGTTGTAGCTCAAACGGAAGAGGAATTGGAGTACTTACATAAATTGCATAAGCATGCTGAAGATGTTGGAGTGCCAGTTGAGCTTATTAGCTCTAAGCAGGCAAAACAATTACAACCCAACATAAACGCTAGCTATGGGGCATTGGTTTCTCCCACAACAGGAATAATATCTGCTCATGATCTAACGTTATACTTTGAAACCCAATTTGAAAATTCTGGTGGTACCGTTTCTCTTAATACTAAGTTAGAAGCAATTGAATATGACAAGTCCTCTGGTACTTATAGACTTCAATTAAAAGATGTTGGGGAGGACTCTAGCTTCGAGATCACCGCTGATAATGTTGTAAACAGTGCTGGTTTATATGCTCCAAAGGTTTCCAACTTGTTATTACCTACGGAAAGACACTATGAGAGCCATTTTGCCAAAGGATCCTATTTCGGTTACCTGCCAACTGATGATACGAAGACTAAGGTCTCGGATGTCTTAATATATCCCTGCCCTAACCCAAACGCTTCCTCTTTAGGTGTGCACTTAACGTTTGATTTGGGTGGACAATTCAGATTTGGTCCCGATCTTGAATGGCTCGAGGACGTGGAAAATGCAGAAGAAATTAACTACGATGTGTCTGTCACTAATTTGCAAACAGCATTCAAGGAAATTCAAAGATACTTCCCCGGCATTACTGAGCTGTCGTTACAGCCATCTTACAGTGGTGTTAGACCTAAATTGTTGTCAGCAGCAGAAAACAAGAAGAATTTCGCTGACTTCATTATTAAAGAGGAAGAGGGCTTTCCTGGTTTTGTTAACCTACTTGGTATAGAAAGTCCGGGGTTGACTTCTTCTTGGGCAATTGCTGAGTATGTCAAGAACATTTACGAAAAGTAGGGCATTTACAGAGAGAACCATATGGAAATTTTGTAGTATACTTATATATAGAATGTCTATTATTTATGCGGAGTAGTTATATACAAACAAATGCAGTTGTAGAAGAGGTATACATGCGACCTCTGGATCATAAAAGTCATGGTAAGGTTCTCGTTTTACACTTTTCTTCTTTTATTCTCGGGTTCATCGTCGTCGCTATCTCCTCCAGCAACATCATTCTTTGGTAATTCACTCGGGAGTGTAGGAGCAGGTGATTCGGTGAAATACTCATGAAGTAACGCTTGGGTCAGGGTACAACGCTTACCTGGGTTCAATTCTGTCAAAGAGCAAAGCAAGTTTAAGGCAGTATCCGTTGCTGCACTGAATCTGTTTCTAAGTTCCTGTCTCAGAGGTGGTGGATAGACTTTGAGAGCATTGTATAGAGGTAAGTTGGACACATTAGGCCAATTCTGTTCTGTCGGGGTCCCTAGGGCTCTGAACGTTACATCTACCTGGTCCAAGTCATCCTTCCCTGGTAAATAGGGAGTTCTTAACATCAATTCTGCAAAAATAATCCCAATAGACCACATATCTACAGCCTCTACATAATGTTTAGCACCAAATAAAAGTTCAGGCGCCCTGTACCACCTGGTTACTACATTGGAAGTCAAATCCTCGTTAGGGTTTCCCATCGCTCTGGCCAAACCAAAATCGGCGATTTTCAACTCTCCTGTGGGGGATAACAATAGGTTATTTGGCTTCAAATCACGATGTAATATGAAGTTTCTATGGCAATGGTGAATACCTCTTAATGTCATGAGTAACCATGACTTAATATCTGATGGTTTAAACACGACAGATGTGTTCTTGATGAGTACTTCCAAGTCTCCTGGCAAGAACTCCAAAACCAAGTTTAAATTATTGGTATTATGAGCCGTAAAGACATCTATAAGTTCAATGACATTTATATGGTGGAGTTCCTGAAGATATTTGACTTCTCTGATAGCTGACATATCCAACCCATCTTTGAAGAGACCGGTTTTGATTTCCTTGATTGCGATCTTCCGGTCATTGTTCACTTGCTTCCCAAGATAAACCACAGCATAAGTACCTTCCCCAACTTTTCTGTCCTTGGTATATCTGGAAATGGGACTGCCGCTATTGCCTGTAGTCATCGATATTATACTTGAGCTGGAGAAAAGGGATAGGATACCAGGTTGGTCTAAAGGTAAGAAATAGTTCTTATAGTGAAAAATGTCCGACGTCATTATGCAGGAACGTGCATCGAAGAAGTGCAGCACTCTGGTGAGTCCTGGAGAAGGGTAATCTTAGTAGATAGATGATATCTAGCGTAGAGGAGGTGAAATAGTGTAGTCTTTTATGTACAATTTGGCTTGTTTGCAAATACATATTCTCACGTGGCTTGTACCCTTATATGTTACTACATCGCTCAAGTACTTGCGCTAGAAATGGCTGCAAATCTTCCTACATACTTTCTTTCCGCTCTCATCAACTACAGTGTTTTTATGATGTTTATGACATATATTATACAAGTAAAACCCCATTCAATGAGGAAACTCCTTACTAAAGAGTTTTTTTATTTAACATTTTGTAGATTTTATAAGTTTTTTTGATGATTTTTGTATTATTTTTTCGTATTTTTTTTCGTTTTTTCTTTATTTTGTTTATGTTGTCGTTGATAAATCGTGTTAGTTGTATAAGATATATTTCATAAACTCGAAGTTGTACCCTTTCAGATTGCAACTTCATCAAAAGTTGTTATTTCTTAGCAGCCTTTTGAGCAGCCTTAGTGACTTTACCAGCCTTGTCTGACTTGTCTACAGACTTGATAACACCGACAGCGACAGTCTGTCTCATATCCCTAACGGCGAATCTTCCCAATGGTGGGTAATCAACAAAGGCTTCGACACACATTGGCTTAGATGGAATCATCTTGACAATGGCAGCATCACCAGACTTGACGAACTTAGGTTCGTCTTCCATCTTCTTACCAGTTCTTCTGTCAATCTTTTCAATTAAGTGATCGAATCTACAGGCAATATGCGCAGTATGACAATCCAAAACTGGAGAATAACCAGCAGAAATTTGGCCCGGGTGGTTCAATACAATGACTTGGGCATTGAAAGAAGCTGCTCCCTTTGGTGGATCGCTTTTGGAGTCACCACAAACGTTACCTCTTCTAATTTCCTTAACGGAAACATTCTTAACGTTAAAACCAACGTTGTCACCAGGAACACCTTCTGTTAATTGTTCGTGATGCATTTCAACGGACTTAACTTCAGTGGTGACACCAGCTGGGGCAAAAGTAACAACCATACCGGCCTTGATGATACCGGTTTCAACTCTACCAACAGGCACAGTTCCAATACCACCAATCTTGTAAACATCTTGTAATGGTAATCTCAATGGCTTGTCAGTTGGTCTAACAGGTGGTTCAATGGCATCAATAGCTTCCAATAAAGTCTTACCAGAGGACTTACCAGCCTTGGTCTCCTTTTCCCAACCCTTGTACCATGGACAATTAGTGGATGGTTCAATCATATTGTCACCATTCCAACCAGAGATAGGGACAAATGGAACGGACTTGGGATTGTAACCAACCTTCTTGATGAAGTTGGAAGCTTCCTTAACAATTTCTTCAAATCTGGTCTTATCCCACTTGACAGAATCCATCTTGTTGACAGCAACAATCAACTGTCTAACACCTAAGGTGTAGGCCAACAATGCGTGCTCTCTGGTTTGACCATCCTTGGAGATACCGGCTTCGAATTCACCGACACCACCAGCAATAATCAAAATAGCACAATCAGCTTGAGAGGTACCAGTGATCATGTTCTTGATGAAATCTCTGTGACCCGGAGCATCAATAACAGTAACATGGTACTTTGGAGTTTCGAACTTCCACAAGGCAATATCAATTGTAATACCTCTTTCTCTTTCAGCCTTAAGCTTATCCAAAACCCAGGCATACTTGAAAGATCCCTTACCTAATTCGGAAGCTTCCTTTTCGAACTTTTCAATAGTTCTCTTATCAATACCACCACACTTGAAAATTAAATGACCGGTAGTAGTGGACTTACCTGAATCGACATGCCCAATGACAACGACATTAACATGAGACTTTTCTTTACCCATATTTCTTTATTATTCTTGATATAATATTATTATTTTAAAATTTAGTATCTTTTGATTTTTATTTTTACAATTCATGTTCCCTATAAGTACCAGAAGTTTATTTGGGTGGCAATTCCAGACTCCGAAATCTACTACTATACAGAGGGGTGTATGAGTCACTACGAAATGAAAATTACATACGCGGTAAGACTACCTCTCTACTCTGAACGGCAACCATGCGCCTTACAACTTAAATAGGGGGCAAGTGGGAAAAAAATAGACAGGCATTTACATTCAATACTTGGAAGACTCATCCTTCTGTTGCACTAAGAATGCAGCCTACGCTGCGTGAAGATCAGTCTCGGGTATCGCTCTACAATTCTAAATGCTCTACATAAATCTACTCTCAAATTACTAAAATCTGACATAATAAATCCGAACCAGATTCCACCATGCAAAAACGGGTGAGAAAGTGCAACCAGGTAAGCACCTTAGCTAATCCTCTCCACTTCTTCCTTTGTGAGCCTGTACGTACTGGGGGTGCAAGGATATTTTATTTTTTTGACGCACTCAAACATCGACCTGCATCACTTTGCAGCATAATAGCTTCATTAAATTCATTTCCTATTGTAGCACTTATTTCAGCTAGTACGAGTACGTATTTGCTACTCGTCAAGGCACTGGAACTCCTCATACTTTTCTTTATCGTCAAGGTAGAGTTACACCTCAGACTCCTTTAACTTTATTCCAGTAGTTTTCAGCTACAAAGGGAAATTAAGTGGTACTCCAGGTTCTTACTAGTTGCGAGCACTAATGAGGGAATGTGTCTGGATTGAGAATTTTGTGAACGTCTTAAACGTCCTACTGGTACTGGTCTCCTATATGTGGCCTGGATTAGATTGAGGAAAGAAGGCTGTGCAAAGCTCAGCACTGGAAAATGCAATCATTTCGAAAAACACTTCCTACTGCGATTGAAGCAAAACCGTGTAAAATAATGATGTCTCTTACTCTTTTAGGCAGTATCTTCTAGTAGCACATCAAAATAGCACATCGCTGCTTATACCTTTTCTAGAACTAAGTCCATTACTGCAGTGCTGAGTAATTGAGGCTTGCCCTATCTATCCTAAGCTGATAACTCTTGATCCAAACTTAATTCATCAAAGACGTTTTATTGACATTCTCAGTAATAATTGTACAGAACCTAAACTCTAATCTTCGCACATAGTGAAACCATGATTGTTTCAAGGATCAAGATTCTCCTACGCTTTTTATTTCGTTTTTTTTTTTTTAAACATATATTATTGTTAAAATGTAAAGAAGGTTTTCTGTAACATATTTCCAAAACCAGTATTTACCAGTCGTTTCACATTCTAGATAAAAAGAGTAAAAAAAAATTCTTAAGCTAAAACAGTCTCTTGAACTGCAGCTCCCCTATATAAATTTTATAAACCTGGATTAGTTTGAGCCCCCTGCGTCCTCCCCCTGACATCAGAAGAAGCATAGCACGAGCTGTGGATTTCCAGACAATAACCCAAAGAATAAAATCACAATTTTGTCATGACAAAACCGCAATTACCGAAAAGTTGTTAATAATATTAGCGTAATAGAATAGAATAAAGAATTAAAGTTTTAATGAATGAGTGTAGACACCTGGAGAGAGATAACATTGGTTAGGCTATCTCCGGCGTTATGAGCGTAGATCATATGGGAAACCCTAAATGTGATCTGACGCAGCAAAAAAAAAAAAAAAATCAATTTTAATTTTAATTTCTTGCTCGACTTTAATTAATTAATGATTGAGTTCACACTTTGATGTACAGTATTGGTCTACTTGAATCACTGTTACTGTCGTGTATACTGGAAACCAGTACAACGGCGTCTATTCTGCATAAGCAAGCTTCTCCGATTTCTTCAAAAAATGACACATCATCGTCGTCATCTTCATCGAGTGGATCAAGATTGCAATAGTCATCGAATAACCTCACTCCAGTAAACGAAGTATTTATGGGGTTTTTCTTTGACATTGCTAAATGTGGTGAAGTGGAAGGAGAAGAACAGGCAGAATCTGATGAGACACTCTGCTGATCGTCTGAAAATGTAGACAGTTCAGTCAAGGAGCTATTATCATCTGTAGAGTAACCTCTTCTATGTCTTGGACCAGTTGTCACAACCCGCTTTCTTGCGGAAGACATTTGCTGTGCAAGTCTTTCTCTGTAAATCATGACTTCTCTGTTGTTTAGGCGTGCGGCAGATCTCTGGGGCACTTCGCAGTCTTCGTCGTTGTCGTTGTTGTTATTGTCTGTAAAAGTTTCCAATGATTGAAATAAATTGTCGTCGCTTAAGTGGTTGGCTGCATGAGCTAAGTAATCCAATTGTTTCATGACGAGCAGATTGGCATTATTTAAATAAAATTCATCCATTGTATTTAGTTACCTTGAAAAGGATATTATCTAATTAAGGTTTGGTCACGTGTGTGTAAATTACTTTGCTCAAATCAGCAATTTTAGAAAATTATTTTTTTTTTCCCTCTTATTTTTCAAAAGGATCAAATTATTTTCTGACTGCCTTTACTTGATAGTAGGCAATATCGCAAATAAAATTTATGCAATTCAGTGGGGACAGTACGTTCAAGATGGTGCCTTCAGTATATTTGGCAATGAGGAGTATTCCAGATGAAATAACTGGATTAGGGATGGAGTTTTTGTATGAAAAAAAGGACGTTCAAATAATAAAGTCACAATTTTAGGGGATGAGTTCCTTTTTAATGTGGGAAAATCAAAATGGTGTGTATGAATGTTTCTATATTTATCCCAAATTTGCTTCCTATTAACGGGGTTATGTGCGAATGATATACAAAATTTTTTGATGACTTCGCAACGTTAAATTTTCGATTCTGGCTATGTCAGATCTAACTTTGAACCAGCCTTCGACAAATTTTGTAGAGGCTAAGCTTCTCTATTTATCCAACCAGCCATTCCCAGTTTTGAAACAAACCACATGTCAATAGGCGCGTGGTTGATATTTCGAATTTCTCAGTTACGTGTTGCAAATGTTGTGATATTGTCTTCCTGCCCATGACTTTGAAAGATAAGTGATTTCATGGCTATATTTTTCAATGCGAAAGCTTGTTTCCTACAGTGAAATGATGTAGTTGGTGCGCGCGGAACAATTTCTTCTCTACTTTAGGAAGTTTTCATGCGTACCAAAGATTTGTTGAGTTTAAATTATTTCTACTTTAGAATAAAAGTTGTAGAGGAACTGATGTATTTTTCATGTAAGGAACGCTAGGGAACACGGTTAGCTTTGATAACCGAACGTATTAACCTGTTCATATTTGGCGTTCTTTCTACTTTAAGGAATAAATTCGTAGTGCTTAGTACGTGCGCACCGAGGACTAGGTGAAAATTGTGGTTGCAAAATCAAAAATAAAAAAAAAAAAGAAATAAAAATTTAAGAAAATAAAAGGCTTCCTAGTAAACGTGGAACAGGATATCTTGTTACTAGTAGCGAGGTGCTAAGGCGGATGTCTAACCCAGAATAATGGACATATGGATAGAAGGATGACGAAGTTAGCTGTAGAATAGTTGGGGTACGAAGGCATGTCCACCTTTTTCTTTTTATTATTTAGATGGTTGTCCTGCATGTAGTACTGTTAAAAATAACCTGAATTCCAACTGCATCCCTTCCAGGGCACTTGAGATGGTTCCCCTGATTCTTTGTGGTGTGAAGCAAAGAAGCAATTGTTATCATGTTGTGTCATGCTGCATTAAGGGGTAATTTCTGAACAAAGTCCCAATCTCCATGGTTCCCATCCACAATACCAACAAGGAGAGAGTGTATTGTCACTACTGGATGGTCGCTTGCTCTCCAGGTATATAGATCTTGACTTCAGATGATTGCGGGGCAGATCAATGGAGGGGGGAGAGGGAGTTGGGTGTTATTGTAACTAAGAGGCTCCTAGTCCGAAATACAAGAAAAATGAATGTACAGAACATTCTGTCAACGATGAAAACTGTTGCAACAATGTAAAATGGAAAGAATTGAGCTGCCTGAGCTTGTAAAATGCTACGCAACTTCAAGTATGACTCTCTTACTTCTATCTTGTAGATGTACTATCAACCTATAGGCCCCTCTACACACCTCTCTAAGATGATCGTTGAGCACAATGTTCTTCCTGCATGTTACCTGCAGCTGGGAATATGCAAGCAATATAATTTGACGCAGAGAAAAAAAGAAAAGAAAGAATAAGTTTGAATGACATGGCAACACCAACAAATGTACACTGATAAAACCGATGTTGTGAGTACGACTCAGAGAGGATCCGCATAATATCTGGTGGCATACGAGAAATAGGAGCTAAGATAACAGTTCCGTCGACTACGTATACCTCTGCTGATCAGACGAGTATGGATCTGGCAGTGTATGCACCCGATGGATACAATGCATGATAGTACTGCATGTAGCAGACCTTAATTTCTTAGTCTTAGGGCCTAGCCAGTAGATAAGCACCACTCAAGCATTGTTCTAGAGTGAGATAAAAAGGAGACGATAAGTAGAAGATTAAAGGTTACTTACATTCACTGATTTCGTAATTTCTTATTTTATTGTGTGTGAGAAAATTGTACATAAATGATATACACTTACGCAGCTTTTCCCTGTATTAGTTTACAACCAGGAACCAAAAATTATAACCCCGTACTCGATCCTGGTACAGCTTAGTTATGGTAGTTTGAATATTTATTGCAACTTCAGAACAATAAGCATACCTTCTGTATAAAATAATTCTCTTCCATTCTATTACACTACGTCAGACTCTCCTCAGAAGAAAGCTCTTAGACTTCTTTCTAATCCGTTTTTGGTTTCTTGCTTGGTGGTCTATCATCTCCACTAGCTTCATCCTCAGAATCTGACAATGGAGCGTCTGAATCAAATTCTTCTGCGACGTCCGAATCCTCACCCGAGTTGAAATCATCGTCGGCACTTTCATCATCATCGTCACCGGCAGATCCCATGTCTACATCGTCGTCGTCGTCGTCGTCGTCAATGTTAGCTTCCTTGATTGCCTTGGCCATAATTGCCTTAGCTATCTTTTCTTCGTTCTTGACTCTCAATCCCTTCTCAATACAATAGTTTTCAATGGATTGTTGTTCTTCTCTGTCAATAGATCCGAATGTGTGAGACAGGTTGGGGCCACTTGCTTGTCCTCTCAAGTGAATCTCAAGGTCGAAAGTCCTAGAAGCACTAACGCCTGATCCTGTTCTCGACATGGTAACACTACTGATTTCGGAGAATGGGATGTATAAAGTTGGTTTGGTAACGAAAAGGAAGCATCTATCCAATGGATAAAGGTAACCTTCTGCTGCTTTTAAAGAACACAGTAATCCTGGTTGGTTAAACCTAGATTTGAATGAGCCTGGAACTATCAACCTTCTTTCAGTTAAACCTTTGAAGCAATGCGACATTACCAAGTGTGTCTGAGCATCGTAGTTCTTCTTGAGCCTCTCTTTATATTTTTCTTCGTATTCTTGATCCGATACATTCAATTCCAATTCAATTTCTTCTTCTTGAGCGAACTGAAGCACAAGGAATGGATATCTCGTCTGCCCTTGTCTCAATGGAGGGTCGATCTGTAAAATTATTAAATGGTGCGCATCATCTGGTTTTGGAAGAGAGAATATTCTTTCGATCTGCTTGTATTGGATCTTGTAATCGTACGTCTTACCACGAAGTCTAAGTGAACCTGGGTACATATCGATATCGTAACGTCCTCTAGGGGTAAGGAACAAAATATCTGAGAAGGATACAATTGCTTCCCCAGCAACTTGGCCTATATCTGCCTTGTCCTTAAGTTGGTCATAGAAGAGAGAAGCTGCGTTGATGCTGGTGTCTTCAGTTTCCTTTCCGTCTTCCGCTTCTGCTTCACCTTCTTCCTTATTTTCCTCTTTTACGTCATTATCCTTCTTGCCTTCTTCTTCTACAACGCCGGGTATGTAAAATCTCATTTCCACAATCTCATCTCCTGCTTTTGAGGCCCCTCCATCCAAGTTGAACTCGAGGGCAACTTCATTCTTACCTGTCAAGTTACTATTGCTTATTTCCAGGTAAGGGATCTCAAAACTGGGCTTGTTATTGATTTGAAATACCAATTCGTTTCTGGCCAAATCCGTCTTCCCCCAGTTCCATCCTCTTAACGAGTGCTCCTTATGTTCCAAGTTGAGAGAGAAGTTTCTCTGCAACTCTTGTTTCAACTTTGTGAAGTCCTCAACATCAAATCCATCTAACATCACTACACCCTGGTTCTTGGTCTGAACTCTCAATTCGTAGCCCCTTGATCCTCTTGACCATTGCGACGAGAGAATTTCCTCCGATGGTAACAAGAATGGGGCGTTGTTGCTCCCGTTGTTTGTGTTAGAAGCCTTCCAGCCTAGACCAGAGTCTGCAATACGCATACGGCCATGGCCCTTCAGCTGGTTGAGGTATATTTTTTCAAAATCTGTATTCACCATGCTCAATCTATGTTATGCGAGGAGATGTATCACGTCTGTAGATCTATTGGTGCTGTAGTGTCGTTGTTTAACTGACAGATGGTGGTGGTGGTTGGCGGGTTTTCAGAGTTTGTGATTTTTCGATTTTTTCATTGCACCGCGAACGCGTGTGGTGTGCATATAGTAAGTGGTGCTTCTACATGGCCTCTATGCCGGATGCTGCACTTGTTGCGAGAGTGCTGGGTGCCATGAGCAAGGGCTTGATATTGGTCTTGGAAGGCAGTACTAGGTAGCTCAGCAAGAAGGCATTGACGAATGCTTGGGGGTAGACTTCTGGCTGCTCGAGGAATCGAAGAAGTCCTTGATTCAGCTGTTGTTCAGCTGTGGTGCTGTGGTGCTGTGTGTCGGAGCTTCCTGATAAAAACGAGAGTTGCGTGCAGGTCTCAAGTCTGCTTAGGAAGCGCTACTGTACAGGGAATTCATACGCCTAAACGGATACAGACAGAGAGCAACAGGGCTAACGAAAACTCCGCATTACACTGTCAGCCAGCAAATTATGGTTGTCCGGGTGACATAATCTATAAAATCTAATCATCCGTCCACTTGGAAGTCCCTATCCGTCATACTGTCCTACAGCTCTTCCCTTGCCTGGCCTGGGTTCCTAATAATCACGTGACCATTGAAAATGACTAATTTTCGAAATTTTTCAAACAAAAAAAAAAAAAAAAAATGCTTGACATGACTCCAAGCACAAATAAAAAGTATCAAGGTGCTCTTCTTCTTCTTCTTCTTTCCTTGTATCATTCTTTTTCGATAGTTTTCTTGTTAAAAAAGCAGCAAGTTCGTTTACTCATAGCTAGTACAAAAGAAAATATAAAAACTGAGCAATATGGGTCTTAAAAAAGCTGGTGTCTTGGGTGCAACTGGATCAGTTGGCCAAAGATTTATCTTATTGTTGGCAGAACACCCGGATTTCGAAATACATGCATTGGGTGCTTCATCCAGATCTGCTGGTAAGCCATACGCAAGTGCCGTCACTTGGAAACAGACCGACTTGTTACCAGAATCTGCCAAGTCAATCCCAGTTTCTGAGTGTACACCAGAGGCATTTGCTGGATGTGACATTGTGTTCTCCGGTCTTGATTCGGATTACGCTGGACAAATTGAAAAGGATTTCGTTGGTGCTGGATTTGCCGTTGTTTCTAACGCTAAGAACTATAGAAGAGAAGTGGATGTTCCATTGATTGTACCAATCGTAAACCCTGAACATCTTTCTGTAGTTGAAGAGAAGGTCAAGAAATCCAAGGCCGAAGGTAAGAAGGAAGGTTTCCTTATCTGTATCTCTAACTGTTCCACCGCAGGTTTAGTAGCACCATTGAAACCATTGGTTGAAGCTTTCGGACCAATCGACCTTTTGACTGCCACCACTTTACAAGCCATCTCTGGTGCAGGTTTCTCTCCTGGGGTGTCTGGAATTGACGTGTTGGATAACATTGTCCCTTACATTGGAGGTGAAGAAGACAAGATGGAATGGGAAACCAAGAAGATCTTGGGTGGTACTAATAAAGAAGGTACTGAATTTGTTCCTTTAGCAGACGATGTGTTGAAGGTAAGTGCCCAGTGTAACCGTGTTGCTGTCAGCGATGGACACACCGAATGTATCCTGTTGAAGTTCGCCAACCGTCCTGCTCCTAGTGTAGAACAAGTGAAGCAGTGCTTGAGAGATTACGTGTGTGATGCCTACAAGTTAGGATGTCATTCTGCTCCTAAGCAAACCATTCACGTCTTAGAAGAACAAGACAGACCACAGCCAAGATTAGACAGAAATAGAGATGCTGGTTATGGTGTTTCTGTAGGAAGAGTTAGAGAAGATCCAGTATTAGATTTCAAGATGGTAGTCTTATCTCACAACACTATCATTGGTGCAGCAGGAGCTGGTATTTTAATTGCTGAAATCTTAAAGGCAAAGAACGTTATTTAGATAATAATATTGTATATAAACGTATAATAACAAGAACGTTAGTGAGAACGGACGATAGTCTGCAGTTGGGCGTTGTAGAGTTTGAGACCCGCATGAAGCTAATTCCTCCTAACAAAGAAGTAGGAATATGTCTTTCTCTGGCTGTCTAAAACAGGGCCCATAGCATGCTGTTATAGCAGAAATTCGAAACGAAACCCCCAAACAACTGCACAGGGAGCTGTTTTAAACATCGTTGCATCGCTCCAAATCCCGCGCACAACAATCTTAACTCTGTAGGCAGAAGAAACAAGGAAAGTATATCCTTTTCTTTACCGGAGTTGTTTTCATCTATGGCTATCGACCTAAGCAGCTTCGAGGAAGTGTTTGAAGATGACATACATTCGCACATATATGAATTATCTGGGCATAAACTCTCTGCAAAGCGCTTAGGTTATGTAGATCGTAGTTCGGAAACGATTGAAATATCGTTGCCCATGTCTAAGATAGATATGACAATCGTACAGTCGTTGACTGGGTTGTCTGAGTCTACAGGCTACGTATGTTGGGAGACGGCTCTGTACTTAACAGATTGGATATTACTGGATGAAAATTGTCCTATTAGGCTAAATAACGATATGACTGTAGTTGAGCTTGGGAGTGGGGTGGGTGGCATATTGGTGTCCCAATTTGGACCGCAGGTTAAGAAGTATGTAGCAACAGACCAGAAGCCCATTTTGAAGCTTTTGAAGAAGAATTTCGTTAATAACGTAAGAGGGGAGTATACAAGCGAAACATGCGATGGAGGCAGTAGTTCTAAGGACAAAAACTACAGTAGAAGAAGTAATGGTGATGCCGCTGTGATCGAGTTTGTTGAGTGCGACTGGGAATATGTAGAGCATGGGGTCAGTACCGTAAAAGAGGTGATTGGTGATGTAGAAATTGATCTTGTGATAGCATGTGATACCATATATAACGAATACTTGATCCCTCACTTCATCAGATCGTTCAAGCTGCTCATGGGTGCAAACACGGCCGTATTAGTTGGCTTGCAGGTCCGTGATGAGGTGTTGATGGAAATCTTTGCTGAGAAAATATTTGAGGAAGACTTGAAGTTGTACTACGTAAGGAATGAGTACTTAAGCCTGCAGCTCTTGCAAGGCTACGTTGTGTACTATATAGAGCGAGTAAATCCGTAGAGTTTAGCGATGGGATTACCGTTCCACTGAGCAGCACCCACCAGGTAAACGGCGAAAGGAGCACTGCAGCATGCATACAATTAATATATACCATAATTTGCACCCAAAGCTTTGAACATACTACGCTGCTTAAAAGATCCCAATTTTCGTAGACTCTTCTCTTTTTTTTTTTACTAAACCTCGACCCTTAGATTACATAGCAGCACGCAGCTCCCTTTTTGGTCCCAATTCCTTCTTTATGCTCTTGGCACCACTCTGTTCATCAGCGACGGCTCTGGAACAGTGTAGGCTAAAGCCCTGTGTGTCCTGCATATAGCCCAATATCAATGAACGATTTTTGAACCACAACCGTTTAGCAGACTAAGCACAAACACACCACCAGTGTTCTCTCTCAGCTCTATATAAGTAACATCGCACGTTGAATGTCTGTGTCTAGTGGTAATATTACGGGTAATTCCGGATTTGCACACGGACAGCAGCAATCAGCGAAGTTTCAAATGAATGGGCAGTCTAATAGTGGGCCCAACGATTCAAGACGAAATAATAGAAGAAGAGGACCTTCAGGGAACAATAACAACAATAGTAATAATAATAATAATAATAATAATAACAACAACAACAACAACAACAACAACAACAATACTAACGGTAATGGTGGTTTTAGTAATAAAGACAGCAGAAGGTTAAGGTCGAAGACATCTAACGACAAGAGGACCCCTCCCGCCAACAACTCCATCAATAGCTCTTCCGCTAAGAACAGCAACAGTATCAGCCTACAAACCCAGGACGATGACCAGTACAACACCATAAAAAAAGTCATTCCCAAGCAGAAGCCCGACCAATTGCAGAATTACACTGCTCTGGAGATAGAACTCACTGGTCCAATATTTCCCAATCCATCGCAACTTGGTTTCCGCCAACAACAGCATAAGAGTCGACCTAGGCCCATCCCCAAGTACCTCATGCATCAGCCACGACTTCTTGTAACCCCACCCTTGTTCATAGACCCGTGGGATGCCAACAACCAACAAAAAATGCTCTCCATGGAGCAGGCAGCAGGTGGTAAGGACTCTCAGAGTTTGTACGAAGAGTTTCAGAAAATGAGAGACGTAGAACGTAAGCAAATGGAAGTGTTGGGCCTTGTGGATGCTGAGAACGTAAGTAAGGATCTTACCGATGCCATTCATTTCCAGGGTTCATGTTTGGAGATGTGTCCAATTTTCGAGAGAGTAAGGAGAGCACTTGAAAATAATGTCAAAAACTTGGAAAGAGACCCAGCCACAGGAAAGATCAGTCGTGAAAGGGCCATCAAGGCATTCAGCAGACCTGCTGCAGGACAACCACCTCCATTACCATCTGAAGTGAGACCCCCGCATGTCCTTGTAAATACATTGAACTACTTAGTGGACAATTCCCTCAGCTTACTCCCAGAATCTCACTCATTCATTTGGGACAGAACGAGATCTATAAGACAAGATTTCACATATCAGAACTTTTTCGGACCTGAAGCAATAGACTGTAACGAAAAAATCGTAAGAATACATTTACTTTGTTTGCATGTAATGGCTGGTGCAGCTTCAGAGGGAGGCGTGGAATATTCTCAACAACAAGAATTGGAACAATTTAATAAAGCCCTTCAGACGTTATTAGAAATTTATAAAGATATTCGTAATCATGGTGGAGAAGCTCCCAATGAAGCAGAATTTCGTGCATATTATCTTTTGTCACATCTTCGAGACCCAGAACAAGAGAGAGAAATACAACAATTGCCAAACCATATTATTAACGACCCCTTCATTCAATTGGCACTATTATTCAGAAACTTAGTTTGTCAAAGCAATATAGTTGAGAGAGGTTACCACAATACTGTTGGATCACTTCTGTTGTTCGAAGAATTTTTCAAGATTGTTAAGTCAAAGCAGGTGCCCTTCTTGATGTCTTGCCTTCTTGAAACTCATTTCAATGAGATCAGATTCTACGCATTAAAAAGTATGTCTAGAAGCTATCATACCAAAAGTAAACCCTACCCAGCAGAAAAACTCCAAAAATTCCTTGCATTTGATCATTTAGAGCAATTGATCAAATTTGTGCAATACTATGAAGTGGATATTATCAATGATAACCAAGGAAAAGTTCTTGTGGACTTGTTCAACAAGGATAAGCTAGAAACTGTCTACAAATTGAATTCAATTCATGATAAACCTAAATTGAGCCCAGCATATACAAGAGCATTCGACGAGAAGTTTCTGATGCATGGAGGGAATGGGGGGAATATAAGAGCATTGATTGATAGTGGAAAGAGTAATAATGACTTGAAGTTAAAAAGTGCCAGTACTATAAGAAAGGTGTCAAATAGGCCAGCATCCAGCTTGGTTCCGCCTACTTTGCTTGCTCCTCCTACATCATTACCATCTTTCCTGGCCGTCCCTCTCTCTTCTAATGTAGGAACTAAATCTTTATCAGATTTCTTGAATTCGGGTGCCAATAAATCTGGCTCAGGAGGGGGGTTTGGCTTCGGTAATACTACAGGTGGCTCCTTTGGCGCTAATACTCCAGTTTCGTTTGGAAATGCTGTTATATCTGGAACAGGAGCAACAGACAAAGCTCTTGCTAATACGTTTGGGGAGAAAGGTAAGCCTGCAGAATTTTCAGTTCCTGCTAAATCTACTCCTCTAGATAATGTTGCATTTAAGAACAGTATTAGAGAGAGCTCGCTCAAACCCGACATCGTAAGCATATCAAGTCCACCTGTTGGTAATAATTTTAGAAGTTCTGGCCAGCCTGTGCCATTATTTAAATCTGACTCAGCTAAACCGAGCCCTATATTTGGTAATAAGGAATTCGTTCCGCCTCCAAATCCCTCTATTTCTACACCGCCATCATTCAACTTCAGTAAGCTGAGTACTGAGACGACAAAACCACTTCATAGCCGTGAGGAGGCAACTAATGCGACAAAACCTATACCAATTCCACCTACAGCCACTTCCAATACATTAGCTCCAACCCCAAACACAATTTCACAACCCCCAAAGGCTCTCCGCTTAGTAGAATCAGTCCACTATGCCGCTGCATCCAATCAAATCTACCAAGACTTACTATCAAACGTTATTGAATCTGAGCTAGGTAAAATACTACCTAAATTCGTAGAACAGCTGAATTCAAATATTAGAAATGCAAAACTCATTCAGACTACTAGAAATGAAGTGTTTCAAAATTTACTAGATGGATTAGTGAAATATAAATTGCTTGAAGTACAAGCAGACCATTTTTATCAAAATTCATTGCGCAAGAAATCGGCAAAGCTACTTGTCAGAAAAGGGAAAGATACGAGGTCTAAAGCCATGATGAAGGAAAGAAAAAGACAGGAACTTCAACTGATTAAATTCACTGGTAGTTCCAGACTGAATAAAAGACAAAAATCTGCAACATGTTCTCCAAGCTCTGATTCTTCCACAAGCAATATTGTCGCACGGAAGAGAATAAAATTAAACTCCATTTCTCCTTCATATATAGACGAGACACAAAAGTCTGTTGAAAAGTTATGGGAGCCAATTGACCTCAAAGCATTTCTTAATAGAATCTCCTCCAAAATTAAGATTAAATTGGAAAGTAAAGACATTGAATTTAACTTTTTAATTCTTGTTGAAAACTGGGAATCTAACTATTCCAAATGGTTGAACAATAAACTAGGTATGGTTGCTAACCGAGAATTATTGTGCTATGAGAAGATTTTGGCTTCTGATAGATTAAAATTGAAGTTTACTAGTTTACCTCCTGGTAATTACGAGTCAAAGAAATTTTTCTCCAAATCACCGTTCATTATATTTGAGTGCGGAAAGACCATTGACTCGTCCAGTTCCATGTCTGAAAAGTTGCAAGCAGATAAAGAAAAACTACTGAAGTTGGTTAAATTGCTTAATGGGTATAGCTTTTACAAAGTTCAGTTAGTTTTGATTTTTTGGGATTGCACTGGGACCGCTGGCAATGATACTGAAGAGATTTTGACAGAATTAGATATTGATTCACTTAAACAGGAAGATTGTTTGCAAAGTGTTGATTTAATTGATATGACGGATAATCAAGATATCAATGAGAAGTTAGATAAAGTATTCACTAACCTTAGCTCTGGATTCAAGGGAGAGTTGACTACAAAGGGCCAAAGGAAAATTTCCAAGTTGAAAAAGAGAATGAATGACAATAACACCCAAAGACAATCGGTTCCAACGCCTTCCGACGCTACTATATCTACAGTTGACTACGACTTAAAAGAGCAAGAGCAATTATCGAAAGCAAGGGCCCTACGTAGGTACGATTACCTTTCAAAGCATATTTCTAATAGCAACTCATTCGCTAACTCAACAAACACATCCTTTGTTACTGCATATAACATATTCCCAGGCTCTGACACTACAAGGAATGGTGGTGGTGGTGGCGCTTACAATACTTCACAATACTTCCCCAATACCTTTCTCAACAATAGTACATTCAATGACTCCACAATGATCAACCCCAATGTATCGATATTGGGTGGGTTTGGTAATGGTATAGTGGGTGAGAGCACGCCATTCAGTTCGCCTGGAAAAAATAAAATCAAAAAGCCTACCTTGGGTAATATCCCCAAGGGTTTGCTAGAGTTGAAGGAACTAACGCAGGGGATAAAGAAAAAATACAACAGAAAGTGAAAGCAAAAGGAACCGTTCTAGGCATAGATGAGGAGACTTCTCTCTTATGCCCATACGTTTAACATTGCGAGGTGCCCTATTTCGCATTTACTTGCATAAAAATTGCGTGCGCAGCTGTGGAAAAATCAAAATTTGCAGCCACTTGCTGCTGACGATACCCGCTAAATTTTTCACCTTGAATTCTTTAGCGACTCATGTAAATTAGAATCATAAACTAAATAGTTAACTTAATAACATTAAGCTGTATATAACTTGTCTTCTCGATGTAGAAACCCTAACCCTGCGATTAAGAGATAGTGGAAATGAAATTTATATTCTAAGTTCAATAATTAACATGTTAAAAGTGTATATTGTATATATATAATAAACCTATAAATCTATCGCCGTAGAACCCAATGAAATAGCCAGACCTTTTCCCAAAATCACATAATTTTTTTATGCACCCTTTATAAATAATTTAAATACCCTAACTACTTCCCATTACTAACCATTTTCTATAATTGTGTTGTATGGACAAGTTACTCTTGGCAACCGAACTATCGTCTTCGGAATACTTAGTGTAACTCTGTAATGTTTCAAGGATAGTAGGAGCTAAAGGAGCCCTTGTCTTGAGATCCTCTCTTAGCTGAGAATCGAGGTACTCTACGTTATTCAGTATAGGTGCGGAATTCAAATCGAGCGGATCGGAGTCCAATCTATAGTGTTGGTGGTGAGAACATGGAGAACTGGCTTGGTGCGTTGACTTGCATAAGCAACACTCGTACAAGAGGTACGTAGGAGAGTCATCCAACTCCATGGAATCGATTGGAGAATCGTAATAAGTGGCAGATTCTTCAGTTAGAGATTCCAACGGATCGTTTTCTTCGTCTCCGTTGAAAAATACATTTTGATTTTCCATGAGATCAGAATCTCTGCATTGCTCGCTACAGTAGACAGAGCCTTGTTCACAAGGGTTCCCGTCCACCACGCAATAACCGTTGTCAAATAACATTCCAGTGTTTGATATTATACTCAATTGCCTGGATTCTTTACAGACCTCTTGATCTATAGTAGCAAAAAGATTTAGAAAATTTTTCTGGTCCGAAAATTTTTGCTTTCACTGTACTACTCCTCTATTTCAAAAGTGGGGCCAGTAGTGCAGATGATTTTGACGATTCCTAAATAAATGCAGCCAATAGTGGTAGCACTTCTTCGTATATGGGATCCTAGTTACTAATGTGCCAAACTAAATATCCCGATTAATTTGTCCTGGAATACTGATTTGTATTTTACTAATAATAAAACTCTAGAATATTAAGGCACTCCTGGAAGTTTTATAATTTTTCAATATTAGGGTCCGTGTAGGCTAATTATACTTCAGGAACACTGTGAATATTTTTTTGTGAGTCTGGAACTTTCCCTTTCTTTTTTTTTTTTTTTTGCGAACTCGGTAAACCGCAAATAAAGTTTAAAAAAAGACTTATGAGATGCTTGACAGACCTGATTTAGCCCAAGGCTCAGAATTGGGCTGGTGCTTAAGTGAGACACTTAAAGGGACACCGGAAGTTGGGGAATTAGATAGACTAGAGGTGTACTGATAATATTATATTATCGGTATGCCTTGTACTTTTGCTATCAGTGATGTATTTTTGATGTTTCCTGTATGGAAGTTTCAAAAAAACGTTTGACTCGTTACAATGAATGCCTTTTGGTTGCGAATGTCCGAACTTATATGTCCGGGTTTTTTTTTCTTGGTTCTCGTTATCCCACTGGCTATAGTGGTTATAGGGTATGCACAAAGGATGTTAATTTGCACTTGGTATGTGGAAAAATGGAATGGTTTATTTTATATCTTTCTTACAACCTTTATTCTTTTGTGAATTCATTGCCTGATCCCTTTGTCTTTATACCTGGAACTGTGGAGCGCCTCATGCTCAACTGTGTGACACTGGTCAAGAAATTTCCTTGCTGTTTTTAGGCGTGAGGCCAAGCAGCAGCTCAGGTAGTAACCTCTGTGGTGGATCTCAAACAGGTATATGCAGGCGGTGGTGGCGTTTCTTTATTTTTGGCACCTACAAATCCAGTACGACCCATAACTGAGAATCCAAAATGTCTCACATTTGAGTCATTTGTTGTGGGTCATTGCCTATGACGAAATCCAGAGAGTTGTGGTGCCACAATGGAACCAAATTTTTCTCAAAGAAGAAAAGATGTACAAGCAAGAATAGTAAGAAAAGTGGTGGAAGAGATAGGATATCTGATGTGGTGGGAACCCGATTACAGAACTGTGCTGCAATCAGAGATAAGTGTGAAACATAAATTGTTAGAAATTTCATTGCAGAGCAACTTTGTGAGGGAGTTTCGGATATTGATAACGTAGAATATCTCTCATTCTAAGCTAGTGCTGAAAATCGCTCAACACGAGCTCGTATCAAGGCGCAAAGTAAGCCCAAAATGCAACATTTTCTATCTATGTACTATACTCTATGTATTTCTAGTTGTTAAAATCACTCAATATTCTGTTGTTTTGCATTGTTGATTCACTATGATTCCGAATCATTTGAAATTTCGCAGCTGATTAGTCGCGATTTTTTGGTTGAGACATTTAGTTGAGACATATTGATGGGATCAACTACAATGCCATCAGCTTGAGGAGTTTCACCCAGAGAGGAGAACACAGCTTGAAATAGGGGCTACAGTTCAGAGGATGCTCAAGTATTCGTGAAGTGAAACTGGGCGGAATTGACTATCCTGTTTTTGGAGATAAATATTTTTCAATGTAATTTTGATTTCTCAATGGCGCATGCTAGTTGCTATCGAAACGGCAGGCCGGAAAGTTGCAAAATGCACAGAAAAGGAAAAAAATTCAAAAGAATGTATACACTAGATACTAGAATTGGTAGGCTGGTGCTTCTTTTCCTCTCTATTTCTTTCCCTCTCCAAGGCTTTACTATTAATAGCTGGCAGGGATGGAAAATCTACCCACGAACACTGTGTATGAGCCTTTTCCTGCATATAGTACTCCATGAGAATTCTAGACTATTTTGATTTTTATATGAAGCGTCTCACTTAAACACGAAGCACCATAAACCTGACGGGGCCAAGTCAAAACGAAACTGAAACTCGTAACCTCATGATATACTCATTCCATCTCTTTGATAGGCACTGTCATTGCATATACTCGAGAGAATGGTCTCACAAAGATGAGGGTGCAGTCAATAAAAGTAACGAATCTGACGCTTCCAAGCTTTTGTTTGGTCTCATATACTCGTTAAAAAACATTTCAACAAAACTTGGAACTCAGGCAAATACCACTCAATCTCAAAACTTATTAAAGTCATTTGCTACTCAAAATTATAGAATACACTTGTATGAAACCGCATCTGGGTTAAGATTTGCACTTATCAGTGATGTAGGATTAGACAACCTTCAAGCGGTTTTACATAGGATTTACACTGAGATATATTTGCGCACTGTTGTGCACAATAGTTTATCACCTATTGATTTCAGAGCAGGTGAAAAAATCAGTAATAGTAACTTTATACTTGAAGTAGACAGTTTGATTCAGGGATTGTCTGTGTTTCAGTAACTTCGAGTATTGCCTGGCTTCACTATGAAACTAATTTTGCTTTGAAACGAATCTGCCACATTAATATGTAGGTTGAGCTCCTAACAGTGGCACCTGATCATAAAAGCAGTCAATTGCCCCAGAGTTTACCAATTTAACGAACCGAAATGAGAAATACACGAAGGATATATAAGATCTATAAAAAATCTTACCAATATAGTACTTTATTTTACAAAATACAGTATTTTGTTGTACAATATCTGAAATTCACTTGTAAGCCTGTAGCATATACTAAGTATATCTTTTTAATCGCATTGTAGGAAAAATATTCTGAATTGATGTGCGCAATTTCCTAATTGAGAAGATCCCGTTTACAAGGTTGCAAATAGTACTGTAGGCGTAATAACAGACTGGAATCAAGTTCTGAGTAATATTGTCTCTCTCTTCAGCCTCTCTTCAGCAATCTAAAACATGAAATTCATTTATCTTTTTACAATATTGCTTCCGGATCTTTTGTATCTAACAGGAGCAAACATGGAATTTCCGCTCTGCATTATCGATAGACTTGGTGTGCGGTTGTTGAGACTAGGTGTCTGGATGGCCGCCGATTTGCTGCACTTTTTAGAAAAAAAACTTCATCTATAATTGTTTACTAGATGGCCCCAAATTTTAGCTTAAAGTTGATAAAACCAGTCTTAGCGAGCCCACAAACCCTTATAAATTGAAAATTGTCAACTTCCATGCTCTTGGGCGTACCGTATGGAAACAAATAGAATCATGACACTACTTTGACTACTGATAAATACACCATACGGCCGTAACTTCCGTGTCCGCGGCCCGGTTTCCGATTGGGGTTTTCTGCAAAAAAAATCGGCAAGCCGACTTTTACACCTGTACACCGCGATATGGATTATACGAGATTATACATATTTGCTAGAATGGCTCACGGCATTAGCAAAAAAAAAAACACCAAAGGAAATATATAAAACGGGCTTTAAAAGACGTGAAAGGTAATCTGGGGGACGTGAGGAGTCCAACAAGCAAATCTACCAAAGAAAATTCCTGGTCTTATTAGAAAAACTGTAGATAAACTTGATTTTTGTAGATAGAATAGAATAATTAATCGCGATGCCTCGTCCTCAATATATAAAGAGCTTGCCGCAAGAGATAGGAGTTGTAACTTCTGTATTCTTGGCCCAGTTCCTTACCCAGTCTGGTGTGACTATGTCATTAACACCTATGAATATAGTGTTGGAAGCTTTCAACGCAACAGATAATGCTTCGGCCTCAGTATGGTTTATGGGTGGTTATTCTCTCACAGTCGGAACTTTTATCCTCATCTCCGGAAGACTTGGTGATCTCTTTGGATTGAAGAAAATGTTTCTTTTCGGGTGGGGTTGGGTTGCTACGTGGTCGTTGATCTGTGGGTTCTCTGCATATGTGAAGTCAGATAAGGCTGTTATATTTTTCATCATTTGTAGAGCATTCCAGGGTATAGGATTTGCCTTTGCATTACCTTGTGGTTTGGGATTGCTAGGATACATGTACGAGTCTGGTGAAAGAAAGAACGTCGTGTTTGGTATTATAGGAGCCGGGGGACCCACTGGAGCTACAATGGGAGCCGTCATGGCAGCTGTTATTGCACAATTGGGATGGTGGCCATGGTGTTACTGGGCGATGAGCATTACAGCTGTCGTTGCTGGAACTATTGGCTACATCTCGATCCCGGTACTTGATTTGAAAAAACCAAAAGAAATCAGCGATGATTATCTTGCGGAAGATGCCAAGTTCAGAAACCTTCGTATTATTCTCTCTGAGGTTGATATCTTGGGTTCTGTCACTGGGGTTTGTGGACTTGTATTGTTTAATTTCTGCTGGAACCAGGGTCCTGTAACTGACTGGACAGCATATGTTATTGTACTTCTTGTTGTTTCCGTCATGTTAATAGTACTTTTCTTTTGGCTAGAGTTAAAGTATGTGAAAAACCCATTGCTTCACAAGTCGATTTTCAAGGTGAAGATTGGTTTAGTTCTTGTCTGCATAAGTCTTGGTTGGGGATCATTTGGAATCTGGCAGTATTACTTCTTTAATATTTTGCTTAATTTCAAGCATTACACACCGATTAGTGCCAGTATTACATTCCTCCCACTTTTCTGTTTGGGGATATGTGCTAGTACATTGTGCAGTAAGATTATCTCGAAAACAAGGCCCTCATATATCATTTGCTTTGCCACGATTTGCTTTTGTTGCGGAGATATAATGCTTAGTGTGACTCCAATCGATCAATCATACTTTAGATTACTTTTTGGGCAGATGTTCCTTTTAGCATGGGGAATGGACTTGAGTTTCCCAGCAGCATCTATCATTTTATCAGATTATTTACCTCCGCACCATCAGGGTATGGCAGGCTCACTTGTGTCCACAGTGGTTAACTATTCGGTATCACTTTTCTTAGCCATTGGTTCATTAGTTGAATCTGAAGTGAAGAAGAAGACTGATGATGAATTGTATAGCATAAGGCAAGCATTACACTTTGCCATAGGTATTTCTGGATGCGGTGTAATATTCCTGGTTGTCTTTGTCTTCTTGCAAAAGAGAGATAATGATTCAGGGACTAAAGTTGGAAACCTGGAGCTGAGTAGCATTGTTTACTCAGACAAGACGGAAGAGATTGAAGAAACTCCTGCTGCTGCATTGGAGACTGGAGCTGCAAACTTAAATAATGGGATGGCGTAAATAGGGTTATGTACAGTAGAGTTATAGAAATAATAAACCGGCATATTATATCTCTTAGTGTTTCAGAAGAAAAGGTGTAGGCGATTTGCGAGATCCTATTTCAGGATACTTTTGTTTTCAACTGAAAGCCCCAGCACTAGTTTACCCATAATGGGACCGACTTGACAACAGTGTGTTTCCAGCATGAGCTACTAGAAGAATACGATGGAAGCTGGCTGCAAATTAGAGCTGTACTAGACATTGTACCAGCAGTCTGCGTCAATTCACTAGTATTAGCAAACGGAAAATGCCCAAAACTGGCCAACTATAACTCTGCTACCCTCAGCTTGTATAAATTTTACCTGTAGGACTCAAAGTCTTCTATGCACCCAAATATTCGAGACAGAATCGACCAGCGACCCATCTAAACCCCACACAAGTACACAGCGAGATATTGCAGCACTATTTTTTGTCGTGCTCCAACCGAGCTCAGTACGCTTTACTTTTCTGTTTGACGTTCTTTTTTTTTTTTTCCTGGCCAGAGAACGAAATTTGAAAACAGCCGGGAAGAATTATCAGATAGGTGAAGCTTACTTTTGAATTCCTTCGATCAATCAATCAATCAATCGACCACTTCTTATCATTATAGACCCAGGGGCCATCCATAATAGAAAGATCCCGAATACTGTAGATCGATACCCTTTGTTGAGAACACTCTCCCACTTTCGTAATTCTTGAGCTGCCCATACTAAATCCTGGAGCGAGCATTTGGAAAAGTGAAAGTCGCGCTGCTAATAGAGAAATTACTATAGAAAAGTATAGACAAGCTCGCCAACTTACCGGTAAGTCGATCATAATACACACTAGAATCGGGCAATAATACGCACGCTTATACCAATATCACTCATACATTTTACAACTTTGCACATAGACACACTTATTCCCCCATAACTGCTGCTGAATCTCACACAAATGTCTCTTCCATCAAAACCAAATAGCCACATAGAACTTGAAAATCATATACGAGAGTTTCAAAATAAACTTGGGAATGACTGGGACAAGTACCAGGAAACGTTGAGTTTGTTCCTTATTGGAAAATTGTCCAGAAATGAGATGGTTGATATCATAACGCCAATCTTGAAAGGTGCCACTGGTGGTGCCAAACCTGCACACAACCTTGTTAAGTTCCATAATAAGCTTCTATTGATGAATTTTGCAAATTCGTTGAAAGATGGACCTTTAGACCCGAACTCCGAGTTTGCGTCGTTTTGGAATAAGAAGAATTCTGTAGGGAAGCCGAAAAATGTAAAATCTTCCCAGTATGAGAAGTTCAAGCAGAATATTATGGGATTGCCCATCCGAGAACGTAGGAGAATCAAGAATATTTCAAGAGAATCTGGTAAGAAAGGTAAATTGAGTGCACTGATAACGCTCACCAGACATTCCATGTTACCAAAGATTCCCATGATTCAAGATAAGCAACAACAGCAATCACATGTAAATAACTTGGTGCAGTGGCAGCAAGATGTAGTCAATGGTATAAATACTCCGATTGCGACTGATAATTATGAAATTCCAGACTATGATAACTTGAGTACTAGAATGATTATGATTATGAGAGAGTATGGATTAACAGGGGGGTTGAACCCTCAAGTCATGGAAGTTTTATTGCTTGGGTTGGAAGTCCATCTTAAGAACATCGTAGAGAGTGCAATTGACGTTGCACGTTATAGAGAAACCAAGTATGCTAGCAATGATTTTTTGGGCACTGGGGATGGGAACATATTCCCGGGTGCACCACTGTCCACTGCCCTAAATGGATCATCATCTTTAGATGGTGCTCTTAATGGAACCATGTCGCCGGATGGCGGAGAAAATGGCGGTGGTAACTCAGGAGTTTTTCCTTCCAATAGTAGTACCGCTGTTACCTCAGTATTGAACGCAAATAGCAGTGCTGTAGCCACAAGAGAGGATGAAATTTCTCAAGAGAGAAAGCGCCAAAAAGTGACCCTTAATGCTGAGGATCTTTTCGATACTTTGGAAATGTTTCCCCATTTGATAGAACCGAACGGTCCAAAATTAAGATTATCAAACGTTCTACTTCAAAATGATGATATGGTCAAAGCAGATGAGCTTGACTACGAGTTACCACCACGATTTGAACTCTTAGCTGCAGCGCCACTGACTCTATTAACAAATGGATCTATAAAGGAAGAAATCGAGAAGAATGGAACTTCTGATAAAACAAATAAAGACGACAAGGAAGCTGCAGAAGAGACCGAAAAAGATTTAAAGAAGGCAGGAGACCCAATCGAAGGTAAGTCTGAATTAAAAACATCTGGAGACAAAGACGTTAAAACTGAAGAAGCGACAAAAGGCAGTACATCGCTTATACCACAAGTACCGCAGAAGCAAGAATCTCACATTGGTACAAATGACGAATTGAAATGGCTACTTCACGATTTGATATCGACTATATAGAAGGTAATAGCTACATTGTATTATATTAGCCCATTAACATAAAGGCACATATTTTTAATGTAGATCTCTTTTTGTGATGGTGAAGTCAAAGAAGACTTTAAGTACAGATGAAGTGGGGTATCTACATTGTTTGTTAAAATAGCTGCAAGCAGCTTATGCATTTAATGATTCTTCGGAAACAGTAAGAGTTCTATGTCAGTGCAAGACAATTGCTAACCTTGTAAGAGGAATCGGTGTTGTTCAACATATCGCACACTTCCACTATTTGCTTGACATTTTCTTCCTCTTCTGGCATTGAAGAGATATTTAAGAACTTTGTTTTCTTGTACATAAAGCTGACTAGCTTTGTCTGAGGTAAAGTAGAACTTGGGACTGAATTATTTCCTTGAAAAGATGGAAGAAGAGGCTCCCGAAGGATGTTGCACTGACGAAGGTATGGAAGTGAAGTTATATCAAGGTAAAAAACAGCAGCTTTAAATGTAGCGCCAGACGAGTCATGAGCGTTAACTAGTAGTGTATAACAATTGGAGCTCGACGACTGTAGCAATTGTTCAATTGAATCTGTATGGCATGGAAGTGAATGGCTGTCAGAATAGGACATATTTTCGCTCAATTGAAAATTGAAACTCCATCCTAAAATTGCTTCAGATTTCTTCTTGATTGCATTATAGTTTTGCTTTATTGTATTTTCGAGAGCGTTGGGTTGCCCAGCACCGGAAATTATCACAGAACAGTCATTACCAAGCAAGATACAATCAACAACTGATGTGACATAATCAATGATCAACAGATTTTGATCTGATTTAAATACTTTATTAAATGAAAAAGAATTCAACAAACTGTTATGTTTATCATCGCTTTCACTTACGAAAACTCTTAGCTTTCCTTCGTAATCCCAAATTGAATTCTCCAATTTTCTCTTGTTATTCTCCTGATTTAAATACCTGTCTAATGACTCGCCATGAGATTTTCTCACTCGGTTCATTTTGCTTTCCCATTCTTCTCTTTTATTCAATACGGTCGACAACGTATGCATTACTTGATCCTTTTTGGAATTTAAGAGTTGCTTAATCGACGAATAGTTTTCTATTTTTGTTTCGATATTTGACCTACTTTCCTTAATTCTAGTCAATTCCGTTTCCTTTTCCTTAACCTGTTGTTCTAGGTTTTTATGCTTTGCAAGTACCTCTTCTTCCAATATTTTCTGATTTGAGTCGTATTTCTCGCCCAACTCTTTCGATTTTGCAGTTTTCTCCTTAAGAAAATTATCCAATTTACGGTCTAATTCTCCAAGCTCTTGCTTGATCACTTGCTGCTTCCTCTTGGCAGTTTCATCCAATTGTATTTGTAGTGCTTCACAATCCCGATTTAGTCTTTGAATTTGTTCTACGGTGCCCTGTTCCTTAAAGTTTCTAGCAACCTTTTTCTCTTCTTGCATTTGAAATTCCAATTCTTCTAAAGAATCTCTTAAATTGTTCAGAAGTTGCTCAATTTGAATATTTACAAGTTTCTCTTTATGGTGTACATTTTTCATGATCTGATCTTCCAAGATTTCAAATTCCTTATTTTTGGAAACGATTGATAGCTGAGTTGTGGATATTTGCTTACTGAGTTTCTTCATTTCTCGTTTCAATTCTAATAAGTCAGTTTGGAGAGATTGGGAGGTTTCCATGGAAGAGCTTATTTGATTGGCAAGTACTTTAGAAGTTTCTTGAAGTGAAGTAATATCATTTGTATATGTTGATTCAAGTTTAGTCATTCTAGATCTAAGAGAATCAGATTGGAATGAAGGAAATGGAGATGAAGGTGAATGTGGGACAGAGGATTCAGGCACTAAGCTTTTATTGTACTTTGCAAGTCGTTTTACGTGCAGTAAATCAACTTCACCCGAGTTCACCGACAGCCTAGACCTCGGGATTCCAGTCACCTTCTTTGAATTTTGTTCTGATATTTCGTTCATTGAAGTAGAAGGGTGTGCTGGTGGTGGAGGTATTTTTGACGAGATCATAGAAACTGGTGAAGAGGGCGATTTTATTGATTTAGCTTTAGGAGACTCGCCTATGCCACTTACCATATCGAATCCTAGCGACAGTCTTCGTTTTCTGGGAGTAGAATCCACATTTGTGGTGTTCTGAATCTCTTCAAGCACCCTTTTACTAACGTTCATATCTGATGCTACACTTATGAAACAGGGTTGGAAAATTCAAGATGGAAGTTCAAAAATGTGGGATTTTTTTGGACCAGCCTCTACTTCTAGCTCAAATGTGCGAATTAAAGTTCAAATGGCGGCTTCAAAACGTAAAATATGTACTGCTTCAGTTCAATTCTAATGATAATTGAAAAAGGTAAACAATGATCCTAAAAACGTAAATAATGCAAACCCGGCTCGCTGGAGAGCAATATATGCAGGAATATCAACATATAGCTCGTTGCAGCCAAATTATGCATCGAAGGGATCTTACTTAGATTGTACGGACACATGAACTATACAGCATCATACGAGTAATTTCTACAGTAAATTTCATAAGTACTAATTCAATTTTAATATTATATACATAGTCCTCTTTCAGCTTTTCTTTTGATTTTATCCGATGTTTTTTTTTTTTTTTCCTTCCGTCCCATTTCCATCTAGTGCCAAATAAATACTAAATACATAAATACTATAAACATGTGAAAAGGATAGCGAGGATATTGTGCACCAACAGAATTATTCATGGGTAAAGACTGCTAGGAAAAAAAAAAGAAATGGAAATGAAGTGAAAAACAAAAAAACCTTCAAATCAGCCCTTCAGGATCACTAATTAAAGTCCTTAGATTGTAAGTTTCTTGTCATAGCTGGCAAAGCAACTCTTATACCGTCCAATTCCTTAGTCATCTTCACCTGGCATCCTAGTCTGGATGTCTCCGTCAATCCAAATGCCAAGTCGAGCATATCATTCTCATCATCATCCGGTTCCGGAATTTCGTCATATAACTCAGGATCCACGATGATATGACAAGTCGAACATGCACAGGATCCACCACAGGCACCTTCCATGTCTAAGTTATGTGCTTGAGCAATGTCGAGAATATTGTCACCTTCCGCCACTTCGAATGTTTTCTGAGATCCATCCTTCGTTATGAAAGTTATATGGAGCTCTTCGCCAGGTTTAGGTTTATGAATATGGCCATGGAAATTGGGCACCGAAGTCTGGAAAAATCTTTGATTTGCCATCATTGGGCGCCATACTGCCACTGGAGTATGCATGCGAAGATTTCTAGCACTTCTTATGGTACGAGACAACATCACTATAATATGCAAGAATCAAACAGTACTCAGATTGCTAGTCTTACTGTAGAGAAACACTTGGTGCCAACTTGTATTGAAACTTCCCAATCTTGATTATATTTTTTTTTTTTTGGTGGTTATTATTTTCCAATTCCGCATCGAAAGAAGCGTAAGCAAAATTGGCTACTACATTACTGATTGAAAGGTCGTGCGCGTGACACATCGGATGCTAACCGGTAATTGATACATGATGAATTAAAGAGTGTTGCATTTACGCAAGGTCAGTAGAGAGTGGATTAGACATCAGGTTAAAAGCTCCTTGCTTACACCTGTACAAGAGAAGGTAGATAACAGAAAAAAGAATTACCATTAACATCATTTATTATGTTTTATTCATTCTTTGTATACAAATTAAGCGCAGCTTGATTTCTAAATCATTATAAAATTAACCGAGATGATTTTCTTTCCTTATCAATTTTAAGTATTCTTTTTTTTATTATTTTTTATTTTATATTGTACAGTGTTATTCACGTCAATTCATTACCAGAACTTACTTGCTAATACCAAGAAGATCAATATAATCAATACTGCAATTATAGCATAACTAATAAACTTATTGGCAGTCATTCTCCTGGTCATCGTTTTCAATGTCTTTATACTCTTATCCACGTAGTTATCAGCCTGATCAAGAGTATTTCTAGAATTGGTAATTGTTTCTCTTTGGGATCTCAAATCGTTCAAAATGTTACCTCCGATGTTTTCAGTTTCAAGAGCAATTCTTTGACTGTCCCTAAGTCTCTGATTTGATCTTTCAATGGAACTATTGTTATTTAAAAGCTGCTTACGCTGGGAATCGTGGAGGCTCCCTCCTTCAGAATCAAATTCATCCAGATCCTTATACCTACTCCCAAAAAGTTCTCTTTTATCTTCATCGTCAAGCAATTGCTTCAACTTAGTTTTTGCTTCATCTACTTTAGCCTTATACTGGCGAATTTTAGTATTGTATGAAGATCTCTGACTAGATGGTAAGCTTTGAACCTCGATGTTCATCTGATCAATGAGTTCCAAGCATTCCTCCGTGGCTATTTCAACTGATTTTAATGCAGATTTTCTTTGAGCTATAAATATGGTTAGTTGATGAAATTTTAGATAATCCAAAGATATACTCTGTCTGTTCAAAGCGTCTCTCTGCCGGTAAAGTGCATCTAGACTTTCTCATATGCGCACCCTTTACAATTACATTTTTCCGTTGATGTGTAGTACCACTTCGTCATGTAATTACGCACTTGCAAATTTATTGAAGAAAATAAAGATCAATACCCACTTAGCTCCACTTGATTGCCCGAGGGCAACTAGAACTGCTTAAGAACAGCAAATAATAAATCTAATATGCATTGAAATCGCAATTGATACTTACCATCGTTTAAAGAAGTGATTTGTCCTAACTTGGAGTGAGCTTCTTGATAAGCTAGCTCAAAGTCCGATTCGTATGATTTGAATATGTCTGACATTTATATGGTGGGGTATGCTTGTGGTCAAGGCAAAGGAGTATCACTAAATTGAATTTCTTCCTCAAAACCTCAAAACCCAGAAAACATGCTACGATTATATACAGGATATTAATGATAGGGAGCTCACTTTCAAGAGGATAGAGCGGAATGGAAGAGCACCATATAGGTACAAAAGTTTATAAACCGGAATAGGAGAGCAGCACCTACTTCAAAAGTCGATGAAACACCAAGCTGTTTTCTGTAGTTCTGCTGAGCGAGCTGTGATATCTTGCACCTCTGAGATGAACCTATGGTTTGTCCACTCAAGTCTCGAATACTCTCGGAACATAAGTCACGTGGGAAGACCATGGATGTTAATACATTGAAACATTCCGCTGCCTGAGGTGACAGAATTTTTCAAGGCTCCATTCAATGCCCAATGCCTTCAGACGGTCCCCTTAAGGTAAAACGCTTCGTGGTGCTTCTACTTCCAATTAAAATGTCACAGTACACAAAACTGCGGAATAATGCGTATTACCCGCATGACGTTAAGGCATTCTTAGGTTGGTGTAAGACGTATGTTGGCATCTACGGCATTGTAAGTACTCCTATAGTGGTTATTATGCATACCTAATGCACTCATATACAGGACTTCGCTGAGAGGAATTAAGCGACATATTGCGGAATATTAAGAAACTTGTAGGGCGCAGAAATTCTACCACACAGTGATTTCCACCATTATGATTCGATTTCACATTCGGCATGTTTGCAGATATCACACTAATTATGCATATGTGTAGTTGTATTCGAATTAGACACGTGCCCATCAATTGGGGTTTCCTTTGATGTATTTCTGTTCTATAGTTAATGGCGTTTTCTATGCAAACAAGGCTTTTTAAAGCCTCGCTATTCATTTCTGCCAGATGGCTGTTATTCTTTGAAGTTGCATTTCTTTTTTTTCTGACATGTATCATTGCTGCACCATCATGTCATATGGATAGCCAACCCCTGTAAGCAGAAACCCATTCCGCAGAATCGCTTAATAATCAGGTAATAAGCTTGGTGCCTTAGCCAGTACGCAAGTCTAATATAGACTGTGCAATTGAGATTGTAATGGCACAGTGATAATTGAATGGCAGCGATGCTCCGTGCAACATAGCACAGTCCCAATTGATTGGCTAACTGGCAACCTGTAGAATAATTAGTACTGTTTTCCTGACGGGTACCATTTTTATTTCGGATTTTAGTACAGAATATGAACTACAAATCACCGAAAAATTTCATTGATGCACTTGAAAAAAAACTACTATATCAAAAGTGCCTCAAGTCAAAGCGGCTCGATCTTCTACAGTTAATTTTAGCTTCTCTAAAAATATTCCTATTAATTTTGAATTATTAAATATGTAAGCTAGCTAGGAGCTGATAGGAAAGCTTAAAAATCTATCAGTCATACTTTAAGATTAAAATTGCTCTTTGATAGCAACGGTCGGTAACTATATTTTAGCGAACCTATTGTTACGTGCGCAGCACGTTAGAATTAAATTATTAGTATGATTATGCATTGTGTGATAGCCGGATTAGGTAGAGCTAACCCATCTTTTATTACACCATCCCTTTACGGTGAATTGTGTTCTGGTTACTCCTGAACATGGCAGTTCTCCATTGCACAAATATTTCCCTTTCTCTAAAATACCTGCGGGTTTCACACATTTGTATGAACTTTTCAAATTAGCCCATGGTAGATATTCAGAACCATTCAATTTAATGATTGAATGATTACGAGTCATTCTGAAATGCTTCTCATCTTCTATTGATTCACCTTCAGAAGTCTCTTCTTCATCTTCTTCCTCGTCGTCTTCTTCTTCTTTGATGTAATTCTCATAGTTTATCCCTTCACTGGGCAATGAGTCGTTTCTAGCCTGTAGAATTACGTTTTCCCAAAGTTTATCTCGCGATAAATTTGAGACTTTGTTTAAATTATGTTTCTTATGGAATCTCTTGATTGCTGGCACGGATAAGAGCTCCTGGAACTCACCGGCTGTGTTGGAACTTGGTAAAAGTCCATTTACACGAGAATTGAAATCAAATGTGTACATAATAAGGAACCTAGAATTTATGCGGAGTTCTCTGTTACGTATTGGTTTCGACTTGTAATGCGAGGGATTGAATGGGGTATTAGGGGCATTTGACGAGAACGACTGCAATTCCTCTTCTTCGTGTGTCTCGCTTGTTTCACTTTCACTTACACTTTCACTCGCAGTTTCAGTTCCATTGCTATTTTCGCCTTGGCTAGACTGCAAATGCGAATTGCCTCTGCCAAAAAAATCTGGCAACAAGTCGATCTTGAGGTAAGTCTGTAATATACTTTTTGAGTAGGAGGCAAATGCGGTACCGCTCTTACTCATTTTCTGCACCACGTTATTGCTATTATCTACATTTTGTGCTTCAAGGACTACGTTGTTGCTTTCTAAAATTTTCGCAAAATTAGCCGAACTCTTTGCAGTCTTCAATATGGGTGTTGTTGTAGTGACATTGATCGCCAGAATCTGCGATTGGGACGTCTTCTTATTCAAGATAAGGTACGAGCTACCTGGCAAGGATGATGTTGACGATGCAATGGATGTGTGAACCAGAGAGATAGAACCCACTGATGAAGATGTTAAACTACCTAAGGAGTTGGGGAACGAACTGTCATCTTCAAAGCTCTCACAAATTTCTTCTTCCAATTCTGACTCTTCGGAATCTACAAAATCAAGTGGGTGATACAAGTCATACCTGGTATTTTTTCGCTTATCATATAAATGTGTCTTTATACTATGGGACGGTATTGATATAGGCGTAGGACTTACTGCCACACTATCTTGATACGTAGCAATCATTCTTATTCTGCTATTCAATCTACTTCCTCTACGAGTTTTTCTCTTATCTACGCGACTGCTGCTTTTTCTAGTGGCCAAAATACTCTACTCTTATATGAATCGACTTATTTTCACACAGAACTTCCAATACAGCAGACGTACGTCAAATTGGAAAATGCCTTACACTTATACGTTAAGAATGGAATAAAACAAAAAAAAAAAAAACTTGCCAAAAAAATATGGATATAAAATAAAATAGAGAAAGGTGCATATGGGCCATGTATCTATTTTTTTTTTTTTTTTTGCCTTTTTCTTGTGCGTATTCTTATCTCTGAATTTAGAACAATCTGAGTTTCGGGTCAGCAGGATACCGTCATTTTGGATTTGGTTCCATTTTTCCTTTTTCTGAGTGCGGGATTTGCGCATTGAATTTCCGCATTAATTTCCCGCTTTCGACTCAACAGAGAAAAATGATACACAGCGAACGATTTCTTGGAGAGCAGTGAGGGGGAGCGAGTACCAGGTTTTGGTCGTAGCTTTGAAGGGTCCTTGGCACCTTTAAGCACTCTTGCGGATCAGATGTGAAGATACGAGTGATGGCTCGAATTTAGATGTTCTCGCCGTAGAGAAATTTCGTATGGTGCAGTGTGGGTTGCTGACCTGATTCACGCTTAACACTGTCACTATCACCGTTACTGTCTCTGTATTACTATTATTTTACCATTATTATTGTGAAAGCATGCAAGAAAATCTTCGTTCAAGCTGAAGAGTCATAATATAGAGAGGTGACCCTAATGCACCCCGAAGAAAATCTCCACATTTCGATTTCTACTACAAGATTTGTTTATTTTTTTTTGTTTTAGAATTGGGTGAAGTGATGCAGACTCTCGCACATATTGTGCTGATGGAAGACCAAACCGAAATAGTTAGCACATACTACTTATTTGGTTTTTTAACTTTTCTCTTCGGTTTTGTTTCTTCCTTCTGTTCCGTCTCACACACTCTCTCCTACATATCTTTTAATGAAAAAGGACCTTCCGTTGTCATCTGCTGAGCGTAGGGTGGTAGCAATCTTATCGTGGGAGACATATGCTCTCCCTGGGTCACTTTTTCATTGGCTTGATTCGCTCTAGCGCAAATTCCTAATCCATCTGGAATAGAAGAACCTGCATGCAACATCGTTCATTATTGTTCGATGGTTCTTTGTTCTGCATTTTATGTGACGCCCTAAAAGAAAAAGAAAAGAATCTCGGGGTATTCCGCTTTTATTATTTGAACATGCATGGAATACAAAATCAAGGTCCACGCTAGCCTTGGTGTTCAGTTAACCATATTGAAGGGTCTGCCTGTCCTTACCGAACCAGTTTCCATTTCTTATAATTCCCCAGTTCCATGGCAGATCGCATTACAAGCTATCTGGATCGTGCCATCAGAACAGTAGCATGCTTTTCGTGAACATTTTCCTTTTCATAACACGACCAGAATGTGTGGAACTCGACGCCCCGACCCCGAAAATTCTTCTAACATTTCTTCACTACAGTATTTCAATTCGGAGCCAACCCCTTCCTTTACTCCTTCCTTTTTCTCTCCTTAGGAGGGCATGTCTACACGTATAAAATAAGCCATGAGAAATAAAAAATAAAAAGTACGCTTGGACTTTCTGCGGCTTTTGATCTGAAGCTTTATGATTTTGGGGATGCCCAATTTCAGAGCATTGAACGCCGTGTGTTTTTGAAGGCTTCTGCGAGTTCAGATCCAAGCATGGAAGCTGACCTATTGCTTTCTAGAATTAACATTTTTTGATAAGGCGTCGTTCATAGTATCCCGCAAATCGTCATATTATCTAAAAGCATGAATATTCCTTTACATATTCCTTCGCTTTCACCTACCACAACCTTAAAATAGAACCACATAAATGTGGCATGGGCGTACACATAAACTCTAGCTGCGTTAATTTCTGGAACCATTGTAATTTATCATTCTCTTGTCATAATTTTATTAAAATAAATTGTTATATTAAGCAGTAACTGCTAAATATTCTATATACGTTATAAGGGTACAGGCATCGCAAAATGCAGCAGCATTTGAAAGAGGTGCAACGTTTTCTACTTCAAGATTTCCAATAATATCTAGCACTGAGAAATCTCTGCAAGTCATCTCTTGACCTATGGAAAACTCTTGGGGTCCTCTCCTTATAGTACCGCTGAGTTTGGTGAAACGTTGAGTTTCCTCCAAAATTTTTGTTATTACTCTATTCAATGTCAATTCGTAATGCTCTTCATTTGAGCTGTTCTCTGTACCTTATTCTTTTTTGCGATCATGTATTGTCACTTTCAGTATGTTCTTTGGGGCGTCGTCTCATAATCTAAATCATCCAAATCATCAAGTTCAAAATTGTCATTCGTATTTACCCCATGCTGTTGATCAAGATAAACATAGCTGTTCATCTGTTGTCTTCCATTGTCTTTCTTGCCATAGTATTCATCGAATAACTTATCTATATCTTCCAATTCAATTCCCTTCGTTTCGGGGTAAAAGTACCAGACAACAACCACCGAAATAAGACAAAAGCACGCGGGAATAATATACATCGCCCATCCAATGGATTCTTGCAAGATTGGGGTTAATTGACCCACTATGTAATTCGCTAACCAGTTGGAAGCGGTAGATAATGATACACCCTTGGAACGGATTGAAAGTGGATACACTTCTGGAGGGATGAGGAACCCAATAGGTCCCCAACTGTAACCAAACGAAGCATTATATACAATGACCAAAAAGGCAACACTTGAAGGGGTATAACTCTTATCCATAAACATGACAATGGCGATAAGTGATAAACACACTGCCATAGATAATCCTCCGCTTATCAATATAGGTTTCCTACCCCATCTATCAACAAGAAACCAAGGAGGAATGGTTGATGCCAAGTACACTAGCCCATTGATCCCGGTCATGAGTAATGCGTTGGAATCGTTGAAGCCAGCTTCCTCAAAAACCATGGGCGCGTAGTATGAAATAATATTGATTCCATTAAACTGAGCAAAAGCCAAAGCCAGACATGCAATTAAAATTCTACTCAAATAGTTCTTGAACATATGCCTGTAGGTCCTTTCCAGCTTAGGGATTACAATTCTTTCATGTAAAATAGAATTTTTAATCATAAAAAACTCTTCTCTAGGTTTGTTGCTATCTGGAGCCAGATCATACAATAACGCCAACACGTGGAAGCCCTGTTGGTCTCGGTCTACATCGAGGAGCCATCTGGGACTTTCCACTATGAACAAACCTCCAATGAACAAGACAATGGCAATAAGTACTTGAATGAAAAGTGGCAACCTCCAAGATAAATGTGCCCAAAAGGAATGCTTGGGGTTCAGTCTAGCGTCACCGACATTCTGCAAAAAATAACAGAAGTAGTCGACCCAAACCAGTAGGCAGTACCCACATATATTCCCCGTGAATTCACCACATACCAATTTCCCTCTTTCTTCCAGAGGAGAAATTTCACATTGATATGAAGGAACAATCGTTGATAATATTCCTACACCTATCCCTGAAAACACCCTTCCTACACCAAAAACAAATAAATTGGTCAGAAAAGATTGCAAGGTACCACCAATTATGAATATGAAAGTACCCAACAATATAGTCCGTTTCCTACCATAGAGATCCAGAATCTTGGAAACGGCCAATGACGAAAGCATTGCACCTATTTCCAAGATCAGAATGACAATTCCGATCTGCGCAGCAGTCGGATCATTGAAGTAGGCATTGAAAGTTACGTAGGTAAGAATACCGGAGCACACCCCTTGTTCATAACCGAAGAGTGAAACAAACAACGAGACAAAGGCAGACGTGAAATACACTAATCTATTGCCTTTAAACTTGAGTTTGGAAGTATAGAGCTTCGAATCAAAATCTACTTCATCATAAACCTTCCCATATTGGTCTGTGAATGAGTGTGGACCATTAAAGGTTGGGACTTCATTACCATCCGTGAATGGGTTATTGTCACTACCGGATGAATTGGAACCAAATTTAACCAGACTTTCGTCTTCATCATCTTCATCATCAGAGAGCCTTAGTTCATGACCCCCATCAAGAAACGTCCTATCGCGTCTATGTTCAGGATTAGAATTCCCAATCGTAGCTTGAATAGGTGCTGCTCCTCGTCTGGAGTTGGACGTGGATGTGGAGATCGCAGATCTAGCAGGAGGTTCCGCATCCAACAATAGCCTTTCGTTTAAGTGTTCTTCTTGTTCTAGTACCATTTCTACGTAATATGCTCGAGATCCACTAACCTTTAGTACTTCTTACACGAACTACAGCCTGTATCGTCTTGTTGTGAACTAACCGCAAGCTTAGACTGCTGTTCACAAGGGAAAAGCAGCAAAAAATAAAGCACGTGCCAGTATATGCAGGTGCACACGATAAGAAACGAATCACGAATTTATTTTGTGGGGACGAATATAAGCGACTCCGCGAAGAAGACCGGCAGAGGGATTGAAGAGGAGCTGCTCGTCTTAGCTTTAACTCAATGGTTCAGTAGCATTAGCTGGATTGGACTAGAAATCAACGATTGTAGTAGATACAGCGAAAACATTAGAGTACAAATTTATTTATTTTACTGGACCAAGTGTAATGTTTGTACCGTGTAACTCTACGTACTAAGTATGGAAAATTTTGTTTCAAATCTGTTGGTTAAGCGCAGCATGCTTGAGCTCTATGTAGTTTCGCTTTGTGCGATACACTGGTGTGGCCGCAGCTTACTATATCTCTATGTGGTGTCGATATATCTTCTGTTTCTACTTTAATTCGGCCACTAGCCGACTTTAGTTGGCTATAACAACGTCGAATATGATTGGACATGACATGACAAAATGCTGGAGAGACTACAGCTCGCGTGCATATTCACGCATAGTGGTCCAAATAGTTTCATTTATTATTTCGTTAATGTATAGATAGTATTTAAGAGCACCAGCTTCGGCTGACTTTTTCGATCCTATTGTTCATTGTTCATTGTTTCTTACTTTTACAGGTTTGTACTTACTAATAAGTACAACAGGACATTCCTTTTAGTTCTAAATTTCGAAGGTATGGTTCTGCGATAGTGAATATTTCAATTTTTTTCATTTATTTTATTTTAGTAATGCTTTGACAACCCTCCAGAGCTTGAAACAGACTGTGCAGGGAAGAGTTTCCTAATAAATATTTTCAGGGTACAGCTTTCTTACTTCTTTTGCTTAACAGGTTGCTTCCTTAAATAACTTTCAATGTAGAAAGCACCGAAAAGGGCGGTCAATGGCGCCAAATATGCGACATTGATGTAAAGTGGGAATGCTCTTGTAGATGATTCTAAGCAGTGTTGTAATTCACCGGTTTCCAAGTTAGTATACTTCAAGAAGACGTAAACAATGGCTCCCGATCCACCTACAATAAATTGAGTAATTTGCATGGATGTCAAAATTCTCTTGAAAATAGTTGGTACCCTAATCTTCAAACAACTCAATGTGAAATAGAAATACATCAAGGTGTGAATAAATGAGTTGAAGACTACGAAAATCCAAATTGGAGGAGATCTATATCTAATCCCTGACCACATACACATCATTGCACCTGCATGGTGATAGCTCTGCAACAAAGAAGATGGTCTTCCCTTGAGCAAAATAATAATTGTGTCCAACACTTCATAAAACTTAGACATGTAGAACCAAAATCCATAGTAAGATAAATTTTTCAATGGCAACTTATCAGAGAATATTCCCAGATCCAAATCACAAACGGCTTGAACCATTTTAGAAAGCTTAGGATGAGTTTCGTCCACTATATACTCTTCATATTGTTTCGCGGTTTTTCTTAAGGTGTAAACCATACCCACAAATGTCCATGCTGAATAAATACATAAGAATACATTATGAAGAATTACGAATAGTTTGAACCACCAGGTCCTTGCAATACCATATGGGGCAGCTGGAAGTCTCTTGCTAGCAGCAGCAGCACCATTTTTTTCGTTTAATTTCTGTTGCAAGCGCAACTGTCTTTTACGAATGATAGGGTTGATAAAATGAACGAATGAAAAATATACCAAGGCGATGGACATCGGCGTAGATGCCTTCATGAACAAATCATAAGTTTGATTTAAATACTCATTTTTGAATGGAGAAGGGTAGAATGGTGTATTCGTCTCCGGGAACAGGAGGAGCGAAGAGCTTGGCCAAGAGATTTCCACAAACGGCATCTTACTAATTTCAACGAGTGTAAGGTCTATACTGTACTATCCGTTTCAACTCGGAAGGAATTGCTGTTATTATATAAGAGTATAGATGATCAAGGTTCGGCACCATCTTTGAGAAAAGAAAGAAAAAAAAAAAAAAAAAAAAAAACCCATGTTAGTCCCCAAGAACCCAACAAAGGTGCAGGGATGGCTCGAGAGATATACAGGAGATAGCAGATAAGACATTTCTTGCTATATTCTTTTGCAATATTAGAAAGCTGTCACAGGATCTAAGAGACGAGGCTGTAGAGACTAGTTTCCAGAGGTACTATCACTACACAATTATTGCAAAATTTGTTTCGTAGAGTTTGTTCCATTGAGTTCACTGCACCCTATGCGAATTTTTGGGTTATAGAAAATCTGGGCTGCATAAAATATACGGTACATAAGAAAAGAGCAAATAGGAGGAGCCGGGCCAAGGTCTCAATTGCGAGGAAACCAAACTTTGAATTGCGTCTCTCTTCCTTCTGGATCGTCCCTCGGATGCTAGGTGAAAATTTCTAGTGAGCCTTGAGTAGTCCTTTATCTCAGAAAGCGAGTATTTCATTTACGAAGTTCCTTACGTAAACCCCACATAATGAAAATTTGAATTTTGGAGCCATCGCATTGGAGAATTAGCACAGAATAGTATTCAATATTTTATCACGGATGGACTCATAATTGTTATGCTAACGGTTAATTTTTCTTGCAAAATATTCAGCTTTATACTATTTTGTTTATGATATTCGTTCACCCCATTAGCATTAGGCAATAAATGGGCTCAACAAAACGCTCCTGGCCTTTCCAATGTTCTTTTGTATATCCTGCAGCAACGGTGCGGCTGAAGAATTGTTGCAATCTCAAGATCAAGGGATTGCTAAAGCAGGTGAAGAGATGAATCATTAATGCAACCATAGAATAGAATGGCTGGCGATGCATGCTTACTATTTCACTACAAGTGTTCCTTTTCATTGTCTTTCGTCGTGTTGATATGCATATTTATATACTATTTTGAGGCCACCTACTTGGCTACAGCCTGGCTGTTGTTTGTAGTCTTGGACATGTTTTTCCTATATTTCTTCTTTTGATTGTGATTCTTCGATTGATTTGCCTTGCTATTTTCTAAGTGTGTGTTTGTAATCAACTTAAGTTTCTTTATAGGACTCACGTATTGAGAAGGCTGGTAGTCTGGGGTATCCACAATTCCATCGTATTCGTAGTTTTCCTTGTCTAAGATAAGGAAATTCTTCAGTCTCAAGTAGCTTTTCAACTCCGAAACAGCACGATCGATCTTCGTTTTTTGCAGTTTTTCTTCCTGTTCTTCTCCTTCGCTTACTTGACCATTATTTTCATCCCAGTAGTGAATTAACATCAGATGATAGGCTGGTTGCTCAATTCTACTAGATCCTTCCAAAAACAGACTAATCTCACACCCTAACATCAACTGAAATGGGTAAACGATATTGTTCACGAAGTCACTATTGGTAGCCAGATTTAAAATCAAATCAGCGAATTTCCCGGGCAGTTGTGAGATTTTCAATCTATAACATTTTGGTAAAAGTTCTGCAATTTTGACAGCTGCTTGCTTGGATTTGATATCGGCACCCTTGATCTTGAAAGTTAATTCCTCATTCTCTCCAAAATCATTAAGAGATTTTGGAAAATCTATGAATGTATTGGTCGACTGTTCAATTTCTAAAATTGATGCCAAACTCTTTTTGCAATCATTTTTGATTCCTGCATTAAGTAACATACTGTACTGGTGTTTCAAGATCTTGAAATGAGTAGTTAAATAGGTTGTTGAGTTAGGATAAGATATAATGTTCTTGGCGCAACACTGATAAACCAATTCATCTATTTCATATTTGACTAATCCAATGTTTTTGGCATTCTTGTTAGGACACTTAATAAGTACATTATGGTTCCTCTTAAGCGAATACTGCATGTGGTTTGGTACCTTCTCGCCTTCCTTCGAAAATTTATCGTTCTTACTACTAAATTTGATGAAAACGTTATACTTCTTCATGATGGATTGAATAATTGCCCCACCATTTCCAATAATCGATTTGTGAAATACTTCAGGGATATTGAATGTAAGTTCAGCAGGGAGTTCTAGCTTTATCAAGTTTATTCCTCTTAAGAGGAGCGATAAAACTGGACTAGCACTTCCGTTTGAAAGCTCTGCCTCTCCTCTATTGACGACTAAGTTTATCAAAAAATTGTACTCATTCAATGGTTCGAAGTTGACAATTGATTGATTAGTGTAGTCTAATTGATTGAGAACTTTTAAAATTTTCCCATTCTTTTTACCACTGATGAAGTCCCTTTGTGTGACATTCAACTCAAGTGAAAGGGTAGCAGATTTGATGGAATTATGGTTCAATGGTAAAGTTCCAATTAATCCTTGAATAGCATTGATCACATCCTTCTCCATACCAATAATCTCAACTAAATTATCATTAGAATTTATGTAACATGTTTTCATTGTAGTGGTGCGACATATTTGGAACAAGTGCGAATGATCAAAGCTATTGGTGTCAATACTAACCTTCATATAAAGACCACATAATAAACTGAGGTCATTGATAGCATCGTTTACGGAGTCAATGTTGGAGCCCTGCACTTTAATCATTGATCCCGTGTTATTCTCGTCAATGTCATCCAATTCACCTAATGAAGGAACTTGAATAAACACTTCATTCTTAAACATAATTCGAAGTAAGTCATGCTGGTTTGACAACGTAATCAACTCCAATTTTTCTTTAGAAACCGGTATTTCCTTGATAACAAATGGTTTGGTCTCGTTTTGTCCCGTCTGTAAAACACTATTTTGAATATCTTCAACTAACTTCTTTGTCAATAGCATACTTGGAATACTTTTCGTGGTGATATAGATTGGTAAGCTGCTGGTTGACGATAATACGTTAGAGTTAAACAATTCTGGTAATAAATCGGGAACGTAAATGTTACAATTCAGTTGACTAGCAATTTGATTGAAATTGAACAAGTCTACTCCTCCAATCAATGGTAAAGTAGACAATTCAATGTCTACGGAATCCACATACAGATCTTCCAATAACGTATTGATAAGAATTCTTATTTGAGATTCCATTACGGTTATCGTATCTTGATTTCCATAAATCGTAAGCATTCCATCGTTTTGCATGATATACTCTACTTCATATTTCATGCTTAACTCATCCACCATCTTGAAGAATTGTGAGCTGACTTGCAACTCATTGTCAATTAGCTTTTGAATGTGTGCTGCATTCAATTCAATGCATTTATACACCTGATGATTGTAGCATTTCATTATCTTATTTTTGGCAAATTTTATGTATTCTTTCAGGGTGCCGATGATCTGTATAGTGATAAGTCCTCCGTTAACACTGTAGTTATTGTCCTTCAAAATTGTGACTGTCCCACCGAGCAGTTGTTCATTGAGTCTGTTGACTACCTGTTCAATTGGGTGTAAGTTGTCAATCAAAATTATGGAATCATGACCACCCGTTCCTCTCCACAAGGAAGCCAGCTTACTCTTGGAGGATTGACAAAAGATTGAAGAAACACCTTGAGGGTATAACAAGCAAGTGTATTCTAAGTTGAACGAAACAGACTGCATTATGAAGAGGGAATGCCTATGTTTCTATATATAAAATAATCTAAATAAGTTAAAAGGGAAACTACTAATTTACTGAAAGAAGATGATTATATAAAAATCATGGGGTTGCATGTCTAAGGTTTTTCATTCTGGTAGTTCGAATTTCCATCGGTAACTTCGTACTTCCCTTACCGTTTAGGTTCCGTTTGTTTACCTTTATGTACATCATCTCTTCCCAATTAGGATAATTCGAAAATAAATATTGAAATTTTGACTGTGTTATATGCAGGCCAACAACCCCATAAGTGCACCGTTGATCGAATAAGGGTCCTGTGTTTAGCCTAGAAGGAGTATTTACTGTTGGAGCAGATTACTTGTATTGCTATTGTACTTTCTTAAACGTTCTGCAGGATACTGAATTCCCTTTTTTTTTAAAAAACTTACTTCAAATGTGCACTTCTTGTGCACTCATTTCGTCACTAAAATAAAATGAGTGCCTGATGATTTCCCAATTGTTGCGGTGGATACTCAAGTCCCAAGAACGGATTTTAAACATTTCACTGTAAGTTGGAAAGGGAAATCTAAGAACGTAGCAGATAAGTGTAGAAATATGCAGGAGTGTCTTGTCACATTCTTAAGAGATAATATAACATTCAACAGACAATATTATCAGCCTTAGCCAGATTCTCATAATGCAGAGAAATTCGCAGCCAGTCCAACAAGTTGCAATCTAAGACCAATGAGCTAGCGGTAGAGCTGATCACTACATAACTTCCAGTAACTGAGGTTCAAAAGATAGAATACAGCTTTTTTTATTGGCTTTCTGTTAAATAATATGTATTAAGTATTTAGTTCACTCGTACTGGAAGACTTCAATGTAGACAGGAAGATTCTCCCATAAAAAGTAATCGTTGTATAGTTCTGCTCTCAATTCTCTTCTCCTCCTCCCATAATGCAATATCCCACTACCCACTCTACGGTTTTGGCTATTTTATAATCGCTTTGAATCCCAGACATACACCATTTCGTCCCAACCTGTGCTCACAGCCCAGCCAGGTTCACCCCACAAACTGTAGTCACAGCCCACAGTGAATTCTTTATGAGCTCTCATTACTCCCTTGCATGCACCATCACCCACATTCAAAAATCTTGCACGTTCGTTGGACTTATCCTGCCATACTCTACATGTCATGTCATAGGAAGTACTCATCAATTCCTGCGAATCATGTGGTGACCATAAGACTTTTCTTATCGCGAAGTCATGGCCCAACATCTGGTTGAGTGGTGTAGGACCCCTCATATGGTACGCAGGCATTGGGGCATTTGACATTGGTTGATCAAGCTTGGAAACCATACGCAAATCCCAAATTCGTACCGACTTATCAGTCCCCCCTGAAGCTACAATAGTTGATTTATACTTGTTCCAATCACAAGAGAGTGCCTCGAGTCCTCCATGCGCTACAAAGTCTATCTGGAGCGGGTGAGGAGCTCTGATATCCCAAATTTGAAGATGCGAGGACCCATTACATGAGATAAGTGTAGATGGGGAATGTGGGGAAAATGTAGCATTGTATATGCAATTTGCCGTATTGAATGGTTGATTCTTTTGGTTATGTGACATTGGAGGTGCAGGTGGCTTTGCTGTGTTGATCACTGGGGAAGTCTTGGTCGTGAAGTCCACTTCTCCAGGATTCAACGTCAACATACTCTCTTGCCTGTTGGGAGTCCAAATTTTAATAGTCCCATCCCATGATGTGGTTACAAAATTCAGCTTATCAACTAAATTCCAATTAACCAGAAATACTTCTCTCTGATGTTCCTTCCAATTCATCACCGGGAATTGGCCAACCTTCAAATCGAAGAGTTTGACACTACCATCACCACTCGCCACCACGCATTGATTTTCATGCGCTTCACTCCAAGATACATCAAACAACCCGTCTTGTGATTCCCACGAGATTTGGTTGGAAATTGTCCCATTAGGTTCAATGTTCAAGATATAGAGCTTACCGTTACCAACTAACCCATAGTTTGCTGCCGTGGCAACTGCGATTTTGTTATCGAAAAATGGAGAGTAAGTTACTCCGTACCCATTGTACCCGGTGGTTCTAAAGGATAGCATTCTCCAAACCTAATTTCAGCACAATCTTTCAAGAAATATACCCTTTAGTAAAGGATTTAAATAATGACTAGCCGATTACAAAGGATGAGAATGGAGTTATGGAGAAGTTTATATTGGCTTATATGCCGGATTATACATAGTCATCTGCTTAAGAGGAGAATTGCACAATTTTTGATTAGAGTTTCGAAATCTAAAATATGATACTCCCATCCTATGATCTGGCCATCATTTAATGGAGGCTCATCCTGGGAAGAACCTATATCACAATAGGAGATGAACTACTCTGCATGAAGTCACTTTTATGCTTGTATGGAAATTTTGGTGATTAATTTTATATACAGTCCTCTCTTGGGCCAGTTCGAATACTTACCTACACATCAAACAAGTTAACATCCAACCATTTTACCTTTGCAAGATTCTCTTCTGAAAGATCAGACTTGGAAAATAAACCGAACTGAATCAAATCACCTAATATTAAAGCAATCTTTTGCTGAGAATATTTCAAGTACTCAAACTCATCATCTGATGAAGTTATATCTTCCACGTGACCATCATCGTCCACCTGAAGGTTTTCCAATTCGGTGGTAATGCTATATTTCCCATCAATTCCAACTTCTTCCTGCAGTGCAGGAACATTGCCTTTATTGACAAATGGTCCGTTTTGAATCAACCCCCACAATGCCCAGAAGAACTGAACTGTAGATCTCCATAGGATACATTCATTGTAAAGTTTTTTGATTTCGAGTTCAATTAAATCGGTTGCAGAGAGTCTAGAAATATCCCCCAGATGGCTTATCTTAAGATTGGATGAAGGGAACTGGAAATCATATTCAATGTAGGATTTAATAAAGTTAATTTGCTGTATTTTGTTAGGGTAGTTTTGTTCCTCGATGTAATAAGATCTTTCAGGGTCATGATAATTTGCCATCCATTCGGAAAAATGATTTACAAGATCGAGGGCCGCAAAACTACAACCAGAGTATTCGAAATCAATCACCGCAAGTGAAGTATCCTTCTTGTTGGTAGTTGACTTGAGGTCAGTCAATGAAGCTGAAGTCACCAAAGTTGCACCACTTGGCGCCGCATTGCTCGCGGCTGCTGAAAGTTTAGTGGATGATGATGCGGCGCTCGACAACTCGGTAAGATCAGCTCTCGAGTTTGTTTTAGATTGGGATTCGGATCCAGATCTATCAAGTACAATCTCGTTGGGGTTGAAAGATTCATGTAACAATAAATTACCATATTGAGTATCATTATGACAAAATCTATAGTTGTCTGCAAAATTTCTTCTGTCATACTTGTCAAATAGCCATTCCCTGTATGTTTCAATGAGATCAACAAATTTAGCAAAAGGCATGAAAAACACATCCTCTTCATTAAAATTAGGGTCAATAGTCTTGGCTTCCAATAATTGTTCCTCTAATAAATCTAACCATTTATGAATCCATTTCCAACTCATGGGTAAATCACTTTCTAATTCTTCTGGTTCCAAACTTATCTTGTAGTGCAATTCCTTCATTCTTCTACCAATCATTTGACTGATAACTTCATCTCTAATTTGATCTTTATTTAAGGTGATGTAACCTTCTAAAAATTGTTCAAATCTACCATTGGCGAAGATCCCCAATAACCTTGGACCAATTTTCTTCTGAGATAATTTGATCAAGGTTTTCAATTCACTTTCTCTATCAATGATGGAATCAACGTTTTTCCCGTAAACTCTAAGTAAAAGTGCAGGTAATACCAACCCGTTGGAGTGGTCTTTGTATTCTAGTTTATAAATGGAATTGGTGAGGGCACCTGATATACGATTAATAGAAAGATACAATTTCTCCAAGGGCTGTTTATGCCATTTCAGGATTTTCAAAGCTTTGATAAGTGTGATCAAATCTTGCTTGAAAAAATCAATTGGTAAAGAGTTATCTAAAGTGGCTGTGGTTGTTGGAATTGCCTTCTCTTGAGATTCAATCTGGGTGGACTTGACCACGAGTTTATTCAACGACGACGATGAAAGTGATCTTCTGTGAGGACCCAAAGATGGTCTTCTGGACGAAGAAGTCGATCTTGAGTTTGCTGTCGAGTTTCTTGTTCTAGAACGAGATCTGGATCTTGTTGACTGATGAATATTGCTTGGTGTGATTTCCATGGTGAGCACTTGTTGATGAAAAAAAGTGGATAAAAGTGATCTAAGGTTAAAATAATTGGCGAAGCTAAATATTAAGGTGCTTTGTGCTCGTGTTTATAAGTCTTTGCGCGCGCCGATTGTACTGATGCTCTCTCTATCAATGACCTTTCTTTTTGGTGGGGTTGGTGTATTTTTTATTTTTGTCTTTTGGCCAATTGTTGAGATTAGTATAAGCGGGTGTACTAGCAAAAAAATAATTTGATGTTTGATCAAAATTTTCCACTTTTATCTTAAGATTGCATGTGAAAAGGAAAGTGATTGCGAAAACGGTGCTGGGGTATATCAACAGAGAAAGTGACGGGTTGGTTCGATACAGGTAGAGTTCAGAAAAATATAAGTGACCAGTATAGCTATTTGATGGTGAAATGCTTCTAGGAAAGAGCAATTGCAGGGCCAAGAAACGACCAACTGTGCTGCGTTGAAAGTGTCTTAGATTTGTTGCCTATGGTTATGTCTATTTCCCCAATAAAATAAGCCAGTGTCACTCGCATCTGCGAGCGCCTGTCAAATTAGGCAATTCTCGTAAATCGGCTGGTGGACTAGCATACGACTGTCGATTAAAGCACTTGCTGAGAAGCGAAGAACGGTAACAAATAATGACTCCTAGAAGTCATTCATAGCGAGCGTGCACTACTATACTATGTACGTGGAGCTGTGAGAAAATTGACTGTACAGGAGAGGCAAGACGATGCTGGTATTTAAGTAATAGTGAAAGTTGGAGCTTTTTTTTTTCTGTTTTTGCACTTGAGCGCACCCTTGCACCAAAGAATGGTTGCAGGCTGGTCTGTGACGGAACAAAAAAATCAATGTAAAAGACTTCCTGAAAATCTCGTTGGCTCTCCTTAGCTTAGCAGTTGGATCTCCTGAATAACTTTACCTAGAAAAGGACATAAAAAGGAAGAATGAACCTTTACAATGGAAGTGCCTGGCGTGACTGATATCTTCCTTTTTTATCAATAGTGTAAGTTAAATATAAATGTGCGACAAAATATAAACGAACCGATCAATAGTACTTACACTAACCCAAGTGGTCTCCCAACTGGAATAATTTGTCGCCTCATAGCATTCCTTCTACAAAAACAGTAAAATATTCTTTTCTTACATCCTCCTTAGCGCCTTAGGTTAAACGGTTGCACAGAGGACCAGAGAGGACCAGGTAGTGTGCATCGATCTTCATACTTACTACATACAGGAATATTACATTGTGCAGTACCGACATGAAAGGACCCATAGTGAAAAAATTCGATCTAGCTTTGGAATGATTGTAGGCTAATTTTGGCCAGTGAAATGCTCCTCCTATCTGTTCTTGTAGTACTGTTATCAGTAGTGTACTTTTTGTATAGGAAATGGGTTTCTACTGCGGATTTGTTGGAGAACTCTGCCAAAACTTTTGATGCAGAGATCATCAAGTTGAGAACAAAATTGTCTGAACTAGAGGCTAGTCAAAACCAAACTACTATATCAAAGCAGGATATAGAGCGAAAACTGCTGAAAGAAAAAGCTGACAGTGAAAGAAAGATCGGTGAGTTGGTATCAGATATCAAAAAACAGGACTGGCACTCGAGATCGCTCGACCAGCAGTTGTCAGCTTCCCAGCAAGAAGTCGCAACCTTGAAGAAGGAATTGCAAGTAGCGAAGCGCAGCGGCATGGATTTGAATACAAAAATGGAAAATTTGGAGCTTCAGTACAAATTCAATTTGAACACTGAATTGGAACTATTCAAGGCCAAAGAAGGTTTGGAGTTTGAAGAATTGAAAGTCCTGTATAAAGATCTTACTGACAAGCACAGCAAGTTGAGTGAAACTATTGGTGGAGTAGTGAAGAAAAACCAGAAAAACGAACTAGAGATTCAACAATTAAATGAAGCAATTCTGAAGAAGGTGGAAGAAGAAAAATGGTTGATAAAAGAGTTAGAAAGCATACAGGGAGATGGCGCGGATGAAGAAGAGACAAATGGTGACTGTAGTTCTGTAGTTGAAAGGGCTGTATCAATCGCTAGCCTGATTAGCCGGAAGAGCTTAGATTCAGGAATCGCAGTACAAGATCGTATTAATGAATTGGAATCAGTAATTGAAGAGCAAGAAGACAGCTTGAATGAGCTTGAAGAAGATCTCAAAGATTTGAACCATAAATATGAACTCCTGCAACAAGAGGTTCAGAATGGGTCCAAACTATCACATCAATTAGAAGCAAAAATCAAATCTCTAGAATCTACTATCGAAAAGAAAGATGGAGATATTAATCAGTTAGAGAGTCAGATTAAGGAATTAGGAAGCGAGTCTCAAAATGAAGTGGAGATCACTAACTTAAAGAACGAATTACTTGCTAGTAGAGAAGAAACTTCAGCACTTCAAGAGAAATCAACTGCCCATAAAATTGAGCTTGATAGGCTACTTGAAAAGGAATCCATAGTAGAAAAGGAGAAGGCAGACTTGAAATTCAAAGTAAATGAGCAGTTGGAATCTCTCGATGCCCTCAAAAAGCAAGTAGCAGATTTAGAAGACTCGGTCAAAGGTAAAGAAATCTCATCTTCAGTAAATCCTCAAATTTATGAGCTTGAACAAAAAGTAGCAACCCTTGAATCAGAGCTTTCCACCGAAAAGAAAAACGTCGCTTCTCTTCAAACAGTTCTTCTGGATTCTAAGCATGAAGCAGAAGCACTTGAAAACCAAGTTGAAAGCTTAACATCAGATATTGATTCAGAGAAAATTAAATCAACAAAATTGAGCGAAGAACTAAATGATCTACAGGAAACTGCGAACAAAACAGCTTCATCCGAAACAGAAAGAGTGAATAGTGAGATCTCCACATTAAAAACTCAAATTACGGATCTTGAAAAGCAAGTGGAAGATTCTGAGTCAAAAATTGAAGATCTTGAAAAGCAACTCAGAGTTTCTAAAGCAGAGGTAAGCCAAATTGAAAATGGTTTCAAGGATTCCCAATCTCTGCTTGAAAAGCAATTGACAGAAGCAAAAAAAGGAGTAACGCAACTTGAGGAACAAGTGAAGGGTTCTACAGCAGAGGTGACGCAACTTAACGAACAATTGGAGAATTCTAAAGTACAGGTCGCAGAGCTTGAAAAGCTATTGAGGGAATCTAAGGCAGAGATTAAAGACATTGAATCTCAATTAAAGGACTCCAGAGCGGAGATTGAAGACCGTGAAGCAATAATTCAAAAGCAAAGACAAGTAATTGCGACCAACCTAAACACCTTAAAAGCAAATAGATCGAGGGATGCGACTCCATTGAGTTCACCTTTAAAACCTTCCAATAAAGCTGAAAGCTGAAAATATATAGCTTTTGGTAGATACAGTAAATAGTATAAGTCATTGAGCATCTTAGTATATCAAATTAGTCCCATTCGTGTAGTGAACAGTGGAAGGCTAGATTATTTGCACCCAAGACTGGAACATCTTTCATGCGATAGGCACTGGCCTGTATATAGTGCTTCAGTCTACTATCTCAATTAAGCTTTACTGGGGTTCAAACTCACTTCGGAATTGTTCAGCCAACAATAGATTTTAACATTCTATGGCAATACGAACGCGTTACTTTAGAAATATTCAATAGACAGATGTGCACACTACAAGCCGTATCTGCTTAATACCTTTCAATAACAGCTTGCATAATTATTACACCATCGTGCATAGGAAAGCACTACACTGGAGAGCAAATTAGGTACATTGCATGCAGGCACCTTGAAGCATTGGGGAATGAAAAATAGTGGCTAGAAAGGATGAAAAAGCCAGTTTGAGCCTGAAAAACTTTGAAGATAGGCGTTAATATCTGAAAGGGCTCATGAGTGCAACCATTAAACCATGCGAGATATCGTTCTAAATGAATAAACCCCCACTACATTGGTACTTGGATCTAAGCAACTTTCTAAAAGTGGTACCTGATTACTGCACGCATGGAATGAAATTTCTGTGTATGGAAAAAAAATGGAGAAAATATTTCTTTCAAATGTCTCTTATCTGCATGCCCCAAAAAAAAATTTCAGATGGTGGTGGGAGGAGAAGAACTGGTGGTATCTCTTCACAATGGCGTAAAAGAAGAACTTTAGACAAGGTGTTGCAGAATGGCAGTATAGGCGTCCACGATCTCACAAGCACCATATGAGTGCATTTATTTCTATTGTGACTTGCATAGGAAAATCCAAATCTAAAGCGAGTTTCATTTGGTGGTTATGTGCATACATCTGTGGAGCAAAAATTAATTTGAGGCTTCACCAGGCAAGTCACCAACAACACTCGATAACGCCAGAAATAAAAGTAAATAAAAAAGGTATGAGTAATGCGAGAGGAAAGACCGATAGATGTGGGGTGTAGGGGACCTCGTAGGACTCATGTTGACTCTAGGAACTGTTGAGAAGATGTTTCACGGCGAAAAAGCATATGTGGTGCACTGTGTGAATGAAGGGTAATAGGTGAAATATTGCTCTCTGTCCATGCCCTTAAATTTAGATCAAGACGTCATCGGCCATATATTCCAATTCGCAAGAAATGTCTCAATTAACTCACCCTATCTCTTCGAATTTTCACTAATTCCGTCGGCATTTCCTCTTCCTCTCCCACATTTCCCTTGGGTTTCCTTTTTTTCCAAATTAGTTTGGTGCGGCTCAAAAGATCATAACCACTGCGCTAGAATTTTAGTCCTGGACAGCTGGATTGGAAAATAGTCAAACACAACAGAAACCGGATAAAGATAAGATTGCTAATACAATACACCACACGGCGACGGCGACAGCAAGTTTTGAGCACGTTGCAGATTTAGACCTTGTATCTTCACCCTTCGAAACCCCTGCCTTCTCTTCCCCATATCAGCTCTACGCTTTCCTCACTAAAACCCTAAACCCACTCTCTCGAGCCTAAAATTCCCAACCACCGTCAAATTTCCATGTTTGCATATTTTCTTTTTTTTAGGCTTTTGCTTTTTTTTTTTTCCTTTTTTTGCTTCCGTATCCACTAACTTTGCATGTTGTATTCTAACTCGGAAAGAGGAGGAGCTGTTAATTTTAAGCCGTAAAACGTAAAAATTGCAATATTTTCCTATAATTCATAGCAACAAGGTGAAGATTAGGAAACAGTTAATAATAGCATAGGATATTTTTTTGCTAGGCAATTTTTTTTTTTATTTTCTGATTTTATTTTATTTACTGTACGTGTGCTAGAATTCCAATTCTTCTACTTCCCTTTACACTCGTTTAATAAGTCTTTACTGAAAGGTGATCTTTCTCCTACTGCAATAAGTTTTCCACACGAAAAGTTCTGGACTCACCACATTACCGAACCTGGGCTGTACTGAGGAAAGGAAGCTGTACTTGATATAGTAGTTTCAATACACCACATTTACATATTTTGGAAGTCCTCCATTTGTCTGGAAGAAGCTATCTTGTACCCTTCACCCACCACCATAGATATTTCAACAGCGACTTACTACATCATTCCTGGCCCTTTCATCAAACCCCCAAGCATTCTTGCCAGCATCTAAAGTTCTCACAAATATACTCATCGTCACTCGCTAGCTGCTATTAGGATATAGCAGAAGATTCACCATGCTTTCCATACGCAAGAACAAGACCAAGGTGGACTACAACTCATCATCATCTACCCTTAACTCGTCATCCTCGTCAACAACGACCATCATCACCTCCTCATCGTACCATGGTTCGTCCGGCCACCATTCCCGTAAAAACACATCAAAGCTAACCCCCAATGCCAATGACACCATAATTCAAAAATCGCTCAAACTATTGAAGAGACTAGAAATTGAAATCTCCAAGTTCAACTCAAAGACGAATGGAGTCACCAAGACTAATATTTTGCGTATGTCGCTTTTGCCATTTTTAAGAGACCCCAACTGTGACTTGTCCACACAAATCCAGGATAGGAAAATCTACTTATCGCTAGTTAGCATAAGTAGTAACGTACTCTTGAGATGGTGGAGGGTTTTGCTCACTTCTTTGACGCTGAAAAACAACCCCACAAAATCCCCTATAATCTCCAGCACTGACAGAAATGCCTACTTGGAGGGTATTTCAAGAATAATCTCTAGAAAGGAATGGCTAGATGTAGATTCAGAGACCTATGCCAAGTTCCAAGGCTTGCTTACCATTACATTGGACTATTCTATCGATAAAGTGCAAGTGTTAAAAATATTACCTTTGAGTATCGGCGCTTTTATTGGTAAAGTCTTTGCATACAGTTATTTCCACTTACCTATGGTAAGCGATGCTCTTTTGTTTTTATTGAATGTTAAACAGTATATGTTCGAGGATACTATGGAGGCAATGGACAAACATTTACAGAAGACTAATAGGCAAACAATGCATACCATCCTGAAGGCATTCCCCAGCCACTTGGGACAATTCCATGGAATTGGACATCTGTTACTGAAAAAGCAAAAGTTCTTTATAAACTCAGTTCCTCCTCCGAAGCACCCAGTGAAGGGAATTTCGGATCCTAATGGGTCCTGGGTTAGAAGATGGTGTTCGAGCGACTCAGACATTTTTAACTCCTTCTTCCGTCATTATATTAGCATTACCAATACATTTCTCTTTGAGAATAAAAATGACGACGAATACAATGAGGATGGAAATTCTAGTGGCAGTGAGATAGATAGCGAAACCGGCTTAGAGGGAAATCAACGGAAGATTTGGTCGCATTATGACTATGATACTTTGTTGATGAATTCTCCTGGTTTTAAAGTCATATTATCTCATATCCTCCATATCTTTCAAGTTTCTATCACCAGAATTTCCCAAAATAACCCATCTACCTTTAACAATATGTTTTTCAAACAGGATTCCAGCAGTGGTAGTAAGGAATCAATGATTTCTACTCAATCAATGAATGACATCTATTATAATTCGATAGTCAAGATACTCAAGACATGCCGAGACTTGAAATTTTCTAATATTGTCAATCTCTCGAGGTGTCTTATAAAGTATATCGATAGGTTATTCATATCCATTGCAATGAAAACGTCAATCTACGACTACAACAAGAACGGGCTTCTTTTGAACATTGTATATGAATTTATCAACTATGTTGACAATGATATCAACTGGGAGTTCTGGCTCAGCAGCTCTTACTTAATGCTTAGCAAGACTGATCACATTCAAGTATTACTCAAGAACTTTGCATTCTTGTTCAATGTATGGGATTTAATTTCGAGCAGGTATACAACAATCAATGACAACAATCAAACTGTTGGCATTGACAACGGATGGCTAACCAAAAAGCATGAAACACTTAAATGGAACTTTGCAAATTGGCTAGTTTCGTCACCTATATGGTCAACATTCTTCAACCACTGGGAACCAATCATTCGTACTTATTACCTTAAGTTAATTATTTGGCGCTTAATTGGTATCAATAACCACTCCAGGAATTATTCACTTAGTATTGAAAACCACATTGACCAGAATCTCAAATATTCCTACGATTACCTCTGTTGTAAAAGGGGTAAATCACGCACTATTCTGTTAAAACCAGATAATCCCTTGGTGAACAGGAAATTCAGTATTATACCCAATACTATGAAGGAAGACATGTTCCCAAGAATGGAAGGTGAAATTCCCTCTTCTACTAAGACCAACAATTCATCCAACGAACTTAGAAAGACTCATCCTTATGAAATTTTTGATGAAGCAATATATTCTTGTTCTTCATTGCCTTCATCGCCAATACCAAATTACTCGAATGATAGAGATGGTGATGATGATGATGACGATGATGGTGATGCAAACTACGTAGAAAGCCAAGGAAGAAGCAGCAGTCTGTTGGTAAGCTCCTTGGGTAAAATACTTAAAATTTTGTCGACAGACGACAAAAGAGTCATGGAAGCGGCAACTACTTCACCTTCAAGTACAACCATCTTGTCCGCCCCTCCATCAATTGGAGGAGGGCCATCTGCAAGAATTTCGTCATTTAAGTCGGGCTCAGCAACGTCACTTTCCAACTCTATTAAATCAGGTTCTTCCTCCCCATCTATTATGTCGACATATTCGACATCGTTTACTGATTTTTCTACTGAATCTTCCATTAAATCGGATTCTTCATCTTCAAATGCGTCTTCGGTGAACCTTGCAGATTTGATCCAACCACCCGAACTCCTCACAAGACCACCAAACATTGTTAGACCACTATATCGTTTTGAAATTGTGATTGATACAAAGGCCATTAACGAAAAACTTTCCATTAACAGAGGACAAGAATTTGGGAATTCGAGAGTGGTAACAAGGTCTAAATACCTCAGATTACCTAAGTATCCCAAAATCCCAAGTTTCGCTAAGTTCTATGAAATGCTTTTTTGTGATGAGGCTTACATTCAAGCAGATAAAGAAAGAGACAGAGACGGGCCCATGGGCGGAAATATTTTCGAAGAGGAAGTTGGCGAAGAGGACAGCTTTGAAGATGAACTTCTTATCAAACCCAAGGTATCTCACAACCCTCTCTACCCTGATTCTGTGGAATCTAACCTGAGAAGGATACTTTCATACAATTGGGTAAATGTAGGGAAGTCTCTCAATGAATGGAACGAAATAGTAGAAGAATTTGAGAAATTTATGAGTTCCAAGGTAGAGGATTTCAAGACCAAATCAAACGATAACTATGAAGTTTACTTCAAGAGATCTATTCCATTTTTGAGTGTTGACACTGCCAGTGAACTCAAATTTTTGAATGCGGGTTGAAGTTGTAAAACATGTATAGGCATTATGTAAAGAATAAAATAGTAGCATTCTTAAAAGCGAAATGTAATATATACCTAGAAGCTGAAACAGGTAGGGACATGAGCGTGTTCATATTGTCTACAAAATCACTAAAAGTGACAAAATTAATGGTTCCAGAAGGTAAATTAAAGAAAGCTATACATATATATATACATATACTGGCTGGTCCTGCCCGCCTGGTTCACCTTTCTCGATCACCTATATAATACAATGTAGACTAGCTTATTAGTCAGATTTTACTTTACTCCTAACACCCCACCAGACAGCCATACTCACCACAAGACAAACACTCGAACTAACTGCCCAAAACATACCAACACCTAATGCAAAACAAATGTAATAATGGTAGAAAAGATAGTACCTTATACCCTGCCATTCGACATTTACATGCAACTTAGACTTAGTTACGTCTATTTGTAACTTCGAGTCTGTCCAGTATCTGATTCTTGCAGGGTCAGTAGCGTTATTGGTTGCTGTATTAGTCAATAAATTCAACATTTCAATATCCGAAAAGGTCCCTATTTTAACATTGATCACATTTAGTCTCTCACAATTGGTCAAGAATGGAGGAACCCAGTGACGAAAGTTATAAGGAATAAACCAATTCGACGAAGAGTAAATTACCCTTGGATCACATTGAAGTATAAAGGAAGACAGACCAAAAGAAGAACGACGATACTCGCTGGGGAGGTCACATGTCTGGTTACCCATGATTAATTCTCCAACAACAATTTGGGTATCACCGATTTGATGCTTGTTACAATGAGCAGCGATTTCTAATTCTAAGTTATAATTCAAGTTGGAAACTCGTCCTGTTCCTACATTGTAATTCGCCAAAATATCTACTAAGCTACTACCTTCAGCTACGATTTCCGAGTTGTACCTAGGTGAGCTCATTCTTACTGGTAATTCATACGAAGCGTTTGGGATTAAAATCCCATAAAATCTTAAGTACGAGAGAACCGACCAAGGTAAGAGAATAGTGACCGCAAGTGTAATTACCACAATATACAAAGACCGACGGGTAATTGACAATGATATGTTGAACAAACTCATCCTACGGAATGAATTTAGTATACAAATACAGTACTATTAAACCTTATTGAAAGCTAATCTAAAGTGGTTGCTTTGCATAGCAAGCCGGACATGCCATATGTTACACAAAACCAAAGAAGTAATGTTTGCAACTTTCGACTAGTTGATTAGCTAGAGAGATGCCACTGGACGAATTAGGTATTACCATAGCTTAATTTATAAATAGTAATCTAATTTTGAAGAAGAAGAACACCTCCCATGAGATTCATTCAGGTTTTAAACATTATTTGTATATTACAGCCTATAAAGGAAACTTAAGAGGCTCACATATCTATAAAACTCATTAAAACCAAAGCAGTTAAATCCCAAAATTGCTCCCCAGTACAGCCTTGGCTTATCATGCAATGATGCAATAATATTCCAGGAAAGGATTATCAAAAGACAACCCTACATATACAAAAACGTAGCCGTACCAATTAAGAGCTGTTAGGTCTTTATGTCTCCTTCGTTTTCTCTCCTCTCCCCACACACGTTCTCTCTCTTCGTCCGTCTGAAGCGTCTTCCCTCACCTTCTTTCCTACTGCTGAACCTTTAAATAAGGTAACTCTGTGAAAATAATAATATTACAATGGTGAATAATTTGTGGCCTTTCTGAAATCAAAGGAGTAACACTAATTTAATCGGTTTTAATATACATTTACCGTCTGATGGTGGCAATTTTTGTTACTCAAATCAATGAGTAGTGTGTCCTCTGTGGTACTTCAAACCGTTCAAATTTTTATACCTCTTACCACAAACTTCACATCTATAAGGCTTATCCTTTTCCATACCTGCACCATCCAAGTAAGGGGCGTTACTCTCAGGATCAATAATGGAAATTGTACCATCTGGGTTCTCCTTTAAAGTTTGGTTTTGGTGTCCATGAAGTCTATGATATTTCAATCCATTCTGATTCTTATAATTCTTCTCACAACCAATAACTGGGCATTTAAAAGGCTTGTGCTCTTGGTGTTCCATTACATACAAGTGACGCGCTGGGTCATCTATGTACATGGAATCTTCATCATCAGGTGTACCTGGAAGAGAAGTAGAGGCACCTGAACCACTTTGACCCTGGCCAACACCAGAGTTTTGTTGTTGGATATTATGATGTTGCTGTTGTGAAAGTTGGTTGTGCGGCTGTGGTTGTGAAAGCTGAGAAAGATGCTGCAGGTTTTGTTGGTACGTCGGTATTTGATTCTGCATTGTATAATTATTATTCTGGTTAGCTTGATGCTGTTGGTTTTGCTGCTGTTGTTGAATGTGATGTTGTTGTTGAGCAGCCTGTTGCTGTTGCTGCTGCTGAGCAGCTTGTTGTGCAGCTTGTTGTTGTTGAGCCGCTTGCTGAGCTTGATGAGCAGCTTGTTGCTGTTGTTGATGTTGGTGTTGTTGTCCGTTGTTCAAGAAAACATCATTTGTTGACACTGTTTCCATAATGTTATGCATTGTGTTGTTGTTTTGTCTGTTTCTGTTCTGCTGTAACAAGGGGTTATCTATAGGAGGCGACTGACTGATATGAGCCTCTTCGTAGTGACGTAAGAGATCGTGAAGTGTAGGCAATAATTGACCACAGCAAGAGTAATCTTTACAATAGTCAGCTTCAAGATCGGGCAAGTACGAAGTTGTTGGAGGCGATTGAGCCATCGAAATAGATGGGTTATAACGGAATGATGATCTACGTGGATTCAATGAGATATCACCCAAACCATGACTCAGCAGATGCATTTGTTGCAGAATTTGCTGGTGTTGAGGCTGTTGGTGCTGGTGCTGGTGTTGAGCTTGCACTTGGGCATGTGACTGCTGTGCAGATAACATGTTCTGCTGCAGGTTTTGTCCGTGTGAATTTGCAAACATCATAACTTCATCCTTTAACCACGAACCAATAGTAACCGACCCCCACGAAACACCTCCCATTCCTTGTGAGTGAGCAATAGATTCTCTACGTAGCCTGCTGTTATTGAACACTGATGGCTGTCGCTGATATGTGATATCAATTGGTTGAGGAATATTAAGATTTTCACCGAAATTGCCCCCTCCTTGTTGCTGCTGTTGTTGTGGTTGTTGCTGCAGTTGTTGCAGACCGTTTGGGATGTTTATCGACGGCGAAGCCGATCCGTTCCCGCCTTCAAATATTTTTGTATTAAACATCTCTCCAGATATAAACTCCTCAGTCTTTGGGCTAGTTCCAAGATATGAAAAACCTGCTTACTAACCTTTTGCCGTTAAGTTGAATATCCTTTAGAAACTCAAAATTTCCTTTTTCTGGCTCTTGATAAGAAGTATCCTGTATATAGAATAGAACCTACGCTCAAAATAGTTTCAACACTACCGTTTGCCCTTAACTATAAACAAGTAACGATAAAATGTACTACTAAAGCTAGAAGATTAGTGTATAAATAACTCCTTTAATGTACTCCTTCACCGTCTAGTATTCAGTAAATGGATGAAAATACCCGCAAAAGAAAGAACGAGTGGTGACTTAAAGTGTTTGAAACTTTTGCCGAGACTGAAATAAATTATATCAGAGGTCCTCTAAAGACTACCTTCCAATGCTATTTTCCTTACTACTGAATAGTCCTTAGAGAAAGAAAATCCAAGTAAAAAATGCAAATTATAGGAATAGCAGATGTATATAATTATATATATCTATACGTATAAATATATTCCCCTGAGTTATGAGTAGTATAATAGCTTTAAACAGGCTATAAGCTAAAATAACTCCTTTCCCTTTATCTGTATATATGAAATTACAAAGCGAAAGACTGTGTGCGCTGATTAAATTCGCCACGCACACGACCAAGTTAAGATTTCCGATTCTCTGGGTGCAGGATGCATCTGAATGCTCGAATCGAACCTTAACCTAATGGGTAAGGGAATACGCCTACTTCTCAAAAAAAGGTACTGTGGCTGGTTATCAAGGGCAAGGTCTAGCTTTTGTTTCAGTTTGACAGAAGGACTTCGTTGCACGAGCCATGATCCTTTAATTATCAAGCACCCATCACCTTATTTACTAACATCCGATGCAATCCAATGCAGCTCAATACATTTATTTTGGTTCCGGGCACGACTCGACGTAAACCAGTTATATGCAAGCTTTATATTTTTATTTTTCCATTTTCCTCTTTCATTTCCATGCACTTCACCAATTTCCTTCTGGGCAGCGCCGTTAGTTCCAGCTAAGCAGCTGCTGGATGACAGCCTTCCACCACCGTACTTTTTCCTAAGTTCCGTATAGCCTTGAATTTTATACTTTTATGAAGCCCAGTTTCTTGTTTTTAAAATTTCTTTTGTGTACCTTTTCTATTATGCACTTTCGTGGATTTATTATTTATCTATACCTTAACCTTATTTTCATGTAGCATATTACTCTTGTGAATATTCGTCTTCCCAGCCTTAGATCACTTTTCAAGTTTTGTATTAATATCCGAGATCCTGCATGACATTGATGTAACTTGACGTCTTTATTTTTTTTTGGGATGCTCTACCGAGGAGTCTAAAATGCCTTAAGCAGTCCAATCTGGTAGATAGTACTTGACACATAACCCATGCATGCTTGAATTTCGCTAAGTTGCTCTGTCATGGGTCAGAATTATCTGATATGCTGCAGAAAGCTTCATCAAGGGCCCGGGCCTATTTAGTCCATCACCACCCTTTTGACCTGCATAAGGCTTTCGTAAGCCTTCGTATTGCATACTGCAGAAACAGACTACAGCTTCACACCTAGTGGCCATTTTACACCCCAAGTATGCGCCCACCGCTTCCCCAAAACTGTTCCAAGGTGTACCTTGGGTAAGGAAATGGGCCAAATCGAGTCTCTTCTCAATTCGATAAGTGAATAGAAAAAAAAAATTCCAAAAGTTCCGCTTACATGATGAGGCTCAAAAGTCTACGGCTCATTTGATCTACGTCTCTAACCCACCCATCTGACCACTCTGCTAAGGCTAATTAAATCCCACCTCCGTATTTTTCGAAAGTAACCTTTTAATCGAACGCATTTGAAATCACTTGACCTCAGGATGTGCAATAGCACGGCGAGACTATCATTTTCTCCGCTCGGCCATTTTTGCCAGTCTCCTCCCGTGAAGAAAAAAAACTTTAAAAGGTACCGTTACATTTTCCGCTTGATAACATGTTAGATATACACTTATAAGAGATAAGAATAAGAACAACAAGCGAGATGATGCACACTTTTAAGCAATTGATAATTTTAGCTTACCTTTTATCTATATCTCTATAGCCTCTAATATTTCTGATAGTTAGTGTTCTTGAACAGGGTCACTCTAAACGAATGTGTCAAACACTTCTACATAGAAAATAAAATATTCTTCTTTTCTCCGCGGAGATGATAAGATGCTGCGAAATTTTGCAAGCGTATTTAGCAGTAGTGCCGCAGATTAGCAATTTCAGGTTCGATAAGAGATAAAGTCAGAAGAGATCAGAACATTTGAAATGTGTTATAGAAGATGTTAGCACGAATATTTATGGAACACTTACCAAACAATTTGAATGTGTTGATTGCGACGATTTTTGGGAAGTATACCCTTGAGTAAAGCCCTCTTTTGCAGAAATCGATTTGATGCACCACCTTCGATGAGTATGCTCCATGTAGAGAAAATACGCACGGCTCCCGAATCATAAGGCGAAAGTAAGATTAAGGCAAGTGGAAAAAAGAAAGAAAAGATAGATAAAAAAAATGGGGTGAATATGTATTTAAAGTATCGAAAATTGCCCAGTATGTAAATCTTGATCTTGTAGTTACGCTCACGTAGAATTCACTCTTGAAGAAAGTAGTTACGATATCTGCCATGGAAAAAAAAGTCTTGGAAGGTAGTGATCTCGAAGTTTCGGTTTCACGCCCAATAGAGAAAAGAGGTTTAGAAGAAGTGAATCAAGAAGATGTTGCTCCCAAAAATATAATCGATAAGTTAGGTCTTAGATTTAATGCGGAAATTCGTGGTGTTGAAAGAGTTCCTGAAGATCAGCGCCTGAAAGGTTCCATGCTCACTCCATTCTTTATTTACGCCTCTCCAAATTTGGCTATTGCTGCACTCTCAACTGGTGCATTAGGAACAGCCTCATTTGGGTTGGATTTTTGGACTTGTACGATCGTTATCATAATATGGTCGTTTATAGGTGCTCTTCCAGTGGGACTATTCGCAGTCTTTGGTATGAAATTTGGTTTGAGACAACAAATTTTATCTAGATACTTCACTGGTAACATCATGGGTAGAGTCTTCGCCTTGTTCAATGTCATTAGTTGCATTGGATGGAACGCAATTAATATCATCCCATCTGTTGAACTCTTAGCACAATTGGGACCATTACCACCATGGGCAGGGTGTCTTATATTCGTTGTTATCACTTGCGTTATTGCAATGTGGGGTTACAAATACATCCATTTGTATGAAAGGTACTCTGGGATCCCAAATTTCATCATATACTTGGTTATTATTGCAAGATTGACAATGCTGAAAAACTTCACTTTTGGTACTATGGGTAAGGGAACCGCTGAAGCGGGAAACGTCTTGACATTTATTGCACTCATATTCGGATTTGTTGCAGGTTGGTGCCCTTCTGCAGCGGATTTTATGGTCTATTTACCTTCCAATACCAAGAGTTGGAAAGTCTTCTGGCCCATGGTTTTTGGGTTATCTTTACCTTCGATGTTTGCCTTAATCTTAGGAGCAGCATGTGGTCTGGCTACTGCAACTGATCCAGATTGGGCTGATGCATTTGAGTCCGATTCAATTGGTGGATTAGTATACGCCATCTTAGTTCCAAACAGTTTACATGGATTCGGGAAATTTTGCTGTGTTATCTTGGCCCTTTCAGGAGTGGCTAATAATTTACCGGGTTCTTACTCTTTGTCTTTAGCAATTCAAGCTGTTTGGTCACCATTGGCTAAATTTCCAAGAATTGGTTGGTGTTTCGTAGGAAACTTCTTATCGTTAGCACTTTCCATCCCAGCCTACTACAAGTTTCTGGCAACAATGTCGAATTTCCTCTCTATTATTGGATACAACGTCTCGATTTATATTGGTATCTCATTATCGGAAATTTTAGTTATAAGAAGAAGCTGGAGTGCCTATGATTTTTCCAATTTTGATGACGGATCTACCGTCCCCATAGGAATTGCTGGTGTGTTCACATTCTGCTGTGGGGTTGCAACCACAGTGCTCAGTATGAATCAAACGTGGTACCTGGGAGTTATTTCACAAAAATTCGGAGAGTACGGAGGTGAAGTTTCATTTGAATTGAATATTGTTGCTTGCTTCATAATTTATTCAATAGTTAGGCCAATTGAAAAGAAATATTTCAAAAGATAGTGCCACTAACAAATGCAGCAGCCTAATAGTAGTGAGTAGTTTTGAAATATTGAGTGAACTATTATACGTATATTGTTTTGTAGAATGCAGTAAGATGCTATACCACGGAATAAAGGCCGATCGGAACCACTTGGCAGCTCTCTTTACAATTGTAACACGAGATACAGTAAAGTGGAGCAGCATTGCTGATGGGCCATCAAGGGCACTTGATTCTCGTATACCCCACTCGGAACAATTCCTTGAGTGTTCGGAAAAATACTTTTTCTTTCGTGCTCAATCGCATATTCGATGCGTAGAAGATATTTAATGTTGAAGTGATGTGGGGATGATATGTACCATATGAGCAGGATAAGAGTCGATCCACCACGTCAGTATCTGTTTGTCTATTTTGAGCACATTTTTGAGGGGAAAGTGGTCCAGTTTCACCTGAGCTGCTGACAAGAGAATGCGTGGGCCAATAGCTCATCTAGCTGGGGATTTTTTCTTCAGTATTTGAAATTTAGCTTTTCATTTCGCTCTAGCTAATCGGGAGCCAAGAGAAAATTTAAACATGCAGCAGCAGCAACAGCAGCATCAGCGTGAAATGAATTCGGCCCCCTTTAATTCTTAATTACCTGTCATAAGGTACAAAATTTAGCATATTTGCAACCCTGGGAAGCGATCTGCTTCAATTTTCAATTGAAACCTCTCTCGTCGGCGCTTATATAGTGCCAACAAGAAACACTTTAGGTTCTGCTCTGTTCTTGAATAGAATATTTTTTTATCTTTCTTTCCCTCACGCCTGGTCCACTAATATTTTATTTTTTCTTTTTTTTTTTACTAAGGATTTGTACTTTTGATGTTCCGACTGTCCCTACGATCCAGGGCGGAAATTATAGATCCGATGATTGCTAAAAGAAAAGACGCAATTTGTGCCACCAACTGGACTGTAAACCACCAGAATGTATCCTCTGACCCTCTATGACTTTACCAACATTAGACTGTGCTCTACTCAAGCAATAAACACCTCTCTTCGCTTCCTTCTATCTCCTACATCTTCTACCCGCTATACATTCGAAGCCCTCCGCCTACCGATTGGCCCATCGTCCCCCAGTAAGCCCCACACTGGGTGTGGGGATTTCCTGCAACCCAATATGCGACTTCTACATGTTCTATTGCATGTTACCTGCAGTCCTGTGGGTGCCCGGTGCTCAATTTGCAATATGCCTTGCCCTGCCACAAGTCAAAGGGGTGAGATTGAACATATATAACCACATCATTCCCAGTTGATTTCTGTGCAAGGTGGGATTTATTTATACTTTTTTTTGATATTTATTTCACGCTCAATTGCTTAAAATCAAACTCAATTCACCATGGACGAAATCCACGAATTGACTGCTGAGGAGAAGAGACTCCTTGAAAACAAGAAACGTGAAAAGTATTGGAAGCATTGGGGTCCGTACCTCGGAGAGAGACAATGGGCTACCGTGAGAGAAGATTACTCACACGATGGTGATGCCTGGCTGGACTTCCCCTTTGAACACTCAAGATCGAGAACTTATCGTTGGGGTGAAGACGGGTTGGCCGGAGTCTCTGACACCCATCAAATGGTTTGCTTGAGTTTGGGTCTTTGGAACGAGCAGGATGATATCTTGAAGGAAAAGTTGTTCGGAGTGACCAATTCTCAGGGTAACCACGGTGAGGATGTCAAGGAAATGTACTACTACTTGGATAACACTCCTTCGCATTCTTATATGAAGTACTTGTACAAGTACCCACAGTCCAAATTTCCCTACAAGGAATTGATCGAGGAGAACGGGAAGAGATCTAGATTGGAAAAGGAATTCGAAATTACAGACACTGGTGTCTTCGACGAAAACAAGTATTTCGATGTCGTTTTTGAAGTTGCAAAGCTGGATGACGACCCTGAAGAATTGTTATTTAGAATCACTGCCTACAACCGTGCTGACGAGCCTGCGCCTTTACACATCATGCCCCATGTTGTGTTCAGAAACACTTGGGCTTGGGGAACTGAAGAGTATAAGAACAAGAATAAGCCTTTGATGAAAAAAGATCGTGACAACTTGATTAAGATTGAACATCAAAGATTGAAGAGCGACAGATATATAGTCTTTGCTCCTGCCCCTGGTTTTGATGAGAATCTGCCAGATATCGAACCTACTTTGTTGTTCACTGAGAACGAGACCAATACCGAAAGATTATACGGCCAGCCCAATGAAAAGCTGAAGTATGTTAAGGATGCCTTCCACGATTATGTTATTGATGGTAAGGAAGAGGCTGTCAATCCGGAAAATGTGGGTACAAAAGGTACTGCATGGTTTAAATTTGATCTGGTCCCAGCAAAGGATTATGTTACCATTAGATACAAACTTTCCAAGTCTCAGGATGAAATTGACGAATTTGAATTCGACAAGACTTTTGCTAAACGTCAAGACGAAGCAGATGCTTTCTACTGGAAAATCTCGCCATTGCCAATTTCGGATGATTTGAGACAAGTTCAAAGACAGGCTTTCGCTGGACTCTTGTGGACCAAGCAGTACTACCATTTTGTTCATAATTATTGGTCACATGGTGATAAGAACACACCAAAGCCGCCTATGAATAGAGCTGGTGGCAGAAACAAGGATTGGAAACATTTATACATTGATGATATCTTGTCACTCCCAGATAAATGGGAGTATCCATTTTTCGCTGCCTGGGATACTGCTTTCCACTGTATACCATTAGCTATGATTGACCCTGATTTTGCTAAGAAGCAGATCGACTTGCTTACCAGAGAATGGTATATGCACCCCAATGGTCAAATCCCTGCTTATGAGTGGAACTTTTCAGACGTAAACCCTCCTGTTCATGCATGGGCCACTTTTAGAATCTATAAAATTGAAAGGAAAATGTATGGTGTCGAAGATTTGGACTTCTTGGAAGCTGTTTTCCAAAAGTTGCTTATCAACTTCACTTGGTGGGTCAATCGTAAGGATTCCGATGGGAATAACGTTTTTGAAGGTGGATTCCTTGGTTTAGATAATATCGGTATCTTCAATAGATCTGAACCATTGCCAACAGGTGGAAATTTGGAACAAGCAGATTCTACTGGTTGGATGGCATTTTTTGCCTTACAAATGCTTAACATTGCATTGGAGTTGGCCAAAACTAGACCCGTTTATGAAAATATCGCATCCAAATTCTTTGAACATTTTATCTTAATTGCTGATGCAATGACCTATAGAGATGCAGAACTTGGTGAGACAGACGCCACTGAAAGATCATTATGGGATGAAAAGGATAAGTTTTACTACGATGCTATTAGTTTCGGTCAAAATTCCAAGACACAAAGTTTACCGGTGAGATCTTTAGTTGGTTTAATTCCATTGTATGCTAGTTTGACATTAGAACCAGAGCTTTTAGAGAAGTACCCTTCTTTCAAAAAGCGTTTGGACTGGTTTATTGAAAATAGAAAATTTGTTGCCGGAAGAAACATTGCGCTGATGGAATCAAGAGGTGTGGGTGAGAGGTTATTATTGGCCTTGGTTGATAAAGATAGATTGGTAAGTATATTGGAAAGAATGCTTGATGAAGATGAATTTTTGTCTCCATATGGTATTAGATCACTTTCCAAATACCATGAAAAGAATCCATTCTCTATGCAAGTTAACGGCGAAGAGTACAAGGTTGAATATTTACCTGGTGAATCTGACTCAGGTATGTTTGGGGGTAACTCGAACTGGAGAGGTCCAATTTGGTTCCCAGTCAACTTTTTACTTGTGGAAGCATTACAGAGATTTTACTTGTACTATGGACCTGAATTGAAGGTCGAATGTCCAAAGGGATCCGGTGATTACTTGAATTTGGCTCAGTGTGCACAAGAAATTCAGCACAGATTGATGCATTTATTCTTGCCAGATGAAGATGGTAATAGAGCTTGTAATGGAGACAATAAACTCTTGAATCAAGACGAATTGTTTAAAGAATACGTTCCATTTTACGAGTACTTCGATGGTGATACCGGAAGAGGACTTGGAGCATCTCATCAATGTGGTTGGACCGCAATTGTTTCGAAATGGATTCATGACAACGGTACAAACTGTAGAGCCCCCAAGACTCCTAGAACTCCTAGAACTCCAAGATCATCTGTTTTCCTCCACAATAGTGAAAACAGAAACATTGACGGTAATGAAGCTCTTGATGAAGAATCTCAAATTGAGCAATTCTACCCTAAAGCCGGTCCATTCCCTGGTAGATTAATGAGAAGAAAGAGTGGTAAATCACTTTTGAATTTGACTATTCATTCACTCGATTTAGACGGTAATGAAGATGAAGTTGATAGTGATGCCGTTCCATCTTTGAATACTGGATTTAGCAACATCACTAGTAAAGTTGGTAAGAACGGAGAATACGAAGACCTTTCCCCAACTCATTCCCATGCTTCTCACACTTCAGTGGAACAGAATTCTGCCATCGACGAGAATTTACTTACGCAAATCAGATCTGCGTTTAGAAAGTACAAATTGTCCAAGGATGACGATGACCATGGAGATGAGTTCGAAGCAAGGCATTAATCAGCTTTGACATGCTAACAGCAAGCTAAGTGGCATGAACTGAACCCCGAAATTGGATGAGCTCCTGAAATATATATTTTTGCTTCTTAACCTACCAAAGCTACGGCTTTGAGTTTAGTTCCACTGTGTTTGGATCTCTTCCACGTTCTGTTTGCTTTGTCTGCAGCAATTGAGCCGCAGAGCTTTTAGCAGTGCAGAAGCAGTAGAAGAATAAGAACCAACATACAGGAACAAACACTAAATAATACATATCTATTTAAATATAAATCTATTCAAAGGAAATTTCTCAGGATAATAGAACAACAATATCATGTAGGTGAGCTATGGTGTGGATAGAAGCTGGAAAGTCGACGAAACAGGTGAATTATCTTCATTCTTGTATGAATAAGTAGATTTAACACCATTTCAAAACTAGACCCAAATGCCAATGAAAACAGTCACAGTCAGCACATGACCAAGTTACATGCACTCTGCGACAACAGAAGATCCCCATCGCACCGCCAAAAAGAACCGTTCTATGGGCATTCTAACCCACAAAGGAGGACTGCATATAGCCTTCCTGACCTCCACCGAAAGTGCAATTGTGAGCATGAAAGCACTGTGCAGTATCGCCTGCATACAATAACGAGGAGATGGTGAGTGAAAAATTTCTTTAAAGCAAATTTTCACACCAACAGGAAGACAGACTCTTTAGTACCCAGTAAACACTATCAAAGATGGCTCCAAAAGGAAAGAAGGTCGCTGCTGCCCCATTAGCTAACAAGTCTAAGACTGTTTCAGCCAAGAACCCATTGTTCGACGCTACCCCAAAGAACTTCGGTATCGGTCAAGCCGTTCAACCAAAGAGAAACTTGTCCAGATTCGTCAAATGGCCAGAATACGTCAGATTACAAAGACAAAAGAAGATCTTATCCTTGAGATTAAAGGTTCCTCCAGCTATTGCTCAATTCCAAAACACTTTGGACAGAAACACTGCTGCTCAAACCTTAAAGCTCTTCAACAAGTACAGACCAGAAACCTCTGCTGAAAAGAAGGAAAGATTAACCAAGGAAGCCGCCGCTGTTGCCGAAGGTAAGTCCGCCAAGGATGCTTCTCCAAAGCCAGTTGTTGTCAAGTACGGTTTAAACCACGTTGTTTCCTTAATTGAAAACAAGAAGGCCAAGTTAGTCTTGATCGCCAACGACGTTGACCCAATTGAATTGGTTGTCTTCTTACCAGCTTTATGTAGAAAGATGGGTGTTCCATACGCCGTTGTAAAGGGTAAGGCCAGATTAGGAACTTTAGTTCACAAGAAGACCTCTTCTGTCGCTGCTTTAACCGAAGTTAACTCTGCTGACGAAGCCGAATTAGCCAAGTTGGTCTCCACCATCAACGCTAACTTCATTGAAAAGTACGAAGACTCCAGAAGACACTGGGGTGGTGGTATTATGGGTTCTAAGTCTAACGAAAAGAAGGCTAAGAGGGCTAAGACCATGGATGTCAAGGCTTAAACAAGTTTTTAGTTTTCGTAGAAATCTAATTAGTAATACAAACATGTTGAAATACAAGACTGGACGAGAGTGAGAGTGAATAACATGTAGAAATAGAAGAACTATGTGTGTGACATAGTTGTACGCTAATTTAGGTTTGATCGTACTCCTTGCTCTTATGCACTGAATTGAGTGGGACATCCTTTGAAAATACTCTAGTCAAAAACATTTATTTATTAGATAGTGGTGAATTGTGCATTGCAACTGCAATGGACCCCTTTTCACCAATTTTCGATATACTATACCTTCAATAAGGCTGCTCTTGACTTGCACTCTTCTTTAATGAAGCCAAAGTGAAGCAATTTTTTTTTTTATTTTTTGCACCCAAACGGGAATGCACTATATTATCTGCAGGATTCCATGGACCCTTGGGGCCCTCATACGAAGCGACAGTTCCAAATGGGAAAGCCAGGGCAGCTGTGACTGAGCCTTGTCATATGAACTTCATCAATGAAGTGAAATCTCACTATATGAGAAGAGTGAAAAGGAAACCAACGTATAAGATTAGCTTAGGACTTTGTCTGTCAGAATTTCCACCTGCGTAAAATGGTGCTGCTGCAATTGATTTGGGGTGCGCAAGGGAAGAATAGCCTGCTGATGAATAGGAGACCGTTCTTGAACTCAATGTCTTAGAAGTAAACGACGCGGTTTGGAAATTTTCGGTTGTAGACACCGTAGATGAATGCATCTCTTGAGTGGCCAGTGTCACTGGTTTAGGAGATGAAGTTGTAGTCCTTTGAGTAGATGGGAATGCTTGAGAGATAGTTGCCTTTCTATTAATTGAAGATCCTGCATGTTGCAAGGTGGTTGCATTTATGTTGATTGGAGAACCTGAATATGATACAGAGCCATTGAAGGTAAGTGATATTGGCGATGGTTCCAGATTTATGGGCGTAGATTCCAGTTGTGATGGCAGATCCAAATCAGTACTGATTGCTGCGTCAGGTGCATTTTGCAGAGACTCCAGATTTAAGGGTGTAGTCAATGGCTCGTAATTTGATTGTGATGACGGTTTGGTTGGTACAGCTTCCAGTTGTGATGGCGGATTCAAATCAGTGATTGCTGCGTCAGGTGCATTTTGCAAAGACTCCAGACTGTCCAGCGTGGGTAAAGGCTTGTAATTTGGCGCATGATTAGAAAGTGATGGCGGTTTGGTTGGTACAGAATCCAGCTGTGATGGCGGATCTACATAGGTGCTGATTGTTAGATCGGAGAAGCTTTGTAAGACTGGTGTAGTCAATGGCTCGTAATTTGATTGTGGTGACGGTTTGGTTGGTACAGCTTCCAGTTGTGATGGCGGATCCAAATCAGTGATTGCTAGATCAGATAAGCTTTGCGAAGACTCCAGAGTTACGGATTTATTCAATGGCTTGTAATTTGATTGTGACGCTGGTTTGCTTGGTACAGACTCCAATTGTGATGGCGGATCCAAGTCAGTACTAATTTCTAGATCAGATAAGCTTTGCGAAGACTCCAGAGTTACGGGTGTAGTCAATGGTTTGTGATTAGATTGTGGCGATGGTATTATTATTGGTGCAGATTCCAGTTGTGATGGCAGATCCAGATAAGTACTGATTGTTGCGTCAGATGCATGTTGCAAAGACTCCAGATTGTTTAGCGTGGGTAAAGGCTTGTAATTTGGCTTGTAATTAGAAAGTGATGGTGGAATGGTTGGTACAGAATCCAGTTGTGATGGCGAATCCATATAAGTACTGACTGCTGTGTTAGATGCATTTTGCGAAGACTCCAGATTGTATGGTATAGGTAAGGGCCCGAAATTGGGCTTGTTACTGTACGCAGAACTGAGAATTCTCATGGTTGGTACAGATTCCAGCAGTGAAAGCGGATCCACATAACTACTGACTGAAGAGTCAGATGTTTCCTGCAAGGATGAAGCTGATATCTTTGCACTGCTTGTGCTTAATGCGTTTTCCAGTGTATCAGATGAATATGGAGTAATCGTGGACAGATCCACTGTTTGCAATTTAGATTTACTGAATGTCACACTGACTTTGGTTGGAGAACTGGAAACACTGTCACTTTCGGTGGTATATTGAGAGATATTATGACCATTTGATGAAATTTCGATTATAGCTACCCCTTTAGTTTCATTATCTGGAGATACTGGCGCAGTAACTGCAATTGGATCTAGTGAAGTTAAGCTTTTCGCAAATTTCGCCCTAGAAGTGGTGGTTTTTGGGTCCACTTGGGTGGTACTAGCTTCGCTTTGCACTAGAGAGACAGATTTGTTCAACAGATTACTAGATACTTCCACTGGAGGATCTGAGGATGATATCGTAATCGATTTGATGGAATTCAGGTTCATTATCGTACTGGAAAATGAAAAATTTTCTTCACCATTAACTGCATCAGAAGAAGGGTCGCTGTTGTCTATCAGTATGCTATTTGTGGTGACCGGTTGTGGAAATTCAGTAGATGGATTTGAATTTAAGATGTTATTGCTAATTCGAGTCATGGATATGTAGCTATGCTCTGAACTATCTGAATCAACTGACCTGCTTGAAGTTGAGGTGGACCCAAGAGTGGTACTTAATCTAGGGTGGTTAATATCAATGTTAGCTGATGATCTGTAAAAGCCTAATTCAAAACTAGAGGAAATTAGTGTAGTTGACGGTGCGGGATCTTGTGAAGCTTGAGGAATCGAAGTTCTAAACGTTGAGTCTAACGCAAAATAGCTCTTTGTGGTAATGTTTGGAAAATACGGTCCGTGAATAGTTTCAACTGATGATACTGAAACTGGGTCAGTTTGAGTAGTGTGGCTGTTACTATCGTTAATGGTACACGTCTGTTCAGTACCAGATATGAGACAGTTATCACTTGATAATGCTGAATTATTTACCTCTAAATAAGATTCTTTCACTGAGAAAGAAACCCCAGAGGAGATACTCGGATATTTTTCTGAATATAGGGCTGCTGAAGAAGGAATGGAAGTAATGATAGTTTCTCTTAATGAACCAAAACTTGTAGAAACTTTCCTGTGAATGCTAAGAAGCGTTTCTGTTGCCATGCTGCTGTATTCATTTTCACTTCTTGGTGGCTCCTCAGTTACCACCGAGTCAGGAAGACCTGTGACCTTCATATCATTGAAAGATACAGTAGTGTTCCATGTGGTTGTTGATCTTTCGGCTGTCTTAGTCACTGTAAAAGACTCTATTTCATGCAAAGTTTTTAATGCAGATGTGTCTGGAGATACACTGTCTGTTACAAAAGAAGTCTTCGAAGGTATGGGCACTGCTCCACTATGAGAGTCGGATAAAGTGGACTCCGCATGACTGGTACTAATGGCCACCTGACTGACTTTATTAGTTGTCACAGAGTTCCCTCTGTGTATAGAATCAACTTCATTTGGACCTACGATGGTTGCATATGGAGTTGTTTCAGCAGATTCGCTGGGAATTGTATAAGCAGTGGCATCAATCGAAAATGATTCCGGGTATATTGAGTCAATGCCTGTTGAAATGTGGATTTTGGAAACGATATATATTCTACTCTTGGATTCGGCTCTACTAGAGTCAACAGATGTCGAGTTCACCAGGGTTTGAACTGGTTTGAAAATAGAAGAATTGACCTTCTCTGTAAAAGTAGATTCTTCTGGTGAGTCGCTCACATATGCTGAGTCAATTTCTGATGTTGTGAAATGATCCATTTTCAGAGACAGGGCGATGTCTGTAGATTCTGCATTGGAAGTTGAAGTACTAGAAACAAAAAATGTTGTATTCTGAGATTTGGTTACGATAGAGTCCATTATTTTAGAGCTCACGATCGTTTGCTGTGAATCCTTAGAGATGGTTAAGTATTCGTTAGAATTGGATGCTTGAGTACTCGTTGTATAAGGAACTTCGACGATTACAGTCGAAGTACTCCCTTTGGAGACAGCAGTGGCCTCACTATCAGCTCTTGTCCAAGCTTTAGAGACCATAATCGTAGTAGTAGGAACTTCGATGGTGACATTAGCCGTTATACGTTCAGAATAAATAATCGTGGCTGTCTCATCATCATTGCCACTCCAAGCTCTTGTTACTGTACTAGTATGAGTAGGAGCTTCGATAATGACAGTAGCAATACCACCTTCAGAAGCAGTCACTGTGGTGATCTCAGTTTCACGACCAGTCCATAAGGTGGTAATAGTTGTTGTAGGGGTAGGAACTTCGATAATAACTGTGGCAGTACCGTCTTGTGAGGCACTAGTCGTAGTTGTCTCGGTATAAGTACCTGTCCAGGTTCTAGTGGTAGTACTCGTAGGCGTAGGAACTTCGATTATAACAGTAGCTGTAGCTCCTTCTGGGGCGGTAAGCGTAGCTGTCTGGATATCGGCACCGCTCCAGGTACTAGCAATAGTGGTAGTAGGAGTAGGAACTTCGACTATGACAATAGCAGTACCGACTTCGGAAGTAGTAACCGTGGTGGCCTTGGTATAAGATTCATTCCAAGTTGATGTTATCATCGTGGTTGGCATTGGAACTTCAACTATAACGGTGGCCGTACCTCCAGTACTTGCTGAAACTGTTGTGGAAGAGATATATGATCCTGTCCATGTGGAAATGACAGTAACAGTGGGTGTAGGTACACCAATGATTACAGTGGCAGTGCCACCTTTCGAGGCAGTGATAGTGGTATTCTCCGTATTAGTGCCACTCCAGGTCGAAATGAAAGTTTCAGTTGGAGTAGGTACGTCAAAAATTAAAGTTGCAGTACCACCCTCTGAAGCTGTTACTATATTGGTATCGGCTTGAGAACCAGTCCAAGTAGAAGTTATAGTAGTGGTAGGAGTAGGGACTAGAACAATTATAGTTTGATCACCTCCTAGAGATGCTGTTCCCACGATCGTAGTTGAATAATCTCCACTCCAAGTAGATGTGATATATGTACTTGGAGTTGGAACTTCGACAATGACTGTACCAGTTCCTCCTTCCGAAGCAGTAAATGTCAAATAATCGGTGCTTGATCCTGACCAAGTGGAAGTAGTAGTACTGGTCGGAGTTGGAACTTCAATAATAATTGTAGCAGTACCATCTTTTGACGCAAAAACAGTAGTTGATTCAATACCATTACCAGTCCAAGTGGAAGTAACGGTCGTAGTAGGTGTAGGAACCTTAATTATAACAGTAGCTGAACCTCCCTCTGAGGCAGTTATCGTCGTGGATTGAGTTTTTGAACCAGTCCAGGTTGAGGTGACATATTCAGTAGGCGTGGGTACCTCTAAGACGACTGTTGCAGTTCCTCCAACAGATGCTGTTTCAGTTATTGAAGTCACTACAGATCCTGTCCAAGTGGAAACAATTGTCACCGTTGGAGATGGAACCTCAAGAATGATGGTGACAGTTCCACCTTCTGAAGCAGTAACCGTTTTGGTCTCGCTGTCAGTACCAGTCCAGGTACTAGTAATAGTAGTCGTTGGTGTAGGAACGACAACAATCACAGTGTTTGTCCCACCTTCTGAGGCGGTAACCGTAGTAGTTTCAATATCGGTACCAGCCCAAGTGCTAGTAACAGTACTAGTAGGAGTAGGAGCCTCAATTATAACTGTAGCTGTACCTCCTTCTGAAGCAGTAATTGTAGTGCTCTCGGTGACAGTGCCAGTCCAAGTGCTTGTAATAGTAGTAGTTGGAGTAGGAACCTCGACAATCACAGTGTTAGTTCCACCTTTTGATGCAATTGCTGTTTTTGTGTCTGTGCCAGATCCACTCCAGGTTGATGTTACAGTGGTAGTTGGAGTAGGAACCTCGATAATCACAGTGTTTGTTCCACCTCCTGAAGCAGTAACTGTGGTGCTCTCGGTGACAGTACCAGTCCAAGTGCTTGTAATAGTA